CCCGGGACGGCTTCTGCTCTCCGCCAGCAGCAGCTTAAAGCCTCCGTTCGCGGAGATGGAACTCCCGGGGTAAAACGGAGGGGCCACTTCTTGGCCGTCGATCACCATCCGTTGGATGAATCCGGAGGCGCCTCGGCCCTGCTCCTTGCCGTCGCGCGCCTTGAGGAATGCCGAGTGCTGTGCGCCTGTCGCGTCGCGCCACATCACTTGAAGCTCCCTGGTGTGGAGCGGAGAGGGGTGGGAGGGACGGCGAAGCAGAGAGGAAAATGATGAGAATCCAGATATATGAGATTGGTTACAGGAAGATAGCATGACCCACTGGCACCACCATGATCACGACACCGTGAACTGATGGCGCTGACGTAACGCGACGTGATGTAATGTGTCGCCACGTAACGTGACGTGATGAAACGTGACGCGACGCGACACCACCGACACTGATGCAACAACACACACGCACCTGATCCAGCTGCGGATCGGCTTCCCTTTGAGCAGCCTCGCTTCCGGCTCGTGCTTCGCGTACTGAATCGAATTCAGCCCCTCCGATAGTTGAATCGCTGCAGGTACAGCCTGATCCCCTCCAAGTTCCCCCGCATCTTCCGCCGCCCCGCTGCTTCCGCGGAGCCTTCCCACCTCGCGCTCGAGCGCCTCTGCTACCTGCTCAGTTTCAGGTAAGCTCCCGTTGACACGCATTCGCAGAAGCCCCGCCACTTCTTCTGCATTTAACCCCTCCTCCTGCAGCTCCTGAATATGACGTGGCTTAAACTCCTTCGCTGCCGCTTCCACCGCCGCGGCGAGTGTGTTTTCATCCAATGACGTGGCAGTGCCTGGGAGGTTGCCAATCGGACGGTAGCCCTTGATCCCCATGTTGATGTGGATCCGACGGTCGGAAAGCAGGCAGAAGGAACGGTCGAGCAGGCCGTTGAAGTCGAAGCGCGTGCCGTCCGCGCCGCGGAAATGCGGGTCGCCGTTGGTGTTGGCGAGGGGATTGCAGATGCCGCCGATGTATGTTGGATCCACCTTTTTATCATAGTTAGTCGTGTTGAGTCCCGTTAGCGATCCCAGCAGGGTGCATACGCCCGGGTTACTGCACGTTAGAGCGCGACAAGAAGAGCCGTCGTTAGTAGATGATCGAGGATGAAAGTGAGGGACGTGCCGCCGTTGGGTGATATGGCCTTGGAAAACACTAAAAAACATATCAAATATGCTTAATAAGCATATCAATATCATCGCTATAACACGATACCGTCATCATGCTTACGTCAGCTTGCTCAGTCGCCAGTATTGGCAGCCGACTTTCGCGGCGCAGGCGCGGCAACAATCCGATTCGGAATTCGTAGTCTGCAGGAGGGCAAACGGCAGGAGGGGGTAGATTAGAAAGCATAAATCAAGTAGCATCATGCGCCACGGGCGAACTGGAGATCAAGAATGCAGACTATCATCATGCAAGTGGATCGACTGGAAGTCGCGGCGCGGCGGCGGCGGCGGCGGCACAAGAGTAAAGTCCGGGTTACATTTTCGTGAAGCGGCCTGCGAAGAAAGCGATGGTCGAGTGTGAGAGAGGATTACAGTAGTGCCGAGATTTGACGGCGTGGTATTAGGGTCGAACACGTAGCGCTCGAAGTTGTACGTCGCATTCGTGTAAGTCGGCCCAGCCGCTGTCAGGTCAGTCTGCGCGTTCACGATGTTGTACCCCATTCTTAAGTTGGCGCAGTCGTAGCATCCGCGCGTTGTGGTTATCGGTCCGTGAGCAGCGCTTTCTTGGGGGCTAGCCGCAATAGCCGGGGTGGCGAGCGCGATGAGAGTAAGGAGCCAAAATGCTGTCGCGGCGGTGGCGCTGCTGCGGCCACGTGTCATCGTTGCGAGCTAAGTAATGGTGGCGGACGCAGGAACTGGTTTAGATCTTCGCGTCTTCTGGGTTGAGCCTCACAGTGTGGGAACAGTTGGGGCTCCCAGGATTACGGCGATGCGGGTAAAATGAGAAGACGGGTGGTGAAGGGTTTCAATGCGCACTTCTGGTATACTGCAAGAAAATGGAAGAAATATATGCGTTTAGCGGTGGCTGGTTCTGAAGGATTCAGTGAGATGAGAGGTTCATCAGGGATGATGGTGTTTGGCATGGGCGCACCGCGCATTTCGCGATTCAGATCGAATCGCTCGAGAGTTGCAGGCTGACTTTCGATGACTGCCATGCTGTCCTCAAATTGAGGCACGTCACTCCGCTGGATGCGTCGTTGCCCTTGATGACAAATGTCGTGCAAAGTCCCCGGCATTGTTAGTCAAGGCGTTGACAATCGAACCAATTGTGCGCTTAGGACGTGTCACGGTTTGCCTCTGATCGGCTTTGATCTGGTCGGGGCTGATCGGATCGGGGTGCCCCCCATTACTGTGCTCGCGCCGCCCGATCAGATGAGAAATTCCTCGAATGTTTTACGAGGGTGCATGTCAACCGTGTCACCCTTTCCAAACACTTTCGCGCCCACTTTGGCGAGGGCGAAGTCCTCAGCCTGGATCTAACGAAGTTCTTTGTTTCCCTGTTATTTCGCGTGAACAGATGCCCAGAAACGCTGCAGAGGATGGTTTCGAAAGTTCTCGCCAGGGTGGTTGTTTGAGCGAGAGCTTCACGAAACCCAGCACAACACCGTAACTTCTCGCTGGCGTCGCTTGGTACCCCAAACCAATGCAATCAACTGATTGTCGGTGATTGTGTGGGGTTGTGTTTGATTGGGCTGATTTAGGCGGTTGATCGAGTTGGGGCGATCAGCTAATCGCGATCAGGTGATTGCCCCCGATTGCCTGAAATCGCCGCCCTAGCTTCCTGGAAGTTATTGATTGACTGTGATCGGGGCAATCAGAGGCGAACCGTGACACGTCCTTAGCCGTGTCAGCATGTTGTCAAGCACTTCAGCATTGGGGTTGACATAACTGTAAGAAAACAAATTTCAGCCAATCACTTCAGGCACCAGCTGGTGTCTGAAGGCACCTGCCCTGGTTCAACGCTTAAAAAGAACTTAGGTGGCCATTTGGTGTCCACTACCTTTTCCACTGCTTTACTGGTGGCTTTGAAGGAGAATCCAAACCGACCTAGAATTTCTGAGGAGTATCCGATAGTTTTCCCATCCATAAGAAAGCTCCTCACCCCTGCAGAACCTGCAGCTTGCACTTGCCTCGTTGCAAGAGTACACATGGGCAAAAACGGATTTTTAGTCAATGTGTTGTGTATGGAGCGGAACGAATAGTCCAACCGTTAGGTCCACGGTTTGTACAAGATTCCCTCCCGTGCAGGGAATGAGCAGCATTGTTCCACGCAATTGGCACAGATATACACTCGAGGCTTTTGTTCCTGGTTACCTAGTACTTGGGGAGTGTTTTGCGATCCGTCCATGATAGAAAAGCTTGATCCAACTTGTCTTTGGAAGTTGGAGGGATAAAAGGCAATTGCAGAACACCAGAGCAGAGTGCTGCAGGGCACACGTGAACCCCAACGCCACCAGCTCCCAATAGTTTCGAGGATGGATCATGAGGTGGGGGGGAACAAAAAAACATACTGGTCACTTACAGTTATGCCAGGTGGCAAAGAATCTGGCGTGTGAAATGGCCCAAGACTGGGAATGCCAGAAGTGCGTGCCGGGGCGTGCCAGTGCGTGTACCAAAGCCATGGTGATTCGTGGTACAAATCGTTTTTGAACGGTGGAAGCTTCGAAACCCGGTGCACTGGGGCGTGCCGAGGCGTTCCACACCACGTCCTTGTTGAGAGGTCTGCAAGTAAGAGTTTCGCTAATGGATCGGTTGGGTGTGAGTGGGCACGGCAATGAAAACGAATAAAAAACATACAAATGAAGAAAATGAAGTAGTAATGCATGAGGTAACTAATTCCCATTACTAATATTGCCTGCATGACCCTCAATCTGTCGCAATGCCTCGTACACTCCTACTCCTGCTGACACTGCGAGGTTTAAAGAGCGGACATATGTTTCGTCTATAGGAATGCGAGCAATCCCTCCTGCATGCTTCCCAACCGAGCACTCGGTAATGGCCTCTGGTGGTAGGCCAAATGTTTCAGCTCCAAACAACAGCCAATCACCCGGTTGATATTGAATATCCTGCAGAAGAAAAAGACACAAAGCAAGCAGATCCTTTGTAATGGAGTCATGGAAAGGGGACATCAAGAGTAAGATTATAGAGAGGAATATGATGGTGCTTTCATGCATCAAGTGTGGATGATAGCTTTGCCCTGCGACCTTCCACGGTCCCACCCACCCACCCTTCCACTAATCCCTCCCTTTCCATACTCCATCCCTCCCACCACCATCACCCATGTTCTCCTCCACCACCCTTGCTAGCCACAACTCACATGGTGGGGCACAGAGCCTCGCTTGGAAAAGGCAATCAGGCGCTTGGGCTCCGGCTGTGGGCAGAGGAGGGGCAGGCAGAGAATGGATTGTGAGAATTCCTAGAAGTGATCCAGTGCAACTCATCTGAAACTTATTTTGAGGCGCCTCAAAATACACCTCTGTGGGCAGAGGAGGGGCAGGCAGAGAATGGATTGTGAGGATTCCTAGAAGTGATCCAGTATATCTCATCTGAAACTTCCTCACCTTCTAAGCTGAGGGACGATCAGCTGCTTGGGCTCACCTGCTGCCTGAAATACTCCATGAAGTTCATGAACGCCCTCCAGCTGCCATGCACCCTCACCACCACATAGGGCCAGTAGTCCAGCCCTGCCGACTTGAGCTTTGAGTCGACTCAAAGTCAACTCAGAGTCAAATCAAAGTCAGCTCAAAGTAAACTCAAGTCAACTCAAAGTCGACTCAAAGTCAACTCAGAGTCGACTCAAAGTCAACTCAGAGTCGACTCAAAGTCGACTCAAAAGGCTCACCTGCTGCCTGAAATACTCCATGAATGCCCTCCAGCTGTCATGCACGTTCACCACCACGTACGGCCAGTAGTCCAGCCCTGCCCTCCTGAGCTTTAAGTCGACTGAACACTGAGCTCAAAATTCAGCTCAAAAGGCAGCTAACACGGCTCACCTGCAGCCTGAAATACTCCATGAACGCCCCCCAGCTGTCATGCACGTTCACCACCACGAACGGCCAGTAGTCCAGCCCTGCTCTCTTGAGCTTAGAGTCCGTGATGTCGAATCCCAGAGGCTGCAGTGATGGCAGGGAGAGGAGGAGCAGCAGGGAGGGGAGCACAAGGAGATGCCGTGCATGGGGTGTGCTAGTCCAGAGCACAAGGAGGGCACCACCACGGACGGCCACTAGTCCAGCCCTGCCCGCTTGAGCTTAGAGTCCGTGATATCAAACCCCAGAGGCTGGAGCACAAGGAGATGCCGTGCATGGAGTGTGCTATAAGGAGGGCACCACCACGGACGGCCACTAGTCCAGCCCTGCCCGCTTGAGCTTAGAGTCCGTGATATCAAACCCCAGAGGCTGGAGCACAAGGAGATGCCGTGCATGGAGTGTGCTATAAGGAGGGCACCACCACGGACGGCCACTAGTCCAGCTCAGTATAATGAGTCGTGTTTTGAGTCGACTAAAACAACGACTCCAGCCCTGATCGCTTGAGCTCACGTATAAAGTTTCGACCTGGATCCAGCAGATGATTCGTCCTATTCCAACAGGTAACTTGTCCTAATGGCTGAGTCCGGGATGTCAAACCCCAGAGGCTGCAGGGCGGGGGGAGGAGGTGCACGCAAGGGAGAGTGTACTGGGGGGGACGTTAAAGCGATCCTATCGTTGCTGCGGCCGTGACAGCACAAAAGCAAGCAAGCAGAGGCAAGCAGGGACGGCAGCAATGAGTCATGGTGGGGCAGGCACTCACACGGGCAAGTGTTACACGGTTACATGAGTCCAACCCCGTCCTATCCTCCCACTGCCCCATACCAGCCCTCACACCCACCTTGACCAGGTGCAGCGGAACGGCCGTGGCAGCACATGTGCGCGCAATGGACCCGGTGTTGCCGGGGATCTGTGAGTGAGCGTGTGTGTGAGAGAGGGGAGAAGGATGGAGCTGAAAATAAGGAGTTGCTGTGCAGGCACGAAGGAATGCGGGCGCGCAATGGACCCTGTGTTGCCGGGGATCCGTGAGTGAGCGTGTGTGGTGGCCAGCGGAGGAGGGGGGAGGAAGGGGCGAAGGTGGATTGGAATAAGATGTGTGTTGTACATTCACACAGCCATGGCAGCACACGTGCGGATGATCGACCCTGTGTTGCCTGGGATCTGTGAGTGAGTGTGGGGGTGAGGAAGGGAAGCGAGGAGAGGAAGGGAACAATGAGAGGAAGGGAAGCGAGGAGAGGAAGGGAACAATGAGAGGAAGGGAGGCGAGGAGAGGAAGGGAACAATGAGAGGAAGGGAAGCGAGGAGAGGAAGGGAACAATGAGAGGAAGGGAAGCGAGGAGAGGAAGGGAACAATGAGAGGAAGGGAAGCGAGGAGAGGAAGGGAACAATGAGAGGAAGGGAAGCGAGGAGAGGAAGGGAACAATGAGAGGAAGGGAAGCGAGGAGAGGAAGGGAACAATGAGAGGAAGGAAAGCGAGGGAATGGAGGAGGGGACTGTGCCACACCACATGTGGGGACCATGGTCCCTCTGCTTCAAGACATCAAAGTACGTGTGCGTGGGAGGGGGGAGGGGGGAAGAGGGTGAGAGGAGAAGGGAGTGGGGAGGGGGAATGGGGAGGCCGGATATGAGTGAGCCAATCACCTGAGGACACACAAGCACCACGTGAAGTGGCTTCTTGACTTGACCCTGCCCCACCTCCTCTCCCTCTCCAACCACCTCTCCTCCTTCCCCTTTCGCTCTTTCCCCTCTCTCCTCCTCTCTTCTTCCCTCACCCTCCAGCCCGCCTTCGTTAGAGTCACCCCTGACATTAATATCATTCGAGTCACTCTCGTTATTATCACTTCCATCCAGCCCGCTTCCCGCTCGTTTCAGGCTCCATCGCTCCTCCCCAATATTCGCCCCTGCATTTGCCCCCTCTGCTACCCTGAACCCCTCGCCTCTCCTGCTGCCGCTGCTGATACTGCTGCCACGTCAGCGGCCCCAGCCGCCATGAAATACGCGATCTAATCGAATCTGAGTGAAGGTCCCGCCTGACTGCGCGCGGAAACCGAGCGCCCGATTCCGCGCAAAGGAAATCCGCGCGGCTACTGACGCGGGGTAGTATTGCGCGGGAGTTGCGCCCTACAGCAGGACAGGCGAGCGCGGGAAAATGCTGCGTGCTGTACGATGGCGCTGCGCGGGGATTTAGTAGCGCGACTGAGCGCGGTTGCGCGGCGCAGGAAACCCTGGCTCCAAACCAAGGAATCGCCGGCGATGGCTGCGCGCCTGCGCTGCACGGGAGGTCTGTGGGAGGTTCGGCCCGAGAAAGAAAGGCGGGGGAAGTTTCCCCGCCGGGACTCCCGCGCGGGACCTTGGGGTGCGGGAATTCTCGCGGGAGAACGACTCGCGCGCGAAGCATGGCGGCGCTTGATTGAGTGGCGCGGGCGCGGTTTTTATCGGCGGGCAAATCTGGCCAACAAGGTCAATTGGTGCAGGTATGCGTGAATCATCCTCATACGAATAGCCGCGAGAACAGAACAGGGACAGAAATAACATGCTGCCTTCAACATATAAAATCTGCATGCCAAACAATCGTTACTGTTTTGATGATACTCCATGTGAATCTCAACAAGAACCTCTCAATCCTCATAATCATCACCGTCTTTGTCATCAGCATCATCGTTGCCACCTTTATCATCGTCATAGTCATCAGATTCCAGGTCGTAACTGAGTGCAGCGATGACGTGGCGGGTGGTGGGCAATGCCTCACTGACACGTGGCAAGTGCCAGGGCGCGGGGGCAACTTTGCTGTAGAACCAGGGCGATACCGAGTCGTTGAACTGCTTAAAACGCGGATTTAATATCGCCTCCCAGTCCACCTGGGTGACGAGCAGAAGAGGGGGGAATGTGGGGCGAGAGTGGGATGGGAGGGGGATGAGGTGAGGGCATGTGGTAAATGAAGGGAGAGGGGAGAGGGAAGAGGGAATAAGGGAGAGGGGAGGAGGCATAGCAGAGCACGAATAAGGTCCTCCCAGCTGGCATCCGGCTTGCTGCAGAGCCAGGGCGAAACTGAGTGGTTGATTTGCTTATAACAAAGATTTAATATCACCTCCCAATCCACCTGGTTGAAGAGAGGCAGGAAGCGGGGGAAGGGATAGTGCGGGGGGGGGGGATGGGGCGCGAAGGCATGACTACACCTCTTGCTGCTGAAATCCCACGTGAGCCCAACTGAGCGCGCACCTGAAAGTCTTGGGGATGAGTGAGAGCGTCTCCATGTCCGCAGCCAGAGAGAGGGGGGGCAGCAGAGCATGGGTAACACTCACTGCCAACAATCCCACTCCAGCCCAAGGCAAAGCGCGCACCTGAACGTTCTTTGGGATGAGCGAGAGAGTTTCCATGTCAGCGGCCAGGGAGAGGCCAAGAATGGAGATAATGCCGACCATCGCCGACCCGCGGGTGAGCGGCATGAACTGATACCAGTAGTACCCCATCCGCAGCACGCCCTCCCTCACGAGATGGTGAATGCTGGTGGCTCGCGTGTGTGTGTCCGTAGCAACTAGGGTGAACCCTCCCTGCCCACACCCCACTTGAGCCCACCCAACTCAGCACGCACCTCAGGATTTCCAAGGGCAGCCCAGGGCGCACCTGAACATCCTTGGGGATGAGCGAGATCGTCTCCATGTCAGCAGCCAGGGAGAGGCCGAGAATAGAAATAATGCCGACCATTGCCGACCCGCGGGTGAGCGGCATGAACTGATACCAGTAGTACCCCATCCGCAGCACGCCCTCCCTCACTCGCCGCCGGTACAAGTGCACATCGGTGGCCCGTGTGTGCGTGTCGGTTGCTGCGTCACTGAGCTCCTCCCATGTCTTGTGCAGCTCTTGAAAGAACTCTGCGCTGCGCTCGGGTGTCACTGCTGTACGAATGGTAAAGTCATAGGAGCCTGGGGTGGGGGGTGGGAGTGGGAGGGGCAGTGCCGCAAGTGCGTGTCGGTGGCGGCCTCACTGAGCTCCTCCCATGTCTTCTGCAGCTCCTGAAAGAACTCTGCGCTGCGCTCAGGCGTGACCGCTGTACGAATGGTGAAGTCATATGAGCCTGGGGCGAGGGGGAAAGGTGGGAGAGGGCAGGAAGAGAGGGGGTAGAGGTACACGTGTGGGGAGGAGAGGGGAGAAAAAGGGGGTAGCGGCTAGCCTGAGCTCCTCCCATGTTTTGTGAAGCTTCTGGAAGAACTCTGCACTGCGCTCGGGCGTGACCGCCGTGCGAATGGTAAAGACGTACGAGCCTGGGAGGGGAAGGAGGAAGGGTGGAGGATGGCCGAAATCATTGGAGCTTTGAGTTCGTAGGAGCAGGAGGGTGTTGAAAAAGCAGGGTAGGCCTATATCACAGGAAAGATTCTGGTCCGATCCATGCTGGAAATGTAAAAGTTGGAGATAGTGTGGGCAAACAGCACCAGGCGAGCACAGTAGCAGCAGGAAGGGGAGCACAACTGCAGCAGGCTGGGGTCGCAATATGCGGCTCCTCAACAGGCAGGGCACAATACCTGACGCCTCCACGAGGGTCAGCTGCGTGCCGTTCATCACTCGCCCCGGAAACGCCTCGCTGTAACACTGCGTGGTAACATAGAAGTTCTCCCCCACCACGCGGTGTAAATCCCCAAAGTCCCCCGCCGCCTCTATCGCCCTCCCATGCACCCGCCGCGGCACCGGCAGCGGCCAGTTGGTTGCATTCGAAGCCATTTCAGTCTCCAGCAGAACGGATCTCATCACCTCAAACGCCCAGTCTTGAAACGGGTAGTATTTTAAGTTATGCATTTGCCCGACCCGCATGGCTGTGATTGTACCGAAGCCCTTGGGGTACTCGTTTTTGAGCTGGTCGATCCATGTGATTGTATCGCAGGGCTCAGCGTGCTGCCTCCACCGTATGATCCCATCGAACATGTCTCTCCACCCCGAGATCATCTGTGCACCGTTGGATCGGCTGGATGAGCCAGTCGGCTTATCTCGGCCCTTGGATCTCTTTCCTGCTGCTGCGGAGGATTGGAGGGACACCCGAGGTGTTTTCCGTCGAGACCCTCTCTGAGTACGACTCCCACCCGCCCTACTGCCCGTGCTGCTCCTTCCTCTACTGCTCCCTTCGCTATTGTCACTATCACTATCCTCTGAATCCCTATCATCACCATCATCACCATTACGACCATCAACCCTACTGCCATCAGCCCTTTTCCTCCCCGCTGCTTCCCCTGCTTCATCATCCCCTAGTCCTTCACCCTCACCCTCCCCCTCCCCATTTTCATCATTCCCCTTCCGTTCCTCAATCATATGCTGCCACGTGGCATTCACCCTCTGCATCAGATCCAGGGCGGCAAGCCCCGCCATGCGGTGTTATCTTTTGTGCGGCATGAAGCCGTCCACAAAGTACTGCGTGCGCCGCCCGATTTCGTCCGCCTTGGCGATGAGAGCGCGCACTTGGGGGGAGAAGCGAATGCGGGGGGGGTTGCGTACGAGGCGGATGGGGAGGGGGCGGTAGGCGGGGAGGATGGAGAGGGGCGACTGCTTTCGTACCCATGCTTCCTGGCAGAGGGAATGGGGAGTGCAGGGGGAAAGGATAGGGGGTTTGAGATGTGGGGGGGTTGCGAACCAGGCGAATGGGGAGGGGGCGGTAGGCGGGGAGGATGGAAAGGGGTGACTGCTATCTCACACATGATTCCTGGTTGGGGAAATGGGGAGTGTAGGGGAAATTATAGGGGGTTTGACAAGGGACTCAAAGTATGTGTGCCAGGCGATCAACGTGCACACTTGGGGATGGAAGGGGGTGATGTGGGGAGGGTAAGGGCGGTTACGGTGGAGGCAGATGGGGAGGGGGCGGGGTAGGTTGGGAGGATGGAAAGGGGCGACTGCTTTCTCACCCATGCTTCCTGGAGGAAGGGGGAAACGGGAGTGCAGGGGAAAGGATAGGGGGTTGAGATGGGACTGAAAGTGCATTTGCCAGACACTCAGCGTACACTGCAGCTCCAGTCGCAGGAGAATCTGCAGCTCCAAACGCAGGAGAATCTGCAGCTCCAGGCGCAGGAGAATCTGCAGCTCCAGACGCAGGAGAATCTGCAGCTCCAGGCGCAGGAGAATCTGCAGCTCCAGACGCAGGAGAATCTGCAGCTCCAGACGCAGGAGAATCTGCAGCTCCAGGCGCAGGAGAATCTGCAGCTCCAGACGCAGGAGAATCTGCAGCTTCAGGCGCAGGAGAATCTGCAGCTCCAGTCGCAGGAGAATCTGCAGCTCCAGACGCAGGAGAATCTGCAGCTCCAGACGCAGGAGAATATGCAGCTCCAGTCGCAGGAGAATCTGCAGGTCCAGACGCAGGAGAATCTGCAGCTCCAGGCGCAGGAGAATCTGCAGCTCCAGGCGCAGGAGAATCTGCAGCTCCAGGCGCAGGAGAATCTGCAGCTCCAGACGCAGGAGAATTTGCAGCTCCAGACGCAGGAGACTCTGCAGCTCCAGACGCAGGAGAATCTGCAGCTCCAGGCGCAGGAGAATCTGCAGCTCCAGACGCAGGAGAATCTGCAGCTCCAGACGCAGGAGAATCTGCAGCTCCAGACGCAGGAGACTCTGCAGCTCCAGACGCAGGAGAATCTGCAGCTCCAGACGCAGGAGAATCTGCAGCTCCAGACGCAGGAGAATCTGCAGCTCCAGACGCAGGAGAATCTGCAGCTCCAGACGCAGGAGAATCTGCAGCTTCAGGCGCAGGAGAATCTGCAGCTCCAGTCGCAGGAGAATCTGCAGCTCCAGACGCAGGAGAATCTGCAGCTCCAGACGCAGGAGAATATGCAGCTCCAGTCGCAGGAGAATCTGCAGCTCCAGACGCAGGAGAATCTGCAGCTCCAGGCGCAGGAGAATCTGCAGCTCCAGGCGCAGGAGAATCTGCAGCTCCAGGCGCAGGAGAATCTGCAGCTCCAGACGCAGGAGAATCTGCAGCTCCAGACGCAGGAGACTCTGCAGCTCCAGACGCAGGAGAATCTGCAGCTCCAGGCGCAGGAGAATCTGCAGCTCCAGACGCAGGAGAATCTGCAGCTCCAGGCGCAGGAGAATCTGCAGCTCCAGACGCAGGAGAATCTGCAGCTCCAGACGCAGGAGACTCTGCAGCTCCAGACGCAGGAGAATCTGCAGCTCCAGGCGCAGGAGAATCTGCAGCTCCAGACGCAGGAGAATCTGCAGCTCCAGACGCAGGAGAATCTGCAGCTCCAGACGCAGGAGACTCTGCAGCTCCAGACGCAGGAGAATCTGCAGGTCCAGACGCAGGAGAATCTGCAGCTCCAGGCGCAGGAGAATCTGCAGGTCCAGACGCAGGAGAATCTGCAGCTCCAGACGCAGGAGAATCTGCAGGTCCAGACGCAGGAGAATCTGCAGCTCCAGACGCAGGAGAATCTGCAGCTCCAGACGCAGGAGAATCTGCAGCTCCAGGCGCAGGAGAATTTGCAGCTCCAGGCGCAGGAGAATCTGCAGCTCCAGACGCAGGAGAATTTCCAGCTCCAGACGCAGGAGAATCTGCAGGTCCAGACGCAGGAGAATCTGCAGCTCCAGGCGCAGGAGAATCTGCAGGTCCAGACGCAGGAGAATCTGCAGCTCCAGACGCAGGAGAATCTGCAGCTCCAGACGCAGGAGAACCTGCAGCTCCAGACGCAGGAGAATCTGCAGCTCCAGGCGCAGGAGAATCTGCAGCTCCAGATGCAGTAGAATCTGCAGGTCCAGACGCAGGAGAATCTGCAGCTCCAGACGCAGGAGAACCTGCAGCTCCAGACGCAGGAGAATCTGCAGCTCCAGACGCAGGAGAATCCGCAGCTCCAGGCGCAGGAGAATCTGCAGCTCCAGACGCAGGAGAATCTGCAGCTCCAGACGCAGGAGAATCTGCAGCTCCAGACGCAGGAGAATCTGCAGCTCCAGACGCAGGAGAACCTGCAGCTCCAGACGCAGGAGAATCTGCAGCTCCAGACGCAGGAGAATCTGCAGCTCCAGACGCAGGAGAATCTGCAGCTCCAGACGCAGGAGAATCTGCAGCTCCAAACGCAGGAGAATCTGCAGCTCCAGACGCAGGAGAATCTGCAGCTCCAGACGCAGGAGAATCTGCAGCTCCAGACGCAGGAGAATCTGCAGCTCCAGGCGCAGGAGAATCTGCAGCTCCAGACGCAGGAGACTCTGCAGCTCCAGACGCAGGAGAATCTGCAGCTCCAGACGCAGGAGAATCTGCAGCTCCAAACGCAGGAGAATCTGCAGCTCCAGGCGCAGGAGAATCTGCAGCTCCAGGCCCAGGAGAATCTGCAGCTCCAGACGCAGGAGAATCTGCAGCTCCAGACGCAGGAGAATCTGCAGCTCCATGCGCAGGAGAATCTGCAGCTCCAGGCGCAGGAGAATCTGCAGCTCCTGACGCAGGAGAATCTGCAGCTCCAGACGCAGGAGAATCTGGAGCTCCAGACTCAGGAGAATCTGCAGCTCCAGACGCAGGAGAATCTGCAGCTCCAGGCGCAGGAGAATCTGCAGCTCCAGACGCAGGAGAATCTGCAGCTCCAGACGCAGGAGAATCTGCAGCTCCAGGCGCAGGAGAATCTGCAGCTCCAGACGCAGGAGAATCTGCAGCTCCAGACGCAGGAGAATCTGCAGCTCCAGACGCAGGAGAATCTGCAGCTCCAGACGCAGGAGAATCTGCAGCTCCAGACGCAGGAGAATCTGCAGCTCCAGACGCAGGAGAATCTGCAGCTCCAGGCGCAGGAGAATCTGCAGCTCCAGACGCAGGAGAATCTGCAGCTCCAGGCGCAGGAGAATCTGCAGCTCCAGACGCAGGAGAATCTGCAGCTCCAGACGCAGGAGAATCCGCAGCTCCAGGCGCAGGAGAATCTGCACTCCAGACGCAGGAGAATCTGCAGCTCCAGACGCAGGAAAATCTGCAGCTCGTGGTCGAGGGGAAAGCTGGCTATGCATTGCACTGCAAGAAGGTGACTTGTAAGTTTAATCAAACATGTATGAGCAGGAGAGGCACACCTTGAGTTCATTATTGAGCTCGTAGTCTAGGCGGAACTGAGAAATGGGCAGGTCTGGCAGTGCAGTGTGTGATGAGGTGCCTTGTGAGTCAACTCACTCAGTAAAACAACAAGAAGAAGAAGACGCGCACCTTGAGTTCGTTGTTGAGCTTATAGTCGAGGCAGAACTGTGCAAATGGAAGGTCCAGCCATGCACTGTGACAAGGTGTAGGTCTGGCACTGCACTGTGTGACAAAGGTGCCTTGTGAGTCGACTCACGCTAACTCCAAGCAGCAATAGCACACCTTGAGTTCATTGTTGAGCTCGTAGCACAGGCGGGACTGTGCAAATGGAAGGTCCAGCCATGCACTGTGACAAGGTGCAAATGGAAGGTCCAGCCATGCACTGTGACAAGGTGCAAATGGAAGGTCCAGCCATGCACTGTGCTGATGAAGGCCTTTGCTGGCCGAAACGCGTTCACACGCGACATCCAGGCCTAATGTGTCTGGCTTTCTGATTAGTAGACCTTTTCTCACTACTTCCCTCGATTTTCAGATTAGTAGACTCAGTACTACAGATCGTTACTCTTAGTAGGCTTGCTGCGTTTCGAATCCAACAAAATTCAACTGGAAGGTCCAGCCATGCACTGTGACAAGGTGCCTTGTGAGTTGACTTGTTACATAACTACAGAAACGGGAGCACACCTTGAGTTCATTGTGGAGCTCGTAGTCCAGGCGGGACTGAGAAAAGGGTAGATCCAGCCGTGCCCTGTGACGAGGTGCCTTGCGCTCATAGAGGTGAGGTGTAAATTCAGGAGTGACCTGGGGGACACTACGTCTGGACAGCAAGCAGCAGACCTTGAGTTCATTGTGGAGCTCGTAGTCAAGGCGGAACTGAGAAAAGGGTGGGTCTGGCACTGCACTGTGTGACAAAGGTGCCTTGTGAGTCGACTCATGCTAGCTACAAGCAGGAGGGGCATACCTTGAGCTCGTTGTGGAGCTCATAGTCAAGGCGGAACTGAGAAAATGGTAGATCCAGCTTGGATAGCGTGTAGGCTGCTATCTCCCTCTGATGGTGGATGGGATGGGGAGGGGGACGCGAGGAGAGAAGAAAAGGTGGGTCGGCAAGGCCAGGTTGGCTATTGGGTGGCAGGCAGTGCACTTACATCTCATAAGTGCAATGCACATCGGATGGTTTGTGAAGAGCAGGGAAGGGGAAGAGGGCAACGCCAACGGGTGTGTGAGCACGAGTGCAACGGGCAGGTACGGCTTTGTGCCAGCAATGGGCTGACCGCCAGCACCGCACCGCACAGCACAGCACCGCACAGGACCACCAGGAACAGCACAGCACCAACCAGCACCGCACAGAACCGCTCCGCACCTGGTAGAACGCCATGCCCTGGAGAGTGCCGGTGTTGCTGTCTGTGGGAGAGAGGCCGAGGATGTTAGAGTACTGATGCAGCTGCGCATGGGTAGATGAGGAGGGGGACAGAGAAGGGGGGGTGGAGAGTGAGTGAGTGATTGACACAGCAAACCAGTAGGGAGGGACAGAGGCCGAGGATGTTAGAGTACTGATGCAGCTGCGCATGCATAGCGGCCAGAGAGGGGAGTGGTGGAAACGGGAATGGCGGAGTGAGTGAGTGAATGGCCAGCCTATGGTGGGCTGTGAACAGGGCACGGCGATGTTACTTCGAACAGAGACTGTGAAAAAAGGAAGCAACCGAGAGGGCACGCTGATCGAGAGGGCAGGCAGATTGAGACTTGGGGGTGAATTCGGAATTCACTCACTGCTGCCTCGAAGTCGCCCAGTGCATGGTGCGCGGAAGCTTCCAGGTAATTGAGCTCTATGTCGTTGGGGTTGAGCTTCAAACCCCTCCTCGCTGTGGTTATCACCTCCCTGGTCAACCACGGTCAACAGGAGTCAAGGGGAGTCAGCAGAATCCAAGGGAAGTCAAGAAGAGTCTAACAGGAATGAAGGGGGCCAAAGGAATCAAACGAAACCGATCTAAGTCGGCAAAAGTCAAGGTGAGTCCAACAAGAGTCACCAGGAGTCGACCGGAGTCAACAAGAGTCAAGGAGAGTCAGCAGGAGAGAAGAGCAGGAACTTTATGAAGAGCAGTTGAGCCAATAAAAATAGCTCGCACAGAATGTAAGCAATTTCGAGCGAGGTGAGACTGACCAGAGATCCCCTCAGCCTCACCTGTGGCGACCCACCAGCTGCATGAGGGACGTGAGGCGGATGTACGCCTCCAGAGTAGTTGAGGCCGATAAAAGGCCCGCAACTACAGAATCCAGGTCATTTGAGCCAGATGAAACTTACCAAGAGCTCCCCTCACACTCACTAAAGGACCCCCCAGTCTCACTTGTGGCGGCCCACCAGCTGCATGAGGGACGTGAGGCGGATGTACGCCTCCAGCGTGCTGGCGAGAGGATGGGGGGGGGGGATAGGGGGGAGGTTGGGGGGAGGATCGGGGGAGGATGGGGGGAGGTTGAGTGGAGGATGGGGGGAGGTTGGGGGGAGGTTGGGGGGAGGATGGGGGGAGGACGGGCGAAGGACGGGGGAAGGATGGGGGGAGGATGGGGGCAGGCACTGGCAAGGTTCAAAAATACGGTTTTCGTAAAATACGGTCCGTTTTTTACGGTCGTTTTTTACGGTGTTTTTTCAAAAATACGGCCGTTTTTTTGTTAGAGAACTCTGGTCACCAAGAAAAAAAGGGGAAAAACAAGGTTAAAGACATGTTCAAACATGCCAACAAGCGCACACATGCAAGAAGGAGCCGGTCCCCTTCATCCTGCTCAAATTCGGATTCAATTTGGTCCCATAAAGTGGCCGATTTGTTAGTTAAACTGAAAACACCTCCTGGAACCGTTTTAAACCGTTTTAAACGGTCGTTTTTTACGGTACCGTTTTTAACGGTAAATTTAAAAAAAAAAAACGGTCGTTTTTTTTAACCCTGCACTGGTGATAAAGCATGCATGCTTGTAGAGAGCATGCTTGTAGAGAGTCAGGGGACTGAGATGGGCGGAGGTGCCATGGCTGTGAGAGCACAGGGAACCCTAGTTTTTCAAACCCCACTCTCCTTCTCTCCCCCAACCCCAGCTCTCCCTTCTCTCAACCCCTCCACTCCCCGCTCACTCTCCCACCCGCCATTCACACTCCCATCCGCCACCACTCACTCTTCCAGAGCCAGGGCTTTATGCAGCGCGGCCAGAGCAAGGTCAACCTCCCCAAGCTCCTTGTGCACGCGGCCCTTCTCCGTCCACAGGTGCGCTGACATAAAGTGCCCACTCATTGACCCTAACTCCACCCACCCCCCACTCACTCTTCCAGAGCCAGGGCTTTATGCAGCGCGGCCAGAGCCAAATCAACCTCCCCCAGCTCCTTGTGCACGCGCCCCTTCTCCGTCCACAGGTGCGCTGACATTGGGTGGCGTTTCACCGCCTCCGCAAACACGGCGCTTGCATTGCGCCACTGCCCTGCCCCGGCCAGGGCTATGCCCTGTGGTGGGGGGAAGGGAGGGGGAGAAGGGAGGGGGGGAAGAGTCGAGAGGGAAGTGAGGGGGGAGGGGAAGGGTTGAACTAGAAGGCCTGGCATCACGAGTTGCCTCACCACCTCGCTGAATATGGTGCTCACATTGCGCCACTGCCCAGCCCCGGCCAGGGCTATGCCCTGTGATGAGGAGGAGGGTGGGGATGAGGGTGGAGAGGTGGGTGGGGAGGAGGAAACGGAGCCTTGACTGTCAGGCCAGGCCCGGCATGGTGCCTCACCGCCTCGCTGAACACGCTGCTGGCGTTGCGCCACTACCCTAAGCCCGCCAAGGCTATGTGGTGGGGAGGAGGGTGGGGTGGAGGAAGGGTAAGTTTGACTGTCAGGCCAGGCCCGGCATGGTGCCTCACCGCCTCGCTGAACATGCTGCTGGCGTTGCGGCAGTGGCCTGCCCTGGTCAGGGCTATGCCCTGGGGGGAGGAGGAGTGAGGGGAGGAGGGTGGGAAGGGGGGTGGGAAGGAGAGTGGAGAGGAAGGTGGGGGGAGGAAGGGAAGGGTTGACTGTAAGGTCAAGCATGGCGCCTCACTGCCTCGCTGAACATGGCGCTCGCGTTGCGCCGGCGGCCTGCCCCCACCCAAGTCTATGGCCTGTGTTTGGGAGGGAGGGGTCATTGCAGGCCAGTAGGTCAAGAGCAGGGGTTGATGCCTTGGCAGAGATCAACAAAGGCGGTTATGACTCAGGTCATGACAGGTCAGCACAAGTCAATGCAGGTCAACGCAGGTCATTGCAGGAACGGAGGTTGGTACCTTGGCACGGATGAGGTAGGCATCCATGGGGCGCATGTCAAGCGCCCTGGAGAGATCAGCGATGGCCATGCCGTACAGGTGTATGTGGAAGGCGATGATGCCTGCATGGGGGCAAGGGGTGGGGCACGGGTAGAGGGGGAACGGGGTTGACAGTGGGTCACACGGGCTCAGTTGCATGGGGTTGCATGCAATGGCCATGCTGTACAGGTGTATGTGGAAGGCGATGATGCCTGCATGGGGGCATGGGGGGAACACGGGTAGAGGGGGAAACGGGCTGGCTGTGGGTCACACGACGTTGGTTGCAAGGGCCGTGCTGAACAAATGCAGGTGGAGGGCGATGAGGCCTGCCTGCCGTTGGGTGTGCCATGCCATGACATGACATGCCAATTGTGCAGCCTTACACACACCCCTTTGGCCAGCATACAAGTGTTACCTCTGTGCTGCCAGTACACATGCCTCACCTCGGTGTTGCAGGGCGTCCTGGTTGTCAGGTTCGATCTCCAGCGACCGACTCAAGTCCTCCACTGACTGCTGTTGGGTGTGACGTGCCATGCCATGCCATGCCATGCCATGCCATGCCAAGGGTGCAGCATCACACTCCCTCGGCCAGCACAGTGCCTCACCTCGGTGCTGCAGGGCGTCCTGGTTGTCAGGCTCTATTTCCAGCGACCGACTCAGATCCTCCACTGCCTGCCGTGCAGAGACATGAGAGACATGACATCGTGATGAGACGAGGGATGGGCAGGCAGAGGTGCACAAGAGGAGAGGCAGAGGTGCACAAGAGGAGAGGCAAGGAGGTCGTGGCATGAGGGTTGCTGAAGGGCGTCAAAAGTCGTCTCAAATAGACTGAGTTGTGAGACGACTCCCTGTGTTCCCACATGCACCCACCCACCCACTCACTCACCGATGCACTCACACACTCACTCAACCCCTTCCACGTCCACGTGGACACGCACCGTCTCACGCTCGTTCCTCTCAATATACAGCATGGCCCTCCGCCGGTACAGCTCCGCACTCCTGGGGAAGTGCTGAATGCCCTGTGGGACAGCAGAAGGGTGGAGATGGGGAACACAGGGGTGGTGAGTGGTGGTGAGTGGTGATGAGTGGTGGTGGTGAGTGGCGAGTGTCAAGTCAACTTGGGAGGAGTCATGCTGGGAGTCACTCAGTGTGCAGCATGGCCCTCCGCCGGTACAGCTCCGCACTTCTGGGGAAGCGCTGGTTCGCTGGATGCCCAGCGCATGGGGGTGGCAATGGCATGGGAGAGAGAGATAGGGAGGGTGGAGGTGGTGATTTTTTAATCGACCTGGTAGTCACACCTCGGAAAAGTGATGAATGCCCAGGTGGGTGGGTGGAAGTAACAGGAGATGGGGCTTCTTGAGCCAGGTAGGTAGACTGGGAGAATTCGAGAATTGAGGATTTGATTGAATCCAGCTCACCTCCGTAAAGTCGTCCTCTGCATCGTTCAGGCGCTTGAGAAACAAATCCACATGCACACAGAGCACCATACATATGCCATGCATCATACTACTACTACTACCACCACCACCACCACCACCCTCTCCTTCCCCCCCCCACCACCACCCTACAGCTGACCTCAGTAAAGTCATCTTCAGCGTCGTCCAGGCGCTTGAGAAACAGGTGGCAGAGGCCCCTGCCGATGAACAGCTGATCCGACAGCTCCCCGCCCTCCGCTTCCACCTGTGGGGAGAGACGGGGGGAGGGAGGAGGGAAGCCTGTGAGACGACCATCCCCTTCTGCTTGAGCATCAGGTGGCAGAGGCCCCTGCCGATGTACAGCTGATCCGACAGCTCGCCGCCTTCCGCTTCCACCTGTTGCGGGGAGAGAACAGGGTGGGAGGGGAGACAGAGCAGGGTGGAAAGGGATGTGGTAATGGGAGGGGGATGCGAGGCGTAAGGGAGGAATAGGCGAGGGGTTGAGAGCGGTGTAATGGGGCTGAGTGAGCCAGCCACAGCAGAACGAGAGAGTGGAATAGACATGTGAGATGAGGTGGGGTAGGTAGACCCCTGAGAAAAAGCGAGTGGAGGGGACTCAGGAGAACCTGGTGGAGAATGAGTGGGGTGGGCGCACCTGGTTGAAGAGATTGGTAGCTTCGATGAACTTAGGAGTGGTAAGGAGATTACGAGTTGTGTGGTGAATAGGGATAACGGAGGAAGGAAGTAAGTCGTGAGGGGGTTGAGTGAGTGGGGTGGGCGGGCGCACCTGGTTGAAGAGGTTGATCGCTTCCTGGAACTTCTTGGCTTGCATCTGAGGGAATAAGATCAAGCCACGATTGGGGAGAGGAGGGACGTATGACGAATTGGGAGTCCTGGAAGGATGCCCTGTCGTGTGGCAGATGGTATGTGCTGCAATGCAGGGTGGAATATGCGACTCTTCTTGCTGATTGCAGCACTTACCATGCTGATTGCAGCACTTACCATGCTGATTGCAGCACTTACCATGCTGATTGCAGCACTTACCATGCTGATTGCAGCACTTACCATGCTGATTGCAGCACTTACCATGCTGATTGCAGCACTTACCATGCTGATGGCTGATCGGATCATCATCTCCTTGTTCACCTGCCCGCCTTGCTTCTCCTTCTCACGCCCCCCTTCCTTCCCCTTCACCCCTTTTCCCCTTTTCCCCAACCCCACCACTACCACCACCACTCCCCTTCTCATCCCTGCTTTCACTTCCCTTGACTGTCGGCTTCGCCTGCTCCCTCCTCCCTTTCTTCACTCCTTCCCTTCCTTTCAATCCCCTGTCTCTCTCCTCCTCATCCTCACCCTCCTCCTCCTCTCCCTTGCGCCTCCTGGTAGTTTCATGCCGTTTTGGGTCCCCACTGCCCCCACGTCCCTTCTTCTGCTCCCCCCCATGTCCCCCTCTTTCCGACGCATCTCCTCTCTTCCCCTTCTTCTCAACGGTTGCTCCTGAACTCCCCACCGCTCCTCTGAGCTCCCCCTTGCTCTCCTCCGCAGCTCCCTTTCTTCCACCTCCAGCCAAGCCACTCTTCCCCCCATCCGCGCGCATCAGGGCGCACAGGTCCGCTCCCCCCAGCAGCAGCTTCTCCCCTCGGCCAGAGGAGGGGGAACCACACGCGGGGGGAGGGGGAGCAGAGGGGGACGGCGGAGAAAGGAGTTTGAACAGCTTGGTTCCTGTGGTGGGAAGGGAGGAGGTGGAATGGAGAATGGAGATGTGGAGAACATGGCATGGGGGCAGGTCACAGGTGCACGGGGGGGGGGGTGTTAAAGGGGAGGCGGGTGGGGGGAGCGGGGGAGGTATGGTTGATGGGAGGGGAGGGGTGTGGGGTGGGGAGGTTGTGAGAGCATTGTTGGCGTACCCTTTTTAATGAGAGGGAGAAGGCAGGTGCGGATGCCCGTGCGTTGATGATGCTGGCGCTGTGCTGCGGTCCTCTGTTTTGGCAATCAGGTGCATTTCCCAGTCGCATAAACCGGGACTCCTGCACACATGACGTGGCATGTCAGGGAGTGACGTGGCATGATGAGGGTATTGAAATCACGATGATATGGCAGCACGGGAGACACAACAGGGTAAATGGAAAGGACTGCACCAGAAGAATTGCCTCCAAATATCAAAGCAAGGAGTGCAGGTAAATGGGGAAGCAGCGGAATGGGGATGAGGGGAACGGGGAATGGAGTAAGCGGAATGGGGATCGGGAATGGAAAAAAACACTTCGGCAGAATGGGGATGGGAAGGGGAGAAAGGGAATAAAGAGGGGCTAACGAGCGCAACCAAACCAGGGCAGGGCCAACCGAAGCAGAAGGAACGTCAGAGTGAAACGCACCAGGTGAGTTGGTTCAATGAGGGTACCAAGCCCTTGGCACCGCTGATCCTCTCATCTTCGTCGCAGCTGCGCGCCGAGCTCGGCAACACGAACCCCGCTGCCTCCGCCGATTCAACCTCAGAATTGCGAGTTGTGGGAGAGGCGAGATTCGACGCGGTATAGTAGCGTCCGGTGAAGACATTGCACAGGGTCAGGTTCAGCGAAAGGCACACGAACGTCGCACGGATCGCGCGAAGCGACGGCGCCATCGCAGAAGCCCCGAGCGTGGCGGACTGTGTGAGTCAGAGACGCCTGGGAACCATCAACGATGGGATTATGTGGTTCTGGCTTTCTTAAGAGGTCCGCATTGACGCAGGCCGATGTGCGGGTGAGGTGAGTCGAGCTTACGGCAAGACCCCGAACCCGTTTTCCGAGAATCGTAACTAGCAGAATCTAACGAAATTATCGACAATGTCTCGCGACAATCCCAACATTCACGACGACGTTCGGCAAGCAAGTCTGCTGTGAAGTCACGTACCTCCCTGTCGGCCTGCAGTCGGCTGCAGATCATCTGTTGCTAGAACCTACCAATCAATTGAAGAAACTGACCAGGTGAAAAATGCACGATACATGTTCGACGAGTGGAGGCTAGGCAGGCGAGGCGATACTGCCGGAGACGGCTTCGAGTCGTGGGTGGTCCTGGTCCTGGGAATACCGACTAGTCAAATTACTCGCATAAGAAAACTCGTTACAAAACAATATCTGATAATAAACAGAGTAGAAAACGGTGGATGTTGGTTTGCCATCGTTTCTGATAACTTAGACAGGTAATTTTTAACACCACCAATCTGCAGGGGAAAGGCTTGAAGGATCAAAAGATAATGTGATAGCTTGCATGTCAATAATAATTGCTGAGTGCACTGACAACATGATGGGTTGTGGGAAGTGCATCTCGCACAAGAGGCAAATCCCAAGGTGCAGGCTTCACACCCTCATATAGCCACGGCGCCACTGAATCATTAAACTTGGCAAATGATGGAGAAAGCAGAGCTTCCCAATCAACCTGCCATCAGAAAGCACCATAACAATTTTAAAGAACAATCAAGTGAAAATAACAAGACATACTATCTCTAAGACATGGGGACTTCTTGCCCGATGCCTACAAGCGTTAACACACCTGCACTCCCTTAGGGATGAAAGCAGTGGTTTCCATGTCAGCAGCCAGGGACAGACCCAGAACGGAGATCAGCCCCACCATGGCTGACCCTCTGGTGAGAGGCATGAATTGATACCTGCGGTTAGGCAGCAGAGATTCACCAGTCAAACACAACTGAGGCCAAAATGCAGCAGAGATACCCCGAACCAGGCATTCAATGGTGTAACCCCACTGGTTGGGCAAGAACAGCCATGCACAGTGGGCCGTACTGACCAGAAGTACCCCAGGCGGAGGATGGCGTCTTGAATCCTTTGGCGGTAGCGATGCGGGTCCGCTGCTTCTGTGTGTGCATCCAGCACTGCCGCACACAGCGCCTGGTGTCACAATGCAGAGAGGGACCCGGGGGAGGAAGTTGATGCAGATAGTGAGAGGGCTTCGCATATAACTGCTGTGCAGAACTGGTGCATGATTGCATGACACCTCAGCGTGTAGAGTTCAGGCGAGACATGGCTTAACGAATGTCACCACATGTACTTGTCACGTTTCATCGTATCGCATTGCATGTCAAGGTCAAATTCCACGCACCTCCCATGCTGCTGTGAGCTCCAAGTCAAGGTGCTTCCACCGCGGCCAGTCCACTGACGTGCGAATGGCAAAGTCAAACGACCGAGCACTGGAGGAACAGGAAGAAGCAAGAAGGACAGGGAGAGGAAGATAGTAGACATGGCGGGGTGAACAGGAGGAAATTGGGGAGGGAGTGGTGAGGGCAGCAGATGTTGGAGAGATAAAATAGCGTGCACATGCGGGTAAGCAGGGGAAAACAAAGAACGCAAAGCAAGTGGCAACATGTATGTAGGGAGATCGAAAATCGTAAGCAGAGGTAGAACGAGGAAAAAAACTTCAAACAGAAATCATAGAGGCAGAGAAGACACAGCTGCCAGCAAGGTGAGAGACTAGCGTAGCACTCACGATGCAACAATGGAGAACTCGGTCCCGAGAATAGCTTTGCTGGACTAGAGAGAAGAGCAGGAGCCATGAGGACGCGTGAAGATGAGCAGGGCGGGAGGGAGAGAGGGAGAAGAGGGGAAAGACAAGGGATGGTAAGAGGGAGGAAGGAGAGGAGGATTTTTTTGAAAACAAGATTGGTCAGCTGGCAACGATAATGGAAACAAATGATCTTGAGGCAACAAATAACGAAACCCCATCGCCACAGCATGATCACTACCATTCGCCAAAATTGTCACATTACCATACACAGTCCCATCACCATCACAATACAATACCCGCTGCTGACCATGATCTGCATTACCCTGGAATGGCTTCGCTGAGGCACTGCGAGTTAATGAAGTCACAGCCCACAGCTGTATGGAGCTCCTGCAGAGTCTCTACCCTCTTTGGGACGACAAGAACGTATCATCACATGGCTTTACCCTGGAATGGCTTCGCTGAGGCACTGCGAGTTGATGAAGAAGTCACAGCCCACAGCTGTATGGAGCTCCTTCACACTCTCTGCCTGCTTGATCTGGTGGTGCCGCCGTGCAGAGAAGAGAATGAGCAGATGGCCGTGAAGGAGAATCATTTTGTGAAAGAAAGTTGTGAAATCGAAAGAAACAAAGACCATCTGTATCCCACACTCGCTTGCATCAGATTTCCCTATCTCACACCTCCGCAATCCTGCAATTACATCAGCACGCGGCCTCACACCTTAATGATTTCAACAGAGACTCCTTTGGCTCACCTTTTCACCGTAGACGGCCCTTGGAATGCTGAACTTGCCTCCGAGAGCCGCACCCTGGAAGAGGGGTGGAGAGTGGGCAGCATAGGGAGAGAAGAGGAGATGTGAGGATAGTAAAGAGAAGGCAAAAAGTCCAGCAAGCGTGAATGCTGAATTTGCCTCCGAGAGCCGCACTCTGGACGAGGAGTGGAGAGAGAGGGCAGAGAAGGGGAGGCAGAGAAGGGGGGTTGCGAGGATAGTAAGGAGAAAACAAATAGTCCATCAGGAGCAAATGAGATGACAATGGCAGCACACTGGAAGGAACACGAAGAGTGCATATCATATCACCATGAGTCCACATAATAGTCAACCACACCATACAAATAGTTCACACCATTGCATGACCCCATCCCATACCATGAGGCCATGCACGCTCTTGGAGCTCATGGTCATGCCCGTCGCGTTGACAGCTTCCTCTGCGTCCAGCAGTCGCTGCTTCACCACCTCCAACGTTCTGATTGGTCCATGGGGTAAGAGACAGGTGGCGGGCAGGCCTATCGTATGGAGAATTGAATGAAGGCTAAGTCCCTCACACTTCAGCACCTATCGTTTCATGTGGTGGCTTTTAAGTCGAACCAGAGTCATACTGGAGCACAGTTGAGCCTCACCTGTCCGTGAGTGGGTAGTACTTGACGTTCTGCATCTGGCCGACTTTTGAGGTGCCTCAACAATCTCACCTGTCCCTTAGACTAGAGTCATACTGGAGCACAGTTTGAGCCTCACCTGTCCTTGAGTGGGTAGTACTTGACGTTCTGCATCTGACCGACCTGAAGGGCAGTCAGGCCTCCATACCCCCTCTCGATCTCATTCCTGCTTGCACCACAGCAACACAGACGCACAGCAAAGGCAGTCAATAAAGATCCCACGGCCCACAACCTCGGTTTCAGGCAGGGTGGTGAGTACTGGGAAGGTAGCTCGCACACAAAGCTGTGCTGTACTCACTCCAGCAGGTCGATCCAAGCCACAAGGACCGTGGCCACTCAGGGTTGGAACGGCAGCAGTGCGAGAGACAAATGCTTGAGATAAGTACTAACAGGTCCTGTCCCACACACAGCTGTGCTGTACTCACTCCAGCAGGTCGATCCAAGCCACAAGGACCGTGGCAACTCAGGGTTGGAACGGCAGCAGTGCGAGAGACAAACGCTTGAGCTAAGTACTAACAGGTCCTGTCCCACACACAGCTGTGCTGTACTCACTCCAGCAGGTCGATCCAAGCCACAAGGTCCGTGGGCTCGCCTATCTGCCTCCACGGCACAATCACATTGAACACGTCCCTCCATCCTTCCATCAGCCGCCCTCCCCCTTTCCCCCCTGCACGCCCCTTCAACCCTCCCTTTGCGCCCTTCTCTCCCTTCCTGCCGTCTCCTCTCGTCAGCTTGTAGAAAGAGTCTGTGAAAGCCCTTCTTTTCAGCTTTCCCCTCTTGCTGGTTCTTCGCCTGGCTTGTATGGATTCTGGGTTTGTTCCTTGACGACTGGTTGGGGACCTATCGTCCTTCTGCTTTTGAGTCGACTCAGAATCGTCCTCAGCCACTTGAGCCTCCTCTCCCCGATTTTCTACTACTCCTCCCTCCACTGTCCCGCCGTCTTCGCCCTCCTGTGCCATCTCCTCCCATGCAGTCCGAACCTGGCATGCCATCAGGTTATAAGAAGTGAGGGACGAAGGAAAATAAAGGGATTGGGTGAGGGGGGAAGAGAAGAGGAACTGGTGCGATGGTGCTAGCGGCATCTGCCGAGTTTTGAGGCGCCTCAAAAAGTATCTGCCAAGATGAGGTGAGTGGGGCAATGGGCCTTGTGCAAGAGCGAGCGACATGAATGCACGATGGGAGTTGTTTTTTGTCGACGCTAGGAAATAAAGTCACAGGGCTAAAGCTTTGAGTACAGCAGGTAGCTGCCTGATGGCAGAGGGAGGCACATGGGGAATGGCGTGACAGTAAGTGCCGCCTGTTACATTTTACAACCAGTCAAAAGCTGCCAGTTCTAATGAATGCAGCGAGAGCGATTGTTGGCGGGAAGGGCAAACATCACACCTGCTGCATCACGTATAGAGCTGCCGGCCCTGCCATGTGGTAACTGATTCGGAATGCAGCGACAGCAGTTGCTAGAGAGAAAGGGAAGGAAAGGGAGGGAAAGGGGGAATAAACGGGTCTCACCTGCTGCATCACGTCCAAAGCCGCCAGCCCTGCCATGCGGAACTGCAGGAGGATTGGGCAAAAGAGAGAGAGCAAGGAGGGAGGGCGGAAAGAGCGCTGACGTCGGAATGTGGACATCACAGGAGACTTGCCCCTTTCAATCGGGTTGTACTTCAGCCCATGCTCCCTCTACCCTTTCCACCGCTGTGATGCAGCATAGCGGACTCACCCGATCAATCCAGGCGGACTAGTCTTTTTATACAAGGGGGACTGGCCTATTCATTCACACGAACATTCATGATCAACCCACCTGGCGCTTGTTGGGCATGAAACCATCCAGAAAGTACTGCGTCCTCCTTCCAATCTCATCCGCCCTGCCAATCAGCTCAAGTGCCCCCTCTGACAGCTCGGGGATTTGCCCTTGACCTTTTTGAGGCGCCTCAAGAGTTACCAGCTCACCTGCCTCTTGTTGGGCATGAAACCATCCAGAAAGTACTGCGTCCTCCTTCCAATCTCATCCGCCCTGCCAATCAGCTCTAGGGCCCCCTCTGACAGCTCAGGCAGGCAGGCTGCAATCTCCCCACCCCACTCTGACCTTGCCTTTATTGGGGCGCCTCAGGAGTACCAGCTCACCTGGCGCTTGTTGGGCATGAAGCCGTCCAGAAAGTATTGCGTCCTGCTCCCAATCTCATCCGCCTTGGCGATAATCTCAAGTGCCCCCTCTGACAGCTCAGGCAGGCCAGGCGATTTGCCTTTGCTCCTGGCGCCTGGGGGGAGGTCTAGGGGGTGGTATGAGCGGGGCAGCACTGTGGGTGGTAGTCGGCGGATCCAGGCTTCCTGTGAACGTTGAACGGGAGGGGGAGTTGAGGAAGCGGAGGGTGGGTGGATGGGAAGGAGGAGGGAAGAGAAGAGAGGTGGACCATGGTGGCAGGACAGAGAACAAAAAGGGAAAGAGTGCTAACGGACAGGAATGGAAAACAGGGGCATCAAATACTGTAGTCCTGAAGCAACTGTGGAGAGAAAATTGAAGCATGCAAGAGCCTTACCTCGAAGTTCGAATGAGCGATCATTGAGGCGCCTCCGAAATCCTCTCACCTTTGATGCACTTGAACAATCTGGGGCTCACCTTGAAGTTGGTGTCAAGATCTTGGTCGATCTGGAAGTCAATGAAGGGGCGGGTGAGCTTGGACCACGTGTACGTGGCAATGTCCCTCTGCAAGATGGGCGAGGAGAGGAGGGAGATTGAGAGGGAGGGTATCATGCAGGTGCCAAATGAGAGGTCATATGGACCACGTGTACGTGGCAATGTCCCTCTGAAAGATGGGCGAGGAGAGACATTGAGAGGGAGGGTATCACGCAGGTGACTTTTGAGTCAAATGAAAGGTCATGTGGACCACATGTACGTTGCAATGTCCCTCTGCAACGTGTGCACGGTGCATGGTGCATGGTGCATGGTGCATGGTGGATGGTGCAAGGTGCATGATGCATGGTGCATGGTGCATGGTGCATGGTGCAAGGTGCATGATGCATGGTGCATGGTGTGGTGAACGAGATTGAGAATTAGAGGACTGCTGGGCCTGCGCAGACCTGCTGACTGCTTGAGAGAGCAGCATGTATTAAGTCAACTCAAACCACACCTTAACAAGAGCACAGGTAGGGCGCTAGAACGAGCTTGCACCTGATAGAAGGCCACACGTGAGCACACCTGATAGAAGGCCACACGTGAGCACACCTGATAGAAGGCCAAGGACTGCTGGACCTGAGCATACTCGCTGGCTGCCTGAGCAGGCAGCGTTAGAATCACACTGTACTGCTTTATCTGCAACAGTCAACAGCGCGGATGCATACCATGTTGGGAGAAGGGAGGAGAGGTAGTGTTGAGGGGGGTGGGGGGAGGAAACGGGGTAGGAGGATTAAGAATTGGCGTGTTCAGTTTAATAAGCATTCAGTACCCATGAGATGACAGTCATGAGATGCACGAACCCGTGAGTTGCACGCAAAACTCGATTTGTGCTGGCCTGTTTCAGTACCCACGAGATGACAGTCATGAGATGCATCTGTATGATAGCATTGGATACCTGGTTCAGTACTTGATGACGATGAGATGATAGACATGAAATGCATCGCACTCGCGCGTGGACGAAGGCGCGCGCGTGGACCCGGGCGCGCGCGTGGACCAAGGGGCGCGCGCGGACCAAGGCCCGCGCGCGGACCAAGGGGCGCGCGCGGACCAAGGCGCGCGCGCGGACCAAGGCGCGCGCGCGGACCAAGGCGCGCGCGCGGACCAAGGCGCGCGCGCGGACCAAGGCGCGCGCGCGGACCAAGGCGCGCGCGCGGACCAAGGCGCGCGCGCGCGGACCAAGGCGCGCGCGCGCGGACCAAGGCGCGCGCGCGCGGACCAAGGCGCGAGCGCGCGGACCAAGGCGCGCGCGCGCGCGCGGACCAAGGCGCGCGCGAGCGGGACCAAGGCGCGCGCGCGGGGACCAAGGCGCGCGCGCGGGGACCAAGGCGCGCGCGCGGGGACCAAGGCGCGCGCACGGGGACCAAGGCGCGCGCGCGGGGACCAAGGCGCGCGCGCGGGGACCAAGGCGCGCGCGCGGGGACCAAGGCGCGCGCGCGGGGACCAAGGCGCGCGCGCGGGGACCAAGGCGCGCGCGCGGGGACCAAGGCGCGCGCGCGGGGACCAAGGCGCGCGCGCGGACCAAGGCGCGCGCGCGGACCAAGGCGCGCGCGCGGACCAAGGCGCGCGCGCGGACCAAGGCGCGCGCGCGGACCAAGGCGCGCGCGCGGACCAAGGCGCGCGCGCGGACCAAGGCGCGCGCGCGCGGACCAAGGCGCGCGCGCGCGGACCAAGGCGCGCGCGCGGACCAAGACGCGCGCGCGGACCAAGGCGCGCGCGCGGACCAAGGCGCGCGCGCGGACCAAGGCCGCGCGCGGACCAAGGCGCGAGCGCGCGGACTAAGGCGCGCAGCGCGCGCGGGGACCAAGGCGCGCGCGCGCGGATCAAGGCGCGCGCGCGCGGACCAAGGCGCGCGCGCGGGGATTAAGGCGCGCGCGCGGGGACCAAGGCGCGCGCGCGGGGACCAAGGCGCGCGCGCGGGGACCAAGGCGCGCGCGCGGACCAAGGCGCGCGCGCGCGGACCAAGGCGCGAGCGCGCGGACCAAGGCGCGCGCGCGCGCGGGGACCAAGGCGCGCGCGCGCGGACCAAGGCGCGCGCGCGGGGATTAAGGCGCGCGCGCGGGGACCAAGGCGCGCGCGCGGGGACCAAGGCGCGCGCGCGGGGACCAAGGCGCGCGCGCGGGACCAAGGCGCGCGCGCGGACCAAGGCGCGCGCGCGGACCAAGGCGCGCGCGCGGACCAAGGCGCGCGCGCGGACCAAGGCGCGCGCGCGGACCAAGGCGCGCGCGCGGACCAAGGCGCGCGCGGGGACCAAGGCGCGCGCGCGCGGACCAAGGCGCGCGCGCGGACCAAGGCGCGCGCACGCGGACCAAGGCGCGAGCGCGCGGACCAAGGCGCGCGCGCGCGCGGGGACCAAGGCGCGCGCGCGCAGATCAAGGCGCGCGCGCGCGGACCAAGGCGCGCGCGCGCGGACCAAGGCGCGCCCGCGGGGACCAAGGCGCGCGCAGCGGGGACCAAGGCGCGCGCGCGGGGATCAAGGCGCGCGCGCGGACCAAGGCGCGCGCGCGGACCAAGGCGCGCGCGCGGACCAAGGCGCGCGCGCGGACCAAGGCGCGCGCGTGGACCAAGGCGCGCGCGGGGACCAAGGCGCGCGCGGGGACCAAGGCGCGCGCGTGCGGACCAAGGCGCGCGCGCGCGGACCAAGGCGCGCGCGCGGGGACCAAGGCGCGCGCGCGGGGACCAAGGCGCGCGCGCGGACCAAGGCGCGCGCGCGGACCAAGGCGCGCGCGGGGACCAAGGCGCGCGCGGGGACCAGGGCGCGCGCGTGGACCAAGGCGCGTGCGTGGACCAAGGCGCGCGCGTGGACCAAGGCGCGCGCGTGGACCAAGGCGCGCGCGTGGACCAAGGCGCGCGCGTGGACCACGGCGCGCGCGTGGACCAAGGCGCGCGCGTGGACCAAGGCGCGCGCGTGGACCAAGGCGCGCGCGTGGACCAAGGCGCGCGCGTGGACCAAGGCGCGCGCGTGGACCAAGGCGCGCGCGTGGACCAAGGCGCGCGCGTGGACCAAGGCGCGCGCGTGGACCAAGGCGCGCGCGTGGACCAAGGCGCGCGCGTGGACCAAGGCGCGCGCGTGGACCAAGGCGCGCGCGTGGACCAAGGCGCGCGCGTGGACCAAGGCGCGCGCGTGGACCAAGGCGCGCGCGTGGACCAAGGCGCGCGCGTGGACCAAGGCGCGCGCGTGGACCAATGCGCGCGCGTGGACCAAGGCGCGCGCGTGGACCAAGGCGCGCGCGTGGACCAAGGCGCGCGCGTGGACCAAGGCGCGCGCGGTGGACCAAGGCGCGCGCGTGGACCAAGGCGCGCGCGTGACCAAGGCGCGCGCGTGGACCAGGGCGCGCGCGTGGACCAAGGCGCGCGCATGGACCAAGGCGCGCGCGTGGACCAAGGCGCGCGCAGTAGACCAGGGCGCGCGCGTGGACCAAGGCGCGCGCGTGGACCAAGGCGCGCGCGTGGACCAAGGCGCGCGCGTGGACCAAGGCGCGCGCGTGGACCAAGGCGCGCGCGTGGACCAAGGCGCGCGCGTGGACCAAGGCGCGCGCGTGGACCAAGGCGCGCGCGTGGACCAAGGCGCGCGCGTGGACCAAGGCGCGCGCGTGGACCAAGGCGCGCGCGTGGACCAAGGCGCGCGCGTGGACCAAGGCGCGCGCGTGGACCAAGGCGCGCGCGTGGACCAAGGCGCGCGCGTGGACCAAGGCGCGCGCGTGGACCAAGGCGCGCGCGTGGACCAAGGCGCGCGCGTGGACCAATGCGCGCGCGTGGACCAAGGCGCGCGGCGTGGACCAAGGCGCGCGCGTGGACCAAGGCGCGCGCGTGGACCAAGGCGCGCGCGTGGACCAAGGCGCGCGCGTGGACCAAGGCGCGCGCGTGGACCAAGGCGCGCGCGTGGACCAGGGCGCGCGCGTGGACCAAGGCGCGCGCATGGACCAAGGCGCGCGCGTGGACCAAGGGCGCGCGCGTAGACCAGGGCGCGCGCGTGGACCAGGGCGCGCGCGTGGACCAGGGCGCGCGCGTGGACCAGGGCGCGCGCGTGGACCAAGGCGCGCGCGTGGACCAAGGCACGCGCTTGGACCAAGTCGCGCGCGTGGACCAAGGCGCGCGCGTGGACCAAGGCGCGCGCGTGGACCAAGGCGCGCGCGTGGACCAAGGCGCGCGCGTGGACCAAGGCGCGCGCGTGGACCAAGGCGCGCGCGTGGACCAAGGCGCGCGAGTGGACCAAGGCGCGCGCGTGGACCAAGGCGCGCGCGTGGACCAAGGCGCGCGCGTGGACCAAGGCGCGCGAGTGCACGAGTGCGTGAGTGCGCATTCGAGTGCGCGATTGCGCGACTGCGCGAGTGCGCGAGTGCGCGAGTGCACGAGTGCGCGACTTCGCGAGTGTGCGACTGCGCGACTGCGCGAGTCCGCACTCGAGTGCGCGAGTGCGCATGTGCGCAAATTACTGAATTGCGGCGCAATTCAGTAACTGATGAATATGAGATGACAGTTGTGAGATTCATCTGCATGACTGCATTGGATACCTGATTCAGTACCCAATGAAAATGAGATGACAGTCATGACTGAACCACGCATGCTATAAGGCATTAAGAACCCATTCAGTGCATCATCAAGAGATATAAGGCACATCTTACAGCAGCGTTGTAGTTCCCGACTGCATGCAGCGACGAAGCTTCTAGGTAGTTGAGCTCAATGTCCATCGGCCTGAGCTTCAGCCCCTTGTGGGCGTACTTGATGGCGTCTCTGCTTGGGGACGAGGGGAGAGAGGATGCACACAGGCAGAGTTATGAAGGGAGGAAAGGTTATGGAACGGAGCTGAGGTGAGAACAAGGGGAAAAGGGAAGGAGTGGGGAAGTGGGCTTGAAAGATAATGGGAAGGGATGGAGAAACTGTGGCGGGACGAAAAAAGGGGAAGGGGAGAACAGAGAGAGGCGATGAAGCAGGAATAAATGAAGATCCTTGTGTTTCCCCGTCCCCCCCACCTTTCTGGAGCTTGCTGAGCCCTCCTGTTGCCCAATTTGGGTAACCAGGCTCACCTGTGGTCCCCAATGCTCTGCAACTGAAGGCCCAGCCGTAGATATGCCTCTGGTGATCTGCACCCATACAAGATGCACACATGTGAAAATGCATGCATGCACATGTGCGGACATGCACACATGCCAAGATGCAAACACGCACACACACACGCATCCTCAGATGGGCACACATGCACGCGGACAACATACATGAATGCTCAAAATACAACAAAAACAAAGCACACACACAGGAACACAGTCACGCAGGCAGGCCATACACAAACAGCGATTGTTAAGATACAATCAGCATATGTTCTCAGCCCCCTCCACAAACGCACATCCCCACCTCTCCCCATTCTTCCTCATCCCCCACCCCTCTGTGCACAGTGCCTTCGCCACCATCAATCTCACTCCCTCTGACACTTTGCCTTCACCCACCATGTCACCCCTCCCTCAACTCACTCTTCCAGCGCGAGTGCCTTGTGCAGTGCAGCCACTGCAAGGTCCGCCTGCCCCAGCTCCTTGTGTGCGCGGCCCTTGTCACTCCACAGCAGCGCCACCCCTGGGTGCCGCCTCACTGCCTCCTCCATCACCTCAACCGCCTCCCTCCACTGACCCGCTCCTCCATAACTTAAAGCCTGAACGAAGTGGGGAGAGAGAGGGAAGGCGGGAGCTTGGAGCAACTCAAATAATACCGCGTGCTTGGTACTTTACACTGTGCGCACGGCCCTTGTCACTCCACAGCAGAGCCATCCCTGGGTTCCGCCTCACTGCCTCCTCCATCATTTCAACAGCGTCGCTCCACTGCCCCGCCCCTCCAAAGCTCAGGGCCTGATGCAAGCGGAGGAAGGAATGTGTTTCGAGTATGGACTTGTGGGACTTAGCACGGCATTGATGAGCATGGGTTCTCTGGAATGGTCTCGACTCGACTGAGGCAGTGAGATCACGGATTGCCTCCTCTGAGGCGGCCAAACTCACCACGGCACGGATGAGCATGGGGTCCTTTGGTTGGCGCCTGAGTGTGGCAGTGAGGTCACCCATGCTCATGGTCACTCATGGTCTGCAAAAGGTGACGGTTGAGGTGCCTCAGAAGTCCAAACTCACCACGGCACGGATGAGCATGGGGTCCTTGGGTTGGCGCTTGAGTGCGGCAGTGAGGTCACCCATGCTCATGGTCACTCATGGTCTGCAAAAGGTGACGGTTGAGGTGCCTCAGAAGTCCAAACTCACCACGGCACGGATGAGCATGGGGTCCTTGGGTTGGCGCTTGAGTGCGGCAGTGAGGTCGCTGATGGCCGTCCAGAAGTCACCCGCCTGGAAGGCCAGCACTCCTGAAGGCACACGGTACGGAGAGAACAAAAGGGCAGCATTCTTCTTAGGCTGGGTGCCGTGTCTGCTGCGTTCCACCACCCGCCTGGAAGGCCAGCACTCCTGAAGGCACACGGTACGGAGAGAACAAAAGGGCAGCATTCTTCTTAGGCTGGGTGCCGTGTCTGCTGCGTTCCACCACCCGCCTGGAAGGCCAGCACTCCTGAAGGCACACGGTACGGAGAGAGAAGCAGAGCATAGCATTCTTTTAGGGCGACGGTGTGTTAGGATGTCTGCTGGTTTCGTCGCTGTTGAGTTGATGACTGAACTCAGAGTGAAATGCCCTCAGAGTGGGAAGCTTACAGCCCAAAGCGGAAAATCTGATCTTCAAATCTCAAGCAAGACTGGCATGACACTCCCTCATGATCACCTCTGCACTCTCTCGAGGTGGTGTGGCTCGAGGTGCAGAGCGTGGGAGTAGCCGATGCTTGAGTCAACTCAAACACCCCTCACCTCTTTCCTGTATCGTCTCAGGGTGGTTAGGCTCGAGTTCTAGAGCACGAGAGTAGTCGCTAAGGGCGTCTGCCTGCCTCCCCATGGACGCCAGCAGGTGCGCCCGGCGCCGCCAGAAGTCCGCCACATGTGGGTAGCGCTCTGTGCCCTGAGAGGCGTGGGGGAAGGAAGTGGGGAGGAGGGAGCATGAAGGACGAGCGAGAGATGTTTCGAGAGAAGTGGAGTGGTGTGAGCATGAAAGAGAGCAGTAGCTGACCTCGCGGTTGAGAAAGAGTTGAAACCGTGGGGGTAGTGAAGCACGACGACCGAGCAGCTGAGATCAGAGCAGGCAATTTAGCCAAGACGACTTAGCCACCATTGGAAGTTACTGACCTTGGTGAGGTCCTTGAGTGCCTTATCCTTATGGCCCAGGAATGTGTTCGCGATGCCTCGGCCCAACAGCACGTGCTGTTGCACCTCGGGATGATCCACTTTGTCCAACTGCCAGGGGAGATAGTGGAGCGGGGGGTGTCCATACAGATAGCGAGGAGGAGCTGGAAGGAGCAAAGCTTCCCATCCCTCCCTTAACGAGCCACCAATGAAGAAAAATGCATTAATGCTCGCTTAAATCCCCCCTCACTTCTGCTCACCTTGCTGAATTCAAGAGCAGCTTCCGAGTAGCTTCCCTGCCGTAACTGTTGGGTCGAGAACGGATGAAGGGGGAGATAGAGACGATGTCATGAAAAGGTGAAGCAAAGCATAGTACAGGGTGTACACGTGAACTGAAGCCACTCCTACGCTCTTCAGATAATTTCCTTTTGTTTCCTGAACAAACGTCCGCCAGCCTAACAATGCAGAGCTCCTTCACACCCTTCTCTCCGCCTTTCGACTCGCACCCAGATCAAAGTAGCACCTTCTCATCTTACCGCAGTAAACGCTCTGCCGAGCACCAAGTGGTGCGCGGGATCCGCTCGCATGCCCTGAGCCCCACTGCCCAGCCCTTGCTTCGCTCTTGTCTGCCTCTGCTGCTTGTCCGCCTCTGCCTTCTGCTCCTGCTGCCTCATTATCCGCCTCAGCCTTTCCTCTTTCGTCTCCTCTTTACCCTCCTCACTCTTTTTCCTCTCTGCCTCTGCTTTCCTCTCTTGTTTCTGCGTCGCCTGCCTCTCTATTCCCGTTCTCGCGATACCCGGTGCCTCTTCCAACCCGCTTCTGTTTTTTTCAACTGTCAACTTCTCCTCTGCCCCTCCGCTCCTTGCCCGCCCTACTTCTCCCAAGCTTCCCCCAGTGCCTCCCCCAGCGGTTCTTCCTTCTCCCCCTCCCCAGTCCAGGCGCATCAGGGCGCACAGATCTGCTCCCCCCAGCAGCGGCTTCCCCCCTCGCACAGGGGAGGGGAGATCACAGGAGGGTGGAGGAGGCGAGGAGGGGGGAGGCGGAGGAAGGAGCTTGAACAGCTTGGTTCCTGTGGCAGGGAAGAGAGGGGGGTATTCGCAGGTGAGACAATTCCAGGTGGATGTGAGAGTTCGAAGCAACTGAAAGGACTCAGACGGAGTGGGAAGGCAGAGAGGAAACGTTACGGGATGTTTTGTGAAAAATGTTCATGCATGCGTGCACCTTTTTTAATGAAAGGAAGAAGGCATCTGTGATTATGGAAGCGTTGACGACGGTCGTTTGCTGTCAGTTGCTGAGCTGGCACTGATGCGAGCAAATGCAGCTCCCAGTCACATAAGGACGGATTCCTGGGGATGACGTGTGGGTGACGTATAATGATGAGAAATAAAATATTTCATGACGGTGAGCCCAAGCGTAAGAACTTCGACCAGCGAAAGCGGAGGGGAAGTAGGACACAGGACGAACACCAGAGGAAGCATAAAACGAATGCATGGGCCCCTGACAAGTTTTCAGCCGTCTCAGAACCCGTGCGCCAGTGATGGTGAGCAATGAGACCCACGTCATTGAGCATGTGACTGAGCCACGTCATTGAGCATGTGACTGAGCCACGTCATTGAGCATGTGACTGAGCCACGTCATTGAGCATGTGACTGAGCCACGTCATTGAGCATGTGACTGAGCCACGTCATTGAGCATGTGACTGAGCCACGTCATTGAGCATGTGACTGAGCCACATTGAGCATGTGACTGAGCCACATTGAGCATGTGACTGAGCCATGTCATTGAGAGTTTGCGATTCGCACCATGTGAGCTCTTCCAAAGAAGGAAGCAAACCCGTGGCTCCATTGATACTCTCATCTTCGTCGCAGCTGCGCGCCGAGCTCGGCAGCACGAACCCCGCTGCTGCCTCCGCCGATTCACCCTCCCGATTGCGAGTTGCGGGGGAAGGGAGATTTGGTGCGGTATAGTAGCGTCCGGTGAAGACATTGCACAGCGTCAGGTTCAGCGAAAGGCACACGAATGTCGCACGGATCGCACGAAGCGAAGGCGCCATCGCAGAGCACCTAATGGCCGTGGATTCTGATTCTGAGGCCCTCAAAAATCATCAGCGCGGAGCGGTGACGGACCCGAGGCAACGATCGAAACACAACTTGCGACGATGTCCTCTGAGAAATTATGTAAGCTTTTCAACTGCGACTTCAATTCCGAAGATTAAGTGAGCCTGTTTTGACGGAGTCTGCGGCGAAATCGTGTGAGGATGGTCTCGTTTCCTCCACCTTATAAATGCCATTTCTCCTCTCATGGTCCTGGAATTACTGACAAATATCCAGGTGCAGGCTTTTCTTGCACAAACGCGCTGGACTGGAAAGAAGGCTGGAAAGCGTACGCTCTGTAAGCACTCTCGCAAAAACGAATCTGAAACGTCTGTCAACCTGCATAGACAACCAATCCGTTAGCACTGAAATAACTGACACATACCAGTATATTTGGGACCACTAGTCACACACTACCTGCAACTCGTCCATAATATATGTTATCGTTTATGATAATGCACAAGCTGCTCTTAGGAGAATGAGCTTGATTGCTGACTTCCAGATTCTTGCCCAAAGTTTGTCCCAAAGTTTTTCCCATCATAGTACTTAAGTAAGGCAGCTCCACGAATGCAACACCGGTAGTACCACAAAATTATTTCCTGGAAAAAAAGCTAAGGGTAATCAAGAAACTTCTGTCGGGTAGCAGGTGTGCTCTGACGAGGCCCACACACAGCCGGCTGTGTTGTGAACGGACACAGGAGGGTTAGCTAGAGGGATGAGATGAGACTGGGCAGAGATGACTGGGTTGTGCCTCATAGCCCACACACACTCATGCCCATGCTAAAGCCAAGGCACAAGGCCAATTCTAGGAGCCAGCTCACTCCCTCTAACCCTACGCCTTTCCTTTCCCCTTCCCCTAATGCCCCTTGTGCTGCTTCTTCCCAGCTCCACGAATGCAACACCGGTAGTACCACAAAATTATTTCCTGGAAAAAAAGCTAAGGGTAATCAAGAAACTTCTGTCGGGTAGCAGGTGTGCTCTGACGAGGCCCACACACAGCCGGCTGTGTTATGAACGGACACAGGAGGGTTAGCTAGAGGGATGAGATGAGACTGGGCAGAGATGACTGGGTTGTGCCTCATAGCCCACACACACTCATGCCCATGCTAAGGGCGTGTCCAGCGCGTACATTTTGGGAATATTAGTACCTTCACACGTTTCCCGGCTAAAAAAATCTCACTGTACCAAAAAACGAATATAAGGTGAGTCGAGTCCGAAGGATTGGGCCTTCCAGCGCGCGGACACAACCCTCTGCACACAAATTTCTACAGTTCGTGGAAAACGAGGTAACTGGTTGCCTCGTCTATCATCGCACAGAAATTCACGCACAAGCGAAAATTCCACGCTTGAACGAAAATTACTGTAGCGGGCAGGACGCAATGCTGTACCCTTGTTCGCGCGCATACTGATTCCAGTAACGTGTGTTAGACGATTCGTCGTACGCGCAGCGGGCGTGCCGTCTTGTGAACGGAAGCTGATCGTGTCCAACCTTTTTGTAAAATGCAGTGTTACAATAGGAAATGTGGTAACTGAATGGGTTTATGAACTGTAAATGTACGCGCTGGACACGCCCTAAAGCCAAGGCACAAGGCCAATTCTAGGAGCCAGCTCACTCCCTCTAACCCTACGCCTTTCCTTTCCCCTTCCCCTAATGCCCCTTGTGCTGCTTCTTCCCAGCCCCACCCTTCCCTCCTCCCTCCCCCTCCCACCCCCCCTCCCCTCTTCTTCCCCCCTGCCCCCATTACACTGGTCATTCCCCTCCGCTCCGCTGCAAGCTTCCCAGCCCTCCGATTGAGCATCTTTGCATCCAACGGCGAGTATGCATGTGGCTCCAACTTCCCTTCCTTCTTCACATCGCCGCCCGCCCGCCGCCCGCTGCCTGCGGCATATTCATCCCCTGTATAAGACCACCCACTACCACTACCAGTCTGCTTCTTCCCGCCGCGCCGGTCCTTACCAGAAGGAATGGCCTGGCCTGAATTGGCCTTGGCCTTTTTCCTCCCACCACCACCACCAGCACCACCACCAGCACCACCACCACCAGCTCTAGCACCAGCACCCCCTCTCTCATCTCCTCCTCCTCCTCCTGCCACTCCCCCGCTGCGAATCCGCCGGCCAAGCGCCAGCTCAGCAGCCCTCGCAGGTGCCAGGCTGGCATCACCCATCGCCACGTCATCATCCTCCATTACCCTTTAGTCCAGATTCCCCTCTCCGTCATCCCCCCCTGCGCCCACCCCCTTCTTGCCTCCTTCTTTCCTCCCCTTGCCACCCTCACCCCCTTCGGTCTCATTCGGAACAACTATCTTTCCATCGTCTGTATACTCAAATCCTCGAATCCCGCATCCTCCCCCTCCCCTTCCCTCTCCGCACCCATCACGATGCCGCTTCGAACCACCACCGGCGGCACCGGTACGATTCCCACCAGCAGCACCACCAGTAGCAGCAGAGGAAAGGGCACTGCGGGTGGGCTTGAGCCCAGAGAGGGCCCGAGGTGAGTTTTGAGTCGACTCAAAAGGGCTCTGCGGGTGGGCTTGAGCAGGGGTGCAGAGAGGGCCTGCCGCATGCCTGCGAGATCGAGCAGGTCCAATGGCGTGTCGCCACCTGTCTCCGTGATCCGCTCGTGCAGCTGCGGCCTGCCGTGCTGCGCCTTCTTGCCCGCCCTGGAAGCAGAGGGGGAGAGGGCGGAGAGAGGAGAAGGGAGAGGGGAGAGGGGAGAGGGGAGAGGGGAGAGGGGAGAGGGGAGAGGGGAGAGGGGAGAGGAGAGAGGGGAGAGGGGAGAGGGGAGAGGGGAGAGGGGAGAGGGGAGAGGGGAGAGGGGAGAGGGGAGAGGGGAGAGGGGAGAGGGGAGAGGGGAGAGGGGAGAGGGGAGAGGGGAGAGGGGAGAGGGGAGAGGGGAGAGGGGAGAGGGGAGAGGGGAGAGGGGAGAGGGGAGAGGGGAGAGGGGAGAGGGGAGAGGGGAGAGGGGAGAGGGGAGAGGGGAGGGGGGAGAGGGGGGGGGGGGGCAGAATGAGGAGAGGGGAGAGGCGAGAGGGGAAAGGTGGATGCGGTGATAAGGGACGGGGTCGATAGGTGAGGACAGATGTAAGGCGGGATGGAGGAGAGAGTGTGGGGACAAAGGAAAGCGGGAGGGAGTTGTGAGCGACGAGGGAGAGAAAGAGCAGTGAGAAGAGAGAGACGGGATGGGGGCAGAAAAGCGGGCCAAAATAGGGAAGCAAAGAGAGCAGGATCGCACCAGGAAAAATGGCCTGACAGCCATAAGATGCAATTGCTATGATAAGGGAAGAACCCACACCCACAACACCCCATCCCACAACCCACATCCACAACACCCTGCCCCATCCCATCCCACACCCCATTCCCCACCCCATGCCCCATCCCATGCCACGTCAGCACACCTGGACGAGAGCGCGTTCGACCATGCAGACTTCTTCGACCCGTCCCGGCAAGACGCTGACTTGGCGGCGCGTAATTTGCCGCCGAACACGCTGCGCTCGTCCGCGTCAGCATCGCTGTAATCCTCGTCATCGCTGAAATCGCCGTCCGCTGACGTGTCGGAAAACAGGTACGAGGGGGGAAGTTGGGGGGGAGGGGAGGGAGCGGGCACAAACGAAGGGAGAAATGAGTGAAGGCAGATGCACGGGGAGGACAGATAAACGCCTACACACCCCCCAGCCATGGTCGACATATAAACGCCTACACGCCCCCCAGCCATGGTCGACAGATAAACGCCTACACCCCCCCGCAATCTTTCCACACCACTCACCACACTCCTTCATGGTCGACCACCCGTCACCACACTCCTTCACATCCCCTGCCTATGAACTCCCCTTCCTCCATAACTCACCCTCAGCACCCCTGGCAGCTCTCTCCCACCACCCACCTGGCCCTGCTTCTGCCAGACATGGTCGACCGCCCGTCACCACCCTCCTTCACATCCCCTGCCTGACAACCGCCCCTGCGACCCCCCCCCCTACGCCCCCGCACCTGCCCCCCCCCCCCCCCCCCCCATCCCCCGCAGCACCCGGAAGCATGGCCATGCTTCTGAAATGTGGGTGTTTTCGAGACGTCTCACTACCCTCATTTCACGCAGCCTGAAATAACACCCTCATTTCACGCAGCCTGAAATAACACCCTCATTTCACGCAGCACCCGGAAGCATGGTCCACCGCCCTTCCCTCTGCGAGCCGATTGCTGAGCGGACTGCTGCTGACCCACAAGTCCCTGCAGCAACAACCTCTGAGATCAATCGCTACAGCAGCTCAACACCACTCAGCTGGCCTGACATTGTCGACCGCCCATCACCACCCTTCTCCCCACCCCCTGCCTGCAAGCCCCTCCTCTGCCCCCCCCCCCCCAGCAACCCTACATTACACAACTCACCTGGCCCTTCTTCTGCCTGACATGGTCGACCGCCCATCACCCCCCTCCTCCCCGTCCCCTGCTCCTTGCAGGGGGCACCTCCTGCTCACCTGCTCACCACCATCCTCCCCGCTTCTTCTCCTTGGCCTTGGCTGCTCGAGCCACCTCCTGCAACACAAAAGGGAGCAGCAGAGGGAGACACGGATGGATGTGTTGTGAGTGAGCAGCAGGTGCATGGGGAGCAGCAGGTGCATGGGGAGCAGCAGGTGCATGGGGAGCAGCAGGTGCATGGGGAGCAGCAGGGGCATGGGGAGCAGCAGGTGCATGGGGAGCAGCAGTTGCATGGGGAGCAGCAGGTGCATGGGGAGCAGCAGGTGCATGGGGAGCAGCAGGTGCATGGGGAGCAGCAGGTGCATGGGGAGCAGCAGGTGCATGGGGAGCAGCAGGTGCATGGGGAGCAGCAGGTGCATGGGGAGCAGCAGAGGGACAGGCGAGGGCCATGACTGCTGCGCTCTCACCGTGCGGAGTGCTGCTGGCCAGTCCTGCCATCACCTGCACGCACCAGCAGCTGCTTGGCACTATCGAACCCGCTAAAGTACGATAATCCCATGAACGGACGTTACTCCCATGAACGGACTCCTATGCACGATAATCCCATGAACGGACGCACGAAATCCGCGATATAAGCCTCTGATCCCCTCCGCCCGCCAGAGCGCCGCTATAACGGATCGCATGCCTGCAAACTGCCTGCGCGTGCCTATATCGGAGGCCAGGCGCGTGCGCGCGACGTCTAGAGGGTAGGTACGTGACTAGGAGGCTAGAGGCTCGTGGCAGGACGTTTCCTGCTGCGATTCGCGTGGCGGAAGGGTCTGTGAGACGGGGCGAAGAGAACGCGATAGTAGTCCTGCGAATGGGAGAGAAGGCAGGGTGGAAGACAAGGGGACGGAGAGGGCACGGAAGCGGGAACAGAGGGGTGAACAGATAGGGTGGGGGTTCAGGGAGGAAGTAGCGCATAGTGATGCGAAGTTGAGCGCAGGCGACAAGTAACACTGGTTACCACAAATCTGACATTGTGCTTAAGCGTCTGCTTCTAAGCAACGGCAAGAACGAAAAGGGAAAGAAAAGTTGGCGAAAGATCGAGCATCGCTCTCATATACGATCATTGAACGTCAGGTTGTGATTGAGACGTGGCATCGCAGAAATTATGTGGAACTTCATATGTGAAAAACATTTGGAAAAGTAACTGCACCTGCACGAGCGCTGCACACGGTGTTCTCGGTGGACGACCCGTATTATACAGAGCTATCGCTGCACCTGCCGTATTATTATACACAGCTGTCGCTGCACCTGCCGTATTATTATACAGAGCTATCGGTGAGAAAACAGTCGCTACGGTGGAGCCGGAGTGGGAGTACGGAACAAAATTGAAAGAATTTGAGCTAGGCTACTCAGGAACTGACCAAAGAAATGGTAAAACGTGTCTAGTTTAGGTATGTCCACCTCTAAGACTAATGCTCTAGCGGTTCTGACGCTGCCTTCACGCTGGGATTTACGTTCTGACGCTGCCTTCACGCTGCCTTCACGCTGCCTTCACGCTGGGATTTATGTTCTGACACTGCCTTCACGCGATTCATGTGAAGTTGATGACGCCTGTGTGGCTGAATTTCCGCTCTGTACGTGTGTTAGGGGACATTTCGCTAAAACTGAGATTTCGTTAGTAAGGAGCGACAGGTATTCGCGAAGACTAAACGAAAACTGCGTAACTACAATCTAGGTACCAAAACCTTCCAACACCAAATTACCATGCGGAAAACAGAGAGAACCGTACTGACAGATCGGTTGGCGGGGAATCAAAACCGCCTGCATGGACTTGATTGGCTGAGGAAACTAGACAGAGGAAGCGGTACACGGTGGCTTGGAACGTTTTCACGCGGTGGAAAGCGATTAGCATGATTCACCGTTTGGCACCGCGACGAAACTATCATAAACCGCTCAAAGCGAACCAGTCGAGTGTCTCCCCAGCATATGTGAAGTTCCAGATTCTGGAAAATTTGTAGCAGGTTTGTGTGTGCAGAGAACCGTACCGACAAATTGCTTGGCGGGGAATCAGAACTGGCATTCGAAGCACCGTGCAGCGAGCAAGCTTTCCAAATCAGATGCTAAGGGCGTGTCCAGCGCGTACATTTTGGGAATATTAGTACCTTCACACGTTTCCCGGCTAAAAAAATCTCACTGTACCAAAAAACGAATATAAGGTGAGTCGAGTCCGAAGGATTGGGCCTTCCAGCGCGCGGACACAACCCTCTGCACACAAATTTCTACAGTTCGTGGAAAACGAGGTAACTGGTTGCCTCGTCTATCATCGCACAGAAATTCACGCACAAGCGAAAATTCCACGCTTGAACGAAAATTACTGTAGCGGGCAGGACGCAATGCTGTACCCTTGTTCGCGCGCATACTGATTCCAGTAACGTGTGTTAGACGATTCGTCGTACGCGCAGCGGGCGTGCCGTCTTGTGAACGGAAGCTGATCGTGTCCAACCTTTTTGTAAAATGCAGTGTTACAATAGGAAATGTGGTAACTGAATGGGTTTATGAACTGTAAATGTACGCGCTGGACACGCCCTAACTCAAGCTGAGTTTTACGATTTCACCCTGGCGCCATGGTTGTACTATTCTTTCTGTTATAGTACAATTGCTGCATTGAGTGAAAACTCTATTGTTCAAGTGTTAAAATGAGCATGCTCGTAATAATATAGAAACTGGCATGACAGATACATACATAGCATGCAGAACATATCAACTACCAAATCATAAGCTTGAGCTTGACTTCTGGTCATTGTCTTCTTGAGCTTCACTTCTTGTCATTGTCTTCTTGACCCCTCTTGGCCGCTAGAGGCAAGCCTCTAGCGTTACACCCGGACACCGCGTTGAGGTGGAGGTCATTCGTCCGGGACCCTGTTGGAAAAGAGGGCAGAAAGTTAGTAAAGCTGCCATCCGGCAGAAAACACCTCAAACTTCCACGTTGTCCGATGCCAGAAGAAGAACCTCCCGCAGGTTGTTGCTTCAGGAGCAGCCGAAGAAGGTCGGTGCAGGTGGAGGGTCCATACGTTCGGTCTGTCAGTCGTTCGTCAGTCAGTTCGCACGTCGCCAGGTCGCGGAATCTAACGTCCGTCTGTCAGTTCGCACGTCGCCAGGTCGCGGGATCTAACGTTCGGTCTGTCAGTCAGTCCGTTCGTGCGTTGCCGGATCTAACTCGCCTAACGTTCCGTCTGTCCGTTCGCTGCTGCTGTTCTTCGGCGTGACCTGGGGGTGGAAAAAAGAGAGAAGAGAAGGTGATACGATCGCAACAACAGAACAAAACAAAACAAAGCAAAGAAAAGCAATTCAAAACAAATGAAACAAGCAGAAACAATTGCAGAAACAAAAAAAGAAACATAAGTACGATGAAATCTTACACCTCCTTGTCCAAGAAGGCGCCTTGTCCGCTGGCTGCGTTCATCCTCACGTGATCTAAGGGGGGAGGAGAAAAAACAGAGGAGAAAGGGAGGGTGATACGCCGCGGCTCCATGCTAAACCTGCAGCGCAGAGGAAGAAACCAAAGGGTAAGTTAGTAAAAACAAGAAAAGAACAAAAATAAGAAGAACAACAAAGTCAGAAACAACAACAAAAAACTGAAAGCAAAGGAGAAAGGGAGCTCACCGTTACTACCTTATAAGCGGACTAGATCTGACCGTCCTCCTCCCGTGATCTAAGGGGGGAGAGGAAGAAACAGAGGAGAAAGGGAGGGTGATACGCCGCGGCTCCATGCTAAACCTGCAGCGCAGAGGAAGAAACCAAAGGGTAAGTTAGTAAAAACAAGTAAAGAAAAAAAAAAAAAACAAAGACAGAAACAACAACAAAAACTGAAAGCAAAGGAGAAAGGGAGCTCACCGTTACTACCTTATAAGCGGACTAGATCTGACCGTCCTCCTCCCGTGATCTAAGGGGGGAGAGGAAGAAACATAGGAGAAGGGAGGGTGATACGCCGCGGCTCCATGCTAAACCTGCAGCGCAGAGGAAGAAACCAAAGGGTAAGTTAGTAAAAACAAGTAAAGAACAAAAAAAAAAGAACAACAAAGACAGAAACAACAACAAAAACTGAAAGCAAAGGAGAAAGGGAGCTCACCGTTACTACCTTATAAGCGGAGTAGATCTGACCGTCCTCCTCCCGTGATCTAAGGGGGGAGAGGAAGAAACATAGGAGAAGGGAGGGTGATACGCCGCGGCTCCATGCTAAACCTGCAGCGCAGAGGAAGAAACCAAAGGGTAAGTTAGTAAAAACAAGTAAAGAAAAAAAAAGAACAACAACAAAGACAAAAACAAACAACAAAAACTGAAAGCAAAGGAGAAAGGGAGCACACCGTTACTACCTTATTAGCGGAGTAGATCGACCGTGACGCTCCTCCTCCCGTGATCTAAGGGGGAAGAAGAAACAGAGGAAAAAGGGAGGGTGATAGCTTCCGCCGCGGCTCCGTGCTAAACCTGCAGCGCAGAGGAAGAAACCAAAGGGTAAGTTAGTAAAAAAAAGAAAAGAAAATAAAGAACAACAACAAAGACTGAAATAACAACAAAAACTAAAAGCAGAGGAGGAAGGGAGCTCACCGTTATTACCTTTGACCGTGGTGCTCCTCGTCCCGTGATCTGCGGGGGGAGGAGAAGTAAGAGAGGAGATAGGAAAGTGATCGAATCCTCCGCGGCTGCTGTGTACCTGAAACGCACAAGTTGAAACCGCCTCGTTGGTCTTCACGAGCGCTCGTTCTTGCGTGCCTGAAAGGCACAATGAAACACCTCGGCAGACACTCCCCGAGCTTGTTCTTGTACGCCTGAAACGCACAAGTTGAAACCGCCTCTCTGGTCTTCACGTACCTGAAAGGCACAAGGAAACACCTCGGCAGGAAGTCCTCGAGCTCGTCAGTGATTAACTGAAACGCACAAGTCGAAAACACCTCTTTGGTCTTCACGCGCGCGCGTTCTTGTGTACCCTGAAAGGCACGATGGAAACGCCTCGGGACGATTCTCCTGTTGAGCTCGTTGTAGTTGTCAAGTCTTCAGGTCTTGTGAGACTGGAGCTCACAATGCTACTGAATATGAAGTTTCGAGGGACAATGTGGGCTGGATGGAAGGAGTGGCCTCGAATCGCGTGGTTGGAAATGTAGCGTGGCATGAATAACAATTGATGACAATCAAGAAGCGCCAAAATTTGGTCAGAACAGTGAAGGGTGGCAGGGAGGGAAGGTTGACCAGTTGACACGGAAGAATCGGAACAGTGGTGTCAGGAAGGGAAGGCAGCAGTGCGCACATCCCTCATCGTGGCTTAAAGCGACGGGCAACTTTTGGCAGTGTTGGGTTCAGAAGTTTTTTTTTTGAACCAGGCTTGCCAGCGCGAAAGTGCTGGCTGGCGAAAACCAGGATTTCGTGCGGACACTTTCCATCCGCAGTAACAGTTCGCCAGGGTTCTGGGTTTTGGGTGGCAAATGTGCACCGTCGCTTTAATGCGCCAAGATTTGGTGACAGGTTGGGGAACAGTGCTGTCATCCCCCATTGTGGGTGTTCCTGTGTTGTGGCACGTTTGTGTAACACTTTTGTGGTTATGTTACGTTCAATTGACTAATTTTATTGGGAGTGTGGCACCAAGATAAGGTTCGAAGTCACGGGCAGGTCATGCTTGGTTGACGTGTTAGTAGTTTAGAGTCTAGGCCGAACCTTTTGCGTGAGGTGCGGGACGGCATGAGGGGGAAAAAATAGACTTCATTGGTTGTAATTTATTTTGCTGTGTCAATTCAGTTTCTGGGCAGGTGCAGAGGAAGGGGTTGGGATGGAGAAGATTGCGAGGCCCAATCAAAATCCAAGAGGGGAAGGAAAGGAAATCGAGGGAAAGAAATTCGGGCAGAATGGAATCCCAAGGGGACTGGTGGGGATTGTGTTTCGGTTGGTACACCACCACCTCCTCAGATCTGAGGAGAGTAGGTTTTCCAATTCGCCACGCATACTCTGCTCAGATCTAGTTTCAATGTCCACGTCTCTCGTTCAATCGCCTTTCGCCTAGTCGTAACAAGCTAGTTCTTAGTTCCGCCATCCGTCGTGGTAGCTTTGCGCCTTAGCTCCTAGTACCGTGTCGAATGATAGTAACGATATGCCAGATGCTGCGTACTATCTATTCCGGAAATTCGCTATAATAATGTTGTCCATTTCGTACAACCAAGCCCTCGCGCAGCTCTTATCACGACGGACTACGTTATCGCATCTCACTCTTTTATCAATAGGGCTGATTTCGTACCGCAATAGGGCTGATTTCGTTCCGCAAGGGCTGATTTCGTTCCGCAATCCACAGCTCGCGCATCGCTGTGTTTCTGTGACGCGCGCCGCCTCCAGTGATGCGCGCTGGTAAAGCGCACCCGTCGCGTCTCTGCGCGACTGCAAGATTAAACGTCGTTCTTCCCTTCCCTCACCCCCGTCCCCCCTCTTCTCCTCCCTCCCTCCTTTCGCTGACGCCGTCGCTCACCCCTCATTCCCTATCGCTCACCCCTTATTCCCTCATTGGTCACCTGTCATTCGTCGCTCACCCCTTATTCCCTCGTCGGTCACCCCTCATTCGTCGCTCACCCGTCACTTCCCCCCGTCGCTCACCCCTCATTCACCCCCTTCGCTCACCCCTCACTTCCCCCCGTCGCTCACCCCTGTCCCCGTCGCGCATCCCTCATTTCCCCGTCGCTCATCCCTCATGTCCCCCGTCGCTCATCCCTCATATCCCCCGTCGCTCATCCCTCATGTCCCCCCTTCGCTCATCCCTCATTCCCCCTGTCGCTCAGCCCTCCCCCTTCACGCATCCCTCATTTCCCCCGTCGCTCATCCCTAATTTTCCCCTCATCACCCTGTCGCTCACTCGTGACTTTCCCCCCTCCCGCACCCTTCCGCCCTCATTTCCCCCACGTCCTCCTCCCGCCTCCTCTGTCACCTCTCATTCCCCCCCGCCCCTCACTCCTCGCTCCCCTTAATTTTCCTTATATCCCAGCTTGCCGTTCCCCGTCATCACCCAACCATCCCAACTTACCAGCTCCCTATGCGTTTCTACTTTCCATTCCCACTCTCTGACCTCCTGCTGTCCTCACCCACTGTCCTCCCGCTGCTCCCCTCGCCCCTTCCCCACTCTCTTCCTTCTCACTTCCCCAGATTCTGTTCACGTATCCCATCCCACGTCCCCTCGCCCATCTCACTTCTCTCCATCCGCTCCCCTTCATACACCCGTTCTCTCCCTTCCTTTCAGCGGCCTCGCGCGATCTGTTCCTTCCTTCCAGGAACAGATAAAAGAGAGTATTCTCTTCCAACCCCTTCAACGTCCTCTCGCCCTGTTTCCTCCTTGATTGCCCACCGTTCCACCTGCTCTTGCTGCTCACTACCAGAGGGATTACCCCTCTCCCACCTCCCCCCCAACCGCTCACACACCTTCCGAGATTCCAGCTTTGCATCGCCCTGTTTCCTCCGTGCTTGCCCAGCGTCCCGACTGCTCTATTTGCTCAGGACCAGGGAGATTACCCCTCTCTCTCACCTCCCCCCCACCCGCCCACACACCTTCCGAGATTCTAGCATAGCCTCGCCCTGTTTCCTCCGTGCTTGCCCAGCGTCCCGACTGCTCTATTTGCTCAGGACCAGGGAGATTACCCCTCTCTCACCTCCCCCCCACCCGCCCACACACCTTCCGAGATTCTAGCATAGCCTCGCCCTGTTTCCTCCGTGCTTGCCCAGCGTCCCGACTGCTCTCACCTCCCCGACCTGACCCAGAGAGATTAATCTTCAGCACTATGATTTCAGCTGTTGCTACTGCTCACGACCACAGGTTATTGGCGAAAGAATTATGTATGCTATGGCACAGTTGCTATAAGTTGCTTGCGTATGGTTCTTTGGCTTTATTGTCCTTGTGTTGAATCTGATCATTCTTGTACCTATGCCTGTAAACTGTCAGCATTTTCAATTATTTTTAGCACAATCGTACCATACATACCGGAACAATAATATCCTCCATGATAGCACACATTGACTTACGTAAAACCACTCCCTAAAACGTACATTGATTATCCACCCACAATGACACAAATACATTATCATTGGTAGCTCAGAGCAGCCAGTACGTGGCGTGTGGTTGGGAGCACCTCACGCACAATAGGGAGCTGCCAAGGTGACCGTCTAACTGATGAATAGAGCCAAGGAGCAACGGCATCGTAAAAGTCTTGAAAGCGAGTCGCAAACAGCCCCTCCCAGTCAACCTGACACATACGGTACGGTAGACAAGCATCGTTGAAAAATAAAAGAATGAAAGAAACTAACACACAGACAACCTGTGTCACCTCACACTGCGATACTGTGTCATTCATCAGCACATCGTTTGGAATGCGGGAGTGATTCATGCGGGAGTGATTCATGCGGGAGTGATTCATGCGGGAGTGATTCATGCGGGAGTGATTCATGCGGGAGTGATTCATGCGGGAGTGATTCATGCGGGAGTGATTCATGCGGGAGTGATTCATGCGGGAGTAATTCATGCGGGAGTGATTCATGCGGGAGTGATTCATGCGGGAGTGATTCATGCGGGAGTGATTCATGCGGGAGTGATTCATGCGGGAGTGATTCATGCGGGAGTGATTCATGCGGGAGTGATTCATGCAGGAGTGATTCATGCGGGAGTGATTCAAGCGGAGACATGGAGAGGTGGAAGATGGAGGCATTACCAGCAGCAATAGACTGGACTCACCAGGACATCCCTTGGGATGCGTGCAGTGGTTTCCATGTCAGCAGCCATGGAGAGCCCAAGGATGGAAACAAGCCCCACCATGGCGGACCCGCGGGACAGCGGCATGAGCTGGAACCAGTAGTAGCTGATGCGCAGAATGTTCTCCCGAATGCGCTGCTGGTACAGGCTGCTGTCCATGGCCCTCGTGGGCAGATCTAGCACTGCTGCTGACAGGCTCTGGATTGGGGAAGAGTTTGGAAGGGGGAGAGGGTACGAGAGGGGGTAATGACTCTTACGAGGAGGAGTGTGGTACCTGGAAGCACAACCATTAACAATGCCATCTATCATCAGCCCACCTACCACCCACACTGCAAATGTTTGCAGCACCAGCAGCACTGGCACCAGCACCAGCAGCACTGGCACCAGCACCAGCAGCACTGGCACCAGCACCAGCAGCACTGGCACCAGCACCAGCAGCACTGGCACCAGCACCAGCAGCACTGGCACCAGCACCAGCAGCACTGGCACCAGCACCAGCAGCACTGGCACCAGCACCAGCAGCACTGGCACCAGCACCAGCAGCACCACTAGTAATACCAGGGTCCACCAATAACAGCAGCACAAGCACCTTCAGGTGCTTGTACCAATATCAGCAGCGACAGCACCACCACTAGCACCACCACTAGCACCACCACTAGCACCACCACTAGCACCACCACTAGCACCACCACTAGCACCACCACTAGCACCACCACTAGCACCACCACTAGCACCACCACTAGCACCAACACTAGCACCACCACTAGCACCACCACTAGCACCACCACTAGCACCACCACTAGCACCACCACTAGCACCACCACTAGCACCACCACTAGCACCACCACTAGCACCACCACTAGCACCACCACTAGCACCACCACTAGCACCACCACTAGCACCACCACTAGCACCACCACTAGCACCACCACTAGCACCACCACTAGCACCACCACTAGCACCACCACTAGCACCACCAACACCGCATAGCCACCACCAACACAGTACCCGCAGCATGGCCACAGGCAGCACCAGTACTAGTAGCAGAAGCACTGACCTCCCAGGTGGCAGTGAGCTCGTCATCCAGCTGGCCCCACTGCGTTTCGGAGTTCTTGGTGTACGTCTGGAAGTCAATCGACAGCGCCCTGTGGGGTGGGGATGGGCGGTGGGGTGGACAGTTGGTGGTGGAGTGAAACAATGGGGGATTGGGTGGAGCAGGGGGGTAGCAAAATTCTTGGAGTACGTCGGAAAGCCAATCAACAGCGCCCTGAGGAGCCAGACATGCAGGATGGTCGTGCAGAGCGGCGGGCGCAATTGAAGGAGAGGGTTTGGAACAACCGGATGGATTGGGTAGAGCAGGGGGTAGCAGGGGCGAAACGGGGGATGAAGCGTGGGTAGCAAGGAGGGTGAGAGCATGGGACAATGAGGTTTGAGTTTGCAGAGTCGGCATGAGAGGGCGATAGAGAGAGGAGGCGCATGGAGGTGAGTGCTCACTTCTTTTCCAGCTTGAACTCTGTTCCATGCAAGACCGTCCTGCATGCGAGGGAGAAGAGGAGCATTCGAACGAGAAAGAGGGACCAGGGTTGGAGACAGGGGGGTGGGGACGTGTATTGCAGCCAGAAATCTGCATACCAAAAAAACATCTGCCATCATGCGAGAACACAGGTCACATCGAGTGCGCAACCCAGCAGGGACGGATGTGAGAGAGGGGCATGCTGATATGCCAACAGATATCAGCATGCGCACACCATGTTGCGAATCAATCAACTGACCCGGGGTTGGCCATGCTGTGCAAGGGCAGGCGCAGATAGAAGTCCCGACCAATTGCATCATACAGCCCCGCGTGGCCCTTTGCTGCCTCTATCTGCCCCACACAGAGCAGGGCAGGGAAGCGCGTAAGGGAGAAAGAGCGTGTGGTGAGGGTGGGGCATTGGAAAGAAGGTAGAAAGTACGAGGGCACCAAGAATGCCATTAACTGAAAGCGGTTACGAAGACGACACAGCAAGGCGAGAGTGCCGGATGCAGGTTATATTGGGAGACATTTCATTACGTGCAAGTGAAAAGAATCCGCTTACAGCCATACATGCCGCACGACGCCTGCCTGCCATCTGTCTGCCAGCGTCTGGCTGTCTGACTGCCTATCTGCCTCTCTGCCTCCTGTCTGCCTGTCTGCCTGATTGCCCATCTGCCTGTCCCGAGATACTGGTTTCTACGCACCTTGGGTCCGTAAGTATCGCGGGGGACAGGAATGACGTTGCCATCCTCGTCCCGTGCCTCCTGCCCTTCCAGCAGCCCCTTTCGGGTCACCTCCACTGCCCTGATGGGATCACAGTGCGTTAAGGGGAGGGACAGGGACAGGCGTGTAGTGAGGGACAGGAATGGAATAGCGTTGCCATCCTCATCCAGTGCCTCCTGCCCTTCCAAAAGTCCCTTCCGCGTCACCTCCACTGCCCTGATAGGCTCATGGCGATGCAGTTAGGAAACGAGGGGAGGGGGGAAGAGGTAGGTGGGAAGGGGAGAAAAGGTGGGAGAATGGATGGAAGGGCACGTGTCACAAAACCAATCCAAATTCCACAGGCATCACTAAAAGCTCGAGCTGCTTTTTGCGAATTCTCGAAAACCAACTTATCCACAGGCAGCACAATGTGCATTGGTCGTGTAGATGTACATGATGAATCGAGTTTTGAGTCGACTCAAAACTCAACTCACTACAGGCAGCACGATGTGCATTGGTCGTGTAGATGTACATGACATGACACACAAGACCTTTGTCATGATTGGTGCACAGCTCCTGTGTGGACTGGTGCACAGGGCAACACCGCAGCAGAGTGGCACAGATGGACCGCGCCTATCATAAGTGGCATTGTACTTGGCGCTGGGCGGCTTCCAAGTGTGAATGGCAATGCAAGTTGTGAGACGTCTCAAGAGTCGTCTACACTACAAGGCAGCGTGATAGATAGCATTGTGTTCGGCCCTGAGCTGCTTCCACGTTTCCACGTGTGGATGGGATGGGAGTGACTTTTGAGTCGACTTGGAACGCACCTGTCATAAATAGCATTGTATTTGGCGCTAAACTGCTTCCACGTGTGAATGGGAGTGTGGGGAATTTCAGACGTCTCAAAAATCGTTTACAGGGCACCACCGCACCTGTCATAAATCGCATTGTATTTGGCGCTAAACTGCTTCCACGTGTGGATGGGAGTGTGCGAATGGAAGTTGCCCTGAAAGCGCTGGTTCCTGCAATGCAAGTGGGGGCAAGACAGCACAAGGGCAAGACAAGGGCACACCTGTCATAGATGGCATTGTACTTGGCGCTGAGCTGCTTCCACGTGTGGATTGGAGTGAACGACTGAAAGTTCCCCTGAAAGCGTTGGTTCCTGTGAGTCGGGGGAACACAAGGGAGAAGAAGGGAAGTGGGATGGGAGCCATTCAGAGGGCGTTTAGAGGTCATTCAGGGGTGAACATCTCAGCGCTGCGTGTTCAGCAAATCAGGCAACCGCTAAGGAAAAGGAAAGGAAAAGGGGGTAAAAACGGAGAAGGAGCAGGAAAGAGGGAGGGAGCAGGGGAGGCAAGCGGGACGGACTTGAACATAACCTTCCAAAGCAAAGGCTCAGTGGTGTCGGAGAGGAAGGGGAAGGGAAGGGAAAGGAACGAAGGAAAGGCCGGCAGATTTAAGCGGGGAAACACACAGGGCGGCGAGCAGGAGGGATGAGAGGACATGGAGCGGGCGAGCTTTGAAAACGAGCAGACAGGGCGAGCACGAGGAGCGAGCAGGTGGAAGGAGAGCGGTGGATGGTACCTGGTAGAAAGCGACTGCCTGGTTGAACGTCATGTGCTGCTCTGTGGCTGTTGCAAGGAGATGGTCGTAAAAGGAGAGCTGCGACGGACAGATGCGCAGGGGACAGGGGAGAGAGGGACAGATGGACAGGGCGACGGATGGAGAGGGGGACAGTGGGACCAAGGGACAGAGTGACAGAGGGAACAAAGCATGAAGCAGGCAGAGGACAGACGGAGCGCAGCACACAGTGACTCTTGAGTCGACTCAAGAGTCGGCATGGGATGGTTGTAGGCAGAGAGCAGAGAGGGGTGTGGGAGGATGGAGCACCAACATCTGCAGGAACAGTGACTCACGGCTGTGGCATGGTCGCCCAGGGCATGGTGCATGGAGGCTCGCATGTAGGGCAGCCTTGATAGCTATAATGACCACATCTGTGCCATCAACATCTGTAGCATTCACATCTGTACGAGCAGTGACTCACGGCTGTAGCATGGTCGCCCAGGGCGTGGTGCATGCATGGATGCACGCACGTACAGCAGCATTGATAGCCATAATAGCCACATCTTTAGCACCACCATCTGTAGCAGCAGGGACTCACGGCTGTGGCATGGTCGCCCAGGGCGTGGTGCATGGAGGCGCGCACGTACAGCAGCTCGCTATCCTCTGGACTGAACGCCAGCCCCTTGTTGCACCACTCTATGGCGCCCCTGTGCGGTTGGATGGGATGCAGGGAGATGGGGATAGGTGGGGTGCATACGCAAGGGAATACATGTGGTGCATGTTGAGTCGACTGAGTGATCCCCTCAGTGGTATTCGTGCGTCGTCGGGGCGAAGGAGTTGGGTGGGGGAGACCTGCCTGCAAGAGAGTGCATGTGCTATGAAACGCGTAACACGAGCACATTGCTGCAGCAACACTCATTATGTCACAGTGACTGGCCCACATAAAACAAGAACAATCACAACCATTCGCAGAGTGTAAGGTTTTTGTGCTTCTTGATTTGACGCACAGCTGGGATGACGAGGTTGGCTCACTCACCAGTGATCCCCTTGATAGCGCCTTGTGGCTACCAAATTGCGATATACATCAATGTTCCTGCCACCACATACAACCGCACACAACCGCACACACCCACACAGTGAAGAAGAGAAGAAGCTAAAACTTTGGCCTCACAGGCAAAGAGATTGACAGCAGCAGCCCCCTCCCTCCTCTCCCCTCCCCACCCCTCCTCTCCTCTCCTCTCCCCTCGCCTTCCCTCCCCTTCCCACCTCTCCTCTCACCAGGTCCCCTTGGCCCAGGATGCAGTGTGATTCGCCCTTTTGCACCCACGCCTCGCCCTCCCACAGGTGTGCCTCCTCCCCTGGCTGTGCCTTCCCTGGGTGTGCCTTCCCTGGGTGTGCCTTCCCTGGCTGTGCCTTCCCTGGCTGTGCCTTCCCTGGCTGTGCCTTCCCTGGCTGTGCCTTCCCTGGCTGTGCCTTCCCTGGCTGTGCCTTCCCTGGCTGTGCCTTCCCTGGCTGTGCCTTCCCTGGCTGTGCCTTCCCTGGGTGTGCCTTCCCTGGCTGTGCCTTCCCTGGCTGTGCCTTCCCTGGCTGTGCCTTCCCTGGCTGTGCCTTCCCTGGCTGTGCCTTCCCTGGCTGTGCCTTCCCTGGCTGTGCCTTCCCTGGCTGTGCCTTCCCTGGCTGTGCCTTCCCTGGCTGTGCCTTCCCTGGCTGTGCCTTCCCTGGCTGTGCCTTCCCTGGCTGTGCCTTCCCTGGCTGTGCCTTCCCTGGCTGTGCCTTCCCTGGCTGTGCCTTCCCTGGCTGTGCCTTCCCTGGCTGTGCCTTCCCTGGCTGTGCCTTCCCTGGCTGTGCCTTCCCTGGCTGTGCCTTCCCTGGCTGTGCCTTCCCTGGCTGTGCCTTCCCTGGCTGTGCCTTCCCTGGCTGTGCCTTCCCTGGCTGTGCCTTCCCTGGCTGTGCCTTCCCTGGCTGTGCCTTCCCTGGCTGTGCCTTCCCTGGCTGTGCCTTCCCTGGCTGTGCCTTCCCTGGCTGTGCCTTCCCTGGCTGTGCCTTCCCTGGCTGTGCCTTCCCTGGCTGTGCCTTCCCTGGCTGTGCCTTCCCTGGCTGTGCCTTCCCTGGCTGTGCCTTCCCTGGCTGTGCCTTCCCTGGCTGTGCCTTCCCTGGCTGTGCCTTCCCTGGCTGTGCCTTCCCTGGCTGTGCCTTCCCTGGCTGTGCCTTCCCTGGCTGTGCCTTCCCTGGCTGTGCCTTCCCTGGCTGTGCCTTCCCTGGCTGTGCCTTCCCTGGCTGTGCCTTCCCTGGCTGTGCCTTCCCTGGGTGCGCCTGCACGTTCTCGCATTTCCACCCGTCCCACGACCCACCCACCTCATTTGGACAGTGAGAGTGCCATGCCATGAAAGTGCGCCACATTCCCTCCCCTCCCCTCCCCTCCCCTCCCCTCCCCTCCCCTCCCCTCCCCTCCCCTCCCCTCCCCACACTCTCCTGACCACCCGCCCCCACACCCACCTCCCCGGCCCACCCACACCACCTACTCCACTCCACCACAGAGGGAGCCATGAGCAGAGAGTCCACAGCCTCGTCCGCCTCGTCCAGGATCTTTATCGTGAGGAGCCTAAAACAGCAACAAACTCCCCTCGCCACACTCACCTGTTCACCAGCCCACCCACCCACCTCTCCCACAGCACATCCTCAACCACAGAGAGAGCCATGAGCAGCCAGTCCACAGCCTGGTCCACCTCTTCTCGAATGCACCTCTTTTAAAACCTTAGGAAAAAAAAAAGGCCCCTATCCTATTCCGACACTCCCTTGTTCACCACTCCTACCCAACCCCACCCCACCCCACCCACAGCACCTACTCTTGCACAGAGAGAGCCATGAGCAGCGAGTCCACAGCCTGGTCCGCCTCGCCCAGAATGCACCTTCTTTAAAACCCCAGGATTTAGGTTATTTCCTTCCCACACTCCCCTGTTCACCACTCCCACCCACCCCACTCCACCCCACTCCACCCCACCCCACCCCACCCCACCCCATCCCACCCACAGCACGTACTCAGCCACAGAGAGAGCCATGAGCAGAGAGTCCACAGCCTTGTCCGCCTCCCCCAGGATGCATTTCCCTCAAAACCTCAGGAAATAAAGAAGGCCCCTCTTCCCACACTCCCCTGTTCCCCACCCCACCCCACCCCACACACCACCCCACCCCACCCCCACCCCACCCGCAGCACCTACTCTTGCACAGAGAGAGCCATGAGCAGAGAGTCTACAGCCTTGTCCGCCTCCCCCAGGATGCACCTTTTTTAAAACCTCAGGATTTAGGTTATTTCCTTCCCACACTCCCCTGTTCACCACTCCCCCCCACCCCACTCCACCCCACTCCACCCCACTCCACCCCACCCCACCCCACCCCACCCACGGCACCTACTCTTGCACAGAGAGAGCCATGAGCAGAGAGTCCACAGCCTTGTCCGCCTCCCCCAGAATGCGGTGTGTGATGCCCTTCTGTAGCCACGCCTCGCCCTCCACTGCGTGTGCCTTCCCGGGGTCTACCTCCCCAGGGCTTGCCTCCCCTGAGCTTTCCTCCCCTGCGTGTGCCTCCCCTGGGTCGGCCTGTACAACCGCGTCCCAGAACGGCTGTGACTCGCGGTAGCGGTTGAGGCGCAGCAGCGAGTGCGCCACCTGGGTGAGCAGCTGAGTGTTGGCCGGGTCGCGGGTGAGGGCAGGAACGAGGTCGTCGAGGGCTGCTGCGTAGTGCTCTACCTCAAACGCACTCATGCCTGCCATGGGTGGGGGGCAGGATGGGGCCGGGAAGGGAGGGAGGGTTGTATGAGGGAACGCAGCAGTGAGTGCGCCACCTGTGTGAGTAGCTGGGTGTTGGCCGGGTCGCGGGCGAGTGCAGGGACGAGGTCCTCCAGTGCTGCTGCGTAGTGCTCTATCTCAAACGCACTCATGCCTGGGATGGGTGGGGGGATGTGGGGAGGGAGAAGTTGGTGAGGGAGGCACAGCAGCAGAGAATGCGCCACCTGAGTGAGCAGCTGAGTGTTGGATGGGTCACGGGTGAGCGCCGGGACCAGGTCTTCCAGGGCTGCTGCATAGTGCTCTACCTCAAACGCAATCATGCCTGCCATGGGTGGGGGGATGCAGGCTCGGGGAAAGGGGAGGTAGGGACGGGTGAGGGAGGAGCAGCAGTGAGTGCGCCAACTGCGTGAGCAGCTGAGTGTTGGCCGGGTCACAGGTGAGCGCCGGGACAAGGTTGCTCATGGCTGCTGCGTAGTGCTCTATCTCAAACGCACTCATGCCTGGGATGGGTGGGGGGATGTGGGGAGGGAGAAGTTGGTGAGGGAGGCACAGCAGCAGAGAATGCGCCACCTGAGTGAGCAGCTGAGTGTTGGATGGGTCACGGGTGAGCGCCGGGACCAGGTCTTCCAGGGCTGCTGCATAGTGCTCTACCTCAAACGCAATCATGCCTGCCATGGGTGGGGGGGGATGCAGGCTCGGGGAAAGGGGAGGTAGGGACGGGTGAGGGAGGAGCAGCAGTGAGTGCGCCAACTACGTGAGCAGCTGAGTGTTGGCCGGGTCACGGGTGAGCGCCGGGACAAGGTTGCTCATGGCTGCTGCGTAGTGCTCTATCTCAAACGCACTCATGCCTGGGATGGGTGGGGGGATGTGGGGAGGGAGAAGTTGGTGAGGGAGGCACAGCAGCAGAGAATGCGCCACCTGAGTGAGCAGCTGAGTGTTGGATGGGTCACGGGTGAGCGCCGGGACCAGGTCTTCCAGGGCTGCTGCATAGTGCTCTACCTCAAACGCAATCATGCCTGCCATGGGTGGGGGGATGCAGGCTCGGGGAAAGGGGAGGTAGGGACGGGTGAGGGAGGAGCAGCAGTGAGTGCGCCAACTGCGTGAGCAGCTGAGTGTTGGCCGGGTCACGGGTGAGCGCCGGACAAGGTTGCTCATGGCTGCTGCGTAGTGATCTATCTCAAACGCACTCATGCCTGTATGGGGCAGCAGGGGAATGACGATGAATGGGAAAGGGGGTTTGTGGAGAAAGGGTGGAGGGAGAGAGGAGAAGGGGAGAAGAGTTGGGAGAGGTGATAGTGAGAGGCTGCGTACAGTACATGGCAGTCTGCTATTCTAAAAAATGTACAAGCTTCCCCATCACATCCCATGTCGGCATTTCCCCTTTCCACGTCAGAATCTCCCCTTTCCACGTCAGCAGCATCTCCCCTTCCTACCTCGGAACCGCCTGGCCTGGTCGTTGTGGGGGTCCAGCTCCACTGCCTTGACAAAGGCGCTGTGCGCCTGATGGGGGTGTGTGGAAGGCATAGGGGAAGTAAGGATGCAGGCAGCAAGAGGGCGACACGACAGAGGTGGTTATTGAGGATTCCCAAAAACTAACTGTCGTTGTGGGGGTGCAGCTCCACTGGCTTAACGCCATTGTGGGCCTAATCGGGTTGTGGAAGAAGGGGAAAGGATGCAGGCAGCAAGAGGTGACTTTTGAGACGACTCAAAAGTCAACTAACTGTTGTTGTGGGGGTGCAGCTCCAACCACTGGCTTAACGCCATTGTGGGCCTACTCGGGGTTAACGTCATTGTGGGCCTAATCGGGTTGTGGAAGAAGGGGAAAGCATGCAGACAGCAAGACCGAAATAGATGGCAGAAATGACTTGGAGGAGAGGGGGGGAAGTGAGGAGGAAGGGGTTTTGGTGTGACTTATCAGAGCAGGAATTAGGGTGATGTGAAGCACGTAAGCACATGGCATGGAGAGCGACAGAAGCGGGTGGCTCACTCACATTGGCATAGCCATTCAGAAGGGTGTATTCCTGCCCCAGCTCCACCCAGTATGCTGCCTTACTTACCGAGTCATCTTACACATCGAGTAACTCACTCACATTGGCATAGCCGTTCAGAAGGGTGTATTCCTGCCCCAGCTCCACCCAGTATGCTGCCTTACTTACTGAGTCATCTTACACATCGAGTAACTCACTCACATTGGCATAGTCGTTCAGAAGGGTGTATTCCTGCCCCAGCTCCACCCAGTATGCTGCCTTACTTACCGAGTCATCTTACACATCGAGTAACTCACTCACATTGGCATAGTCGTTCAGAAGGGTGTATTCCTGCCCCAGCTCCACCCAGTACACTGCCTTCTGTGGCTGCTTCTCCACTGCCTGCAGTGCACAGCAGATGGCGAGAAGGTGAGCCGTGAACGTGGTGGATACATACTCTCTTGCACACACGTGACACGTACATACATACACGCATGCACGCATACACACACTCACGCGCAAGCGCGCAGGCACACACACACACACACACACAGTGGGATCAGCACATTAGCACGGAAAGAAGCATATCCCTTTGTGGGTCGAGTCGAACAAACCAGGTTACAAAGTGCAGATTCTTCCAGTGCTCGCCACAACAACCAAACTCGTTTGCTTGAAGTTCAGAGCTGCCTGCTGGTGCTGCTCCAGCATGGAGCCTATTCTTGAGGCGTCATGCTGGAAGGAAAGGACCTGACTCGCCTGCTTGAAGTCGAGGGCTGCCTGCTGGTGCTGCTCCAGCATGGAACGCGCAACGCCCCTGCCGTGCAGCAAGGCGCCGTAGAGCCGCGAGAGAACCGCGTCCAGCTGAGAGGTGGGGGGAGGGAAGGGAGGGGTCAAATGGGGACAAGGCAGGGGGGTGACTTCAGTCGATTCGTGTCATCTGAAAGGTACCCCTGTCGTGCAGCAAGTGCTGTAGAGGCGCGAGAGAACCGCGTCCAGCTGAGAGGTGAGGGGAGGGGAGGGAGGGAGGTCACAGGACGACAAGGCAAGGGGGTGATTTGAGTGTGAATCAACCGGACTGAATGGAAGAAAACACATACCTTGAACCATCAGTTACCACAGGGAAGGCAACGGAGAGGAATGCTGACCTTATTGTACGAGTCGATGGCCTCCTCATAGTTCCTCGCCTTGAGCTGTTGGCTTGTGATAGCGCGTGATGACAGCATGTGATCGACCGCATAGGGATAGAGCCGATTGGAGCGAGATGGATAAGTATAGAGCAAGATCGATCAGAATGGAGTAAATTGGACTCGAATGGAGCGACACAATGCATAAAAGTGCAGAATGAATCAGAATGGAGCAAAATGGAACGGAATAGTGCACAATGGAGTATCATGGAGAATCATGTAGGCCTGAAATACGCGGATCAAACACACATGGACATGAAACGCGCGGCAACAATTTGAGCGTAAAAACACGAGCGACAGTGAAATCACCTTGGCATGTCCGTCTGCCAATAACGCGTACGGATCCACGCGAGCCTTCCCGTCTTCACCGGATTTTCCGTCGACATTTGAACGGTCCGTTTTGTTCGCGTCCTTTTCTTCTGTCGCTGCTGCTTCCGCTGCATTGTCGCCACTCGCGTCGCATTCCCCAGCGACGGCACATGTTCCTGGTAATGCGTCGGCTCGAAATTGCGATAAGGTGAGCAGAAGGAAGAAGAACAGAATCGACAGGAGCTGCGTAGGCAATAGCTTGGACTGCTTTCTAGAGCACCGTGAGTCCATGCTGTCACAATATCGCTTACGCTGCACAATTTCACAACGCCTGTTCACCACATTTCTGCAGATTACAACACTACCGCTAAAAAAAAGAATCCTACCGAAATTAATGTACCGCCTAGTGTTCTCAGTCTATCTTGCGTAACTGACGGTCGACGCCAGTGGCTAGACCATAATGCTGGGATGTGGTACAAAGAGCCTCTGACGTGACGATCTCGAGAGGATCGATCGACTTCAAGATCGTTTGTTGACGGGGTTGGAGTAGGTAATATGTGGATGTAGATGCAATAAGCGGGCTTATTACCACGCCCTGATGCTTCCTCTTCTCCCAACTACCACGTGGGCGGCGAGTTCTGCCGGCTCTCCCAAACCCAACTCCATCCTCTATACAAGGAAAATAACCAAGGCTCTGATTGTGGATGTATGCATTGCATGGTGTATTTCATCCATAAAAAACAACCAGAAAATAACATTTCAAGTGCAAAACCATATGTAGCCATGATGCCAACTAAATCAAATACTTAGCGTTCTTAAAAAAATGTTTAGAGTTTCCTGGTTTTTTGCTATGAGTGCTATTATTTGTACCATGCTAAACCACGCTTTGTGCATGATTCGACAGTCGTGTCAGATTTTCAATCCGACGCGCTGGGTGTGTGTCAGATTTCGAGTATAACACCAAGATCATGTCAGAATTCAATTTCGTCCTTCAAATTTTGACGCATGGCCATACAAATGCAATAGAACTGTACGATATACAACAAATAAACCTACCGAAATGGGGGTCCTCTTCACAAATTTATACCACAATGAACGAACCTCTTCCGCATAAGAATCCTGATGGACTTTCTTTCCGGCGGGTCCTTTGTGCGAGGGATTACGGTATGTTGAAATCCTCATGTGCTACGACGGTACCCTCCTAGAACTCAGTTCTCTACTGTGCATTCAAAGCAGCAGCAACGAACTATGAAAGGAAAATCAAGGTTCACAGCATCAATGTTCAGTACGAGCGGGGTAAAATACAGATCCAAACCATCCGTAGCAGCGCATGCTGATTGTTGCAGCTTTGTAAGGTGTGATGTGGAGTCTGGTATATGCGTTTGTCACATGTTTTAATGTCTTGTTAGGCTACAGTGAGTAGCATTGTAGGGAGTACAGCAAATTCCTAGGGTTGCTATTTGTATTGTTTGAAACCCTAATGCATTGATTCCGCTGTTCAACTTCTGAGAGCATTATACGGTATGTCAGACATTTTGAGGCGCATCAGATATTTGGAGGTGTGCGGTCAGGGTGTTGAGCTGGAGAAATGGCGATGGCAGCAGTGTCTGCATGGCTGCCTGCACCCACTAGGGCACGTTTCCCCGGGGAAACTGATCGGGCAGGCGCCTGGGAAGGACGCGCCTCACAACACGCGAGCCGGGTGCAGAGCTGGGGATATGTCGATAGCGGCAGTCTGCATGGCTGCCTGCACCCACTGCGGCACGTCCCCCTGGGGGAACTGGGGGACATGGGGATGGGGGGATGTGGGAAAGGGGACGGGGGATGGAGGGAAGGGGAGAGGCAAGGATGTGAGGTGGGGAATGGAAAGCTGTGGGGATGTGAGGAAACACGAGGGCAGAGGGCTGTATGTACGTGTGCGTGCATGCGTGCGTGTGCGTGCGTGCGTGCGTGTGTGTGTGTGCGTGTGTGTGTGTGTGTGTGTGTGTGTGTGTGCGTGCGTGCGTGTGTGTGTGTGTGTGTGCATGTGTGTGTGTGTGTGCGTGCGTGCGTGTGTGTGTGTGTGTGTGTCTGTGTGTGTGTGTGTGTGTGTGTGTGTGCGTGCGTGTGCGGGTGTGTGTGGAGCATCGACCTAGAGAGAGAGGGGTGAGTTGGGGGAGAAAGGGCGAAAGGGCACACCTGTTTTTGGAGAAATTCGACCACAAAACTGCAGGGAGCATGGGAGCAGGGAGGAGGGGAGCAAAAAGGAGGGGAACGCATGAGTACAGGACACACAGGGATACAAGGTAATTCTTGGATACATGAGAGAGAGAGACATGAGGGGTTAAAAAGGTATATGAGGGATTAAGCGCGATGTAAAAGGTGACGAGGGAAGGGAGGCAAATGAAGGGAGGGAGACAGGTGAAGGGAGGGAGACAGGTGAAGGGAGGGAGGGAGGCATACCTGGGGAAGGTGTTATTGAGAATGGCGTCGTGCATTGACCTCGAGAGCTGCATTGCCAGGGAGGAGAGGAGGGCATGAGATGGGAGCAGAGACAAGCCCATTTCACGTGTGAGCAGGGTGGACATTCAAGAGCAATGGGCTGACTGAGAGGCATGCACTGCCATGCAGTTTCAGTCCAGTTGGAAATGGCAGCGTGTAACTCTCACTCGCACTCTTTCATAAATTGGAACTCGTTCATTCCAGTTTCCGTCCACTACTCCCCCCCAGCCAACTTCCGCTCTCAACATATGCTTCCACTCTCACCTCGTCTCACATCCCCAATATGTCCCAACCACCGCCTTTGCCACACACGTGCCATCCCAATCACATCACATCTCATGCCACCTCTCTCCCCATCTCCACCCATAGTAACCCCCCCCCCTCCCCCCCCCCCCAACTCCCCTCCCCACCCCCACCTGCATCATGTAGGCGATGTTGTGGATGGTGAGCAGGTGTGCGTTTTCGCGCAACACCAGAATCATCTTCCCCTCAACCCCACACATCCCTTCTCTTCCCCAACTGCCCTCCCACCTGCATCATGTAGGCGATGTTGTGGATGGTGAGCAGGTGGCAGCCCACGGGGTCCTTGGTCACCAGCGAGTGCAGATAGGCCCGTGAGAAGCTGCGGCATGCCTGGTGGGGTGCAGAGGGATGAAGTGGGGTGCAGAGGGGTGTGGGGGATGCAGTCAGGAGTGGATGCGGTGGGTGGAAGGTTGAACGTGAGGCGCCTCAAGTGAGCAGGTGGCAGCCCACGGGGTCCTTGGTCACCAGCGAGTGCAGGTAGGCCCGTGAGAAGCTGCGGCATGCCTGGTGGGGTGCAGAGGGATGTGGCGTGGTGCAGAGGGGTGTGGTGTGGGGGACGAGAGGAGAAGAGTGCAGATTCACAGGAGGAGAGCAGCAGGCAGCAAGGCAAACCCAGCAGGCAGGGCGGCAGCAGGGGACGCACCAGGCAGGAGCAGGAGGGGTCGATGGGGCGATGGTCATTCGCCATGGCAGCATGGGAACACAGAGGCAATGCTTCAATCACTACGGCAGATGCACCAGGGCGGCAGGGAGACGCAGCAGGCAGCAGGGGGGCACAGCAGGCAGGGCAGCAGGGGACGCACCAGGCAAGGCAGGGCAACCCACCAGGCAAGGCAGGGCAACCCACCAGGCAACACAACCCACCAGGCAGGAGCAGGAGGGGTCGATGGGGCGGTGGTCATGTGCCATGGCAGCATGCTTGAGCTTCAACACGCCCTCTGGTATCAGAGCCGTGCCGAAACGGGCCGTGCGCGTGGGGTAAACACAGTCGTACATGTCTGCTCCCAGGGCCGAACACACCACTATGTCCAATGGGTACCCCACTCCCTGCACCCGACACAGAAATGCATGGAGGGAGAGGAAGAGGGTCAACCGGCCTGCTTGCGATGCATGGTACACAGCTCTCCATACGCGAGGTCCTGCATGCCTGCTCCCCACAGGGGTACACACCACTATGTCCAATGGGTGACATACCACACCATACTGTACCATGCCACACCATACTGTACCACATGCCGTACCATGACGTATCGTGGCTTGTTGGCCGGCAGCGCTGCCGTGCACTGCGCCACTACTCGCCAAAACGACTCCTTGTCCTCGCCGCCCGCCAGCCCACCAATTGCATACCTGGAAGTGATCAACGGTGTTGAGTAGAATGGGTGGGATGGGATGGTGGTGTGGATGAAGCAGACGCTGTGAGAGGCAATTCATTGCCTCAATGGGACAGAGCTGAAATTTCGATTTGTATGGAGCAATACAGGCTGAAGCCACAAGCCAATACAACATCATCTGCCCAAACGGAACGACAGTAGCGGTGGTGACACTGCTGTGAACCAATCCAGACTCGGCTCTGATCGTGCGGGTAGGCTGCACGATCCACACTGACGTACCCGGGTAGGTCTCTGTCAATGAGCCCCTTCAGACAGATGTCCCTGCATGCATCAAGGGGGGGGGGAGAGAGTGGAGGGAGCAGGCAGCAGACAATGGAGAGAGGAAGATGGTAGAGGCAGCAGCAGGGAGCAGGAAGAGGGGTTGCAGGAGATGGAAGCGTGGTTAAGTTGCTTCTGAAGTTTCTCAAAAGGTGAATCTCATATTGCTGGTGGAGAGAGCAAAGCGAGAGAGGAAAGAGGAGAGAAGATCACAACAGCACTGCCTATATGTCAGAGGCCTTTCGGTTTGCCTTCACTAGAATTGACTCACCTGAACCTGCTATTCTAAATTATAACGCTGTTTCCACCTGAGCAGCTACCACCTGAGTTTTCACCTGAGCTTAGGGTCCAGCCCTCCCTGCACGATCCCAAAGAGGTTCTGATCGTGCGGCCGGCTGTGGGCTGCGGAGAGAGGGGGGAGGGAGGGAAGGCACAGCAGCATGCAGGAGACTGGAAGGCTGGGTCGCTGGGAGGCTGGGTCGCTGGGAGGCTGGGAGAAAGAGGAACGGGTGGGGCGCTGTGGAGAGCAAGCAGTGGGGAAATGACGAGCTGAACCTGGAATCCCAGTGTCATGTCATGGCTTGTGATGGCAAGTGATGTGAATGCTTACTTGGAGCCTCGTACCCCACGAGCCTTACAACCAGTGGCTTTTCTCAATTGGTACCCGCATAGTCACTACATTTAGTTCACACATGATGCACATCTACGTCCACCTCACCCTGCCTGCACCGGCCCATGCTCCTCACCCTGCCTGCACCGGCCCATGCCCCTCACCCTGCCTGCACCGGCCCATGCCCCTCACCCTGCCTGCACCGGCCCATGCCCCTCACCCTGCCTGCACCGGCCCATGCCCCTCACCCTGCCTGCACCGGCCCATGCCCCTCACCCTGCCTGCACCGGCCCATGCCCCTCACCCTGCCTGCACCGGCCCATGCCCCTCACCCTGCCTGCACCGGCCCATGCCCCTCACCCTGCCTGCACCGGCCCATGCCCCTCACCCTGCCTGCACCGGCCCATGCCCCTCACCCTGCCTGCACCGGCCCATGCCCCTCACCCTGCCTGCACCGGCCCATGCCCCTCACCCTGCCTGCACCGGCCCATGCCCCTCACCCTGCCTGCACCGGCCCATGCCCCTCACCCTGCCTGCACCGGCCCATGCCCCTCACCCTGCCTGCACCGACCCATGCCCCTCACCCTGCCTGCACCGGCCCATGCCCCTCACCCTGCCTGCACCGGCCCATGCCCCTCACCCTGCCTGCACCGGCCCATGCCCCTCACCCTGCCTGCACCGGCCCATGCCCCTCACCCTGCCTGCACCGGCCCATGCCCCTCACCCTGCCTGCACCGGCCCATGCCCCTCACCCTGCCTGCACCGGCCCATGCCCCTCACCCTGCCTGCACCGGCCCATGCCCCTCACCCTGCCTGCACCGGCCCATGCCCCTCACCCTGCCTGCACCGGCCCATGCCCCTCACCCTGCCTGCACCGACCCATGCCCCTCACCCTGCCTGCACCGGCCCATGCCCCTCACCCTGCCTGCACCGGCCCATGCCCCTCACCCTGCCTGCACCGACCCATGCCCCTCACCCTGCCTGCACCGGCCCATGCCCCTCACCCTGCCTGCACCGGCCCATGCCCCTCACCCTGCCTGCACCGGCCCATGCCCCTCACCCTGCCTGCACCGACCCATGCCCCTCACCCTGCCTGCACCGGCCCATGCCCCTCACCCTGCCTGCACCGGCCCATGCCCCTCACCCTGCCTGCACCGGCCCATGCCCCTCACCCTGCCGGCACCCCTCACTCCACCTCACCCTGCCGGCACCCCTCACTCCACCTCACCCTGCATGCATCGATCCATCCACCTCAGCGTGCGATGAGTCGCCTCCTCAATGCGCGGGCCTGACACCAGGCTGCTGACCACGTCATCCAGAGCCATGATGATGTCAGCACCGATCTTGTTCTGCGCTCCTTCCAGGAAACAGCCCATGAGTCAGTCACACAAGAGAAAACGCATGGCGGAGGGCTTTTAAGGGGTGTGATTTGTTGAAATGAACGGTGGGTGATGGAGGTAATTCAAAGTAAAACACACATGGTCGTTCATTAAAAGAGACCTAGCGGATCACCTGTAGTTCCCATTTCTAGTTCCCACCTGAAGTTCCCTCCTACAGTTCCCACCTGCAGTTCCCACCTGCAGTTCCCACCTGCAGTTCCCACCTGCAGTTCCCACCTGCAGTTCCCACCTGCAGTTCCCACCTGCATTTCCCACCTGAAGTTCCCTCCCACAGTTCCCTCCCACAGTTCCCTCCCACAGTTCCCTAGTAGACTAATAGAAATCGTCAACCACACATCGAAGTATATAAAAAACAAGATCTAAGACCTTATGTGCGGGATTTCTGGCTAGCGGGTTTAGGGAGCTAAGTCGACCATGAATATGAAACGGTGTCGTCCACAGGCGACTGGAAGTCCAACGCCCAAGCCCAACGCCCAAGCCCAACGCCCGTGCAGTGGAGAGCAGTGGAGTGCGGTGGAGTGCAGTGGAGTGCGGTGGAGTGCGGTGGCCCGTGGGGGTTCGTGTGGGAGGCACCTGAATGGCGATGGACTCTTCTGGTGTGAGCAGCATGCGAGTGCCGTCCACAGGCGACTGGAACTCCACCCCCTGCTCTGTGATGTCCGCCAGGTGCTGTGCTGGTGCAGAGTGGTGGAGTGCAGTGGAGTGTGGTGGAGTGCGGTGGAGTGCGGTGGAGTGCAGTGGAGTGTGGTGGAGTGCGGTGGGGGTTCGTGTGGGAGGCACCTGAATAGCAATGGACTCCTCAGGCGTGAGCAGCATGCGCGTGCCGTCCACAGGCGACTGGAACTCCACCCCTTGCTCTGTGATGTCCGCCAGGTGCAGCAAAGACACCTGCCACGGTGCCCAGCAGTGGAGAGGAGTGCAGGGCGGTGGAGAGGAGTGCAGGGCGGTGGAGGCCGGTGTGCGGCAAAGCTCGAAGTGAGGTGGCGGCGGCAAGCAGCAGCAAGAGCACCCGGTGTGGGCAGGGCATGGCATGGCATGCAACAGCGCTGGAGCAGAGGCATGTGGCTGCCGTTTGAGCATTGTGTGCATTCCCCATGCCTATATTCCCTTCCCCGTGTCTACATTCAACCCCTCCCGCCATCTGCAAGCGAGGCACGCACCATCTGAAACCCCCCCGAGTCGGTGAGCAGTCCACGTGGCCAGTCCATGAACGCATGCAGCCCGCCTGCCTCAGCAATGACGTCAGCGCCGGGGCGGTTGGCGAGGTGGTATGTGTTCCCCAGCACCACCTGGCAGCCCAGCTCGCCCAGCTGCTGCGCCGTTAGCCCCTTGATTGTGCCTATTTTCGTTCAATGAGTGGAGGTAAGGGGATGGGGCGGAACGGGGTTGGCGAGGTGGTAGGTGTTCCCCAGCACCACCTGGCAGCCCAACTCGCCCAGCTGCTGCGCTGTTAGGCCCTTTATTGTACCTGTTGTGCTCCCGCGAGGGGAGGAAAAGGAAGGACAGACAGGGGTTGGCAAGGTGGTAGGTGTTTCCCTCCCCAGAACCACCTGGCAGCCCAACTCTCCCAGCTGCTGCGCTGTTAGCCCCTTGATTGTGCCTATTTTCGTTCAATGAGTGGAGGTAAGGGGATGGGGCGGAACGGGGTTGGCGAGGTGGTAGGTGTTGCCTTCCCCAGCACCACCTGGCAGCCCAACTCGCCCAGCTGCCGTGCCGTCAGCCCCTTAATCGTGCCTGCCTCGGGAGAATGGGGAGAGGACAGGGGAAGGAAGGCTGTGAGGCGAATCACTTGAGTGGTACTGTCAGCGCCAGACAGGTTGGCGAGGTGGTGGTGGGGGGCGCCCCTTTATGGTGCCTGTGGGGGTGGCATGGGGAGAGGACAGGGGAAGGAAGGCTGTGAGGTGAATCACTTGAGTGGTACTGTGAGCGCCAGACAGGTTGGCGAAGTGGTGGTGGGGGGCTGTAAAAGCACCACCTGGCAGCCAGCTCGTGCAGCTGCTGCGCTGCCTAAAACCCCTTTCAACCCCTCTCAAACCCTCTCAACCACTCTCAACACCCGTCAGCCATGGTGGGACCCACCTTGGGTTGCGCACGGGCATGAACATGGGCGTGAGGCAGCTGCAGCACCATTCTCGCTACATGCTTTCTAAGCCCCTCTCAGCCCATCTGAGCCCCAACTCAACCCCTCTCAGAACCTGTCAACCACTCTCAACACCCGTCAACCATGGCAGGACCCACCTTGCGTGCCCACGGGCATGAACATGGGCGTGAGGCAGCTGTGGTGCGGCAGCGTCATTCGCGCCGCTCGCGCGCGCCCGTGGGTCGCCAGTACCTACCGCCGCGGGCGGAGGTAGGGAGGGGCGGGGGAGGGGTGCGGCGGGGGGAGGGAGGCATGGGGGAAGGGAGGGGCGGACGCGGGGGAGCTTAAAGGCGCAAGAGCTTCGCGCGCGTGGCAACTAGCGGTTGTGGGAAGAACTAACAGGGGTAAAAGGGGCGGGCGGGGAACGGGACAACCGGCGGAATGTATGCATTCAGTTCAGTAGAAGAATGCGCACCTCGAATTCTAGCGCCATGCTGCTGCTGCTGGCGTCGTCGCTGCCGCCACTGCTGCTGCTGCCGTAGCGGCTGTTGCTTATACTGGCGTCGCTGCGGGCGACGGCATTCAGCCGCTTTGCTGCACCATGCGCTGTGGACTGGCCGTGTAGGCCTCGCCGTAAGGAATGGTACCGGCAATGGCGGCGGAGTGGCGGCGACAGACGACGTGTCGCGACGGGCGACAAGACGAGACGGAGTGACCAGCGGACACTCGCACAGACTCTAACAACCATAATATTATGTTAAGATTTTCAATATTCTCAGCCGCCCTAGCTCAGTTGGTAGAGCGCAAGGCTCTTAACCTTGTGGTCGTGGGTTCGAGCCCCACGGGCGGCGTCTTTTACCTTTGTGGACACGTTTTCATTTTCCTACTTTCTGTCGTGAGTGTATGTGATGGTTTGTGTAACGCGGATGGGAACACGAAGCCTCAAGGCTTCTACGTGGAGCATCTTCGTAGGTCAAGAAACTGTCGCACGTTCCATTTACTTTGCCACCTCCCCAATCGCGCACCAATCGCGCACCAATCGCGCACCAATCGCGCACCAATCGCGCACCAATCGCGCACCAATCGCGCACCAATCGCGCACCAATCGCGCACCAATCGCGCACCAATCGCGCACCAATCGCGCACCAATCGCGCACCAATCGCGCACCAATCGCGCACCAATCGCGCACCAATCGCGCACCAATCGCGCACCAATCGCGCACCAATCGCGCACCAATCGCGCACCAATCGCGCACCAATCGCGCACCAATCGCGCACCAATCGCGCACCAATCGCGCACCAATCGCGCACCAATCGCCAACCAATCGCGCACCAATCGCGCACCAATCGCGCACCAATCGCGCACCAATCGCGCACCAATCGCGCACCAATCGCGCACCAATCGCGCACCAATCGCGCACCAATCGCGCACCAATCGCGCACGAATCGCGCACCAATCGCTGTCGCCATCGCAGGGGCAAGCAGAGCCGCGTGCGAGCCGGGATTCGGGAAATCGCACACGGTGGAACATCGAAGCGCGGCAAACCAATCAGAAATTGCGCCCCTTTCACAACGCAACTCGTCAAACCCATCCCACGTTTCTCATTCCTTGCTATTTTCCACCACATCTCCAGCGCAACATTTTCCACCTCGCTTGAACGAGGAGCTCTACTGCTGCTGCTGCTGAGCAGGGCTGTGCCGTCACTTGATAGTCGCATCCGAAGCGCGCCAGTCGTGATCCGCTGACAAGTCAGCAAGGGTGTGCTGAGTTGCGTCCCGTCCCGTGGCGAGCCGAGTAGCCAAGTCTCTTTCTGCCATGGCCACTCCACCGACACCCCGCTGCACCGTGCCCTCCTTCAGTTGTTTACCGCCATATCCACCCTCGCTTCAGTCCCGCGTGAAACGATGTTAGCTCCATACGCTAGTGTGAAGCAGCGCTCCTAAGAACCGCAACGCGAGAATGGACCAGAGCATACAATGTGCGGCGCGGCAGAAACGCGTTTCAGCAATACGATCTTATTAATCGGCTAACACAGCTACTAGGCACGCCACTCCAGCATTGCGTGCAAGTGTAATCAACAATCCTACTAGCGCCCGGTAAACTTGAGATAAGTAATCACAAAAGTACTGACTATCTTTAGCGGAGGTTTCCACTACCTCCATCTACAGCCTCTGCGTGAGCTGCGTTGTAGAACCGTCCATACACCCGCCGATCTGCGCGAGTCGCGGGGATGAACTCTGCGGCGCTGCTGCTTCTCCCGCTCCTCACCCGCCTCCTTCCGCGCCAGCTCGGCGCGCTTCACGCCGAAGGGACCTCGAGCGCCCTCGTGCTCTCTCCTGATTGGCGGGCGGTCGCAGGAAATGGGGGAAGGGCTGTGGGGGAGCAAGGAGAAGCAACACGGGGGGAGGGCGGGGTTGAAGTCCGGGGAGAAATGAGACAGTTGGGGGAAGGCCGCCAAGGGGGGAAAGTGGCAGCGGCGCACCGGTTGCTGGCGGTGAATGGCGGGAGTAATCAAAGTGGCGCCGGGAAGCGGGGGAGGGGGAAGGGGAGGGAAACGGCAGCCACGGCAGCGGAAAGAAAAGGGGCGAGAGGGGCGAGGGGACTGGCAGGAAGAATAGGAGCTACCCCGTCAGGAGCATCCCCGCCGCGCAACCACGCTGTAGGTCGCGCCAAGGGGAAAGGGCACAAGGGGGTGAAGAGGCATGGGAGGGGCGCAAGGGGCGGAGCTAGGCAGGCTGCTCGAGGGGGAGGCGTGCGAACGGGAAATATTATGACCAGTCGGACGCAGCACTCTCAGAGAAGGCCAGCTACGGTGCAACGAAAAGGAGGACGACGTCAGAAAGGGGCGAAGAAACGTCCGAAGAGGCGGGTCCCGAAGGGGGTTGTGAGTCAGCAGTACAACGCAACGCAGAAGCCAAGCAGAGGGGGACAGCGCAGGACAGGAGCAGCAGCGGGGGGGGCACAAGGGGGAGGCAAGGCGGCGAAACGCCCTGACGGCGGCCGTGGAGAGGAGCCGTTGCCGGAAGCACAGCTCGTGCGCGGGCGGACAGGGACAACAAGGGGGGGAGGAAGGAGGGGAGGCGGAAGAGGACGTAGCAAACGCGGCGTGGGGTCGGTGGAGCTGCCTACACCCTATGGCTATGTTCCCACTTGAAGCTGACATTTTTGTGCCGCCTACTAACTGCCTAACAACTGGAACTAGCTGGGGGAACGCCATGTAGTCAGGTTCTATGCAGCTCAATCTTGCTGTTGGAAACTCCTCAGGTGTAGGGCTCTTGCTGTTTGCCATACCACAATCTGTCAATGGAATGTAAATGACCTAACATGATTGCATTATTTAGCTGCAAACCAGAAACCCTAAACCCTTGCAAAACATAACCACATGGGCTGAAAGAACTAGACTAGTGTAAGGAAAATTCACTTTCCTTACCTCGCGTCCCTTCTTACCGCGTACATGTCCGTTCCCGCCATCGGCACTCATCCGTGAACGTTACCCGCTCGCGACATTCGCTTCGACCACGACTCCCGCCACCGTTCACGATGCGACCCAACCTCACGGTTCGGTTGGTAACCCGCGCTCCGGACCTCCGCCTCGACAATTCCCAACCTCGGGGCTAGGCCCGTAGCGAACCCCAATTTCCCGCATTACCGTTACCACACTAGCTTCGCTACATAACTTCGCTCATGCTTTTCGCTCAACTGTATTGTTTGCTTCGATAGTGCATTTCTCGCTCGCTCGCTCAATTGCACTCGTAACAACTAGCAGGGGTGAACTAGCACGTGACCACCACAGGGAGCTCCAGGCCAACTTCAAGGAGAACCCCAACTGAGGCAAGGCAGGGCAGGGGCATAACACAAGCATCTCGCTAAACTACGGTAGCTGGAACGCTGCTACCAGTAATGCCAAGCCAATGGAGGGGCAGCTTTGCCAAGCTCGTAAGAGCGCTCCTAAGAGCGAGCAGCGGAGGATGCCCGGGAGGGCGTGGGGGGAGAGGAGAGGGCGGCAACAGCCGAGGCAACGGTGGGCAGTTGGGAGGTGAGCGAGGGGAAGGAGGGCAGCGTGGGGTCAGTGAGAGGCGTGACTGATGGGGAGAGCCACGGCATGACTGCTGAGGCAAATGTTTCAAAGCGCGATGAGAGAATGGCCTCCCAGTCCACCTGCAGACGTTTCGGTAGAGCAGGGAGAGGGGCGAGGGGGAGGGGGGGAAGGTGGGGTATGGGTGGGGCGAGGTAAGGATTCGTGAGAGCAGACGAAATTACAAGAGGAAGGATAAGAATGGTAGTGGACATGAGTGTGGGCAGGCAGAAGTGGTGACAACACACGCAGAGATGCCACTGTCTCTTGCTCCCTTCCACACATGTGCTGGAGTGCATGCCTACCCCCAAACACATGCAACAGGCCTGCACATCGCCACAACCCCAACACTCCAAAGAACCAAATTAGAAAGTCACAGACATGAAACTGCACCGTTCCCCACAAACCTGCAGTTTGCGCGGAATGGTGGCGGTGATCTGTAGCTAGGTGAGGCGATTATTTAATCGACTAACGTCTCAGCACACCCACAGCTTACACACCTGCAGTTTGGGCGGGATGGTGGCGGTGACTTGCAGCTGGGCCGCAAGGAAGAGCGCCAGCGTCACCACGTACCCCACCATGGCTGTTCCACGTGCCAGCGGCATGAAGTTGTACCTGCCGCAGACAGAGTGGTGCAAGGGTGGTGCAGAATGGTGTAAGAGTTATGCTGAGAGCCAGCGTCACCACATACCCCACCATGGCTGTTCCACGTGCCAGTGGCATGAAGTTGTACCTGAGGTGGGTTGGTTTGTGCATGCATGGTGCAAGAGTGGTGCAGAGCGGTGCAATCAAAATGCTGATATTCAGCTACAGAGGCACGCAGCCGGTTGCAACCTGCTGCTCAAGTTAGCAGTCAGGCGCCACACTCACGAGCTGCTGCGGACAGGTGAACATTGAACCAATGCCATCTAGGTTGCAGAACAAACAGGGCCTTGCGAGGTGATAACAGCAAGAGCGCGTGGTTACCAGTAATAGGCGAGGCGCAGCACGGCACACTCGAATCTCACAATGGAAGTAGTTTTTGAGAATTCCAACAGGAACACCTTACGAGGTGCAAGAGTGCAAGAGTGAAGAGGGAGAGGGTACCAGTAGTAGGCAAGGCGCAGCACGGCTCGTTGAAATCGCGCCATGGAAGGACCGAGGGGCGGCCTCCATGCCCCGCCCTGCATCTTCTCCCCCACCACTGTGCACACGTCCTGGTGGGGGGGGGGGAGTAGAGGGAAAGGAGAGGGGAATTTATGAGTCGACTCAGAAAGGGGATTAGAGGAGGAGGGAGCGGCGGCCTCCATGCCCCCCCTTGCATCTTCTCCCCCACCACTGCACACACGTCCTGGTGTGGGGAAGAGGGAGGAAGAGACAGAGAGAGGCACAGGGCGAGGGTAGAGATAACAGTTACAAAGCGCGGAAGCGCGCCATGAAAGCACCGCTGGGAGGCCTCCATGCCCCCCCCTGCATCTTCTCCCCCACCACCGCACACACGTCCTGGGTTGGGGGACAGGGGGGTTATGGGATGGGAGGCGTGGGGAGGGTTGGAGAGATGAGAGGGGCGCAGGATGGAGGAGAGGTAGAGATTGAGTGGGGGAGTTGTGGAGTTGGCATTGGAGGAGCTGGAACCCTACTTCCCCCCTCTCAGCAGCCACGCTGCAGCTGTGATTGTGTCACAACACAACCACACACATACTACAGAAAATCCCAGTTCAGCAGGGTAACACCAGGGGGTTGCTTTTCTAAGGGGTGCACCTCCAGTGGGGTGCCCTCACCACCCAAAAAGGCACTTTCAGCGGCCCTCACACTACTACACACATCCGTGCCATAATCTGCTTGCTATCAGCAGCACGCATCCTGCGACCTTCACAGCGCTCACACCATCCACCCCTCTTCACAACGCCATGCCACCCCATCCCACGCACCTCCCATGCAGCCGCCATCTCTGCGTCGTAGTCCGCCCACCGTGACGGCGTGCCGGGCGTGCGGATGGCAAAGTCAAACCCCGTGGGGCTGCGTACATGGGGAGAAAGAGACAGGGAAATGGAAAGAAGTAAGGACGAAAGGAAGGAGAGCTGTGGAGAGGAAAGCTGTGAGTGACAGCAGCATAGGTGGCAAGGGAGCAGAGGACAGTGGAAACGAGTGGGCAGAGTGAATAATGGAGGAGGGCTTACGTCTTCACTAGAGTGAGTCGTGTGCCCTCGAGAACCTTCCTGGAAGGGTGGAAAATGATGCAAGTGGCACATGCAGACAGCAACAGGAACGGACAACGGTCATTTGAGCAGCGGAAGCAAGAAGTGGACGGAGGAGACGGTGAGGTCTCCGTGATGTGAGACAGTTTGTAAAATAAAGGATGGCAGGCAGATTGATACAAAAACTCAGAAGCGAGAATTTCTGGCTCACCCCGGGTCAACCATGCTGTGGCAGGGTGTGACGATCCAGAAATCCTCCCCCACCACCCGATACAGATCCTCACATGCCTTGGCTGCCGCCACCTGGCACAGTGGAGGGGTGAGCCTCACACAGAGGGTGGAGAAGAGGGTGGGTGAGTGGGGAAAGGAGAGAATGAGGTGAGCATGCTGTGGCAGGGTGTGACGATCCAGAAATCCTCCTCCACCACCCGATACAGATCCTCACATGCCTTTGCTGCCGCCACCTGCCACAGCAGAACAAAGGTTTGAGGAAAGGGTGGGTGAGTGGGGAGCGGGGACATGAGAGTGAGGAGAGGGAGAAAGGGATTGCTTATCCTGAGGGTCTGAGCTACCAAATAAGAAACGGAGTCAGAAACAAACGGACGGAGAAGGGGGGTGGGAGTGGAGGAATAGAATTTGAGTGGATCGGGACTGTGAGAGAGAGCATGAGAGAGGGCATGAGAGAGGGTAGGACTGACAGCTGCTTTCTGGGCGGGTGCGTCGACGGGAACTCTGTTGTTAGTAGCGTTGTGCACCGCACCCGACTGCAGCATCTCCTCCTTCATTATCGCAAACGCCCTGCACGCACCCCCCACGCACAGGCACACAGATCTTAGGCTCCTCCAAATAACTTCTGAGAATTCTCGAAAATTGACTCCGCGCACACCACACACAGGCACACAATCCTTATGCTCCTCGGAAATATTTCTTTGCTATGGCATTGCCATGCACGCAGCAGAGACAAAGGCATACATGCAAAGGGAGCTGTGCCCCCACTTAGCGCCCCCACTTAGCGGCCCCACAGCGCGCCCCCACAGCGCGCCTCCACAGCGCGCCCCCACTTAGCGCGCGCCCAATTAGCGCTCCCACTTAGCGCGCACATTTATCGCCCCCACTTTGAGAGGGAATGATGCAGACATGAGCGGCAGGGGAGACGCAGACACGAATAACAGCAAAGCAGCAAGGAGTGTATGAGGTAGCAGGAAGCGTACCGGTCGAAGTTTGCATGGTAGCGCACCACCTTGATCTGCCTGATGCGAATGGGCGTGTGCCTTTTGAGGCGCTCTTTATGCTTAGCTCCTTGCAGTGGAGCACTAATACCCTTTCTCCATTGATTCTAAGAGGTGAGAGAGGAAGCCTACCGGTCGAAGTTAGCATGGTAGCGCACCACCTTGGTCTGCCCGAGGAGAATGGGCGTGCGTGCGGCTTTTGGGGAAAATAATAAAGGTGTGAGGTGAGAGGGAGCACAGGGAGGGGGTGCCTACCGGTCGAAGTTGGCATGATAGCGCACGACCTTGGTCTGCCCGATGAGAATAGGCGTGTGCGATCCAAAGCCTGCTCGGAACTCCTTCTCCCTGTGGCACAAGGAATGAAAGGAGGGGTCGCTGGTGAAATGAGTACTCAGGGGTACGATCATGAGGCACTTTACTAGTGACATGCTGCACTGTGTTCGACCATGGTTCACACACACAGGCGGGCCACATGGCTCATACAGGTGCCCTGCACAGTACTGTAACAATGTATGAGGCACCTCAAGTTAGAAACATCATCTACAATCCAGCCCCTCACACCACTCACGGGAGCATGTCCACCCATACAGCGGGGTCACTCACACGGCTCTGACGCTGCTTTCTGAGTCGACCAAAAAACCATGCATGCAGCATGCCTCACACTACTTACGTGAGCATGTCCACCCATACAGCCGGGTCACACGGCTCTGAAAGCTGCCTCCAGCGCACAGCAATGGAGTAAGCATCTCTCCACCCCTTTATTTGCACTCCCTTCGCTGCCCCAACTCCTCCTCCTGCGCTTGCAGAGGCATTCTTCCCTCCGCTTCCACCTCCTCCCTTCCCTCGCCCTCCTCCCTTTCCACCCTTGTTCTTTCCCCCCTTTCCTCCGCCGCTTTTCCCTGAACCTCCTCCCTTCCTCCTCTCCTCTTGACCTCTGCTGCCGCTTGCCACTGCCTCTCCTCCACTGCTGCTACCCCCATCATCGTCCAAGGAAATCGATGACACGTCATCAACGGATGGTCCGGGAGATGACGACACGTCAGCAGATGATGACTTGGAGAAGGACGACATGTCGGCGCCTCCATCCTCCAGCTCAGCAAGAACGGCAGCTGCTGCAGCTGAAGCAGGAGATGTGCCACCAGCGGCAGCGGCGGCGGCAGCTGTAGCAGCAGCAGCCTCCTCCTCACGCTGTTCCCAGGCGGCTGCTACAGCCTGGGCGATTTCAATGGCAGCAAGGCCAGCCATGCGATACTGGCACGGTGGACGGCACAATGCAGGGCCATGCACAGTAGCAAGAAGAGATGAATGACGGAATGAGAGGGGGAAGGGGTGGGGGTGAGACATGCGTGCCAATGTATGGGTGGTCCCAGCTGCAAGGCGTCATGGGGTGTGTGACTGTGAGTGTCATAGTCTGTCTGACCAGATGACCTTAACTAAATACCACCTCACACCAACAGAGAACTACTTGACACAATCAGCAATCCACCTGACACTACCAATTACCACCTGGCGCCAGCAAAAGCACCTAATGCTGCTCTATAAGGGGCTTCGGGTCAGCAAAACACATCTGAGTCCAACCTGGCGGACGTTGCCATGGAAGCCAGGGCACGAGTACTGCGTGAGCCGGCCTATCCGATCAGCCAGCTCCAGCAGCCTCTGCACCTCGGGATTCCCACTGCTCTTGCCGCCACCACCACCTGCACCACCACCACTGCTACCACTGCCACCGCTGCTGCTGCCCCCGGAAGCAGAGGAGCCTTTCTTCCCCAGACGCACGGCGATGGAGGGTGGGACCGGCTGGGTGGTGTAGCCTGGGAAGAGCAGCGTGGGGGGGAGCTTCTTGCACCATGCTTCCTGTGAACCAGAATAGGCAGTCGCAGGGAGGGAGGGGCATAAGGAAGGGAATAACACGGACCATGTTCGTCCATATATTGTGCAACAAATGCAAAACAAATATTGGTATGTAGTATAAGATCGCAGCATATATGGAGACGCGATGACGCAAGCGTGCTCTGACCTTGAAGAAGGGGTCGAGGTCCCTGTCGAGGCTGAAGTGGGCGAGCGGGTGGGCGTGCTTGGAGAGCGTGTAAAGGGCGATCTCGCGCTGGTAGAAGCCGAGGAACTGCAGCAGCTTGGACTCCGAGTCTGTCTCCACACCCAGCATCTCATCGTACGTGCGCACCTGGTGGGAGGAGGGGACGGGACAATGGGGAAGTAGAAAAAGGGAATGGGGAAAGGAGGGAGGAAGAAGGGGGAAGGGGATTGGATGGTGAGCAATGAGTTAGAAAACGATTTCACTTCAAACGCTGGTTTCACAAGACAGGACAGTGCAGTGCAGTGCATGGACCTTGACTGCAGACCATAGACAATGCATTGTCACATTCTCACACATTCTCCATCCCGCAGCACTGACATTTCCTCCAAGCCGACACAGTTTCCGCCCTTGTGCGTTCCACCAGACACACTGACTGACATAGCATTGGTGTAATCCTAAGTTGGAAAAAACGTGTTTCGCGTTTAGTATGCTTTCGTATAAACGCTAGCGTCTAAACGCTAAACGCTGGCCGGGAGGGGTCTGGTACGCACAAGAATCCGCTTGCCCGGGCAGGAAAAAAAATTCCCCCGGGCAGGTTAGATGCTAGGCCAAGAGATGGAAACGGGAGCTGCTGTAGTAGTCCACTACCTAATTGCTGCTTTAGTAGGTCATCGTCGCAAGTGAAATAAGAAGGGGAGGAAGAAATCGAACGCAGAGATTATCGAAGGGAAAAGCGGCGACATTGAGTGGGGAGGATGATTCTGGTAGGAGTTGGTAACAAATTGGATGGGGTTGGATGGGTTGTTGAGCGGTGGATAGGAGGGGATGATCCACCAAACAATCTCGAAATTCAGATCTGAAGTTGCATTTGCAATGCGCGAACTCAGGTCCCAAGGCTAAAAAATACGACCGTATTTTTGAAAATTTAACGTAAATTACGGTATTGTAATTTACGGTCGTAAATTATGGTAAAAAACGGTTCGACCTTGCAAAATTGGGTTGGTTCAAAAATACGGTCGTAAATTACGACCGAAATTTTGAAACCGAGTTAATGTCTAGCGAATTTCGACATTTCCCAACCGTCACCCTGCTTGTGAGAAATTTCGTGCACCCAAATCCACGCGAGTGTGTTCTTTTCCCGCGTAGTGTGGGGATGGAGTAGGAGCAGATTTAGCCTAAAGGTAGGTACTACTAGGTAGGCTTAGCAATGGTAGTGGTGTAGTGGTCCATTATAGGCTTGTTTCTCTGTAGTGTAGTTTGTTGTCGCCTTCCTAGTCATCGTTGCAAGCATTCTTGAAGTTTCTGGAAAAAAAAACTGCCGCAAAAAAAGTATATTTAAAAAACGACCGTATTTTTGCCAAAACCACCGTAAATTACGACCGTAATTTACGAGCCGTAATTTACATTTACAGGTCCGAATTTCGAGACTCAAATTTGAGTTCGCCAGATTGCGAACTCAACTGATATATTTTTTTCCGGTCAGCCTGAGCGAAAATTAGCGAATTTTATAAAAATCTGCAGCGTACGAATTCTAGATGCGTATAAACTCAATACGCAACTTCAAACATGCGTTTTTTCCAACTTAGGTGTAATCCTCTATGCCCACACACTCACGGCAGTGGCGTATTCCCCCAAGGTATGCTCGGAGGAGGCATACGAGTACATGAGCTTGATGAGCTCTGTTGCTCTTGAGGCACTTCAACACACGGCCCACTCACATCACAGTGGCAAGTTCAATCCCCCTCACATCCCTACTCACCGCGGTGGCGTATTCCCCCACGGCATGCTCAGAGGAGGCATACGAGTACATGAGCTTGATGAGCTCTGTTGCTCTTGAGGCACTTCAACACACGGCCCACTCACATCACAGTGGCAAGTTCAATCCCCCTCACATCCCTACTCACCGCGGTGGCGTATTCCCCCACGGCATGCTCGGAGGAGGCATACGAGTACATGAGCTCGATGTTGCTCTTCTCCAGCCTCAGCCCCTTCTGCGCCATCTGTGACGCGCCTCTGGTGCCGCAGGGGGGGGGGAAGGGGGGGGGGGGGGGGACAGCAGCACGAGACGCAAGGAAGGGAAATGGATGACTTTTGAGGCGCCTCAACACTCAATGTTGCTCCTCTCCAGCCTCAGCCTCTTCTGCGCCATCTGCGACGCGCCTCTGATGGTGCCGTAGGGGGGGAGGGAAACAGCAGCATAAGATGCACGGAAGGGAAACGGATGATTTTATAGGCGCCTCAAAGCTCGATGTTGCTCCTCTCCAGCCTCAACCCCTTCTGCGCCATCTGTGGCGCGCCTCTGGCGCCACAGGGGAGGAGGGGGGAGAAGAAGGGGCAGCAGCACAAGATGCACAGCGAGGAGGACGTTGCGTGAGGAGGGGTGAAGAGGTGGGACGAGAGAGGCGAATAGTGAGAGAGTGAGAGCGACAGATTCACAGTGCCAGGTAGCTAGGAAATCAGAAAACAGAAAACAGAAAGCTGGAAAAGGAAAAAACACAACTGAAATCGGGGAAACTGATGTCCTCCTTACCTTGCATACCTACCTAGTCCGTCCCAACCTTTTGCAAGGACAAGGACCGTTCGCACTCACCTGTGGTCGCCCACGCCATGCTTGAGCAGCGCCCAGTAGCGATACACCGTGGCAAAGCTGCAATGCCAGGATGGGAGACGGGAAGAATGGAGGGGGTGTATGACAGGAGACGCTGTAGAGCAAGGAGTGGATGTGGGAAATAAACACAAAACACAGAATCAAGAGGCGGGGGCAGATACTTGCAGTATCCACTTTCGCACCACCCGTTTGCTTGGTTATAAAAAGAAATAAGCACACACACGCACACACCTTGAGTCCACGTCCAAGACCTTCTGATAGCACTTCGCAGCATTTTCTGCATCGCCATACTCCTTATAAGCCTGCCCCATGTTAACCCACGCATCCTTGAAATCTGGGCGCAGGGCCACAGCCTTCTTGTACGCTGCAACGCCCTCTATGCACGCCCCTGTGCCCGTCAGTGCCAAGCCCTGCAGGAGAGATGACAGGCAAGGACGAGAAGGAATGGTAATGGAGGGAGAAACAGCAGCAAGAAGCTGGGATGGTATGCGGCCTGTCGTGGTGAGAGTTACAGCGCTCCTGCCTCGTAGCAGGACGTGAGAATTCGGCACCAACGGCAGCCGTACCATCAGTCAGTGGCGATTACTCCCAGTTAGAGACGCCTTACCAGAAAGTTATACGCATTGGCATCCTTGGGATTGGAATCCAGAGCGGTCTTCAAATCCGAAATGGCTGCACGATAGTTACGCTGCTTCACATACACCACTCCTGCACGGCACTCACACAGCACAGCAGCACGCAGACAGCAGCACCAACACAGCATCATGCAAATTAGACAATTGCACTTCTGTTGAATCAATGTGTCCCCTTAAGACAGCTGAAACAAGCAAACGACCCCATCCCTTCTGCACAGCCAGCCACTTACCCCTCTCAGCTAGCACATCCGTGGACGAGGGGTCAATGGTGAACGCTCGAGTGAAATCCTCAATCACCTGGGCGTGTGTGCAGCAAGGAGCACAGAAATACATCAGTACGTCAGATGGAGTGGGGCGAGGGAGAAGGCGAACAACGAGGGGCATTCGCTTGTTATGTTATGTATCACTCGGTTCAGCTGCCCAGTTCCCGTCTCACCTCGTCCATCTGCCCAGTTCCAGGCATCTCACCTCGTCCATCTGCCCCAGAGCAGCCCTCGCCTGAGCTCGCCGCTTCCACGCCTCTGCTGCTCGCGGCTCAATCTCAATCGCCTGAGGGATAGAGCAAAGAGAGCACGCACAGTAACATTAGCAAAACGTCGATTGAGGGACGACTGCCAAGTGTCTTCACCGAAGAAGCATGAAGCATGTGCAGCTTACAGCAGTGAAATCAGCCACGGCCTCTTTGAGCTTGCGTTGCAGAGCCCGTGCTGTGCCCCGCCCCACCAGAGCACCCAGCGCCCGCCCGTCCGACTCGAGAACCTGCATGCAATGCAGAAGGAATGGATGGGATTAGGAGAAGCAGCATGCACTGTCCAGAGGAAACATTGATCGAACCAATAAGACACAAGGGAACGTGGTTGCGTTGAGATATGCTGATAGCTATGTACCTGGTTGAAGGTCTTGACAGCATCGTCAAGCTTGCCTGAATTGACCTGCCAAGGGAAACAAGAACGAAACCCAATCATGAAAAGGAAAAACAATCGTTACCATGCTCAATCAATCTATCACGCAGCGCTCGCATGTTCAGATTAGAACAGGTTGAATATCGACAAAGCAACAGAGAAGCACGGATATTCATCGTCTCTTACCTGGTTAATCCCAAGGGAAATCAACAAATCCAATGCCAGGCTGCCGCGTGCTCCTCCCAACCCCTTCCCTCCGCCACTGCTCCCTTTCCCTCTGTCATCTCCTCCGCCACTCCCTTCCCCTTTATTCTCTCCTTCTCGACCCGACTTCTTCTTCCCCTCTTTCTTCTGTTCCTTAGGAGACGCACCTCCCCGCACCTCCCCAGTTGCAACCTCCCCATTGGCCCCCTTCGCTTTCGCACTGCGCGGCGACGCATCCCCCGAGCCCGTCTCTACAATCACACACCCATTCTGGGCGGCATAAGTAGCAGCAGGAGCGCGATGTGAGGATGAGGGGGATGGTGTGCGAGGCGGATTTGCAGAAGGAGACGCAGGCAGCACGTGAGTCTGGTGAGAGGGAGAAGGGAGCTTGGGTGTTGGGGATAGAGGGGAGGAGGGGTCGATGGAGAGCGAGTGCAGGCGCAGCGCGAACTCAAGGTCAACGCAGGAGGACGCAGGAAGGGGGGTGGCGGCAGCGCTACTGCCGGTGGTGGTCGCGGCTTGATAGCCTTGGCTGAAGGCGGCCTTGGCTTCGTCCTTCCTGCCCAGCGCCAGCCACGCCGCACCTGCATCGCCAGCACGGGGGGGACGAGGAAAAAAAACGATTGTCAACACAAAGAGAGATTTGGTAAATTCAAGGAGTACGCACGACCCGTTTTCACAACCGCGTTCAAAGAGTAATCAGTGAGGGAGGCGGCGACAGTCACGGGGCAGCACGCCAGGTTATCTTCTCGGATAGGCAGAGAACAGAGGACCTCAAAACAGGAAAGCGGCGAGCGGGGTGGGAGAGCGGGTCACACCTTGGCGCATGAAGGCAAGAGGCTGGTTCGGAGCGAGTTGCGTGGCCCTCGTGGCGTCCTTGAGCGCGTGCTTGTTGAGATCCAAGTGCAGATAGCACCACGCGCGATTACTGCACCAAGCAGATTGACAACGGATGGGGAGTGGGTCATACGAGACGATTCGTTCATAATCATTGCAGTGAAGTAATAATTCGAGAAAAACCCTTGTAAATGCAGAAATCGCTGACAGACTGAGAGTCAACCATATTTTCTCTAACCAGAACCTAATTGATGGTAATTGAGATGAAAAGAGGTTTGAAACGCACCAGAGGAACATCGCGACTTCGGCTGGACTCCTGCTGGCCTCTTCCGCCTCCGTTATTTGCGCCGTCAGCAGCTTAACGGCGCGCGACCACTGCTGCTGGGCGCAAGCCTCGACCACCTCCTGCGCCATACCGGTGACTAAGCTATGAAACAGAGAAGCAGAAGCTCAACGGGATCAGTCTACCCTTGTCGATCACCAGTCGCCAGAACCCTCGCAACCTCACTAATTGAATCCTAACAGCCGTATCGTGGCTAGTAGGCCCGAAATACCAGAAGTAGGTAGTTTCCTAAGTCCAGTCCAAATCAGATCTACGACTACCGATACTATTTTGCTCAAGTTCACTCAATGGCGGGAACTTGCTGTCACCTACAACCAGCTTCACAGATCTACGCTGCGAAGCCTGCTAACATGCAGGCCCAACAATCGACGCCAATGAATTCCATTCGTTGCAACCGAGTCTGCAAGGATGGAAGCCTGGACAGCCGTTGCCTGACGTTGCAAGGATCTTCATTGGGCGTTGATATCTGCTAGCTGACTTTCTGATACCTACGGCCTGCCTGTCGTGAGTCACAACCTTGGGAAACTCGTGGAGCTGGGCGTGACTTTGGCGAATGGAAAAAGTTCGCACCCCTCGACCCTGCAACTGCGACATTCGCAAAAACTAGGTAACAAGAGAATGCACCCCTGTTGGTAAATCCGTTCGCTTCCTCGACAAGTCCGTCGTTCCACGTCGCATGCTGAACACTGGGCCTCCCCAAAAAATAACAGATTAGAACCCCAGCGCAATCCTACACCATGAAAATATCGTCAGTGTACGTTCTTTCTCCCACCACGCTAGTCTAATAACGCGTATTAAATGTCATCCACAAGCCACTCTTGCTCACACAGAAGACTCTCTGCAAGACCAGAGGAAACTGTTCTCCATTGCACCTAGCATTGAGGCTTCTGACGGTGATTAGTCTACGTTATGACGCAATAGTTACATAATCACCACGTCTCACCTCTTGACGGCCGATTCGAAGTCCACGTGCATCACATTTCCATGCACCACGTCTGCATAGAATGGGTCCTACCGTTCGTGCCATTCGTGCGACGTTTGTGTGCCTTTCGCTGAATTTGACGCTATGCACGGTCTTCAATGGTCGTTATTACACAGCTCCTCCGTTTTCATACCATGCCGTTCCAGTTAATATAGCCGGCGCGAACAAGGGTGGAGGTAGTACGAGAGGTACGGAGACGGCAGGGGAGACAGCGGGGTTCCTGCTTCCAAGCTCGGCGCGCAGGTGCAATGCAGAGGAACAGACCGATGCCGCTGCAGGGCTCCTCTCGTCTCTTGAACAGCTGAGCTGGTGAGATTGCGAACACTTCAGAGCCTCGTCAGAACATTACTGGATATCGATGCACTGACACTTCGTAAAGTAAATTCGTCATTTGCTCTAAGATCGACACATCGATGCGTACGGAACTCTCGTCAGACATCATAACCTCGTCGGACATTTCTTCCATGCCGTGCATCATCATCATGCTTCATTGTCATGCATCATGGTCATGCATCATGGTCATGCAACATGGTCATGCCTCATGGTCATGCATCATGGTCATGCAACATGGTCATGCAACATGGTCATGCAACATGGTCATGCAACATGGTCATGCAACATGGTCATGCAACATGGTCATGCCTCATGGTCATGCATCATGGTCATGCAACATGGTCATGCATCATGGTCATGCAACATGGTCATGCAACATGGTCATGCAACATGGTCATGCAACATGGTCATGCAACATGGTCATGCCTCATCGTCATGCCTCATCGTCATGCCTCATCGTCATGCATCATCGTCATGCCGCATCGTCCTCAGGAGCCCCTGTCTTTGCGATTGGGAGGCGCGTCTGATCGCGTCAGTGCCAGCCCGGGCAGATCATCACTCTCAGCACAGTCGCCCCGCCTGCATTACCCCCTTCATTAGAAAAGGTGATGAGAACAACAGAGCAAACAAATGTGCTGCTGATGATTGGGTAGGTGCGGCTACTGCAGAGCCTTGCTGCCTTAGGCTCAGCTGCATCTACCCTGAACCGGCTTCAGCTCAGTGCACTCTATCGGGCCAGCGCACTTGGTGAAAGCCCATGAGCTCAGTGCACTCTATCGGGCCAGCGCACTTGGTGAAAGCCCATGAGCTCAGTGCACTCTATCGGGCCAGCGCACTTGGTGAAAGCCCATGAGCTCAGTACACTCTATCGGGCCAGTGCACTTGGTGAAAGCCCATGAGCTCAGTGCACTCTATCGGGCCAGCGCACTTGGTGAAAGCCCATGAGCTCAGTGCACTCTATCGGGCCAGTGCACTTGGTGAAAGCCCATGAGCTCAGTGCACTCTATCGGGCCAGTGCACTTGGTGAAAGCCCATGAGCTCAGTGCACTCTATCGGGCCAGCGCACTTGGTGAAAGCCCATGAGCTCAGTGCACTCTATCGGGCCAGCGCACTTGGTGAAAGCCCATGAGCTCAGTGCACTCTATCCGCCTCGACCTCATGGGCTTTCACCAATTACGTTTCCTCTTCTGACTTGCAAACCTCTTCTGCTCCCGCTGTTGTCGCTTCTCCGCATCCTGTCCAGGCGCGAATATGTTAGGTGCCCCCTACTAAATCTCCAAGACTTCGTCTCTCTCCCGCTATTCATTCCACCGCCCTGCCCGTCACAGCAACCAAGGTGTATCGCCTGCAGCAGCCACCGGTCTCGGCTATCGCCGACTCTCCCGCTAGTGTCGTTATAGGCCGAGAAGGAAGAGAGGGAGGTGACAGCCAGGCGTTATCGGGCCTGCGGTGTGAAGAAAGCTCACTGGGGTGGTTGAGACAGCTGGAGAGCACTGAGCTCTGTGGCTTGCTGCTGCTGGGCGATGGACCTGCTAATGTGGGTACGAGGGCGCAAAGAGAGGTGCATGAGAAGGGAAGTCCCGGCGGAAGCAGCAACAGGGCGACTGCAGAAGACGTGAACAAGGGTGACGCGGGACGGAAGCAGAAACAGCAGCAGAAGAAGGGGGGGGAAGCACAGGTGACAAGCAAGCAGCTTGAGATGTTGCAGCAGGCGAACGATGAGGTGGGTGAGGCGGTGGTGGGTGCGGTGGTGGGTGCGGTGGTGGGTGAGGTGGTGGGTGCGGTGGTGGGTGTGGTGGTGGGTGCGGTGGTGGGTGCGGTGGTGAGTGAGGGCAGTCATTGCCCAGCAATGGGTTGGAAGCGCCCTAACAAATTGGTCGGAGCAATCCGTTCCCTCTTCACTAAATAGTAGGCTGGACTAAAAGGCCGTCCATTGCTCCTTCACCTTCCACTCTTGACTGTTCAATCTAATGTACCTGTTCCATCGCTTGATCTGCTGCTGTCTGCTCCCATCCCACGCAGATGGCACGAGGGCGATACACGGAGGCAATCGCTATCTACATCAAGGTCAGGGACGCAGCCTCATAACCATTTTCTTGTCTCCTTGATAGCAGTTTCTACTTCCAAGTCACTGCACTTCATCCATCTTCCTCCATCCCATTCGTTTATCAGACTTCAGTTCTCCCTTCACACGTGACATGTCTGCCCTGGCCATCCATGTATGGACCCTTCCCGCCTGTGTGTCCGTTGATCCCCCAATCATTGCCTGACAGCTGGCGTCGACTCCGTCTCTCAAAGATCGAGTGCTTGTGGGTCGAGGATCCTGTTACGGTGCATTGGGACAGTTTGACAAGGCACTCGCTGACCTGTCCTCTGTAAGGATTACAATTACTTCTGCTCCCTCCCTCCACTTCCTTCCTACTTATCTCCAGTTGTCCACTTCTTGAGTGATCAGCGGCCCCATGATTAATCAGCCCTTTGAACTCTTGTGCTGTGCTCCGCTGGCAGGCTTTGGCAACAAACCCCACAAGCACAGCCGCCTTAATGGCTCGAGCAGGCACTTATTTCAAGATGAACAAGAATGTTGAGGTAAATGTGATGATGTATGGTGGCAACGAGAGGTAGGGGGGAGACCACACCATTAGGTAACGGTGTCATACATGCATGATGTCTCATCCAGTAGACGGGACAAGAAACGCTGTCATCCCCTTGCTTACTGCCTGATGTCATTAGGCTCACTGGTAGACCAGACCAATTGTGCAGCCGTGTGGTTTATTAGGATCATCCGTGCATGACAGGCAAGCTGCCATGGTCCATACTTCCAATATGCATGTTGTCATGGTGGATACTTTCATAATGCATATTGCCATTGTGCTCCCGATCGCACCAGATTTTGTCCTGACTCATGGTGCATCCGCCATTGGCTATGCTGCCATGCCAGCAGGCATCCTGAATTGACACAGCTGCTGCCATCCCTCATTTCGTCTCACCCCTCTGCCCTCTGTTTTATTCAACACCCATGTCTTGAAGGCCATAGTGGACTATTCGCGAGTCATTGACCTGGACCCCTCCAATGCCGAAGCTGTCAGGTGGCGAGGTGGGTACCAGAGATGGGGGGGAGATACAGGATTGGTGATTTATCTATTATGCTCACTGCCACATTCCACTCAGTTGCACGTGCTATCAGCTGCAATTACCCCCCACACTCGCTCTCCCTTCCCATACCATAGCCATCTCTCCCTCGCCTCCTATCTCCACCCTATCCCCCTGCCAGGCATCTTGTCGTTCAACCTAAAGTACTACTATGCAGCTGAGAAGGACTTTCAGCAAGCCATTCTCCTTGACCCCTCTCTGCCTTTCATCTATCGAGGACTAGTAAGTTGCTGCCCGCATGGTGCTTTCTCAATCTCCTGATGCCCGGAAAGTCACTCCTTTTTTCTGTGAGAGCTCGTTTCCAGCATCCTTTTTGCTCAATCCGTTTCTCGTCCAATTCCCTCTCTCTCTCCACCATCACTCCCACTCCCTCACCCTAGGGCCTCGCTATAGGAGGCAGTGGGAGGTGGCGAGAGTCCCAGGCAGTGTTTGCAGAGGGTGTGAGGCGGCATCCCCTTGATGCGGACCTGTGGCATTCCAAGGGGCGCGCGCACAAGGAGGTGGGCGAGGTGGCGAACGCCATAGAGGCATTGCAGCGAACGCTGCAGATCAGAAAGTGAGTGCCGTGGGTGGATGTGACTGATTGCAGCCACGGTGATTTTTTCCGTGTGCTTGCATCAACAGCCCGGACATATCTTGGACACAGCTCCTTATTTTTTTAGGCGCCTCAAAACTTGGACGCAGTTCCTTCTTGCATCGATCCTAAATTTCCTCCAACATCAACAAGGATCCCTGCTTCCTTGCTGACAATCCACTCGTTCCTTCCCTGAATTCCATTCCATGCATCTCTCCGTTCCCTTGTCGACGGTAGCAGGGAACCGTCGCATGCATTCTGGGAGCATGCATGCGTGCATGTGCAAAGATATCAATACTGACTGACCAACTCTCTCCTCACATCCGTCGCATGCATCGCACGCATAGGGCAGTGACAACATATCAGGAGCTCGTCTCTGTTAGCCGATTCGTGGGCGACTACAGGTGCGATGCGATCATCTCTCACAGTTGCACAGTGCCAGATTGTTTTCAGGAACTTTAGTTTTCTCTCATCGTTTGGATACATGCAACCTATTCCTATAAAGTGCCATCCTGATGTTGATGGAAGTAAGGCCTCCGCAGCCCACCTGTCCTCTTTTGACAGCTCCTGCAACCTATTCCCATATAGTGCCATCCTGATGTTCAAGTGTGTGGCTGTTCTTGAGGGCGACCACATTCCTTCTCTGCCTCGTCCCCCCTTGCATCTTCTCCTCTTCCCACTTTCCCTCGACCTTTCTCCCTTTGCCTCCTCCTTACAGGGCCGCCATACAGTATGCAAGAGAGGGGTTGCAGCTGGACAGGGGAGACATGGAGCTCGTTCACGCCCACGCCAGCAGCCTGCATGCCCTGGGGGACCTTGCCGAAGCTGTGAGCATCCCACACCACAACCCCCCAACCTGTGTGCTATCCAATTGTGGTCCGCCACATGCTGTGCTGTGCCGCTCATTTTCATGTGACTTCTATAGTGTCCTTTCCAATCACAATCTCACCACACACCACCCTCATCAAAACCCCCCGCCGCCCTCGTCTGCACACCATCCTTGTGATGTGATGCCAACAGATGCTCAAGTACCAGGCAGCGTTGGCGCTGCAACCAAGGGATCAGGACGGGCAGGCTCTGCAACACTCCATGTTCTACCAGGCATGTTTCTCAAGTTCAGCGTTTTTGCTGTGCTGTCTGTCGCACAGCCAGTGCCTATGCCACTGTCACTCATTTCCTTTCCTCATATGCTCCCTCCCTCCCCTTTTACAACTCGCCTCCCCCTCTCAGAGGGAGGTATTGGCGTACACTATTGCTCGCTTGCAGCGGCCGCTCTCCTCCATTCGCTTCGACTGGGACTTCACTGCTGAGTTCAGAGTATGGCCACCCCTTACCAACCCCAACACAGCCATCCCACCTAATCATCGGTTGCATCTATTTCCATAAGTACAACCACACTCAGTGGCCTTTCATTGATCGTGCAACCATAACAACGCTCAGCCATAGGCATGACGGCCGCATGTTATTGCAATATTTTCCCATCACATCCTGCCTTCTTTCTCCCCCTTCAATCCCCCCTGATATTTCCTCCTCAACCATAACTCCTCACATGCCCCCTCCCACCGCAACAGGAGGCATGGACCAAGAAGGACCCTATAGCAACACTGCCAGGATACCAGCCCCTCTCAGTCACTCCACGCCAATCACAGCGCGCCACGTTGCAGTCCCTGCCCAAGCTGTCACGAGAAGCGTTGGATCTGATCGAAGCAGCGGACAGGATTGGCCAGCGGGCCCACTACCACTGTGATGCTTTCATGCCAAACAGGCAGCAGGTAACAGCAGAGATATGCCAACATGCTTTCCCTCTTGCTTTTTGTCTCTTCCTCGCATTTTCTCCCTTCCCCTTATTGCCGTCAGTAACTCTGTTCCTGTTCTCTCTCCACCCCACTTCCTGTCCCTTCCCTTACTTCAGCTGCACATGGCAGGGCTGGCGGCCTTAGACGTGATGCAGCAGGTTGCGTGCGGCGCACTCTTTCATCCCACATGTCTCTCCCATTCCCCATTCCCCCACATTTCTCCCATCCCGCCCTCTCTTACTTCAGCTGCGCATGGCAGGGCTAGCAGCACTGGACGTGATGCAGCAGGTCAGTCAATTCTTCTCTTTCCCAATGCTTGTCACTAGGGGCGTTGTAGGAGGTGTGGAGTCTTTTAATGCAAGGCACGGTAGTCACTGGCTAGTAATGCTGTGTGATTGAAGAAGTTGTGGTCAATATGTAAGCTTACACTTACTATGTGTGTGTGCCATGCCATTCATTTGTGCCATTCCATTTTTTGTAAGTATGTGTGCCATTCATTCATTTGTCACTCCATGTGTGTGCGTGCCATGGTGCAGGCAAGGGCAACATGGGATGCTATGGAACAGGAGCAGCAAGAGGGAGAGGAGGCAGCAGGTGGTGACAGAGTCACAGACACTAAAACAACCAAGGAAAACGCTACACCAGGAGGAGGGGTAGAAGGCAGGGAGAAGCAGAGGCAAAAGGGAAGTGACAGTTTGGCCAAGGGCAATCGGAAAAGCAGCAGCAGCAGCAGCAGAATCAAGAGGACAGGCAGTGGGGTGCTGAAGGGGTGGAGGGATGTGTACGAGGTGATCACGAGATGGAGGCAGATCTCCGATCCAACGGATGCTGTGCTCTGGAAGGACCAACTCAAGTACGTGCCACTGCCATCGCTCGTTGTGGTCGGATGCCACAATAACCACAATGCCGTGTGACCGCCAGTATGATCGCTCCTCATTCACGTTCTCAGCCGAGTATCATCGTTTGATATCATCGCTCATTTACTCGTAATCAGAACATGCATTTTGGTCAAATGAGCAGAGTCGGCATGGGATGGCAAGCTGAACAACACAATCCTGATGGCATGTGACCGTGTCTCATGGCGTGGGGGGTGGTGTGCCATGTGCTTTCCTCTGCAGGAATCGCTTTGCGCAGGGCTTTCGGTCGTCCACGCCCATCAAGGTGTGGGATCTGCAGACCGTCAAGTATTACCCCGTCTTCAACAAGTGAGTACTACCTCCTAGCACACCTCACCACACCCTCTCTTGCACTGCCTCCGCTTCGCTGCAGACCGTCAAGTACTACCCTGTCTTCAACAAGTGAGCACTAGTATTACCTCCTAGCACACCTCTTCTGCACTGCCTCCGCTTCTCTGTGGTCTCTCCCCCCCCTGCAGCCACGTTTTCCACTCCTGAAATCCGGTTCAATGTGTGGCAGGTCGTTTGAGGCCATGCGTGAGGCTCTTCTGGAGTCAGAGCAGGCCTTTGCAAACAACCAGCCCTTCACTGTGCCGCGCAACACACGTGGCGACATGGTGAGTCGGGTGCACCTATCCCATGAAACACACATGGCGATGTCGAGTGAAATGTGCATGTCTCTTGAAACACACTGGCGAGCACCAGCACGTGAGCACCAGCACGTGCTAGCTTGGGGACTGGGGCTGCAGTCCCGGCGTGGGGACTGGAGCTGCAGTCCCGGCTTGGGGACTGGAGCTGCAGTCCCGGCTTGGGGACTGGATCTGCAGTCTCGGCGTGGGGACTGGAGCTGCAGTCCCGGCGTGGGGACTGGAGCTGCAGTCCCGGCGTGGGGACTGGAGCTGCAGTCCCGGCTTGGGGACTGGAGCTGCAGTCCCGGCTTGGGGACTGGAGCTGCAGTCCCGGCGTGGGGACTGCAGCTGCAGTCCCGGCGTGGGGACTGGAGTCCCGGCGTGGGGACTGGAGCTGCAGTCCTGGCGTGGGGACTGGAGCTACAGTCCCGGCTGATAGAATTGGAACTTAACTGATTGATTGATAAGGAAGGCACGAGGCCTTAAGTACAAACACGGTTGGGTTGAGCAAAGCTAGGGAAAGGATGGGATGGGAATCCTAGCAAATCTCCAATTGGTGAGTTGGCAGATTTGCAGGATTACGAGGGAATCCCAACCAGATAGGGTTGGGATTACAAATCTACACCCAACCTACAAAGTAACCTAACCGATATAGAATATAGTACAAAGTGTTGACTGACTATTTCTAACACACCCCCTAGGCTGACAACACTTCAGCCACATGGCGGTCCAACACCCATGGACGAGAGGAGGCGGTAGTGGTCTTGACGAACAAGAGACTTGGTAAACAAGTCAGCAAGGTTGCAGTCGGAGGCAATGTGTTCTGCCTTCAGCTGCTCGCGCTGCACCAGCTCACGAAGAAAGTAGTGACGGACTTCAATGTGCTTGGTGCGGCCGTGGAAGACGGGGTCCTTGGTGAGATGAATGGTGCTCTCGTTGTCACACCAAAGCGTTGGGGCTGGTTGAGGATACCCAAGTTCTGCCAGCAAGAAGGAGAGCCAACGGGCCTCCTGGGCAGCCATGGTCCCTGCATACAGCTCTGCCTCACAGGTCGACAGTGAGACGGAAGACGACCGAGTGGAGCGCCAACTGACAACCCCACTGCCAAGGGTAAAGCAATACCCTTGGGAAGAGCGCCGATCACTCTGGTCATCAGCATAGGACGAGTCACTGTACCCCTCAAGGCGAACAGGGGAAGAGCCGCCAAGAGTGAGCACATAGTCCTGTGTGCCTTTGAGATAGCGGAGGACCCGCTTGGCGGCAGACCAGTGGTGGCTCGTGAAGCGACCAGGTGCAACGTAGCGAGACAGGACACTGACTGGATAGGCCAAGTCTGGTCGAGTGCACATCATCGCGTACATGAGGGAACCAACGAGCTCGGGGTAAGCCTCATCGCAGGGCTCAGGTGAGGGAACAGAGGGTGCAGTGAGTTGGTGCTGCAGAGAGAGTGGGGTGGGCATTGAAGCTGCTTCCTGCATCTTGAACCTTGTCAGAACGTTGTTGATGTAGAACTTCTGCGAGAGGGTGATGGTGCGGGCCGTGCGATCACGTGTGATTTCCATGCCCAGATAGTTCGTCAGCTTCCCAAGATCCTTCATGGCCAGCTTCTCACCAAGTGCGGCTTTGACTGCTGCCAGCTCAGTCTGATCCTTGGTGACAAGGATCATGTCATCGACATAAACCAAGATGAAGAAGCGGGATGGTGTTGCTCGAATGAAGAGGCTGGGGTCAGAGGTGGATGGGTGAAAGTCGAGGGACCCTAAGGTGCTCTTGAGCTTGTTGTGCCATTCCCGGGGTGCTTGCTTGAGGCCATATACTGGTCGATTCAGCTTCCATACAGTGCCTGGTGGAAAAGGAGCTGGAAATCCTTCGGGCCGCTCCATGTAGATTTCCTCTCGAAGAATCCCTTGCAGAAACGCAGAAGACACATCCATGCAGTCAACCTCCATGTCATCTCGAGCGGCCACATCGAGAAGGGTGCGCAGTGTGGGAGGTTTGGCAGTGGGAGAGAATGTCTCAAAGAAGTCCAGTCCACGCTTTGGGGTAAATCCCTTGGCACAGTACCGGGCTTTGAAGACAGGAAATTCGCCTGGAAGTTGTTTCACCCGGAAAACCCGTTTTCCCTTCACAATGTTGACGCCGGAGGGAGGAATGATATCTGTGAAAGTCCCTGTGTGAATGAAGGCCTCACACTCTGCGATAATGGCCCCTATCCACTGAGCGGAGTTAGGACCAGAAACTGCTTCAGCATAGGTGAGAGGTGTGGGGATGGAGGGGTTGTCTGAGAAGTTGAGGGTGGGAGATTCTGCGATATCTGGAAAGAGAGAGCAGAGCGCGTGTATGGCTGAGTCAATGTCAATCAACTCCTCATGTCTGTCCTCAAGAAGGGAGGGCATGAGCGAATAATCACCCCCGACAGGAGGAGGATTGAGAGAGACACGAATGGAAAGGGAAAGAGGCTTGGGAGCTTTGTGCGAGCGGGTGCGACCAGCGATGGGGGAGGAAGGCGGAGCTGGAGGAGGAGAAGCAGGAGGTGTAGTGGCAGCATCAGGAGCAGCAGCTGAGTCGGGAGCAGGAGCCAGATCAGGAATAGGAGGTGGAGCAGGAGCAGGAGCAGCAGCAGGAGGACGACGTTGGTAGGTTTTGAGAGGAATGGACTCGGGGGCGGGAAGGAGCGGGGGAGACTGCGTGGTGCTGGATGGGGAAGCGGGTGACGGGGGGTCGGAAACTGTGGAGGGAGCGGGAAGAGGAGGAGATGGAGTGGTGGCAGGAGGAAGGATGTCAAAGTCAGCCCATGTTAGAGAAAGAGGAGAAGGAGAAGGAGAAACTGTGGAGGAGGGGTAGAATGGGTGGGATTCATCGAAGAAAACATCTCGGCTGCGATAGAGTTTGTTGGTGGTAGGATGGAGGAAGAGGTAGTCTGGTGAGTCCAAGTTGTGCCCGAGGTACACGCACGTGATTGTTTTCAGAGCAAGCTTGCCGCCAGCTGCACGACGGGCTTGGGAGTTGAGGAGGACATAGGAAGTGCACCCCCATACACGGAGAGAGCGGACGGACGGCTTTTGACCCGTCCACAGCTCTGCGGGGGTGGTGTGGGTGTGGTGAGGATGAGGATGGAGATTGTGGAGGGCGGCAGCATGGAGCATGGCGTATCCCCAAAGAGAGGGAGGGGCGGAAGCATGAGTGAGGAGGCAGCGAGCAATCTGCACCAGGATGCGGTTTCGGCTTTCAGCAACACCGTTCTGTTGAGGGCTGTCTGGGAGAGTGAAGGTCTGTTGGATACCCTCAGTAGAGCAGAAAGCTTTGAGAGTGTTGTTGCGGAATTCACCGCCACCGTCAGAGTGAAGAAACTTGATTTTGGTTTTGAAGTGTGAATGAGCCTGCCTGGCCCATTCCATGATGATGGCTGGGGCTTCAGACTTGGCGGTGAGAAGGTGAATGGACACATAGCGGGAATAGTCATCAACGATGACAAGGAAGTAGAAGTGTCCGCCACGGTAACGAACAGGAGCTGGACCCCAAAGGTCCATGTGTACGTGATCGAGAGGTGCGGTAGAGATGGACTCAGTGGGAGGATGGGGCTGTTCCCGAAGCTTGCTCTGTGCACAGTCAAGGCAAGGCGGTCCAGAAAGAGAGGGGGGTTGTGGAAGTGTGGCGGGCAGTCCATGTAGGAGTTGCTTGGTGGCAAGGTCGGAAAGTGCGCGGAAGTTGATGTGGCCGAGGCGGTTATGAAATAGCATAGTCTTGTCAGTGAGGAGGCGGCAGTGACATGAGGGGGAGTCTGAGGATGGAAGCGGAAGGTTGGTGAGGGAGCATGTTTGAACGGGAGGTACAACTAGTGTGTACAGGTTGTTGGAGTTGAGGGTGAAGCGGGCAAGATGGAGTCCGGTTTTGGCGTCAAACATGTCACAGTAGTCAACATCATTGGGAAAGATGGTGATCACGCCTGCGTGTTGGATTTCCCGCTGTGCAAGAAGGTTGTAGCGGAGGGTTGGGGCACAGATGCCAGTGACGGTGCCAGATGGGAATGCTGGACAGGAAACTGTGGAAGAGCCATGGCATTGGATGGAGAAGCTAGAATCTGCTCCAAGGAGTGAGGTGGGAGCTTGATAGGGAACGAAGGCGGTTTGGTCTTTAAGCACTGTGTGGGTGGCACCACTGTCTAGTATGAACTCGATTCCCTGTGTGGTTGAAACACCGATGTACTGCGACCCCTTCTCATTAATAAGACCAGCACCAGAGAACAACAGGTTAAGGCGAACATCAGATGGGGCGCTAGCAAATGCCTGAGCAGGTTCCTCCACTGCCTCGACCTGGTTCACGCGACGGGGTGGTGCCCAGTTGGGAGGGCGCTTGTCCTTGGAGACACCATGGACGTCATACCACTCGTCATCTCGCTTCTTGAAGCAAGTGGCCTCAGGGTGGTTGGTGCCGTTGCATTTCTGCCCCGCACGTGGACCCTTCCTAATGAGGTATTGGCATGGGGGAAAGGAGTTGCGCCTCTGGCCCTGCTGGGAACGGAATGGAATGCCAGGGGAGTAGCGCACAGCATTGACTGATGCCTGAGCTGCAAGGTCCTTTTCCGCAGAGAGAAGGGCCGAAGCGACTTTCTCGAAGGTGAGGTCCTTGGTGGGGAGCTGCTTGAGCATGGAACTGGTGACGTTGTAGGCCGGGGTGAGTCCGACGAGAAGCCCAGCAGCAGGTGCCTGTTCGGGGAAGGTGATCCCAATGTCCTTGAGCTCCTCATGGATGTTGCGGATTTCAGAGATGTAATCTGCCATGGCATTCCTCAAGGCGGATTTGGAACATGCGAGGAATGAGGATTGCAACTCCCACGGCAGTTTTGTCATGGAAACGATCCTGGAGGTACTTCCAAATGTCATGCGCAGAGCGGAAGGTGCGGTAGGACTTGACTAACTCAACTGGGGTGGTGGTGATGAAAACCCTAATCACTGCTGCATCCGCCTGCTCCCAGAGACTGAAGTCCGTCTCATACTTGGTGGTCTTAGCATCGAAAGCGCTCTTGGCTGTGGGAGTGGCGCCTTCACCGAGAGGATCGGGAGGGAGAGGCATCTTCCCCTTGCCGCGGTTGAGGAGGATGTCCTTGAGGCAAATCCCCTTGAGCTCCGAGCTAAGGAGGTGCTTCTCCACTCCATAGCACCACTCCCCGAAATTGGTGCTCGTGCCGTTGGGAGCGAGGTTAAGGATGATGAGGTTTCCGACGAGAGTGGAAGTAGAAGTTGCCATTTCGCGCGGAGCGCAGCGCTAAAGTCTCCGATACGTAGCGGAGCGACTATTTCTAACACCGGCGTGGGGACTGTAGCTGCAGTCCCGGCATGGGGACTGGAGCTGCAGTCCCGGCTCGGGGACTGGAGCAGCAGTCCTGCCGTGGGGACTGGAGCTGCAGTCCCGGCGCGGGGACTGGAGCTGCAGTCCCGGCGCGGGGACTGGAGCTGCAGTCCCGGCGTGGGGACTGGAGCTGCAGTCCCGGCGTGGGGACTGGAGCTGCAGTCCCGGCTTGGGGACTGGAGCTGCAGTCCCGGCGTGGGGACTGGAGCTGCAGTCCCGGCGTGGGGAGTGGAGCTGCAGTCCCGGCGTGGGGACTGGAGCTGCAGTCCCGGCTTGGGGACTGGAGCTGCAGTCCCGGCTTGGGGACTGGAGCTGCAGTCCTGGCGTGGGGACTGGAGCTGCAGTCCCGGCGTGGGGACTGGAGCTGCAGTCCCGGCGTGGGGACTGGAGCTGCAGTCCCGGCGTGGGGACTCGAGCTGCAGTCCCGGCGTGGAGACTGCAGCGCGGGGACTGGAGCTGCAGTCCCGGCTCGGGGACTGGAGCTGCAGTCCCGGCGCGGGGACTGGAGCTGCAGTCCCGGCGCGGGAACTGGAGCTGCAGTCCCGGCTTGGGGACTGGAGCTGCAGTCCCGGCGTGGGGACTGGAGCTGCAGTCCCGGCGTGGGGACTGGAGCTGCAGTCCCGGCTTGGGGACTGGAGCTGCAGTCCCGGCGTGGGGACTGAAGCTGCAGTCCCGGCTTGGGGACTGGAGCTGCAGTCCCGGCTTGGGGACTGGAGCTGCAGTCCCGGCGTGGGGAGTGGAGCTGCAGTCCCGGCGTGGGGACTGGAGCTGCAGTCCCGGCTTGGGGACTGGAGCTGCAGTCCCGGCTTGGGGACTGGAGCTGCAGTCCTGGCGTGGGGACTGGAGCTGCAGTCCCGGCGTGGGGACTGGAGCTGCAGTCCCGGCGTGGGGACTCGAGCTGCAGTCCCGGCGCGGAGACTGCAGCGCGGGGACTGGAGCTGCAGTCCCGGCTCGGGGACTGGAGCTGCAGTCCCGGCGCGGGGACTGGAGCTGCAGTCCCGGCGCGGGAACTGGAGCTGCAGTCCCGGCTTGGGGACTGGAGCTGCAGTCCTGGCGTGGGGACTGGAGCTGCAGTCCCGGCGTGGGGACTGGAGCTGCAGTCCCGGCTTGGGGACTGGAGCTGCAGTCCCGGCTTGGGGACTGGAGCTGCAGTCCCGGCTTGGGGACTGGAGCTGCAGTCCCGGCTTGGGGACTGGAGCTGCAGTCCCGGCTTGGGGACTGGAGCTGCAGCCCCGGCGTGGGGACTGGAGCTGCAGTCCCAGCGTGGGGACTGGAGCTGCAGTCCCGGCTTGGGGACTGGAGCTGCAGTCCCGGCTTGGGGACTGAAGCTGCAGTCCCGGCTTGGGGACTGGAGCTGCAGTCCCGGCTTGGGGACTGGAGCTGCAGCCCCGGCGTGGGGACTGGAGCTGCAGTCCCGGCGTGGGGACTGGAGCTGCAGTCCCAGCTCGGGGACTGGAGCTGCAGTCCCGGCTCGGGGACTGGAGCTGCAGTCTCGGCGCAGGGACTGGAGCTGCAGTCCCGGCGCGGGGACTGGAGCTGCAGTTCCGGCGCGGGGACTGGAGCTGCAGTCCCGGCTTGGGGACTGGAGCTGCAGTCCCGGCGTGGGGACTGGAGCTGCAGTCCCGGCTTGGGGACTGGAGCTGCAGTCCCGGCTTGGGGACTGGAGCTGCAATCCCGGCTTTGGGACTGGAGCTGCAGTCCCGGCTTTGGGACTGGAGCTGCAGTCCCGGCGTGGAGACTGGAGCTGCAGTCCCGGCGTGAGGACTGGAGCTGCAGTCCCGGCTTGGGGACTGGAGCTGCAGTCCCGGCTTGGGGACTGGAGCTGCAGTCCCGGCTTGGGGACTGGAGCTGCACTCCCGGCGTGGGGACTGGAGCTGCAGTCCCGGCTTTAGGACTGGAGCTGCAGTCCCGGCTTGGGGACTGGAGCTGCAGTCCCGGCATGGGGACTGGAGCTGCAGTCCCGGCTTGGGGACTGGAGCTGCAGTCCCGGCGTGGGGACTGGAGCTGCAGTCCCGGCGTGGGGACTGGAGCTGCAGTCCCGGCGTGGGGACTGGAGCTGCAGTCCCCGCTTGGGGACTGGAGCTGCAGTCCCGGCTCGGGGACTGGAGCTGCAGTCCCGGCTTGGGGACTGGAGCTGCAGTCCCGGCTTGGGGACTGGAGCTGCAGTCCCGGCGTGGGGACTGGAGCTGCAGTCCCGGCTTGTGGACTGGAGCTGCAGTCCCGGCTTGGGGACTGGAGCTGCAATCCCGGCTTTGGGACTGGAGCTGCAGTCCCAGCTTTGGGACTGGAGCTGCAGTCCCGGCGTGGAGACTGAAGCTGCAGTCCCGGCGTGGGGACTGGAGCTGCAGTCCCGGCTTGGGGACTGGAGCTGCAGTCCCGGCTTGGGGACTGGAGCTGCAGTCCCGGCGTGGGGACTGGAGCTGCAGTCCCGGCGTGGGGACTGGAGCTGCAGTCCCAGCTCGGGGACTGGAGCTGCAGTCCCGGCTCGGGGACTGGAGCTGCAGTCCCGGCTTGGGGACTGGAGCTGCAGTCCCGGCGTGGGGACTGGAGCTGCAGTCCCGGCTTGGGGACTGGAGCTGCAGTCCCGGCTTGGGGACTGGAGCTGCAATCCCGGCTTTGGGACTGGAGCTGCAGTCCCGGCTTTGGGACTGGAGCTGCAGTCCCGGCGTGGAGACTGGAGCTGCAGTCCCGGCGTGGGGACTGGAGCTGCAGTCCCGGCTTGGGGACTGGAGCTGCAGTCCCGGCTTGCGGACTGGAGCTGCAGTTCCGGCTTGGGGACTGGAGCTGCAGTCCCGGCGTGGGGACTGGAGCTGCAGTCCCGGCTTGGGGACTGGAGCTGCAGTCCCGGCTTGGGGACTGGAGCTGCAGTCCCGGCATGGGGACTGGAGCTGCAGTCCCGGCTTGGGGAATGGAGCTGCAGTCCGGGCGTGGGGACTGGAGCTGCAGTCCCGGCGTGGGGACTGGAGCTGCAGTCCCGGCGTGGGGACTGGAGCTGCAGTCCCGGCGTGGGGACTGGAGCTGCAGTCCCGGCGTGGGGACTGGAGCTGCAGTCCCGGCTTGGGGACTGGAGCTGCAATCCCGGCTTGGGGACTGGAGCTGCAGTCCCGGCTTGGGGACTGGAGCTGCAGTCCCGGCGTGGGGACTGGAGCTGCAGTCCCGGCTTGGGGACTGGAGCTGCAGTCCCGGCTTGGGGACTGGAGCTGCAGTCCCGGTATGGGGACTGGAGCTGCAGTCCCGGCTTGGGGACTGGAGCTGCAGTCCCGGCGTGGGGACTGGAGCTGCAGTCCCGGCGTGGGGACTGGAGCTGCAGTCCCGGCGTGGGGACTGGAGCTGCAGTCCCGGCGTGGGGACTGGAGCTGCAGTCCCGGCGTGGGGACTGGAGCTGCAGTCCTGGCTTGGGGACTGGAGCTGCAGTCCCGGCGTGGGGACTGGAGCTGCAGTCCCGGCGTGGGGACTGGAGCTGCAGTCCCGGCGTGGGGACTGGAGCTGCAGTTCCAGCTTGGGGACTGGAGCTGCGGTCCTGGCTTGGGGACTGGAGGTGCAGTCCCGGCTTGGGGACTGGAGCTACGGTCCTGGCTTGGGGACTGGAGCTGCAGTCCCAGCTCGGGGACTGGAGCTGCAGTCCCAGCTCGGGGACTGGAGCTGCAGTCCCGGCGCGGGGACTGGAGCTGCAGTCCCGGCGCGGGGACTGGAGCTGCAGTTCCGGCACGGGGACTGGAGCTGCAGTCCCGGCGCGGGGACTGGAGCTGCAGTCCCAGCTCGGGGACTGGAGCTGCAGTCCCGGCTCGGGGATTGGAGCTGCAGTCCCGACGTGGGGACTGGAGCTGCAGTCCCGGCGTGGGGACTGGAGCTGCAGTCCCAGCTCGGGGACTGGAGCTGCAGTCCCGGCTCGGGGACTGGAGCTGCAGTCCCGGCTTGGGGACTGGAGCTGCAGTCCCGGCGTGGGGACTGGAGCTGCAGTCCCGGCGTGGGGACTGGAGCTGCAGTCCCGGCTTGTGGACTGGAGCTGCAGTCCCGGCTTGGGGACTGGAGCTGCAATCCCGGCTTTGGGACTGGAGCTGCAGTCCCGGCTTTGGGACTGGAGCTGCAGTCCCGGCTTTGGGACTGGAGCTGCAGTCCCGGCGTGGAGACTGAAGCTGCAGTCCCGGCGTGGGGACTGGAGCTGCAGTCCCGGCTTGGGGACTGGAGCTGCAGTCCCGGCTTGGGGACTGGAGCTGCAGTCCCGGTATGGGGACTGGAGCTGCAGTCCCGGCTTGGGGACTGGAGCTGCAGTCCCGGCGTGGGGACTGGAGCTGCAGTCCCGGCGTGGGGACTGGAGCTGCAGTCCCGGCGTGGGGACTGGAGCTGCAGTCCCAGCTCGGGGACTGGAGCTGCAGTCCCGGCTCGGGGACTGGAGCTGCAGTCCCGGCTCGGGGACTGGAGCTGCAGTCCCGGCTTGGGGACTGGAGCTGCAGTCCCGGCTTTGGGACTGGAGCTGCAGTCCCGGCTTTGGGACAGGAGCTGCAGTCCCGGCTTTGGGACTGGAGCTGCAGTCCCGGCGTGGAGACTGGAGCTGCAGTCCCGGCTTGGGGACTGGAGCTGCAGTCCCGGCTTGGGGACTGGAGCTGCAGTCCCGGCGTGGGGACTGGAGCTGCAGTCCCGGCGTGGGGACTGGAGCTGCAGTCCCGGCGTGGGGACTGGAGCTGCAGTCCCGGCGTGGGGACTGGAGCTGCAGTCCCGGCGTGGGGACTGGAGCTGCAGTCCCGGCTTGGGGACTGGAGCTGCAGTCCCGGCTTGGGGACTGGAGCTGCAGTCCCGGCATGGGGACTGGAGCTGCAGTCCCGGCTTGGGGACTGGAGCTGCAGTCCCGGCGTGGGGACTGGAGCTGCAGTCCCGGCTTGGGGACTGGAGCTGCAATCCCGGCTTGGGGACTGGAGCTGCAGTCCCGGCTTGGGGACTGGAGCTGCAGTCCCGGCGTGGGGACTGGAGCTGCAGTCCCGGCTTGGGGACTGGAGCTGCAGTCCCGGCGCGGGGACTGGAGCTGCAGTCCCGGCGCGGGGACTGGAGCTGCAGTTCCGGCACGGGGACTGGAGCTGCAGTCCCGGCTTGGGGACTGGAGCTGCAGTCCCAGCTCGGGGACTGGAGCTGCAGTCCCGGCTCGGGGATTGGAGCTGCAGTCCCGACGTGGGGACTGGAGCTGCAGTCCCGGCGTGGGGACTGGAGCTGCAGTCCCAGCTTGGGGACTGGAGCTGCAGTCCCGGCTCGGGGACTGGAGCTGCAGTCCCGGCTTGGGGACTGGAGCTGCAGTCCCGGCGTGGGGACTGGAGCTGCAGTCCCGGCTTGGGGACTGGAGCTGCAGTCCCGGCGTGGGGACTGGAGCTGCAGTCCCGTCTTGTGGACTGGAGCTGCAGTCCCGGCTTGGGGACTGGAGCTGCAATCCCGGCTTTGGGACTGGAGCTGCAGTCCCGGCTTTGGGACTGGAGCTGCAGTCCCGGCGTGGAGACTGAAGCTGCAGTCCCGGCGTGGGGACTGGAGCTGCAGTCCCGGCTTGGGGACTGGAGCTGCAGTCCCGGCTTGGGGACTGGAGCTGCAGTCCCGGTATGGGGACTGGAGCTGCAGTCCCGGCTTGGGGACTGGAGCTGCAGTCCCGGCGTGGGGACTGGAGCTGCAGTCCCGGCGTGGGGACTGGAGCTGCAGTCCCGGCGTGGGGACTGGAGCTGCAGTCCCGGCGTGGGGACTGGAGCTGCAGTCCCAGCTCGGGGACTGGAGCTGCAGTCCCGGCTCGGGGACTGGAGCTGCAGTCCCGGCTTGGGGACTGGAGCTGCAGTCCCGGCTTGGGGACTGGAGCTGCAATCCCGGCTTTGGGACTGGAGCTGCAGTCCCGGCTTTGGGACTGGAGCTGCAGTCCCGGCGTGGAGACTGGAGCTGCAGTCCCGGCGTGGGGACTGGAGCTGCAGTCCCGGCTTGGGGACTGGAGCTGCAGTCCCGGCTTGGGGACTGGAGCTGCAGTCCCGGCGTGGGGACTGGAGCTGCAGTCCCGGCGTGGGGACTGGAGCTGCAGTCCCGGCGTGGGGACTGGAGCTGCAGTCCCGGCGTGGGGACTGGAGCTGCAGTCCCGGCGTGGGGACTGGAGCTGCAGTCCCGGCTTGGGGACTGGAGCTGCAGTCCCGGCATGGGGACTGGAGCTGCAGTCCCGGCTTGGGGACTGGAGCTGCAGTCCCGGCGTGGGGACTGGAGCTGCAGTCCCGGCTTGGGGACTGGAGCTGCAATCCCGGCTTGGGGACTGGAGCTGCAGTCCCGGCTTGGGGACTGGAGCTGCAGTCCCGGCGTGGGGACTGGAGCTGCAGTCCCGGCTTGGGGACTGGAGCTGCAGTCCCGGCTTGGGGACTGGAGCTGCAGTCCCGGCATGGGGACTGGAGCTGCAGTCCTGGCTTGGGGACTGGAGCTGCAGTCCCGGCGTGGGGACTGGAGCTGCAGTCCCGGCGTGGGGACTGGAGCTGCAGTCCCGGCGTGGGGACTGGAGCTGCAGTCCCGGCGTGGGGACTGGAGCTGCAGTCCCGGCTTGGGGACTGGAGCTGCAGTCCCGGCGTGGGGACTGGAGCTGCAGTCCCGGCGTGGGGACTGGAGCTGCAGTCCCGGCGTGGGGACTGGAGCTGCAGTCCCGGCGTGGGGACTGGAGCTGCAGTCCTGGCTTGGGGACTGGAGCTGCAGTCCCGGCGTGGGGACTGGAGCTGCAGTCTCGGCGTGGGGACTGGAGCTGCAGTCCCGGCTTGGGGACTGGAGCTGCAGTCCCGGCTTGGGGACTGGAGCTGCAGTCCCAGCATGGGGACTGGAGCTGCAGTCCCGGCTTGGGGACTGGAGCTGCAGTCCCGGCGTGGGGACTGGAGCTGCAGTCCCGGCTTGGGGACTGGAGCTGCAGTCCCGGCGTGGGGACTGGAGCTGCAGTCCCGGCTTGGGGACTGGAGCTGCAGTCCCGGCGTGGGGACTGGAGCTGCAGTCCCGGCGTGGGGACTGGAGCTGCAGTCCCAGCTCGGGGACTGGAGCTGCAGTCCCGGCGCGGGGACTGGAGCTGCAGTCCCGGCGCGGGGACTGGAGCTGCAGTCCCGGCGCGGGGACTGGAGCTGCAGTCCTGGCGCGGGGACTTGAGCTGCAGTCCCATCGCGGGGACTGGAGCTGCAGTCCCGGCTTGGGGACTGGAGCTGCAGTCCCAGCGTGGGGACTGGAGCTGCAGTCCCGGCGTGGGAACTGGAGCTGCAGTCCCGGCTTGGGGACTGGAGCTGCAATCCCGGCTTGGGGACTGGAGCTGCAGTCCCGGCTTGGGGACTGGAGCTGCAGTCCCGGCGTGGGGACTGGAGCTGCAGTCCCGGCTTGGGGACTGGAGCTGCAGTCCCGGCTTGGGGACTGGAGCTGCAGTCCCGGTATGGGGACTGGAGCTGCAGTCCCGGCTTGGGGACTGGAGCTGCAGTCCCGGCGTGGGGACTGGAGCTGCAGTCCCGGCGTGGGGACTGGAGCTGCAGTCCCGGCGTGGGGACTGGAGCTGCAGTCCTGGCGTGGGGACTGGAGCTGCAGTCCCGGCGTGGGGACTGGAGCTGCAGTCCTGGCTTGGGGACTGGAGCTGCAGTCCCGGCGTGGGGACTGGAGCTGCAGTCCCGGCTTGGGGACTGGAGCTGCGGTCCCGGCGTGGGGACTGGAGCTGCAGTTCCAGATTGGGGACTGGAGCTGCGGTCCTGGCTTGGGGACTGGAGGTGCAGTCCCGGCTTGGGGACTGGAGCTACGGTCCTGGCTTGGGGACTGGAGCTGCAGTCCCAGCTCGGGGACTGGAGCTGCAGTCCCAGCTCGGGGACTGGAGCTGCAGTCCCGGCGCGGGGACTGGAGCTGCAGTCCCGGCGCGGGGACTGGAGCTGCAGTTCCGGCACGGGGACTGGAGCTGCAGTCCCGGCGCGGGGAATGGAGCTGCAGTCCCAGCTCGGGGACTGGAGCTGCAGTCCCGGCTCGGGGACTGGAGCTGCAGTCCCGGCTTGGGGACTGGAGCTGCAGTCCCGGCGTGGGGACTGGAGCTGCAGTCCCGGCTTGGGGACTGGAGCTGCAGTCCCGGCGTGGGGACTGGAGCTGCAGTCCCGGCTTGTGGACTGGAGCTGCAGTCCCGGCTTGGGGACTGGAGCTGCAATCCCGGCTTTGGGACTGGAGCTGCAGTCCCGGCTTTGGGACTGGAGCTGCAGTCCCGGTGTGGAGACTGAAGCTGCAGTCCCGGCGTGGGGACTGGAGCTGCAGTCCCGGCTTGGGGACTGGAGCTGCAGTCCCGGCTTGGGGACTGGAGCTGCAGTCCCGGCGTGGGGACTGGAGCTGCAGTCCCGGCGTGGGGACTGGAGCTGCAGTCCCAGCTCGGGGACTGGAGCTGCAGTCCCGGCTCGGGGACTGGAGCTGCAGTCCCGGCTTGGGGACTGGAGCTGCAGTCCCGGCTTGGGGACTGGAGCTGCAATCCCGGCTTTGGGACTGGAGCTGCAGTCCCGGCTTTGGGACTGGAGCTGCAGTCCCGGCGTGGAGACTGGAGCTGCAGTCCCGGCGTGGGGACTGGAGCTGCAGTCCCGGCGTGGGGACTGGAGCTGCAGTCCCGGCGTGGGGACTGGAGCTGCAGTCCCGGCTTGGGGACTGGAGCTGCAGTCCCGGCGTGGGGACTGGAGCTGCAGTCCCGGCGTGGGGACTGGAGCTGCAGTCCCGGCGTGGGGACTGGAGCTGCAGTCCCGGCGTGGGGACTGGAGCTGCAGTCCTGGCTTGGGGACTGGAGCTGCAGTCCCGGCGCGGGGACTGGAGCTGCAGTCCCGGCGCGGGGACTGGAGCTGCAGTCCCGGCGCGGGGACTGGAGCTGCAGTCCTGGCGCGGGGACTTGAGCTGCAGTCCCATCGCGGGGACTGGAGCTGCAGTCCCGGCTTGGGGACTGGAGCTGCAGTCCCAGCGTGGGGACTGGAGCTGCAGTCCCGGCGTGGGGACTGGAGCTGCAGTCCCGGCTTGGGGACTGGAGCTGCAATCCCGGCTTGGGGACTGGAGCTGCAGTCCCGGCTTGGGGACTGGAGCTGCAGTCCCGGCGTGGGGACTGGAGCTGCAGTCCCGGCTTGGGGACTGGAGCTGCAGTCCCGGCTTGGGGACTGGAGCTGCAGTCCCGGTATGGGGACTGGAGCTGCAGTCCCGGCTTGGGGACTGGAGCTGCAGTCCCGGCGTGGGGACTGGAGCTGCAGTCCCGCCGTGGGGACTGGAGCTGCAGTCCCGGCGTGGGGACTGGAGCTGCAGTCCCGGCGTGGGGACTGGAGCTGCAGTCCCGGCGTGGGGACTGGAGCTGCAGTCCTGGCTTGGGGACTGGAGCTGCAGTCCCGGCGTGGGGACTGGAGCTGCAGTCCCGGCTTGGGGACTGGAGCTGCGGTCCCGGCGTGGGGACTGGAGCTGCAGTTCCAGATTGGGGACTGGAGCTGCGGTCCTGGCTTGGGGACTGGAGGTGCAGTCCCGGCTTGGGGACTGGAGCTACGGTCCTGGCTTGGGGACTGGAGCTGCAGTCCCAGCTCGGGGACTGGAGCTGCAGTCCCAGCTCGGGGACTGGAGCTGCAGTCCCGGCGCGGGGACTGGAGCTGCAGTCCCGGCGCGGGGACTGGAGCTGCAGTTCCGGCACGGGGACTGGAGCTGCAGTCCCGGCGCGGGGAATGGAGCTGCAGTCCCAGCTCGGGGACTGGAGCTGCAGTCCCGGCTCGGGGACTGGAGCTGCAGTCCCGGCTTGGGGACTGGAGCTGCAGTCCCGGCGTGGGGACTGGAGCTGCAGTCCCGGCTTGGGGACTGGAGCTGCAGTCCCGGCGTGGGGACTGGAGCTGCAGTCCCGGCTTGGGGACTGGAGCTGCAGTCCCGGCGCGGGGACTGGAGCTGCAGTCCCGGCGCGGGGACTGGAGCTGCAGTTCCGGCACGGGGACTGGAGCTGCAGTCCCGGCTTGGGGACTGGAGCTGCAGTCCCAGCTCGGGGACTGGAGCTGCAGTCCCGGCTCGGGGATTGGAGCTGCAGTCCCGACGTGGGGACTGGAGCTGCAGTCCCGGCGTGGGGACTGGAGCTGCAGTCCCAGCTTGGGGACTGGAGCTGCAGTCCCGGCTCGGGGACTGGAGCTGCAGTCCCGGCTTGGGGACTGGAGCTGCAGTCCCGGCGTGGGGACTGGAGCTGCAGTCCCGGCTTGGGGACTGGAGCTGCAGTCCCGGCGTGGGGACTGGAGCTGCAGTCCCGTCTTGTGGACTGGAGCTGCAGTCCCGGCTTGGGGACTGGAGCTGCAATCCCGGCTTTGGGACTGGAGCTGCAGTCCCGGCTTTGGGACTGGAGCTGCAGTCCCGGCGTGGAGACTGAAGCTGCAGTCCCGGCGTGGGGACTGGAGCTGCAGTCCCGGCTTGGGGACTGGAGCTGCAGTCCCGGCTTGGGGACTGGAGCTGCAGTCCCGGCGTGGGGACTGGAGCTGCAGTCCCGGCTTGGGGACTGGAGCTGCAGTCCCGGCGCGGGGACTGGAGCTGCAGTCCCGGCGCGGGGACTGGAGCTGCAGTTCCGGCACGGGGACTGGAGCTGCAGTCCCGGCTTGGGGACTGGAGCTGCAGTCCCAGCTCGGGGACTGGAGCTGCAGTCCCGGCTCGGGGATTGGAGCTGCAGTCCCGACGTGGGGACTGGAGCTGCAGTCCCGGCGTGGGGACTGGAGCTGCAGTCCCAGCTTGGGGACTGGAGCTGCAGTCCCGGCTCGGGGACTGGAGCTGCAGTCCCGGCTTGGGGACTGGAGCTGCAGTCCCGGCGTGGGGACTGGAGCTGCAGTCCCGGCTTGGGGACTGGAGCTGCAGTCCCGGCGTGGGGACTGGAGCTGCAGTCCCGTCTTGTGGACTGGAGCTGCAGTCCCGGCTTGGGGACTGGAGCTGCAATCCCGGCTTTGGGACTGGAGCTGCAGTCCCGGCTTTGGGACTGGAGCTGCAGTCCCGGCGTGGAGACTGAAGCTGCAGTCCCGGCGTGGGGACTGGAGCTGCAGTCCCGGCTTGGGGACTGGAGCTGCAGTCCCGGCTTGGGGACTGGAGCTGCAGTCCCGGTATGGGGACTGGAGCTGCAGTCCCGGCTTGGGGACTGGAGCTGCAGTCCCGGCGTGGGGACTGGAGCTGCAGTCCCGGCGTGGGGACTGGAGCTGCAGTCCCGGCGTGGGGACTGGAGCTGCAGTCCCGGCGTGGGGACTGGAGCTGCAGTCCCAGCTCGGGGACTGGAGCTGCAGTCCCGGCTCGGGGACTGGAGCTGCAGTCCCGGCTTGGGGACTGGAGCTGCAGTCCCGGCTTGGGGACTGGAGCTGCAATCCCGGCTTTGGGACTGGAGCTGCAGTCCCGGCTTTGGGACTGGAGCTGCAGTCCCGGCGTGGAGACTGGAGCTGCAGTCCCGGCGTGGGGACTGGAGCTGCAGTCCCGGCTTGGGGACTGGAGCTGCAGTCCCGGCTTGGGGACTGGAGCTGCAGTCCCGGCGTGGGGACTGGAGCTGCAGTCCCGGCGTGGGGACTGGAGCTGCAGTCCCGGCGTGGGGACTGGAGCTGCAGTCCCGGCGTGGGGACTGGAGCTGCAGTCCCGGCGTGGGGACTGGAGCTGCAGTCCCGGCTTGGGGACTGGAGCTGCAGTCCCGGCATGGGGACTGGAGCTGCAGTCCCGGCTTGGGGACTGGAGCTGCAGTCCCGGCGTGGGGACTGGAGCTGCAGTCCCGGCTTGGGGACTGGAGCTGCAATCCCGGCTTGGGGACTGGAGCTGCAGTCCCGGCTTGGGGACTGGAGCTGCAGTCCCGGCGTGGGGACTGGAGCTGCAGTCCCGGCTTGGGGACTGGAGCTGCAGTCCCGGCTTGGGGACTGGAGCTGCAGTCCCGGCATGGGGACTGGAGCTGCAGTCCTGGCTTGGGGACTGGAGCTGCAGTCCCGGCGTGGGGACTGGAGCTGCAGTCCCGGCGTGGGGACTGGAGCTGCAGTCCCGGCGTGGGGACTGGAGCTGCAGTCCCGGCGTGGGGACTGGAGCTGCAGTCCCGGCTTGGGGACTGGAGCTGCAGTCCCGGCGTGGGGACTGGAGCTGCAGTCCCGGCGTGGGGACTGGAGCTGCAGTCCCGGCGTGGGGACTGGAGCTGCAGTCCCGGCGTGGGGACTGGAGCTGCAGTCCTGGCTTGGGGACTGGAGCTGCAGTCCCGGCGTGGGGACTGGAGCTGCAGTCTCGGCGTGGGGACTGGAGCTGCAGTCCCGGCTTGGGGACTGGAGCTGCAGTCCCGGCTTGGGGACTGGAGCTGCAGTCCCAGCATGGGGACTGGAGCTGCAGTCCCGGCTTGGGGACTGGAGCTGCAGTCCCGGCGTGGGGACTGGAGCTGCAGTCCCGGCTTGGGGACTGGAGCTGCAGTCCCGGCGTGGGGACTGGAGCTGCAGTCCCGGCTTGGGGACTGGAGCTGCAGTCCCGGCGTGGGGACTGGAGCTGCAGTCCCGGCGTGGGGACTGGAGCTGCAGTCCCAGCTCGGGGACTGGAGCTGCAGTCCCGGCGCGGGGACTGGAGCTGCAGTCCCGGCGCGGGGACTGGAGCTGCAGTCCCGGCGCGGGGACTGGAGCTGCAGTCCTGGCGCGGGGACTTGAGCTGCAGTCCCATCGCGGGGACTGGAGCTGCAGTCCCGGCTTGGGGACTGGAGCTGCAGTCCCAGCGTGGGGACTGGAGCTGCAGTCCCGGCGTGGGAACTGGAGCTGCAGTCCCGGCTTGGGGACTGGAGCTGCAATCCCGGCTTGGGGACTGGAGCTGCAGTCCCGGCTTGGGGACTGGAGCTGCAGTCCCGGCGTGGGGACTGGAGCTGCAGTCCCGGCTTGGGGACTGGAGCTGCAGTCCCGGCTTGGGGACTGGAGCTGCAGTCCCGGTATGGGGACTGGAGCTGCAGTCCCGGCTTGGGGACTGGAGCTGCAGTCCCGGCGTGGGGACTGGAGCTGCAGTCCCGGCGTGGGGACTGGAGCTGCAGTCCCGGCGTGGGGACTGGAGCTGCAGTCCTGGCGTGGGGACTGGAGCTGCAGTCCCGGCGTGGGGACTGGAGCTGCAGTCCTGGCTTGGGGACTGGAGCTGCAGTCCCGGCGTGGGGACTGGAGCTGCAGTCCCGGCTTGGGGACTGGAGCTGCGGTCCCGGCGTGGGGACTGGAGCTGCAGTTCCAGATTGGGGACTGGAGCTGCGGTCCTGGCTTGGGGACTGGAGGTGCAGTCCCGGCTTGGGGACTGGAGCTACGGTCCTGGCTTGGGGACTGGAGCTGCAGTCCCAGCTCGGGGACTGGAGCTGCAGTCCCAGCTCGGGGACTGGAGCTGCAGTCCCGGCGCGGGGACTGGAGCTGCAGTCCCGGCGCGGGGACTGGAGCTGCAGTTCCGGCACGGGGACTGGAGCTGCAGTCCCGGCGCGGGGAATGGAGCTGCAGTCCCAGCTCGGGGACTGGAGCTGCAGTCCCGGCTCGGGGACTGGAGCTGCAGTCCCGGCTTGGGGACTGGAGCTGCAGTCCCGGCGTGGGGACTGGAGCTGCAGTCCCGGCTTGGGGACTGGAGCTGCAGTCCCGGCGTGGGGACTGGAGCTGCAGTCCCGGCTTGTGGACTGGAGCTGCAGTCCCGGCTTGGGGACTGGAGCTGCAATCCCGGCTTTGGGACTGGAGCTGCAGTCCCGGCTTTGGGACTGGAGCTGCAGTCCCGGTGTGGAGACTGAAGCTGCAGTCCCGGCGTGGGGACTGGAGCTGCAGTCCCGGCTTGGGGACTGGAGCTGCAGTCCCGGCTTGGGGACTGGAGCTGCAGTCCCGGCGTGGGGACTGGAGCTGCAGTCCCGGCGTGGGGACTGGAGCTGCAGTCCCAGCTCGGGGACTGGAGCTGCAGTCCCGGCTCGGGGACTGGAGCTGCAGTCCCGGCTTGGGGACTGGAGCTGCAGTCCCGGCTTGGGGACTGGAGCTGCAATCCCGGCTTTGGGACTGGAGCTGCAGTCCCGGCTTTGGGACTGGAGCTGCAGTCCCGGCGTGGAGACTGGAGCTGCAGTCCCGGCGTGGGGACTGGAGCTGCAGTCCCGGCGTGGGGACTGGAGCTGCAGTCCCGGCGTGGGGACTGGAGCTGCAGTCCCGGCTTGGGGACTGGAGCTGCAGTCCCGGCGTGGGGACTGGAGCTGCAGTCCCGGCGTGGGGACTGGAGCTGCAGTCCCGGCGTGGGGACTGGAGCTGCAGTCCCGGCGTGGGGACTGGAGCTGCAGTCCTGGCTTGGGGACTGGAGCTGCAGTCCCGGCGTGGGGACTGGAGCTGCAGTCTCGGCGTGGGGACTGGAGCTGCAGTCCCGGCTTGGGGACTGGAGCTGCAGTCCCGGCTTGGGGACTGGAGCTGCAGTCCCAGCATGGGGACTGGAGCTGCAGTCCCGGCTTGGGGACTGGAGCTGCAGTCCCGGCGTGGGGACTGGAGCTACAGTCCCGGCGTGGGGACTGGAGCTGCAGTCCCGGCGTGGGGACTGGAGCTGCAGTCCCGGCTTGGGGACTGGAGCTGCAGTCCCGGCGTGGGGACTGGAGCTGCAGTCCCGGCGTGGGGACTGGAGCTGCAGTCCCAGCTCGGGGACTGGAGCTGCAGTCCCGGCGCGGGGACTGGAGCTGCAGTCCCGGCGCGGGGACTGGAGCTGCAGTCCCGGCGCGGGGACTGGAGCTGCAGTCCTGGCGCGGGGACTTGAGCTGCAGTCCCATCGCGGGGACTGGAGCTGCAGTCCCGGCTTGGGGACTGGAGCTGCAGTCCCAGCGTGGGGACTGGAGCTGCAGTCCCGGCGTGGGGACTGGAGCTGCAGTCCCGGCTTGGGGACTGGAGCTGCAATCCCGGCTTGGGGACTGGAGCTGCAGTCCCGGCTTGGGGACTGGAGCTGCAGTCCCGGCGTGGGGACTGGAGCTGCAGTCCCGGCTTGGGGACTGGAGCTGCAGTCCCGGCTTGGGGACTGGAGCTGCAGTCCCGGTATGGGGACTGGAGCTGCAGTCCCGGCTTGGGGACTGGAGCTGCAGTCCCGGCGTGGGGACTGGAGCTGCAGTCCCGCCGTGGGGACTGGAGCTGCAGTCCCGGCGTGGGGACTGGAGCTGCAGTCCCGGCGTGGGGACTGGAGCTGCAGTCCCGGCGTGGGGACTGGAGCTGCAGTCCTGGCTTGGGGACTGGAGCTGCAGTCCCGGCGTGGGGACTGGAGCTGCAGTCCCGGCTTGGGGACTGGAGCTGCGGTCCCGGCGTGGGGACTGGAGCTGCAGTTCCAGATTGGGGACTGGAGCTGCGGTCCTGGCTTGGGGACTGGAGGTGCAGTCCCGGCTTGGGGACTGGAGCTACGGTCCTGGCTTGGGGACTGGAGCTGCAGTCCCAGCTCGGGGACTGGAGCTGCAGTCCCAGCTCGGGGACTGGAGCTGCAGTCCCGGCGCGGGGACTGGAGCTGCAGTCCCGGCGCGGGGACTGGAGCTGCAGTTCCGGCACGGGGACTGGAGCTGCAGTCCCGGCGCGGGGAATGGAGCTGCAGTCCCAGCTCGGGGACTGGAGCTGCAGTCCCGGCTCGGGGACTGGAGCTGCAGTCCCGGCTTGGGGACTGGAGCTGCAGTCCCGGCGTGGGGACTGGAGCTGCAGTCCCGGCTTGGGGACTGGAGCTGCAGTCCCGGCGTGGGGACTGGAGCTGCAGTCCCGGCTTGTGGACTGGAGCTGCAGTCCCGGCTTGGGGACTGGAGCTGCAATCCCGGCTTTGGGACTGGAGCTGCAGTCCCGGCTTTGGGACTGGAGCTGCAGTCCCGGTGTGGAGACTGAAGCTGCAGTCCCGGCGTGGGGACTGGAGCTGCAGTCCCGGCTTGGGGACTGGAGCTGCAGTCCCGGCTTGGGGACTGGAGCTGCAGTCCCGGCGTGGGGACTGGAGCTGCAGTCCCGGCGTGGGGACTGGAGCTGCAGTCCCAGCTCGGGGACTGGAGCTGCAGTCCCGGCTCGGGGACTGGAGCTGCAGTCCCGGCTTGGGGACTGGAGCTGCAGTCCCGGCTTGGGGACTGGAGCTGCAATCCCGGCTTTGGGACTGGAGCTGCAGTCCCGGCTTTGGGACTGGAGCTGCAGTCCCGGCGTGGAGACTGGAGCTGCAGTCCCGGCGTGGGGACTGGAGCTGCAGTCCCGGCTTGGGGACTGGAGCTGCAGTCCCGGCTTGGGGACTGGAGCTGCAGTCCCGGCGTGGGGACTGGAGCTGCAGTCCCGGCGTGGGGACTGGAGCTGCAGTCCCGGCGTGGGGACTGGAGCTGCAGTCCCGGCTTGGGGACTGGAGCTGCAGTCCCGGCTTGGGGACTGGAGCTGCAGTCCCGGCGTGGGGACTGGAGCTGCAGTCCCGGCGTGGGGACTGGAGCTGCAGTCCCGGCGTGGGGACTGGAGCTGCAGTCCCGGCTTGGGGACTGGAGCTGCAGTCCCGGCTTGGGGACTGGAGCTGCAGTCCCGGCATGGGGACTGGAGCTGCAGTCCCGGCTTGGGGACTGGAGCTGCAGTCCCGGCGTGGGGACTGGAGCTGCAGTCCCGGCGTGGGGACTGGAGCTGCAGTCCCGGCGTGGGGACTGGAGCTGCAGTCCTGGCTTGGGGACTGGAGCTGCAGTCCCGGCGTGGGGACTGGAGCTGCAGTCCCGGCTTGGGGACTGGAGCTGCAGTCCCGGCGTGGGGACTGGAGCTGCAGTTCCAGCTTGGGGACTGGAGCTGCAGTCCTGGCTTGGGGACTGGAGGTGCAGTCCCGGCTTGGGGACTGGAGCTACGGTCCTGGCTTGGGGACTGGAGCTGCAGTCCCAGCTCGGGGACTGGAGCTGCAGTCCCAGCTCGGGGACTGGAGCTGCAGTCCCGGCGCGGGGACTGGAGCTGCAGTCCCGGCGCGGGGACTGGAGCTGCAGTTCCGGCACGGGGACTGGAGCTGCAGTCCCGGCGCGGGGACTGGAGCTGCAGTCCTGGCGCGGGGACTTGAGCTGCAGTCCCATCGCGGGGACTGGAGCTGCAGTCCCGGCTTGGGGACTGGAGCTGCAGTCCCAGCGTGGGGACTGGAGCTGCAGTCCCGGCGTGGGGACTGGAGCTGCAGTCCCGGCTTGGGGACTGGAGCTGCAATCCCGGCTTGGGGACTGGAGCAGCAGTCCCGGCTTGGGGACTGGAGCTGCAGTCCCGGCGTGGGGACTGGAGCTGCAGTCCCGGCTTGGGGACTGGAGCTGCAGTCCCGGCTTGGGGACTGGAGCTGCAGTCCCGGCATGGGGACTGGAGCTGCAGTCCCGGCTTGGGGACTGGAGCTGCAGTCCCGGCGTGGGGACTGGAGCTGCAGTCCCGGCGTGGGGACTGGAGCTGCAGTCCCGGCGTGGGGACTGGAGCTGCAGTCCCGGCGTGGGGACTGGAGCTGCAGTCCCGGCTTGGGGACTGGAGCTGCAGTCCCGGCGTGGGGACTGGAGCTGCAGTCCCGGCGTGGGGACTGGAGCTGCAGTCCCAGCTCGGGGACTGGAGCTGCAGTCCCAGCTCGGGGACTGGAGCTGCAGTCCCGGCGCGGGGACTGGAGCTGCAGTCCCGGCGCGGGGACTGGAGCTGCAGTTCGGGCGCGGGGACTGGAGCTGCAGTCCCGGCGCGGGGACTGGAGCTGCAGTCCTGGCGCGGGGACTTGAGCTGCAGTCCCATCGCGGGGACTGGAGCTGCAGTCCCGGCTTGGGGACTGGAGCTGCAGTCCCAGCGTGGGGACTGGAGCTGCAGTCCCGGCGTGGGGACTGGAGCTGCAGTCCCGGCTTGGGGACTGGAGCTGCAATCCCGGCTTGGGGACTGGAGCTGCAGTCCCGGCTTGGGGACTGGAGCTGCAGTCCCGGCGTGGGGACTGGAGGTGCAGTCCCGGCTTGGGGACTGGAGCTGCAGTCCCGGCTTGGGGACTGGAGCTGCAGTCCCGGTATGGGGACTGGAGCTGCAGTCCCGGCTTGGGGACTGGAGCTGCAGTCCCGGCGTGGGGACTGGAGCTGCAGTCCCGGCGTGGGGACTGGAGCTGCAGTCCCGGCGTGGGGACTGGAGCTGCAGTCCCGGTGTGGGGACTGGAGCTGCAGTCCCGGCGTGGGGACTGGAGCTGCAGTCCTGGCTTGGGGACTGGAGCTGCAGTCCCGGCTTGGGGACTGGAGCTACGGTGCTGGCTTGGGGACTGGAGCTGCAGTCCCGGCTTGGGGACTGGAGCTGCAGTCCCGGCTTGGGGACTGGAGCTGCAGTCCCGGCTTGGGGACTGGAGCTGCAGTCCCGGCTTGTGGACTGGAGCTGCAGTCCCGGCTTGAGGACTGGAGCTGCAGTCTACGCACTGGTGCGCTGTGCACCAGCACGTGAGCACCACCAGCGTATGAGCCGGCTTGAGAACCATTGGTGCAGTGTATGAGCCGGTGGTGCAGCGTATGAGCGGGCGGTGCAGCGTACGAGCGGGCGGTGCAGCGTACGAGCGGGCGGTGCAGCGTACGAGCGGGCGGTGCAGCGTACGAGCGGGCGGTGCAGCGTATGAGCGGGCGGTGCAGTGTATGAGCGGGCGGTGCAGCGTATGAGCGGGCGGTGCAGCGTATGAGCGGGCGGTGCAGCGTATGTGCGGGCGGTGCAGCGTATGATCGGGCGGTGCAGCGTATGAGCGGGCGGTGCAGCGTATGAGCGGGCGGTGCAGCGTATGAGCTGGCGCTGCAGCGTATGAGCTGGCGGTGCAGCGTATGAGCGGGCGGTGCAGCGTATGAGCGGGCGTTGCAGCGTATGAGAGGGCGGTGCAGCGTATGAGCGGGCGGTGCAGCGTATGAGCGGGCGGTGCAGCGTATGAGCGGGCGGTGCAGCGTATGAGCGGGCGGTGCAGCGTATGAGCGGGTGGTGCAGCGTATGAGCGGGCGGTGCAGCGTATGGGCGGGCGGTGCAGCGTATGGGCGGGCGGTGCAGCGTATGAGCGGGCGGTGCAGCGTATGAGCGGGCGGTGCAGCGTATGAGCGGGCGGTGCAGCGTATGAGCGGGCGGTGCAGCGTATGAGCGGGCGGTGCAGCGTATGAGCGGGCGGTGCAGCGTATGAGCGGGCGGTGCAGCGTATGAGCAGGCGGTGCAGCGTATGAGCGGGCGGTGCAGCGTATGAGCGGGCGGTGCAGCGTATGAGCGGGCGGTGCAGCGTATGAGCGGGCGGTGCAGCGTATGAGCGGGCGGTGCAGCGTATGAGCGGGCGGTGCAGCGTATGAGCGGGCGGTGCAGCGTGTGAGCGGGCGGTGCAGCGTATGAGCGGGCAGTGCAGCGTATGAGCGTTCCTCAACACTAGATTCCCCTCGCCTACTACTCCCATCCCCAATCAGATCGCCAGGGCATCTGACCTCCAGGCGCTTCACCAAGCTGTGGGAAAGGATTTTCTCGTCCAAGCACCCTGCTACAGCCATGCCTTTCCAGGGTACGCCTTCTCTGCTACAGTTGAGCATTTGCGCGGCAATGTATGTCCTGTTCCATGCCCCAGCCATGAGGTCTCAAAGTGCACGCCATACCACACGTATTGCTCCGTATTCTCATCTCATCGTCGCTGTAACCTCCTCACATCCTCCCATCTCATGCATGTCCATGCCCATGCCCATGCAGGAAGGACCTGACCGGGTCAATGTTTGAAATCCTTAAGACGTAAGCCGTTGCCGCATGCTTTCTCAATTCTGCCACTTCCCACGCATCAGCCAGAAAACGCTGCTTACCACCCAGTTCGCATCAGCTTACTTTGCTTGCACACTCTCGTAGTTCACCGCTTACATGGCATTGCCATTCATGACAGGTGATGCCATGTGCTATCCCACATTCTCCCCTCACATACTCTCTCATCCCTCCACACCATCTTCCCTTCCCCTCTCCATTCCAGCTACTCCCTTCTCTTCTTTTCCGCTGAAGCTCCATCTGTCTTTCACTCACCTATTCTCCCTCTCTTTTTCTGCATGCACTCGTTTAACCACCCACACACCACATTCACTCGCCCCTGTTTGTCCGCCTGTATCATCCCAGCACACACGCGTTTAGCTTCTTCTCCTACACACCAAAATAACTTCCCTCCCAACTCGCCCCTGTCTGTCTGCCTGCACCATCCCAGCACACACGCGTTTAGCTTCTACACGCACACACCAATCAGCCCTCAGCGGTGGCATGACTTCGACCGGGAGCTCACTGCTGCATGGCAGGTCAGTGTGGTCCCACCTCTTTGCAAGGTATGTTTATTTGGAATGGCACATGCATGTATGTAGCATTTGTTGCATGCATGTCCCATAAGCATGTACGTTTGTGCATGCCTATCGGCCCTTCTCTCTCAAAGATTCTAGTTTGTCTCCTCCAGTCTTTCTACCCTTGCCATGAAGCATACATCTCTTCTCTTCCATTCCAGCACACCAACTTTGCTCCATCTGCCCTTTCAGCTGAACACTTGCAGCTGAACAGTTGCACACATGTTTCTAACTCCCAATTCCATGCGTTTCGTTGTCCCCATCCTCCCTCCCACCAGGCCCTGTGTGCGGCAGTGCTGGACGCACACACTGAGGCAGCGGACCCGCATCGCTACCGCCAGAGGATTCAAGACGCAATCCTAAGGCTGGGGTACTTCTGGTCAGTAAGGCACGCTGTGCAGGGTTGCTTGTGCATGGGGTCCTGTACTCCCCGCCGTGCCTGTGGGAGGGGTCACATGTGTAGTGTAGTTGTCTTGCACAGTGATACAACGATTAGCCTCACCGCCGTTTTGGACCTTCAGCTCCTGTCACGTGTCACGGCTGCATGACCCTCACTCCACATCCGCGCCTCCCCACACACGGTTATCCTCTCCCTCTCGGTCTCCACTTCAACAGGTTCCAGCTGATGCCGTTGACTCGCGGGTCCGCCATGGTGGGGCTGGTGGTGATTTTTTAGTCGAGTAGAAAATCAGCCCCACTGTTTCTCTCCTCCCCTCAGTCTCCACTTCAACAGGTTCCAGCTGATGCCCCTGACGCGTGGCTCTGCCATGGTGGGGTTGGTCTCCATCCTCGGCCTCTCCATTTCTGCTGACACACCTCTTGTTGTTCTTGTGTATCCTCCTCTACCCGTCCACACGCCCCACACTGTGCCCCGTAGGTTCCAGCTCATGCCGTTGACTCGCGGGTCGGCCATGGCAGGGCTGGTCTCCATCCTCGGCCTCTCCATGGCTGCTGACATGCAGACCACAATGCTCGTCCCCCATGGAGTGCAGGTAGGCTGAAATGGGCCAGGTAGTTGCACCTGGGGCTGGGATGCAGTAAGGAGTGGCTTATATTCAACCAGCAAATAAGCACCAAATAGCCCCCTAATGGTTCGATAGAATCAGGGTGAGAGGAAGAACACACACTTGAGCTCTGACTCTAGACCGGAGTCTGGAGCAGTTCATAGTGGGTCTTTTGCCCTGGTACGATCAGTCAGTCACCACACGATTAATTGTATGAGTTTCATTCGTACACCACCTTCATCATATCACTTCCATTCAGGTGGACTGGGAGGCTCTACTCGTGTCTCGCTTTGAAGACTTCAATGCCTCCATTGCCCCATGGCTCTTCGCCTCTACTCAAAGCTCGCCCTGGGGTCTTGCCCCTATTGAGGGCGTCTTATCCACAACGCACCATGTGATTGCAGCGTTGAGCTACGATATAAAGCATAAAAGGTGACCATATGCTGGTTGCCTTATTTCACAACATTGTCTATAACTGATGCTGCGACATTAGGGAAGTGCAATTATGAGAAGCACAAAAACTTATATTTTTAGCCACCCTGGACCAAACATATGTGTTAAAGCGACGGGCAACTTCTGGCAGTGTTGGGTTCAGAAGTTTTTTTTTTGAACCAGGCTTGCCAGCGCGAAAGTGCTGGCTGGCGAAAACCAGGATTTCGTGCGGACACTTTCCATCCGCAGTAACAGTTCGCCAGGGTTCTGGGTTTTGGGTGGCAAATGTGCACCGTCGCTTTAATGGTTTAGTCCCCGATTTAGCCTTATGCTTGCTTTGAATTGACATGTGAACAGCAACATTTGTACCTCGACACACAAAATATGTCGTTGTGCGCTCGAGGGGGCATGGTGCCGAAAAACGGCTTTTCCCTCCAGACAGTTGACATGACGGTCAACTCAAATTCGAAACTGTGGTCTGACACTTGCACAAGATCCGAGCCACTAGTGTTGCTGCCTGTCAGCAAACCTCATCTCACAATCGCCACCCCATCCAACGCCGTAGATGTCAGGAGCACCTCCCCCGCAAAAACACAGTTACATGATTTGCACAACGGGGTAAGGTAAATTTCAATCTTTAGCGAAAGCTTAATCCTATCGCCAGCCTTCGCGGCTCCCCGCCGTTCACCACAGCCCCTCCGCCAACTTCCCAAAGCTTCCCGCCTTGTCAGCGCAAATTTCCCGCAACCCGACTCTGGAGCGGCGTCCCCCGCCTTGGGATTCCCTCGGCTTGCATGGCGACTCGACTCTTCCCTTCCCTCCTCTCACATCCGTCTCTTCACCTCTCCTTTCCCCTCTCCTCTCTCCCCTCCACCTCAACTTTCCTTCCGCCTTGTGACTCTGTTGCATGGCGGATGCCGTGGCTTCTCACCGTCTCCACTCCATTCCCATTCCTTTCCACGATCCTCTCGCTTAGTCCTGCTCGCGAGTTCTCTCAGGCGCGCTTGCTAACTAGGTCCGTCCGTCCATGGCCGCTTCTTCAGTATTGACTCGTGCGTCAAAACTAGCAATCGCTTGAGCTGAGCTTAGGTTTCAGGTCAAAACGCTCTGCTCTGGACGACCGTCATATCGTTTTCTGGACGACCATTTGCTAGAATGCGAATCATCGCGTGGATATATTTTAACGACGATCAGTTCGTTACTTTCATCAACACTAGAACCTAGGACTAATCGGATGAGATCCCATCAATCAATCCCTTCGATCCGCTCTTATTGTTATTCCTAGTCTGAATCTAGAACCTAGAACTCATCGATTGATATCCCATCACTTCTGTTTTCGATCAGCTCTTATTGATAGACGTCAGGTTCTCGCGCGCATCAGCCCTTTCGTGAGACATTATCTCGTGTGACGCTCGCAACCTGAACATTCCTTCCGCGATGACGTTTCCCGTCGGTCATGCTTCGTCCTACGACGCCGTTCGCGTGGTTAGGGTTCTTCGTAGGACGATGCGATTCAGCATTTCTCGCTCGCGATGTTGCGACGGAAGAGGAGGATTTTAATTCCTATAAAATGAAGCATATAGCTTCAAGAGTGCGAATCTCGCAGCATCTTTCTTCAACAACCATGCACGGTCCAACAACGATTCGTTCTCTCCTCCGAAGACGCGACGCGACGCTGATGTCGATCGCTGATGACTACGCTCTCAACAACTAATACGGTCCGACTCTGACGTCCGACGTAGACACGCGAAGACATCTGACGTCTGAACATCGCTTTCAACCGACGCTACTACTACGCTGACGTCCGACGTAAACACTTGCGACGTTAACGAAGATGATCACGTGACGAATAAGGTTCCTGCGGAGGAGCAGCTTCGTGAAGAGGCGGCGGTAGAGTTCGTGAATGCGTCGACGCTCGCGAAGGCTCGCAATTGCATGGATGCATGATGGAAGGGATATCGACGGTGGACGCTCTTCGTCGACGCGGATGCTCTTCGGCTGCTCTGACCAAGCTCGCGAAATGCTGACGGAGTAGTAACATTTTTCGTCGCCTCTGCTACTCTTCGTAGAACCGGAAGAGCTCGCGAGGCCGTCGACGCTCGCGATGGTGGGACGACGGAGGCGGAGGAGCTTTGGGAGATGCTCTCACTACGGTGGAAAGGAGCTTCGTCGTGATGCGACGGCGGAGGAGCCCGCGACGACCGTGCGACGCTCGCCACGTCCCTGCGAAAATGCGGACCTTGTGAATTCGACAATGCGAGAGCTAACGAAGGCGCCGTTTTCGTGGGCGCGAATGCGTCGACGTTCGCGCGCCGCTACCTGGTTGTGGTAACGTTTCGTCCAAACCCCAAATGCTTGTTTCTAGGCAACGTGTTCTTAGGGTTAATCTATTTCTTGTCTTTTGGCAATCACGTTTCGCTTCATTCAGTCTGGCGTATTTTCCGTTTCCGTTCCATTCCTATCATGGGGTATCTCACTGGCTGCGACTTCTACTGTCTCCGTCCGTCCATGCAGAAGCGGGAGCTGGTTTCCTGGTGCGCTGCTCCTGGCGCGGTGCTGCTGCGCCTATGCATCCACGGCGAGATGAGATGACTGACTGGCGTTGGTGTGGCGTTGGAGGTGGAGTGGTGCTGCTACCTCGTTGGAGCTGGAACGGTGCTGCTGCTGCGCCCACAGGAGGCCGTGAACTGCCTCTCGCCAAGAGCTGGAGCGGGAGAAGTGCCATGATCTTGATCGACGGAGGAGGAGCAGCTTCGTGGATTGGACGACGCGAATACGTCGCCGTTCGCGCCGCTACTACTGTGAGTTTTCGTGCAAAGCCCAGATGCATGTTCTCAGGAAACGCTTTATTGAAGAGGAGTGTTTCCAGTTGCTCTTTTGCTGCTCTCTTGATGCTCGTGTCTCATTTCCGTTCAATTTGTCTCGTTTCCGTTCAATATGACGATCGCGTTTCGTTTCCGTTCAATCTGACGATCGCGTTTCGTTTCCGTTCAATCTGACGATCGCGTTTCGTTTCTGTTCAATCTGACGGTCGCATATCTGACGGTCTTGATATCTCACATGTTGCGAATTGATGTCTCTGTCCGTGCAGGAGCGATGCTGCAGTGAACTGGAGCTGGAGCGATGTCTCTCGCCAAGAAGATGCTGACTGGCGTTGTTGGCGAGAGGAGATGGCTGACTGGCGTTGGTGCTGGCGAGAGGAGATGGCTGACTGGCGTTGGTGCTGGCGAGAGGAGATGGCTGACTGGCGTTGGTGCTGGCGAGAGGAGATGGCTGACTGGCGTTGGTGCTGGCGAGAGGAGATGGCTGACTGGCGTTGGTGCTGGCGAGAGGAGATGGCTGACTGGCGTTGGTGCTGGCGAGAGGAGATGGCTGACTGGCGTTGGTGCTGGCGAGAGGAGATGGCTGACTGGCGTTGGTGCTGGCGAGAGGAGATGGCTGACTGGCGTTGGTGCTGGCGAGAGGAGATGGCTGACTGGCGTTGGTGCTGGCGAGAGGAGATGGCTGACTGGCGTTGGTGCTGGCGAGAGGAGATGGCTGACTCGCGTTGGTGCTGGCGAGAGGAGATGGCTGACTGGCGTTGGTGCTGGCGAGAGGAGATGGCTGACTGGCGTTGGTGCTGGCGAGAGGAGATGGCTGACTGGCGTTGGTGCTGGCGAGAGGAGATGGCTGACTGGCGTTGGTGCTGGCGAGAGGAGATGGCTGACTGGCGTTGGTGCTGGCGAGAGGAGATGGCTGACTGGCGTTGGTGCTGGCGAGAGGAGATGGCTGACTGGCGTTGGTGCTGGCAAGAGGATAAGGCTGACTGGCGTTGGTGCTGGCGAGAGGAGATGGCTGACTGGCGTTGGTGCTGGCGAGAGGAGATGGCTGACTGGCGTTGGTGCTGGCGAGAGGAGATGGCTGACTGGCGTTGGTGCTGGCGAGAGGAGATGGCTGACTGGCGTTGGTGCTGGCGAGAGGAGATGGCTGACTGGCGTTGGTGCTGGCGAGAGGAGATGGCTGACTGGCGTTGGTGCTGGCGAGAGGAGATGGCTGACTGGCGTTGGTGCTGGCGAGAGGAGATGGCTGACTGGCGTTGGTGCTGGCGAGAGGAGATGGCTGACTGGCGTTGGTGCTGGCGAGAGGAGATGGCTGACTGGCGTTGGTGCTGGCGAGAGGAGATGGCTGACTGGCGTTGGTGCTGGCGAGAGGAGATGGCTGACTGGCGTTGGTGCTGGCGAGAGGAGATGGCTGACTGGCGTTGGTGCTGGCAAGAGGATAAGGCTGACTGGCGTGCATCCCGAGGTTGACTGGAGTGGTGCTGCTATCTCGTTGGAGCTGGAACGGGAGGGCCGTGAACTGCCTCTCGCCAAGAGCTGGAGCAGGAGAAGTGCTGCTGCGTTCGTGCTGCTGCCGAGAGGAGATGGCGGATTGGCGTTGGTGTGGCGTTGGAGGTGGTGTGGTGCTGCTGCGACGGAGGTGGCGTGGTGCTGCTTCGAAGGAGGTGGCATGGTGCTGCTGCGAAGGAGGAGGCGTGGTGCTGCTTCGAAGGAGGTGGTGCTGCTGTGTTGGAGGCGGTGCTGATGTGTTGGAGGCGGTGCTGCTGTGTTGGAGGCGGTGCTGCTGTGTTGGAAGCGGTGCTGCTGTGTTGGAGGCGGTGCTGCTGTGTTGGAGGCGGTGCCGCTACATTGGAGGCGGTGCTGCTACATTGGAGGCGCTTCTGCTACATTGGAGGCGCTGCTGCTACATTGGAGCGCTGCTGCTCGTCTCTTCTCCAACACCTGTCAACAACCGGCTAAGTTCCCTCTGGCCCTCCTCTTCCTCGATTGCTCCTGACCCTTTCCCGCCTCCCATTCCTCCTCCTCCTCCTCCTCCTCCTCCTCCTCCTCCTCCTCCTCCTCCTCCTCCTCCTCCTCCTCCTCCTCCTTTTCCTCCTCCTCCTCCTCCTTCACCTTCTCCTTCTCCCTCTCCCTCTCCCTCTCCCTCTCCTTCCCCTTCTCGTTCTCCTCTCCTCTCCTTTTCCTCTCCCTTCTCCTTCTCTTCCTCCTCCTCCTCCTTCTCCTTCTCCTCCTCCTCCTCTGTCGTTGCTGGTTGAGGCGATACCTAACGGGTCACAGACCATCCCCCCCACTGCTGGTATTCTCCCAAAACTTCTACTGCGGTAACCCCCCCCCCCCTTGGGTACTTCGGGCAACGGCCCCAGTGTAAGTGCATCCGGTTAACCCTTGGGTACTTCAAAGCCCCCAGCGTAAGTGCATCCGGGCAAACTCTTCGGTGCTTCGGGGTAAATGCCCCCAGCGTAAGTGCACCCGGTTAACCCTTCGGGGTAAATGCCCTCAGTGTAAGTGCATCCGGGCAACCCTATGGGTCTGTGGCTTGTGGGAGTAGCCTTGCCAGTAACGGCCCTCCCGCCTCCTCTTCTTCCTGCTTCCTCCTTCCCCCTCCTCCCTTCCTTCTACCTCCTCTTCTTCCTGCGTCCTCCCTCCTCCTCCCTTCCTTCCTCCTCCTCTTCTTCCTGCGTCCTCCCTCCTCCTCCCTTCCTTCCTCCTCCTCTTCTTCCTGCTTCCTCCCTCCTCATCCTCCTCCCTTCCTCCTCCTCCTCCTCCTCCTCCTCCTCCTCCTCCTCCTCCTCCTCCTCCTCCTCCTCCTCCTCCTCCTCCTCCTCCTCCTCCTCCTCCTCCTCCTCCTCCCGCCCTTGCTCCTCCTCCTCCCGCCATTTCCTGTTGTCTTCGTCGTTTTGCTCTGCGTATTGATCAATTTCCTGCTGTCTTCGTCGTTTTGTTGTGCTTGTTCCCTCTATCCAGCCACTAACCTTCTCGGGAGTAGGGGGTTGCAACTCTCTGTTCCTTGTGCAGAGGCGTGGCTGGGGAGGCGGAGCAGCAGCTGGAGAGTGCTGCTGGGGTGGAGGCAAGTGGAGCAGCAGCAACTGGAGCAGCAATGACTGGAGAAGCAAGTGAGTACATCTAGCCGTGACAAAAGACCGCCATTCGTTTCTTCTCCTCCCGCTCCCTCCCTCCTCATTCACGCTTCCCTCTTCCTTCGTTTTTTCTCTGGCTTTCGTGTTCCTCGTTGTGTTTCCGCTGTCTTTCTTCCTCCTTGCGTTCGTTCCTTTTCACTGTCATTCAACGGTATCAAATTACTCTTTCAACTCAATCTGCTACGCTTGCCTTTATTTTGATCAACCTTCTATCTCTGATCGCTGTGCAGTGACTGGGATTGTTAAGGAGTAGGGTGGGAAGACGGAGCAGCAGCGACAGGAGCAACTGCTCTGGCTGTGGGGAGGAGAGGAGAGCAGAACGAAGAGCAGCAAGTGAAGAGCTGCTGAAACCCTCCTGGCGCTGGTGCTGGCTGTGGGGAGGAGAGCAGTGGCAGCAGCGACTGGAGAAGCGGCGAGTGGAAAAGCAGCAACTGGAGAAGCGGCGACTTGAGAAGCAAGTAAGTAACTGGAGCTCTTCATTTCTTCTCCTCGCCCTCCCATCTTCCTCCTCATTCGCGTTTTCCACTCACTTCAGTGTTTTTAAGGCATTCGTTTTCTTTGTCGTTTTTCCGCTGTCCTTTTTCCTCCTTGCATTCGGTCTTCTTCACTCTGTCAGTCCACTATGTCGACTCCTCTTCTCTGATTATCCTTCCCTGCGACTCTCTGATCTCTGTGCAGGGAGGCAACGCTAAGGCGTGGGTGGGAAGACGGTGCAGCAGCGACTGGATAGCACCTGCTGCGTTGGGGGCAGCTGGAGCAGCAGCGACTGGATAAGCAAGTAAGTACTTGGAGCCATGACAGAACACCCCCGTTTCTCTCTAATCCCCCCTCTCCCTTCTCTCTCCTCATTCGAGTTTTCTTCTGCCTTAGTAGTTCCAATTGCTTTCGTGTTCTTCGTCGCTTTTCCGCTGTCTAATTCCTCCTTGCATTTGATATTCTTCACTCTGTCAATCTGCCCTGTCGACTCACTGATTGATCTTCCCTGTGCGATTGCGACTCTCTGGTCACTGTGCAAGGCGTTAATCTGTGGGTGGGAGGAGCAGCAGCAGCTGGAGCAGCATCGACAGCGGCAGCAGTGGCAGCAGGAGGAGAGCGGCAGTGGCAGAAGCAGCAGTGCGAGCGGCAGCGGCAGGGGCAGAAGAAGTGGCAACGCGAGAAGAATGCCCTACAGTTTCTGACGCTGCTGCTGGGTGTTGGGAGGCCAGTCAATGCCAGTCAAAGCCAGTCAACGCCAGTCAATCCTGTGAGCTGCAGCAGTGGAGCAGGGGAGGTGAGGAGACGGCTGGAAGGGATCCCAAAAGGAAGGAGACGGCTGGACTGCCCTGAGCTGCAGCAGGGAAGGCACGGAGGGGACACAAAATCCACAAACGCAGTCTGCGAGCTGTTACTGCCTCCTGCGTGCTGCTGCTGGTGCTGTGATGTGGAGTGATGGGACGACAACAAGCAGCTCTAATGCTGCGTTGGCCAGCAGTGACACCAGTGGTGGCAGCAGCGGTGGCAGCAGCGGTGGCAGCAGCGGTGGGAGAAGGAGAGAGGTCCGCAATGACACTACAGCTGACAGAGGCAGTGGCTGGCAGCAGGAGAGAAGACCAGCAGTGACACCAGCGGTGGCAGCAGCGGTGGGAGAAGGAGAGCGGTCCGCAATGACACTACAGCTGACAGCAGCAGTGGCTGGCAGCAGAAGAGAAGACCAGCAGTGACACCAGCGGTGGCAGCAGCGGTGGGAGAAGGAGAGAGGTCCGCAATGACACTACAGCTGACAGCAGCAGTGGCTGGCAGCAGAAGAGAAGACCAGCAGTGACACCAGCGGTGGCAGCAGCGGTGGGAGAAGGAGAGAGGTCCGCAATGACACTACAGCTGACAGCAGCAGTGGCTGGCAGCAGAAGAGAAGACCAGCAGTGACACCAGCGGTGGCAGCAGCGGTGGGAGAAGGAGAGAGGCCCGCAATGACACTACAGCTGACAGCAGCAGTGGCTGGCAGCAGAAGAGAAGACCAGCAGTGACACCAGCGGTGGCAGCAGCAGTGGGAGCAGCGGTGGCAGCAGTAGGGAAGGCTAGCAGTGGGAGCAGATGCTAGCAGGGAGGCTAGCAGTGGGAAAAGATGCTAGCAGGGAGGCTAGCAGTGGGAACAGATGCTAGCAGGAAGGCTAGCAGTGGGAGCAGATGCTAGCAGGGAGGCTAGCAGTGAGAGCAGATGCTAGCAGGGAGGCTAGCAGTGGGAGCAGATGCTAGCAGGGAGGCTAGCAGTGGGAGCAGATGCTAGCAGGGAGGCTAGCAGTGGGAGCAGATGCTAGCAGGGAGGCTAGCAGTGGGAACAGATGCTAGCAGGGAGGCTAGCAGTGGGAGCAGATGCTAGCAGGGAGGCTAGCAGTGGGAGCAGATGCTAGCAGGGAGGCTAGCAGTGGGAGCAGATGCTAGCAGGGAGGCTAGCAGTGGGAACAGATGCTAGCAGGGAGGCTAGCAGTGGGAGCAGATGCTAGCAGGGAGGCTAGCAGTGGGAGCAGATGCTAGCAGGGAGGCTAGCAGTGGGAGCAGATGCTAGCAGGGAGGCTAGCAGTGGGAGCAGATGCTAGCAGGGAGGCTAGCAGTGGGAACAGATGCTAGCAGGGAGGCTAGCAGTGGGAACAGATGCTAGCAGGGAGGCTAGCAGTGGGAACAGATGCTGCTCAAAACTATGCAAATCAAATGGTGAGTTTTGAGAGACGTCTCAAAACTTACATCCCCTCCTTCCTCACTGCAGATTTGCTGCGGTGAGCAAAACTTGGGTTTTGAGAGCAAAACGTCTCAAAACTCGCACTTGTTGTGGGCTGTGGTGGTTGTTGTTTTCTCCTGTTGAGCAGTGGGAGGAGGACCGGCTGTGAGGCGCTTTGACCCCCTGGGGGCCAAAGGATCAACACAAGAGCAGCAGCGGGAGGTGGAGCGGCGCCTTCAAGTGAGGCGCTTTGACCCCCTGGGGGGCAAAGGATCAACACACGAGGAGCAGCGGGAGGTGGAGCGGCGCCTTCAAGTGAGGCGCTTTGACCCCCTGGGGGGCAAAGGATCAACACACGAGGAGCAGCGGGAGGTGGAGCGGCGCCTTCAAGTGAGGCGCTTTGACCCCCTGGGGGGCAAAGGATCAACATACGAGGAGCAGCGGGAGGTGGAGCAGCGCCTTCAAGTGAGGCGCTTTGACCCCCTGGGGGGCAAAGGATCAACACACGAGGAGCAGCGGGAGGTGGAGCGGCGCCTTCAAGTGAGGCGCTTTGACCCCCTGGGGGGCAAAGGATCAACACACGAGGAGCAGCGGGAGGTGGAGCGGCACCTTCAAGTGAGGCGCTTTGACCCCCTGGGGGGCAAAGGATCAACACACGAGGAGCAGCGGGAGGTGGAGCGGCGCCTTCGAGTGAGGCGCCTTCAAAATATAATTTCTGTGCCGCCCCTCTTCTAGGTACAGCAAGCATCAAGGGGCAACACCAAGGCGGGAGCAACACGGGGACGCAGCAGCTAGGACCCGTTGTAAGCTGCAGTCTTGTTTGCTTTCTTGTGTCATCTCATGCCTAATGTTGTTATGTGTGTGTCTTCTTGTCTTAGCCGTCATGAAGACATCAAGACGCCTCCAGCCCCCATGGTAAGTGCTCTCCAAGTTTCTGCTTTCTGTTTTCCACATGCACTAATGTCGTTGTTGCTTCCTGTTTCAGACAGCCGCGAGACTTCAAGACGCCTCCAGCCCCCTCGGTAAGTGCTCTCCAAGTTTCTGCTTTCTGTTTTCCACATGCACTAATGTCGTTGTTGCTTCCCGTTTCAGACAGCCGCGAGACTTCAAGACGCCTCCAGCCCCCTCGGTAAGTGCTCTCCAAGTTTCTGCTTTCTGTTTTCCACATGCACTAATGTCGTTGTTGCTTCCCGTTTCAGACAGCCGCGAGACTTCAAGACGCCTCCAGCCCCCTCGGTAAGTGCTCTCCAAGTTTCTGCTTTCTGTTTTCCACATGCACTAATGTCGTTGTTGCTTCCCGTTTCAGACAGCCGCGAGACTTCACGACGCCTCCAGCCCCCTCGGTAAGTGCTCTCCAACATTCTGCTTTTTGTTTCCCGCATGCACTAATGTCGTTGTTTGTTGCCTCCCGTTTCAGACAGCCGCAAAACTTTAAGACGCCTCCAGCCCCCTCGGTAAGTGCTCGTCCATTTTGTTTACTTGTTCTCTACTACCACTAATGGTTCTTGCTTGTCTTATTTAGCAGAAGGGAGAAGTGGCGCATCGGAGCACTCGATCGCGGTGGAGCAGAGGAGGTGGGAGGAGAGAAGGCGCGGAGGAGAGGAGGCGTGGAGGAGAGGAGGCGCGGAGGAGAGGAGGCGCGGAGGAGAGGAGGCGCTAAGGAGAATTCCCTGCCATTGCACTGCCGGTGAGCATATTCTTTCCTGCCTTCGTTTTCTTGATCCGTTGGATGGATGGTTGTTGCTCTATTCGCTTCGCATTGGCTTTAAATCAGTTTCTGGCTCTGGGTGCAATCGCTGGGTGCTCATAAGCTTTTCCTTCCTTCCTATTCCGCAGGAGATGCATTGGAGGGGACGGAGCAGCAGAGGAGGAGGAGCAGAGGAGATGCATCAGAGGAGGAGGAGCAGAGAAGAGCAGAGCTGCACTGGCCCCCACCGCTGCTGGCCTTATGGAGGGGGGAAGGCGCCAGTATTGACAGGAGCAAGGTGGAGCTGTTGCTGCCTGCTGCTGCTGCCTTGTGCTGTAGCTGCTGCTACCAAGTGATGGGACGGCTACTGCTACCTCCCGCGCTCGTACCTCTCTCCCTTGTGCTGCTGCTGGGGCTACGAAACTGCTGCGTTGGAGGTGGAAAGGTGGTTCTGTGTTGGCAGCAGCAGCGGCAGCAGTGGGACCACCAGCAATACCAGAAAACTGCAGCAGCGACAGGTGTTACCTCCGTCGCTCCTACCTCTTTCCCTTGTGCTGCTGCTGGTGCTACCAAGTGATGGGACGGCTACTGCTACCTCCCGCGCTCCTACCTCCCTCCCTTGTGCTGCTGCTGGGGCTACGAAACTGCTGCGTTGGAGGTGGAGAGGTGCTGCTGTGTTGGCAGCAGCAGCGGCAGCAGTGGGACCACCAGCAATACCAGAAAACTGCAGCAGCGGCAGGTGCTACCTCCCTCGCTCCTACCTCCCTCCCTTGTGCTGCTGCTGGGGCTACGAAACAGCTGCGTTAGTGGTGGAGAGGTGCTGCTGTGTTGGCAGTGACAGGTGCTACCTCCCTCGCTACTACCTCCCTCCAGTGTGCTGCTGCTGCTGGTGTGATGTGATAGGATGAGAGGTGCAGGGGAGTGGAGGAGCAAAGGAGATGGCCAGCAACAAAATGAGAGGCAGCAGCAGAAGAGAAGGCCATTGGTGACACCAGCTGTGGCAGCAGCAGTGGGAGCAGATGATGCTGCCTCACTCCCGCGTGCTACTGCAGAAGAGCAGAGGAGACGACCCGCAGCTGCTGGGAGCAGAAGAGAAGGCCAGCTGCTATCTCCCTCGCTCCTACCTCCTGCCCATGAGCTGCATCAGAGGAGGGGGGGCAGAGGAGATGCATCAGGGGAGGAGGAACAGAAGAGATGCATCAGAGGAGGAGGAGCAGAGGAGATGCATCCGAGGAGGAGATGGAGGATAGGTGGAGCAGAGGAGGTGGAGAAGCAGAGGAGTTGGCTCAGCTGAGGAGCAGCAGAGGAGGGGACGAGGAGCAAAGTAGCGATGGAGCAAAGAAGCACAGTGGTGGAGTAAATATGTGATCCTCTTTCTTGCTTTATCTGTTCTGTTCGTTCAGATGCATGGTTGCTGCCTTATTCGTTTCGCAAGACCTTTCTTTCTTGCCTTATGCATGCTCACAATTCTTTCTTTCTTGTCGTGTGAGATTATGTCCTTTCTGTGAGATTATGCGCTCATCAGCCCTGTGCCTGCCTCTTCCCATTTCACAGCAGCACAGGAGACAGAGCAGCAGAAGAGAGGAAGGAGAGACAAAGGAGATGATGGAGAAGAGGAAGGAGATGGAGCATTGGAGAGATACGGAGCAGAGGGCACGGAGGAGAAGGCACGGAGGGGGGAAGGCCAAAGGAGCAGAGGAGCAGAGAACTGCGCAGCTGCGATTCCCCCCAACGCTGCTGGCCGCACGGAGGAGAGAAGCCACGGAGGAGAGAAGGAATGGAGGGGAGAAGGCATGGAGGGGAGAAGGCAAGGCGCGGAGAAGGCACACCACCAAGCTGCGAGCTGTTACTGCCTCCCGCGTGCTGCTGCTGGTGCTGTGAAGTGATGGGATGGCGAGCAGTAGATATGGCCAGCAGTGGTACCAGCGGTGGCAGCAGCAGTGGGAGCAGAAGAGAGGCCCACAGTGACATACTGGTTTCAGCAGCCGAGGCAGCAGAAGGGAGTGCAAGCAGTGGGACCAGCAGTGGTAGCAGTGGCAGCAGAAGAGAAGGCCACCCTTCCCGTGTGCTACTGCAGATGAGCAGAGGAGCAGTAGCGGGAGAAAATGATGCTGCCTCCCTCCCGTGTGCAGAAGAGAAGGCCACTGCAAGAGAGGTGATGAGCAGGTGAATAGAGCAGAGGCGCAGAGAAGGGGCCAGAGTTGGCAACAGCAAGGTGCAAGCTGCACCCGTGTGCTGCTGCTGCGTTGGGAGGTGGTGCTGCTGCTGCTGCTGGCCTTCAACGCTGCTGGGTGCATGGAGGGGAGAAGGCATGGAGGGGAGAAGGCATGGAGGGGAGAAGGCATGGAGGGGAGAAGGCATGGAGGGGAGAAGGCACACAGGCACGGCTGTGAAATCGACACTAGCCAGCTGCGAGCTGTTACCGCCTCCTGCGTGCTGCTGCTGCACAGCTGCAGTGGCCCACGCCGCTGCTGGACATAAGGAGGAGCGAAGGCGCCAGCTGCGAGCTGTTACTGCCTCCCGCGTGCTGCTGCTGGTGCTGTGAAGTGATGGGACGGCGAGCAGAAGAGAGGGCCGCAGTGGGACCAGCGGTGGCAGCAGCAGTGGGAGCAGAAGAGAGGCCCGCAGTGACATTACTGGTTGCAGCAGCCGTGGCAGCAGAAGGGAATGCAAGCACTGGTACCAGCAGTGGCAGCAGCAGTGCCACCCTTCCCGTGTGCTACTGCAGAGGAGCAGAGGAGCAGCAGTGGGAGAAAATGATGCTGCCTCCCTCCCATGTGCTGCTGCTGCTGGTGCTGTGAAGTGGTGGAGTGGGGCTGCTGCTGGGAGGGGATTAGTGCTGCTGCTGCTGCATTGGAGGTGGCACCCGCAGTGACACCAGCGAAGGGAGTAGGGAAGAGGCATGCGGTGACACTACCGGTGGCAGCAGCAGTGCGAGCAGAAAGGGAAGGCCAGCAGTGACACCAGCAGTGGTAGCAGCAGTGGAGGGGGAGTGGTGCTGCACTGGAGGGGGAGTGGTGCTGCATTGAAGAGCAAAGAGCAAAGGAGCACGGTGGTGGATAACTATTCACTGCCGATGGTGATTCTTTTTCTTACTTTAGTTGTTCTGTTTGTTTGTTTGCATGGATACCGTTGCCTTGGTTTTGCATTTGCTCCGAGTTCTTACTTGGCACTAGGTGCAGTCAGTGCCTTGCACTCATCTGCCCTGATTTTTTCTCCTCCCATTCCACAGAAGGACACAGAGGCGAGGGAGCAGCAGACGAGACAGACGGCTGCTACAGGCGAGCAGAGCAGACGGGTGGACTGCCAGCGAGCTGTACCTTGAGCTACCTTTTGCTGTCAAGGAGCTGTGAAGGGGATGAAGCAGCTGTGAATGGGATGCAGCAGCTGTGAATGGGATGAAGCAGATGGAAGCAGGGGAATACAGGTTGCAGAGTGGTGGGGGAGCAGAGTGAAAGGGGGAGCAGAGTTCAAAGGAAGCACAGGAGAGGAGCAGAGGAGTTGGCGGAGGGGAGGAGAGCAGCGGAGAGGAGCAGAGAAGAGCACAGCTGCACTGGCCGCATGGAGGAGCGAAGTGAAGGCGCCAGCATTGGCACGAGCAATTTCGAGCTGTTACTGCCTGCTGCTGCTGCCTTGTGCTACCTCCCTCGCTCCCGCCTCTCTCGCCTGTGCTGCTGCTGGTGCTACAATGTGATGGGACTGCAGGCGCTACCTCATTCGCTCCTACTCTATCCCCTGTGCTGCTGCTGGTGCTATGGAGTGATGGGACGGCAGCTGCTGCATGGGAGTGGGAGTGCCTGCAGTGGGGCAGCAGCTACAGGTGCTACAAAGTGATGGGATGGCAGCTGCTTCTGTGGAGGTGGAGAGGTGCTGCTGTGTTGGCAGCAGCAGCGGCAGCAGTGGGACTGTCAGCAATACCAGAAGACAGCAGCAGCAACAGGTGCTACCTCCCTCGCTCCTACCTCCCTCCAGTGCTGCTGCTGGTGGTGCGAAGTGATAGGAGGAGAGATGAAGGGGAGCGGAGGAGCAAAAGAGATGGCCAGCAACAAAAGGAGAGGCAGCAGCAGAAGAGAAGGCTATTTGGTGACAGCAGCGGTGGCAGAAGCAGTGGGAGCAGCAGAAGAGAAGGCCCTCAGTGACACCAGCGGTGGCAGCAGAAGGGTATGATAGAAGTTGCAGCAGCGGTGGCGGCAGCAGTTGGAGACGACTGGCAGCTGCTGGGAGCAGAAGAGAGGGCCAGCTGTTATCTTCCTCGCTCCTACCTCCCGCTCATAAGCTGCTGCTGGTGCTGTGAAGTGAAGTGATGATGCAGATGAAGCAGACGATGCAGATGGAGCAGAAATGAAGCAGAGATGCAGGAGATGCAGCGAATCAGGGGATGGAGAGAGTGGGGGAAGCAGAGTGAGGGGGGAGCAGATAGCGGGGAACAGGGGTTGCAGGGGAAGCAGAGTGTGAGGAAGGCAGAGAGAGGCAGAGTGTGGGGGGCAGCAGAGTGCGATGGAAGGGGAGTGAGGGAAGAGCTGAGTGCTTAGAACTGCAGCAGATTGCAGTGTGAGGGTCAGGGGATGGAGTGAGAGTTAGAGTGAGGGTGAGTGTGAGTCAGCTAGTGTTGAGAACTGCGGCAGGCTGCAGTGTGAGGGTGAGTTGGAGTCAGAGTGAGAATGCGGTGTGAGGACCTTGTGTGCTGGTTTGAGGCGCCTCAAATCCAGTTGTGAGCTGCCGGTGGCAGTTCTGTTGTGTCCTGCAGTGCACTGCAGTGTTCCGTTCCTCCTCTCTTCCCTTCTCCGGGTTTTGAGAGACATCTCAAAACTCTCTAACTCTCTCTCTCTCTCTCTTCCTTTCTAAACTTGAGTTTTGAGAGATGTCTCAAAACTCACGCCTTCCTCACTGCAGTTTAGCTGCAGTGAGCAAAATCAGGGTTCTGGGAGATGTCCCAAAACTCTTATGCTCCTCACTGCAAATCTTGCTGTGAGCAAAACTGTACAGCAAGGCCTGGCAGCATTGGATTTGAGATTATTTTTTACCTGCCCCTGGGCAGTATCCAGTATCCTTTTGTGTTCTGTCTCCCCCCCCAACAGGGTCCCAAGCGATGGTTCCCACCTCACCGCGGTGCTTGGGTGTAACGTTGGGAGCTTGCTCCTGGCGGCCAAGAGGAACCCCCCATGCATGCCTACAGTGCATGGGTATAAATCTAGATATCAATTAGATTATATGGAACTTTTAGTACTGCGTCTGACTGTAACTGTTGATGTTTGATACTGAGCCGTCATATAGGCGAAACTGGGGTAACTAGTTAATTTATGTTTGATTCGGATGGAATCCAAGTAGGAGCAACAACTATTAATTTATTGATTATCCTTACGGACCTTCAAATTCTATAGCAATTACGGTCTGTTTCTATATTGCACTGGCCTTTCCACAAAACGCGACGCGTTTCAAACACGCCATAGTCAAATCAAGATTTCACGCCTTAGTCATTATCGGCGCGAACCTGATTTGGTACTAGTAGCGGATATTAGTAGGTACTTCTACTAAGTCTGATAGCGAACTCGTTTCGTTTTGGAAGGTTTATTAGAGTCTGTCCGTCAACGCTCCGCCATGCCTTGTCGGGTGCTCATCTCCTCTCCGCGCTGCCGTAGTCACCGCTCCAACGGGCTATCCTCGTTACAGGGATACGCGCCGACGGAACGGACGTCGGTGCTCCTTACAAGAGTGCAACGCGGAAGCGGCTTACGCGGCGGTGGCAGCGAGAAAGGGCTCACGCTGCTGGTCGTCTGACCTGGTGACCGTCTGACGATCCCGTCTGACTTGACGATTCCGTCTGACTTGACGATCCCGTCTGACTTGACGCTGTGGCCAACCTGGAACGATCCTGTAAGATTCCGAAACATCAACGGTCGACCCTGGTAGTTATGGCGTTATCGCAACGCGCAATTCTAGAAACACGACGCCTTCAGTTCCTCCCCTCTCCCCCCCAACCTCCTTCCTCCTCCCCTCCCCTTCCTTTCTCCTTTCCCCCTTTCCCCCACTACTTTTGCAATATTCCCCATGCGTTTCCCCCCTCCCGTCTGTGCAAGTCTGTGGGCCCGTGGATTGTTCTCATTGCACACATGCTGCTAATGAGTGAGGAAACAATTGTTTTAAGGTTCCCTCCCTGCAATCACAATCTCTCGCAAAAGCTACAAACGCTCATCTCCTCACCGCTTCCCTCTCCCCCACTCCCCCGTCCCCCCTCTTTCCCCCACATCCCCCCTGTTCTAATGCGTCGTCTCCATTCGCATAACGTTTCTCTCACCTCCCTGCCGCCCGTCACGCGCCGCTACCTCTCGCGCCGCTACCTCTCGCGCCTCGCCAGAGTTGTCATGCACCGCGTGCAACCCGCAGAGGGGTCGATGTGGCGAATTCTCGCTGCAAATGCAAATGCTCTCACAACACCCGGCTGGTCGGCTGCTCACTCAAGAGCAAGCCGCGCCAGTGCTGCTCGCCTTTCACACTCTCGGCTGAACGCTCACTGGTGCGTGCATGCTGTGAATGCGAATCAGAATGAGTACCTGTGAATGTGATTCGCTCGCACACGTATCGCATTCCTGGTTCTGTTTGGTTAGGGCCTCACTCTTTTGCTGTGCTGCGGGTATACATTCACTGGCGCTTTGTGCTCCTTCAATCCTCTCTCTCGCGTCTTCCATTATCTCGCTCCTTCCATTCCTCCTCCCTCACTCTCTCTCCATCTTCGTCCCACAGCCCCTCCCTCTCCCATCGGGCCCGTTCGTCGTACTCATACTGATGTCGTCCCGTTGTCTATAGGGTGTGGCGAAGCGTGGGTGCTCGGTGCGAGTGGGGCGGGACACAGAGGCCCAGAAGGAGAAGGCCCGCCAGCAACATGGGCCGCCGTGGTGGCATGCAAACCATGGGCTTGTTTCCATCCTCAGCCTCCCCATGGCTGCTGACATGCAAACCACAACGCTCATCCCTCCAAGTGCCTTACCCACCACACATCATGTGCTTGCGGCATTGATCTAGTATCATGTGAAGCATGAAAGGTGACCAGGTGCCGCTTGCTTCGCTTCAAATGCTTCTTGTTGGATCGTGTCATACCGGTAGTTGTGCAAATTGAGTGAATTATTGCCGATCATGTGGTTGTGGCTGTTGTGTGCAGTGCGGATGTTTGTGTCCGCTGACGGCTGACGGTGCAGGTACGGGAGGAGGAAAGGAGTAAAGGGAGGAGGAAAGGAGTAAAGGGAGGAGGAAAGGAGTAAAGGGAGGAGGAAAGGAGTGAAGGGAGGAGGAAAGGAGTAAAGGGAGGAGGAAAGGAGTGAAGGGAGGAGGAAAGGAGTGAAGGGAGGAGGAAAGGAGTGAAGGGAGGACGAAAGGAGTGAAGGGAGGAGGAAAGGAGTGAAGGGAGGAGGAAAGGAGTGAAGGGAGGACGAAAGGAGTGAAGGGAGGAGGAAAGGAGTGAAGGGAGGAGGAAAGGAGTAAAGGGAGGAGGAAAGGAGTAAAGGGAGGAGGGGATCACGGAGGCTTGAGTACCCCCCTCTTCCTCAACTGCCTGCCCTTCCACCCCCCCCCACACAGCGTCCGCCGTGTCAGGGCGCAGCAGAGAGCAGGGCAGGGAGCGAGCTGAAGTGGGCGGGGTTGATGGCGTGGCGGTGGTCGGTTGGCGCTGGCGCGCTGGTGGTGCAGAAAACCTTGCCGCCACCCCCCAGCCTTCCCCCCACCCCGCCACCCACCCCCCCACAGCTAATGCCGCGGGTGGGGCATGGCAGGGCGGCGGGCAGGGAGCGCACAGGGCGTTGGCAGGGCGGGCACGGGCACGTCGGGGTCGCTGGCACGCTCGCTCGCCGCCATGGGCCGCTGGCGCTCTCGCTATGGGCCGCTGGCCGCTCGCCATGTGCAGAGCGTTACGGGTGGGCTGCGGGCAGAGTGCGATGGAAGCACTGCGGGGCGTGACATAACTGACGCTAAGGGTGGTGCCATGCCATGGGCTGACGTTTGGTTTCGAGCCGAGCTCACATGCGACGATTTTATGGCAGAACCATAATTAACTGCTATTGTTGCCGCTTGCCACACAATCCACGCTATTTTTCCCGCTTCCGACAAGGCAGAGAAAAAAGTGAACTAAAATGACGCCTTACAGCAAAATGCGAGTGTTAGTTAGATGCGAGACTGATAACAGGTTGGTCTGATATGGGGCAGTAGGAATGAACACGCTCTTAGAAGATAGTATCGTGTCAAGCATTTCACGGAGAGGGAAGTGGAGAATGGAGAGGGAAGTGGAGAATGGAGAGGGAAGTGGAGAATGGAGAGGATTCACTACAGTCTACATTGCAGCCAGTTATAAAGAATATATAAAAATCTGCTTCTCACATGATAGGGTAAGTTGAACATCTATTTGTTGGATTCACTCTGATATCATTGATAACTCAATACATTTGTATCCGGCCTAATATACGCGGATATGTAACCATGAGTTACCACGCAGATGGAGATTCCCTTTTCTTGGTTTCTCCGTAACCTCGAACCGCTCCTATCTGCACTGCTTGTTCCTCAATTCAATCAGCTCGGTCCGCCATAGTTAGATAGATATTCTCGTCTCCCTGACCTCGAATGTGTCAATTGTATCGTTTCTCAATCGCTTTACTCCCCTCCGCTGCTTTCGATGGTTTTCGCTTCCTTCAATCCGCTCGGCAAATCCCGTGCGCGAGGACAAGGGGGATCGCCCAAACATGCGATTCCACGTCAAGCTTCCACCGTTGGATCTCGTCGTCCCGTCCATCTCGATCGTCCGCCTGATCCGGTCGCAATCGCGCCATCGTTATGGGAAGACGCGATCGAGCGAGTTGTGTGGTCACAGCGAGCGGCTAGGTTTTCTTCCTTATACTGTGCCGGTCGCAATGCGTCTCAGGCTACCCGAGAATCTGAGGAACTCTCGAGTAGGCCTTTCTTGTATGGTGCCGGAGCAGTTGCTTATCCGTTTTTAGGAGCGAGTGAGAGCCCACAGAAACTGAAGCCGGACAGTTGAGCACCACCTTTCTCCGTGAAGCCGGACAGTTGAGCACCACCTTTCTCCGTGAAGCCGGACAGTTGAGCACCACCTTTCTCCGTGAAGCCGGACAGTTGAGCACCACCTTTCTCCGTGAAGCCGGACAGTTGAGCACCACCTTTCTCCGTGAAGCCGGACAGTTGAGCACCACCTTTCTCCGTGAAGCCGGACAGTTGAGCACCACCTTTCTCCGTGAAGCCGGACAGTTGAGCACCACCTTTCTCCGTGAAGCCGGACAGTTGAGCACCACCTTTCTCCGTGAAGCCGGACAGTTGAGCACCACCTTTCTCCGTGAAGCCGGACAGTTGAGCACCACCTTTCTCCGTGAAGCCGGACAGTTGAGCACCACCTTTCTCCGTGAAGCCGGACAGTTGAGCACCACCTTTCTCCGTGAAGCCGGACAGTTGAGCACCACCTTTCTCCGTGAAGCCGGACAGTTGAGCACCACCTTTCTCCGTGAAGCCAGATGGAGCCTCGCGAATGGTAGAGCTGAACGAGCGTGAGCAGTACGCGACTGTGTCGCACTGACGCTGTGCCGTGCTGTGCGATCCAGGCGACGACTGCAGCACCCACCCCATTGCGAGCCATTTGTAGCAGCAGCACAAAAAGCAGGAGCTCATCGCGGTATCAGCAGGACGAGCAGCAGCAGCAACACTAGCAAGAGCAGCAGCATCAGCAGCAGCATCAGGCGGCGATGGAGAATGTGATGGTGGCGGGGAGCCGCATGCGCAAGGAGCTCTCCGTGGCCGCCTCCATCGTCATCGACGACGTACGCTCTCCGTCTCCTGCCTGCATCCATTGCCGCTGAACCGATTCATTCTCAGCATCCTTTGTCGCTGATGCCATGGCATGCTCGCATCGCATCGCGGAGGGCTCTGAGATCGTACCATGCCTTGACACGCGACTTAGCAACCCCTTCCCCCTTCCATCCAACCCTAACTACAGGACGTCTCGGGCCCATCGGAGTCACACGGGCAGCTGCCGTGCGCCATCTGCCAGCAGGCCATTGGGGTGGACGCGGAAGGGCGCGAGTTCGTGCCGTGCGAGTGTGCCTACCGCATCTGCCGCCCCTGCTACGAGTACATCCGCGCCCACGAGGGCAACCGCTGCCCGCAGTGCCTCTCCAAGTACCGCCGCCTCGCGGGTAAGGCCTCCGCCCCTTTCCTTCTTCCCCTCCTCCTCAGGACTCGTGATCTTTTGCAACGTCAGAGTGAAGCACAAATTGCTTGTGTTGTGTCTCGCCGGCCTGCTCCATCCCTGCCTAATTACGTTGCTGCCTTCGCTGTTTGTTCCGGGTCTTCCGTCTCTCAATGTTTTCTCATTGAATCGCATCTAACTGTGTGTTCCCTTGCTGCCATGCCATCCCACCGTATGTCGTGTCCCCATGCTGCTGCTGCTGATGATGATGATGCGTCATGCGCGAGCAGGCAGTCCCCCAGTGGACGACGATCCACCAGAGGAGGTCATTCGCCATCTCGAGGAGTCCATTCCCGACGCCCCTGCGCCTGCCCCCCCCGCCATTGCCGCCCCTGCTCCCCCTCTCCCCAGTCCCTCTGCCCTCCCCGCACCCCACGCCCTCCCCTCGCCCACTCTCCCACCGTCGTCCGTGCCTCTCGCCTCGCTGCTCTCTTCCTCGGCGCCTCACCTGGCACTGGAAGCCTTGTCGTCCTCCCCGTCATCTGCATCCCACGCGTCTGCATCACCACCGGCACCAGGGCCGGTTGTTGCGGGTAGCAGCAGCGGGGCTGGCAGTGCAGTGAGCGCCGGTGGTGGTGGGGTTGGCTTGGGGGTTGGTGTTGTTGGCGGTGGTGGTGGGGGCGTTGGTGGCGCTGGTGCTGGCATTGGTGGTGGTGGGGGCAGTCCGGGTGGTGGTGGGGGGGATGAGAGTCCCTCATCCGGCAGTGCGGGCGGCCCCTCCAGCTACGGCTATGGCAGCATCGTCTGGTTCACCCCCCGCCGCCAGTGGTCTGCCTTGGCATCTAGTGGGGACGGCGCTGCTGCTGCAGGTGTTTCTGGCGCAGGTGTTGCTGGTGCTGCTGCTGCTGGTGCTGGTGCTGCTGGTGCTGCTGCTGGTGTTGCTGGTAATGCATCTGGTGGTGTGCCTGAGACTGGCCCCTCCACGGCCATTATCCCGGTGCATGATGCTGCCGCCTCTGCAGGCGGGGTGGGGGGTGGCGATGGGGGTCTGGGTGTGATCCCCAGTGATGGTACTTCTGCTGACGGCTCGCCATTCATGTGCACACACTACCCTTCCCCACCCCCGTGCTACGCTCTTGTCCCTCCCTCTCCCTCCTTTCTTCTTCCAAACCCTCCATTTATTTCCGCTCGCACTGCTCCCCCTTATCGTTTGATGATATTTCCACATGATATTGCCCAGTTCTACCCCTTCTGCTGCTCTGCGCCACTCCATCTGTATCTGTTGCTAACTTGCTCACACCTTATTGCCGCTTCGCCCCCGTCGCAGAGTGGACGACACACGCCGCCCGTTGTCGCGCAAGGTGCCAGTGCCGTCCAGCATGCTGAACCCCTACAGGTGGGTAGCATGAGTACATGCGCCAGGTCCTGTCGTCGCCCTCCTATATTCCTTACTCTCTCCAAGCTCTCGTACTATCACCCCCTTCTTGTGTCCGGTTTTCCCTCTCCTCGCTCCTCGATTCTCCTTTCTTGTTCCTTGTGGCTTCTCATCGTTTTCTGATGTTTCGTTTCCCGTCCGCTTGCCCCATGTGTGTGTGGCATGTGCATGTGGCATGTGCATGTGGCATGTGTATGTGGCACGGGGGAGCAGGTTCGCAGTGGTGGTGCGCTTTGTGGTGATGATTCTCTTCTTCAAGTTCCGTGTCACCAACCCCAACAACTCCGCCTTCCTGCTCTGGCTCGCCTCTGTTGTCTGCGAAATCTGGTCAGTCACACCCCCCAATTTTCACATGTGAGTTTCAGTCAGCGGTTGGACCCCAACGTGATTCTCTGCTGTGCCATCGCTTCCACCTCCTTTTTGTCGCCGTTATTATTAACATTTCTTTGCTCTCGATGCCTCTTTCCCTCTCCTCTGTTGTTTTCACCTGACGCCAGGTTTGGAATCTCCTGGATATTCGATCAGCTGCCCAAGTGGTCGCCCATCACTCGAGAGACCTTTCTCAACCGCCTCTCCCTCAGGTGCCATTTGACTTGGTGTTTGGGATCCGGGGTTCATTGCTTTGCTACCTTCAACGCTGTGCTCTGCACTTGTGCTTTCATTGCTCCATTCTTCGCCATTCTTTCATGCCTGAACTCTGTCTTGAGTGACGAGTGGGGAGCATGTTATACAAGCAGCTGCAGTTGGGTTGTTCCATCAGTACCTTCTTTCTGTAAAACATCCTATGGCGCTCTAGACAACGCCGCAACTGCTTGCCAGTGCCCCATCCTCCACTCTCGTGCGCACAGGTACGAGCAGCAGGGGTGGCCGTGTGAGCTGCCCCAGGTGAACGTGTTTGTGTCGACAGCAGGCAGACCCCTTCAAGGAGCCACGCCTCGTGACAACCCACCCACGTGGCCTTACATCATGCCACATCCCTGCCACTGCCCCTTTTCCCCCTCTCTTTCTCTTGCGTTCTCGCAGGTACGAGCAGGAGGGGCGGCCATGTGAGCTGCCACAGGTGGACGTGTTTGTGTCGACGGCAGGCAGACCCCTTCAAGGAGCCGCCCCTCGTGACAACCCACGTGGTCTTACATGATGCCACACCCCTTCCACTGAACCCTCCTCCCCCCCCCCCCCCCTTTTCTCTTCCACGCAGGTACGAGCAGGAGGGGCGGCCGTGTGAGCTGCCTCAAGTGGACGTGTTTGTGTCGACGGCAGACCCCTTCAAGGAGCCGCCGCTTGTGACGGCCAATGTCATTCTCTCCGTACTCGCTGCTGACTACCCCGTTGACAAGTAAGCTGCCGCCACGTGGATTGGTGAAGTGCGCGTGTGGGTGGTGAGACGGCTAACACGTGGACGATGAAAGGGCAGTATGAAGGGGGGCGGGAGAAGGTAGACTGAAGCGCGGTAGTTGAGTGTTGAATTCTTGCATGGAGTGGACGCTCTGCCGATGTGCACCTTTCTTCCACCAGCTTTCATGTGCTTCTGGTGGCAAGGTCGCTTGTGTGTCAAGCAGGTGGTGATTTAAAAGTCAGGCGACCCTCTCTGCCTTTCCTCTGGCCCCACTCGGCCCTGCCTCTGCCACCCCTCTGCCCCACCTCTCCCCCTTGCTTTCCCTCATCTACCTACGTCTGCCATAATCCGAGGGTGGCATGCTATCTGTCCGATGATGGTGCATCCATGCTCACATGCGAAGCGCTGGTGGAAACGGCCAACTTCAGCCGCCTCTGGGTGCCCTTCCGCCGCCCCTCCGCCTTCTTGTTTCCCCTCTCTCTCCCGCCGTGCCTCCTCTCTCCCCCACACCATCCCCAGGGTGGCGTGCTATCTATCAGACGATGGTGCATCCATGCTCACATTCGAGGCGCTCATGGAAACGGCCAACTTCAGCCGCCTGTGGGTGCCCTTCTGCGCTGCCTCTGCCCCCCTTCTTGCCCTCTACTCCCCCACACCAAACCCCAGGGTTGCATGCTATCTATCAGACGACGGGGCCTCCATGCTCACATTCGAGGCGCTCATGGAGACGGCCAACTTCAGCCGCCTGTGGGTGCCGTTCTGCCGCAAGCACGCCATTGAGCCGCGCGCCCCCGAGATGTACTTTGCTGGAGGGGTGGACTACCTGCTGGGGAAGGTCAACGCTGACTTTGTCAAGGAGAGGCGGCGGATGAAGGTGAGAAGGAGGAGGGGGCCAGGGGGGAATGGCTGTGGGGGCTCCTGAGATGTACTTCGCTGGAGGGGTGGACTACCTGCTGGGGAAGGTCAACGCTGACTTTGTCAAGGAGAGGCGGCGGATGAAGGTGAGAAGGAGGAGGGGGCCAGGGGGGAATGGCTGTGGGGGCTCCTGAGATGTACTTCGCTGGAGGGGTGGACTACCTGCTGGGGAAGGTCAACGCTGACTTTGTCAAGGAGAGGCGGCGGATGAAGGTGAGAAGGAGGAGGGGGCCAGGGGGGAATGGCTGTGGGGGCTCCTGAGATGTACTTCGCTGGAGGGGTGGACTACCTGCTGGGGAAGGTCAACGCTGACTTTGTCAAGGAGAGGCGCAGGATGAAGGTGAGAGGGGCGGAGGGGGGGAAGATGGGCGGAGACTGGGGGCGTGGGGGCGTGGGGTTGTGGGGGAAAGAAGGGGGTTCGGCTTGGGTGGTGGGGGGAGAATGGGTGCCCTTCTGTCGCAAGCACGCCGTTGAGCCGCGCGCCCCTGAGCTGAGATGTACTTCGCTGGAGGGGTGGACTACCTGCTGGGGAAGGTCAATGCGGACTTTGTCAAGGAGAGGCGCAGGATGAAGGTGAGAGGGAGAGGGAAGAACAAGGGTGAGAAAGGGGTGGGGGCCCAGGGGGAGAGTGGGTCGAGATGTACTGTACTTTGCTGGAGGGGTGGACTACCTGCTGGGGAAGGTCAACGCTGACTTTGTCAAGGAGCGGCGGCGGATGAAGGTGAGAAACATGGGGAGGGTGAGGGTGAGAAAGAGGAGAGGGGGGGCGGGGGGGTGGGGGGGGGGGGGCGAGGGGGGATTTCTGAGATGTACTTCGCTGGAGGCGTGGACTACCTGCTGGGGAAGGTCAATGCTGACTTTGTTAAGGAGAGGCAGCGGATGAAGGTGAGAGAGGGAGAGGGAAGAACAAGGGTGAGAAAGGGGTGGGGGGCCCCAGGGGGAGAGTGGGGATTTCTGACTACCTGCTGGGTAAGGTCAATGCTGACTTTGTCAAGGAGAGGAGGAGGATGAAGGTGAGAAGCGGAATGGGGGTAGATAAGCGGAGTATGGGTGTGAAGGTGTGAGCGCTAATACTCCCCCCACCCTTCCCCCCTTCCCCCCTTCCCCCCAGCGTGAGTACGACGAGTTCAAGGTGCGCATGAACGCGCTGGTGGTGAAGGCACAGGACAGCCCTCGCGACGGGTGGACCATGCCCGATGGCACCGCCTGGCCCGGCAACGACCGCTCCGACCATGTGGGCATGATCCAGGTGCGGCTACGAAACGAACTCAGATGAGTGAAGCCATGTGTAACAGTTGCCAGCCGTTGCAGTCCGTCCATTCCCTGTCTCTCTTTCCTTCCGTCCCCCCCTTACCACGCTCTTCCTTCGTCTCTCCGTCCCCCCCTTACCACGCTCTTCCTTCGTCTCTCCGTCCCCCCCTTACCACGCTCTTCCTTCGTCTCTCCGTCCCCCCCTTACCACGCTCTTCCTTCGTCTCTCCGTCCCCCCCTTACCACGCTCTTCCTTCGTCTCTCCGTCCCCCCCTTACCACGCTCTTCCTTCGTCTCTCCGTCCCCCCCTTACCACGCTCTTCCTTCGTCTCTCCGTCCCCCCCTTACCACGCTCTTCCTTCGTCTCTCCGTCCCCCCCTTACCACGCTCTTCCTTCGTCTCTCCGTCCCCCCCTTACCACGCTCTTCCTTCGTCTCTCCGTCCCCCCCTTACCACGCTCTTCCTTCGTCTCTCCGTCCCCCCCTTACCACGCTCTTCCTTCGTCTCTCCGTTGCCTGCCTTACCCCCGTCAGGTGTTTCTGCAGCCCAACGGAGAGACCAAGGACGTCAATGGCGACCCACTTCCCTACCTGGTGAGCACACTTGCCCACACAACACGCACGCATACCGATTGTCTCTCCCTTCCACTTGTCTACCTCCTCGTTTCTCCGCTGCCCTCGTTACCCTCTGCCCGTCCCATTTGTTCTTCTCCACTCACCGCTCCCTCTCCCTTCCGCCTCCTGGTGCCATGCAGGTGTATGTGTCGCGGGAGAAGCGCCCTAACTACGACCACAACAAGAAGGCTGGAGCCATGAATGCCATGGTGAGTGCGTGCGTCCTGGTGGGTGGGTGCAGCATGTATGCATGCCACCCGTGGTTGGTGCATGTACGTGGAGCCTTGTGCAGGCCAGTCACTCCTTCCCCCATGATCATTCTTTCTATACCTTGTTCCTCCTCCCCTAGCACAACCCACCCACTGGACTCATCTGTGCCCCATCCCCATCCCCACACCCCCATGGGATGCCCATGCCCACACCCCAATGGCGAGCGCCCATCAGATGAGGGCATCGGCGCTGCTGACCAACGCGCCCTTCATCCTCAACCTCGACTGCGACCACTATGTCAACAACTCCGCCGCCATCCGCGAGGTGGGTTGCCGAGTTGTAGGCAGCAGCCTCATGTGCGATGCGCAATTGTGCCATGGGAGGATGCGGTCTCAAGAATCCTCCCCCCTCTCCTCTCCATGCCATCTTCTGCCCTCCTTAATCAATTAACCTGCCCTCCAACCCCCCTCCTTTCCCCTCCCTCGCCCTACCCTCCCCTCCACACTCTCCCCCCTCCAGGCTATCTGCTTCCTAGCAGACCCCCTCAAGGGCGGGCGAGTGTGCTTTGTGCAGTTCCCGCAGCGCTTTGACGGCGTGGATAAGAATGACCGCTACGCCAACCACAACACCGTCTTCTACGATGTGAGTCGCACTTATGTGCTCATGCGCTAGTATGTGGTGTAACATGGTACATGCTAGTAGCATTCGGAGCAGCTCTTTGACGGCGTGGATAAGAGCGACCGCTACGCCAACCACAACACTGTGTTCTACGATGTGAGAGCTCCCCACTCTCTCATATACTGCAGTGTGGGACTAATTACGGTATCTGCGTTTATCTGCACAAGCTCAAGTTCCCATAGACGTGCATGTCATGTCATCCCCACCAAGAAGACACTCGTCAAAGACAAAAACAATATCAATTCTGTCACCATCCCCACCTTGGCCATGGCATGCAGGTGAACATGAAGGGGCTGGACGGGCAGCAGGGCCCCATGTATGTGGGCACTGGATGTGTCTTTCGCCGCCAGGTGAGACTTGAAGGGCATTCGGGCACGAGTCAATCCTTTTGCCGCCAGTTGCGAGTGACTTGATTCCATCAGTCAATCTTTCTGCCCTCCATTCAACATCACATCGTACCCCGCTGTCTCTGCATCCATCCAAGCGCCGCACATTTCGAGCCTCCTCCTTTATCCTCCCCTCGTCTTCCCCCCTCGCCCTCCCCCATCCCCTCCCCCCTTCCCCCTCAGGCGCTCTATGGCTTCGACCCACCCCCCAAGACCCCGACCAAGCGCCGCACGTGCTGCTCCCTCTGCCCCTCCTGGCTCTCCGGTCGCCCTTCCCCCGTGCGCCTGCCCTCCCGCCTCGCTGCCGGCAGGGCTGCTGGGGGATCGCCACAGGGGGAGCTGGGGGGAGATGGGGCAGGCGCGTTCACGTATGGGGGGAGGGTGAAGCGCCGGTGGTTTGGGCGCAGGGGGGGAAGGCGTGGGGAGGGGGAGCAGGAGGGGTTGTCGATGGGGGGGATGGAGGAGGGGCGGGGGGGGCGGATGGGGGAGCATGGGGGGGAGGGGAGCGGGGGCGAGAGGGGGTGGGAGGAGGGGGAGGAGGCGGCGCTGCTGCCGACGAGGTGGCATGTGAAGCGGTTTGGGCTGTGCCATAACTTCATCATGACTGTGTTTGATGGCGTGGGGGGCGCCATGGTACGTGCCATGCCATCCCATCCTGCCTAATGTCACCATGGCGGGATGCACCTCTGCCTGTGCTGTAGTGTGGACAGTCTGCTGGCAGCCCGTGCCATACTGCAGTGATGTGGTGCCCTACCATGCTCATATGTCTGCCCGCTCCTCTGCCATCCACCTTCATGCCATGCCATGTTGTGGATGTGCATCCATGTCACTGCACTGCCATGCATGTGGAAAACCAGGCCACAGAGGATCCGCATGAGGTGTTGAGTGACGTCATCCTGGTGATCTCGTGTGGGTACGAGGACAACACCGAGTGGGGCACCAGTGTGAGTCACACCCTTCCATTTGCAACCTCCTTAATCCTCCTTTCTTCTCATATCGCTGTCCTTTGTCCTTCCCTCCTCACCTCCCTCAATCGCTCACTACTGCTGCCATAGCATCTCACCTTTGCACCCCGTGCTTCTATCCAAACCAACTGAATTTCTCCCCCATCTTTCTCCTCTTGGTGGGTTGGGTTGGGCAGTGCGGGTGGGTGTACGGGAGTGTAACAGAGGACATAGTGACAGGCTACAAGATGCACACACGCGGCTGGCGCTCCGTCTACTGCATGCCACCACGCCCCGCCTTCAAGGTGCGGGCTACTGGGTGCAGTGCGGGTGGGTGTTGGGCAGTGGTGTGGGTGGGTGTACGGGAGTGTAACAGAGGACATAGTAACAGGCTACAAGATGCACACACGCGGCTGGCGCTCCGTCTACTGCATGCCACCATGCCCCGCCTTCAAGGTCAGCCTCAGTCCCCTCCTCAGCCCTCTCCTCGCGCCATGTTTGCTTTCAGGCTTTCATCCCAGTAAACACGATGGATCGACTTATGCTCCCATCATTTTCCTGTTCTCCTCTCTCCTCCCCCGATCGTCCCCCTCCTCTCCTCTGCAACTCCCTCTCCCCCAGGGTTCAGCGCCCATCAACATGACGGATCGGCTGGCGCAGGTGCTGCGGTGGGCAACAGGGTCGGTGGAGATCTTCTTCTCACAGCACAACCCCGTGTGGGCCGACTGCTGCTCCAACCTCAAACCCATCCAGCGCATCGCGTGAGCCTCCCCACGCCTCCCTCGCCAGCTCCCCTCGCCCCCTTCCCTCCCCTCACCACCTCTTTCCAGTCGTTCGCCCCCCCCTCTCCCCCTCCCGCTGCTACATCAAGCCTCTTGTCGTCCTATATCTGCTCGTTGACTTTTGAGTCGACTCAAAAGTCTCTTGTCGTCCTATATCTGCACGTTGACTTTTGAGTCGACTCAAAAGTCTCTTGTCGTCCTATATCTGCACGTTGACTTTTGAGTCGACTCAAAAGCCTCTTGTCGTCCTATATCTGCACGATTGTCGTGCTTTTCACAATCCCTGTTGATTGGAACTTGCCTTGCCCCCTCCTTCTTCCCCTCTCCCCTCCCTTCCTCCAACGCAGCTACATGAACACGGCGCTGTACCCGTTCACGTCCATCGCACTCACAGTCTGTCTTGAGTCGCTCAAAACACACCCCTCCTCCCCTCTCCCCTCCCTTCCTCCAACGCAGCTACATGAACACGGCGCTGTATCCGTTCACGTCCATCGCCCTCACAGTCTACTGCTTCCTGCCCGCCATCAGCCTCTTCTCTGGCCAGTTCATCGTGCCCAATGTGAGCATGCCACTGGTTCTTGCTTGCCACACTCGTTCAGTGCTTTCTCATCTTCTTCAGCCTGTTCTTTGTGCATCTTTCTGCACCTGTCCATCCAGTCTCCTCCCTGTCCGCCCACGTTCCCCCCTGCTCATGCACGGTCCCCGTTCTGGGCGGCGACAGATTGACAACTGGGCGGTGCTCTACTTCCTCGCGCTCTTCCTCTCCATCTTCGCCACTGCGCTCCTTGAAATTCGCTGGAGTGGTGAGCGCTGCTTTCACACACACACACACACACACACACACACACACACACACACACACACACACACACACACACACACTTTGCCAATTGCGCTCCATCTGTGGCAGCTTGAATTGTGCTCCGGCAAGCACAGGCCAGTGAGGGCATTGCGTTCTTCAGTCTCGTTTCTGGTTCCCTCACCTCTGCACCACCGCTGAACCCTGCGGTGCCTACCAACCAACCAACCATTTATGTGCCCATTGAGCTTTGCAGGAGTGTCCCTGGAGGAGTGGTGGCGCAACGAGCAGTTCTGGGTTATTGGAGGCACCTCCGCGCACTTTGCTGCCGTCATGCAGGTAATGCGGTGCAGTGGGTTGTGATGCAGTGGTATGGTCTTTTGATGCGTTGTAGCATGGTGATGTGGTGCATTAGAAACACCAGCCAATCTTGCTGATTGGTTCTTGATATAATCGCCTGGAATTTTTGCTCTCCTTGATATGCATCCGTTGCGAATTGCGCTGGCTCTTTGGGCATCAAATGATGTGCGTATTGTCCTAAACATGCATATGGGCATGCTGTGTTTCTGTTCCCTTTCTGTTCCCACTGCCCCACCATGCGTCCATGGACCCCCCCCTGCCGTTCAAGATTGCCAAGCTCTTCCAGGTAACCCTCCCCATCCCCCATCCCTCGTTCAGCCTCTGAAGCCCCTCCCTCCCCTCTTCTCACATCCCTCCCAACCCCACACCACCGTATCACTGGCATGGTGTGAACAGGGGCTGCTGAAGGTGGTGGCGGGAGTGGAGGTGCATTTCACGCTCACCTCCAAGGCCTCCCAGGACATGGAGGATGAGCTCGCAGAGCTCTACACTGTCAGGGTAAGCTGTGAGCGCTCACCAGTAGCTGTAGGCGCGGCGGTAAGTGTTGCAGCGCAGGCTTTCAGTGTTGCAGCGCAGGCTTTCACTGCGCACTGTGTTGCATGCTCACCTCCAAGGCCTCCCAGGACATGGAAGATGAACTCGCAGAGCTCTACACCGTCAGGGTAAGCTGTTTCACCCGTAGCTGTAGCCGTAGCCATGGTGGTCAGTGTTGCAGTGCAGGCTTTCACTGCGCACCGTGTTTCACGCGCTCGCCTCCAAGGCCTCCCAGGACATGGAAGATGAACTGGCCGAGCTCTACACCGTCAGGGTAAGCGTTCACCTGCATGCCCCAAGCCATAGCCATAGCCATAGCCTGGTCAGTGTTGCAGTGCAGGCTTTCACTGTGCGCACCTTGTTTTCACGTCGTTGGTCATCATTCTTGAGCAGCAGTTTCCCTCAGTGCTCCCCCCGTTGCCTCTCACCATTCCCCTCCCCGTGCCCCTCGCATTGCCCACTCCATTCTGCAGTGGACGTGGCTGTTCCTCATACCGCTCACCATCATCATTGTCAACGCATTTGCCATCCTGGCGGGGGTGGCGCACGCCATCAACAACTGGCAATCCACCGACTCCTCTATCAGTGGATACGGCCACCCCATCAAGGCGCCCACCTCCAATGCTGACCAGATCGGTAAACTTGACCTGTCCGTCTTGGCGGTTGCAGGCTCTTGCATGTGCGGCTTTGGCTCCGTTGCTAGCCCTCTGATGTGCCACTCATATGTAATCTTGTTTCGGGTGTGCAGGTCAACTTGTCGGCCAAGTGTTCTTCTCTGTCTGGGTTCTTCTGCATCTGTACCCTTTTACGAAGGTGAGGTCTTGAACGAGTTCATCTATCTGCTATTTTGCATTGGCTTGCACTGATTGAAGAATTTTATCGGTGGCTGGCAGGGTTTGATGGGTCGGAGCAGCAGCATGCCAACGCTTGTCATTGTCTGGGCGATGCTTCTGGCGATTGTGCTGTCGCTGCTCTGGGCTCGTATCTCAATGACGTAGGATGCCTCCAAACCAAAGGATTAGTAGCACATGTACTTGGTTTATATTTGAATGTGGAATTCCCTAGAGCACTTCAGTGTGCTGTTATTAGCGAAACACTCTGTGACAGCCCTGCTGAGTCAATCGCTGTGAGCGACCGTTTTGTGCGTCGCGAAGAAAAACGGAAACTCTCCACTCCGTTCGACGAAAGTCGCTCGTCGCCAGTCAGTCGCCCAGTGTGCAGTCGACATTATCCGCCAATCACAGGCTTTGCATAAACGACCTTTTCGCGGTTTCCTCCTTCCCTCCGGACCGCATTTCTACTTCCACCTCCAAAACCGAACCGCACGCGCTGGAATTTCAAATTATACTGTAGCAAATTGCCCTCCTCCTCAATCTGCACTCTGCGAGTCAGCGACTCAGCGCCCTCAAGCATGCCACGCAGCCACGCCACCGGAAATGAGAGACCACCCTCGTTCCTTCTCCACTTGTTCCATTTCTTGCCCTTCACTTCCTTTCCCGAAACACACGGCCCCACTTCAGTTGTACGACTCTGTAGCAGCAGATTTCTGGCATCTCTTTAGGGTGAATGTGGCGAAAAGCGAAGCATTAGCTCTGTCTAAAGCAATTGTGTGTATCAGTCACAAGACACTATCAGCTTTCACTTCGTCTTCAGACGTAGCGTAGCAGGCATCACCAACGGTATACAGCCAAGAACTTGTATCGACGCTTGTTGGCTCGACGCAGAAGTCACTTCATAGTAGCACAGCAAGTATCAGCCCCGAAAATAACAATCAGTTATCTCTCCATAGCATTCGCGTCTCTCCGCCTGCCCGCCATGGACGCGCGTCGCGTATGCACGAACGTGGCGGCCTTGGCGCTGGTGCTGCTTGTCGCGACGCCCGAGCTGCTCTCCGACTCGGGCTTCCAAACCACCAGCGCCGTCCCCTATCGCCGCGAGCTAAGGTAACAGCCTACTGATCAAAACTTCTGCTTCAGCGAAATGGTATGAGTTGTAGGTTCAGAGAACCGTAATAAATCGTAATTTCCGTCCCAGGCGGTTGAAGCTAAGCGTTGTTCGACTTCCTTATTGCTGAAATAAATCCCACTTTTCCCAATGCTTCTTCCTCTCCGCCCGCTCGTGCCTCCCGCCGTGCAGAAAGCCGCAAGGGCCGCTACAGTACAACGTGCGCGAGACCGTTCAGCTGCTGCAGGAATCAGCCTCACTCGTCAGCCGCGCCGCGCACCTGCTGCACGCCGATGCCTCCCCCCTTGCCCCCTCCTTCTGGCTCCGCCCTGCAGCCGTAGCTGCGGACAGCCCCGCCGGGAAGGATGCGCGCGCGGGGGAGGCGCGCGGGGGGCGCAAGTACTACGTGAATCTGGTGCAGACGGCGCGCGCTCTGCAGAACGCGGTGGTGCTGCTGCGGCAGAAGCAGCGGCGGCTGGTGATGGGTCAGATCAACAACGCCATGGCCGCGATCGACGGCGTGAAAGTCGTGCTGGTGCCGCGCGAAGATCGCCAGGTGTTAGAGCATCTCAACGTCGCACGGCGATTCGCAGAGCATGCGAAGCTGTCGTTCATGGGGCAAGAACAGCGCGATTGAGTCGCAGAACCGTCGCACGCCTAGTTTCGTGTGTGCATAGCACGGCATGAAAGAGAGAGCAGCAGCAGCAGCAGAGGAGACTATCTCAGGAGCCCTTTAGAAGAAACAGGGACACTCTTTGTGTCTAAAACCGATTATGTCAATTAGCCCTTTCCTGGCTAATTCAGGCACCCATACTAGCATTCTACGGTACATTGTTGTAGCCGTTTCTTAGCTTGACATTTGATAGCTGGCTCTGACTCGTGATACCCGGCTTGCCTAACACTGACAATGTTCATTGCATTAAAACGTACGTAGCCTTTACAAAGAGCTTATTGTGGCGCTTGGCGCTTAAAAGCCAGCGCCGAGAAAGGACGGATGCTGGATTGCTCATTCCACCGCACACCTGTCACCCACGCCACTACTCCACACCGCTATCTCCTCCTGCTGCTCCGCATGGTGGCGAGGCGAGTAAGCCGCCTCTTGTGGTCCTGCTGCTGCACCTCCTGCACCAACTCCACGTCTGTGGGCGCGAGATACCGCGTAATGCTGGCTGCTGCAAGAATTCCTGAGGCACCTCAAACAACACAAATCACTACACAGCAGCACTATCTCCTCCTGCTGCTCCGCATGGTGGCGAGGCGAGTGAGGCGCCTCTTGTGGTCCAGCTGCTGCACCTCCTGCACCAACTCCACGTCAGTGGGCGCCAGATACCGCGTAATGCTGGCCGCTGCAAAGCCAGGCAGCAGCGTCGCCACTGTGGCCAGCAGCACTATGAGGTAGTAGGCGGGGCGCGGCAGAAGCATGGGCGCCATGCCGTAGAACGACTCGGAGAGCGTGGCGGGCACGTAGCTGACGATGGCGAGGAAGATGAACCAGAGGGCGATGGAGCCCCACACTGCCATGTGGTGCATGAGCGTCCAGTACTGGTGGGGGTGGGAAGGGGTGGTGGAGGGATAGTGATTTAGCGGGTGCCAAGTGTGGGTAGTGAGTGACTGGGAGAGGAGGTGGGGAAGCGGGGTACACAGGCGCTGGCCTTGTCAAGTACGACAAGTAGCGTGAGGCACTGGGTGTGGGTGGGGAGTGGAGAAGAGGATGTTGCCGTGCTGCAGGTGGCGTGAATGGTGGTGGCGAGGTGACTTGTTCTAAGTCGACATTTGAGTGGAGGGGCAAAAGGGGCTCACCTGGATGGTGATGGCGAGATCTAGGTTGACTGCCAGCACGAGGGCAGTGAACAGAATGGAGCCCTGCGCTGTGAGGTCCAGCACGCGCCCGTCGGCCCCGGAGGAGGAGAGCAGCAGCGGCAGGAAGGAGAGCGCGAAGAGAATTGTCGCCTGCACCATGCCCTTGCCCATCGCCATGCCGATCGCACCCACCGTGAACAGTCGGTTGCGCTGGCTCTGGTGGTGGGGGAGGGGGGGTGTGGGGGGGTCAAGGAGATCAGTTGGTGGGAAGTTTAGCGGCAGGAAGGAGAGCGCAAAGAGAATTGCCGCCTGCGCCATGCCGATCGCCCCCACCGTGAACAGTCGGTTGCGCTGGCTCTGGTGGTTGGGAGAGTGAAAGGGGGGTCAGAAGAGATCAGCTGGCGTTTAAGAGTTGGCAGACGTCAGAAGAGTGGTAAGGGGAGGTGTGACAGGGGAGCAGGTGGGAGACAAAAGGGCTGGCTTGGAGAGTTCGAGGGTTGAGGGAGAGGGGGGAAAGGGAGAAGGGAGAGGAGAGAAGGGAGAGGGGGAAGAGCAAGAGGAGGCGCGCGCTCACCTGGGCGTAGAGGCCAGGGTATCTTAGGTGGTAGACTGCCTTCACATCTTGATCGAACGCTCCCACCGCCGCCACGGGCAGCGCTGAAAACAGCACTTGGAACATCACGAGCAGCCAATCAACATACACCGGGCTGCCCGAAAACATCGCGAGCCCGTTGAAGAAAAAGATGGTGAAGGCGAATGTGTGACACTTGTATAAGAAATATTTTATCATGTATGTAATGCGGGTGTAGCTCCACGAGCCGTGCACCAGCAGCAACCGCTCTACAAACCGGAACTGCCCGATCGCAAAATCAGCAGCCATTACCGCCTGCTGCCCCTCCTCCCCCGCAATTCCCACGCCGATATGCGCCTTCTGAATCATCCCCACGTCGTTCGCGCCGTCGCCGATCCCGAGCGTGATCATCCCGCCCTCCGAGCCTACGAGCTCCGTGACTTGCGCCTTCTGCTTGGGCGACACGCGGCAGCAGATCACGGACGCGCACGCGAGCGCGGCGCGGAGGAAGTCGCTGCGCAGGGCGGCGTCCGCCAGCACGTGCGTGAGCGCCTTGCCGTCGATGATCAGCGCGTGCGGCGCGGCGTGCGAGGCGCCCGGCGCCGTGGCGGCCGACTTGGCGGAGAGGATCTGCGCGCGGATGGCGCTTGCTGCGAACTGAAAAAGGGGGGGAGTGGATGGGAGGGTGTGAGTGAGGGATTAGGTCAGGCGGATTCTGGGCGAGTGAGGAATGCAGTACGCAAGAAGCCGATATCCCTCCACACCCAACACCCCAAGGGCCCCACGCCCCGCGCCCCGCGCCCCACCCTCCCCAGCGCCTCACCTGTGCAGCATCCGCGGCTGCAGCGGCGGCATGAGCAGCCAGTCACCATCTTCAAGGAACACGACGTGCTGCTGCATGCCCGGGCGCAGCAGTTTGTGGCCTGTCAGCACCCACACCCAACATCCCAAGGGCCGCACCCCAAGCCCCACGCCTCACTCCCTGCTCTCCCCACCATCTCACCTCTGCAGGATCAGCGCCAGCAGCAGCGGCATCAGCGGCAAGCTTGTCATTATCCTCTAGAAACGCCACGTGCTGCTGCATGCTGGGGAAACAAACCTCAGCCCCCCCACAAGGCCTCACCTCAGCAGGGTCGGCGCCAGCAGCAGCAGCAGCAGCAGCAAGCTTGTCATTATCCTCGAGGAACACCCCGTGCTGCTGCATGCCGGGGAAACACACCCCATGCCCCAGCCCCCCCACAGCGCCTCACCTCTGAGGGATCAGCGCCAGCAGCAGCGGCGTCAGCGGCAAGCTTGTCATTATCCTCGAGGAACACCCCGTGCTGCTGCATGCCCGGGCGCAGCAAGCACCGCACCCCACGCCCACAGCCCCACAGTGTCTCACCTCTGCAGGGTCGGTGCCAGCAGCAGCAGCGTCAGCGGCAAGCTTGTCATTATCCTCTAGAAACGCCACGTGCTGCTGCATGCCGGGGCGCAGCAGGCGGCACGCAAAGCCGATGTTGACGGCCGTCTCGAGCTTGTCTCCCGTCAGCACCCACAGGCGGATGCCCGCTGCTGCCATGGCTTCGATGGCCTGTGGCACCCCAACCTGTTATGGAGGGAGGAGATGGGGTTGAACTCTCAGAAACAGCTTGTCTCCCGTCAGCACCCACAGGCGGATGCCCGCCGCTGCCATGGCTTCGATGGCCTGAGGCACCCCCACCTGTCATGGGGGAGGGGGTGGAAGGGTGGGTGGGAGGATATAAATGAATTGTTAAGAGGAGCTTGTCTCCCGTCAGCACCCACAGCCGTATGCCCGCCGCTGCCATTGCCTCAATCGCCCGTGGCACCCCCACCTGCCGTGTGGGAGAGAATTGTGCACCGAAGGAGCTGAGATGCAAGCACCACAGATGTTGACGGCCATCTCGAGCTTGTCCCCTGTCAGCACCCACAGCCGGATGCCTGCTGCTGCCATCGCCTCTATGGCCTGTGGCACCCCCACCTGTCATGGAGGAAGGGTGGTGAAAGGGGTAAGAGATTTCAGTTTGAAGATTCTCACGAACAGCTTGTCTCCTGTGAGCACCCACACCCGGATTCCTGCTGCTGCCATGGCCTCGATGGCTTGAGGCAACCCCACCTGCCGTGAGGGGAGGGTGGTAGAGGGTATGAGATTTAACTCTCAACAGCAGCTTCTGCTCACCTGGCACCCAAGCACTTGACACGCACACCACCCGCCCATGCACACCTAGCGCGCACCTGCAGCTTGTCTTCGATGGCGGTGGCCCCCAGCAGTGTGAGTCCCCTCTCCATCTCGTCCGCCAGTGCCTCCAGCTCCGCTGCCTGCGCCGCCACGTCCGCCATGTTTGCCTTGGCGCCCTCCCACCGCGCCTGCCATGCCATGGAGCAATGCAGCGCACATGCCATACAAGCATGTGAGACTTTCTCTCTCTCATAATGACGCCACTACATGCTGTGGGACGTGAGTGGTACCATACATGCGCACTGTGCCATGGGTGATGTGTGTGTGCATGGCATGTCATGTGCATTGGGAGGCGAATGAGACACGTATGCACTTGTGGACCCCTCTCCTCTCCCCCCTCCAAACGCCCAATCCGCACCTGCCAGCTGGCATATTCCTCCTCGCCAATCTCCTTCCACGCGATTGCCAGCGTGCGCAGCCCCGCTTCCGCGTACGTGCGCATGTGCTGCTCTGTGATTGGCCGGTGCCGCTGCGCCACGTCACTGCCGCCCAGGCGGTCCATGATGATATTGTCCGCACCCTTGCACAAAAGGACAAGATTGCCCTCCGGCGTGCGCACGATCACGCTCATGCGCTTCCTGTATGGTGAGGAGGAGGGGGAGGGGGAGGGGGAGGGGGAGGGGGAGGGGGAGGGGGAGGGGGAGGGGGAGGGGGAGGGGGAGGGGGAGGGGGAGGGGGAGGGCGAGTATGGGATTTGTTGAGGACATGGTATGGGGTATGGCGCACACACGCACACACACGCTACCTGTGGCGTACACACGCTACGGGTGGCTGGCACGCGCCAGTACCTGTGCCACGCGCGTGCGCCCGTACCTGTGGCTGGTGAACTCGATGGTGTGCAGCAGCGTGTAGCGCCGCTCGTCCTGCAGCGCCCACCCCTCCTTAAACTCCTGCACGCGCACCTCGCGCCCCTGCCGCCCCGCGAACACCATCCCCATGCGCTTCCCCGCCACCACGAACGCCGCCTCGTCGGGGGATTCCGCCAGGTACCGCACCGCGTCCAGATCCGCGCCCACCGATCCTACCCCCGAGACTTCCCCCGCGCCTCCCCCGGTCATGCCGTGATCGCTCCCCTGCTCCGCCCTCATTGCCCCCTGCCTGGCGCCTTGGGATGATCCCGAGGAGTGGAACGAGTCTTGCGCGCTGCGCGCGTCGGCCGTGTGGTAGCTCGACATGCTGCCGCCCGCGCTGCGCATGCTGCCGCCCACGCTAACCATGCCGCCGTCATCGCGCCACATGGCCGCCTCGTATTCGTCGTCGTCGCTGCTGCTGCTGTCACCGTCGCCAATGTGCCCCGCTGCGCCCGCCTCCCACCCCTCCCCCGCACCACCCCCCGCGCCACCCCCCGCGCCTGCCCTGCCACCTCCAGCGCCGCCCTCCTTCCCCGCACCTCCCGCCGCATCTGCCGCGTCGCCCGTGTCTGCGATTACGGTGTGGCACACCGACATTACCTCAAGGAACCTCCTAATCTCCTCGGCTGTCGGCTGCGTCCGCCACTTGAGATCGTCCAGCCTGGGGTCCTTCATGTTGTACCCCTTTTCCAGGGGCTTTAGAGGGGTGTATACCCCCTCCTCCCCCTCCGTCTCCTCATCCTCGTCCGGGATTGGCTGGCCCGTTCTCTCAGCCGCCGCTTTCTCTACCTCCGTCACTCCCGTGCCGTACGCTATCCCCGCTATAGAGCACTTGAAGAAATCCATCTGGTTGCGAGTTAACGTGCCCGTTTTATCCGACAAAACGGTGTGCACCATACCGAGCTCCTCGTTAAGGTTAGAGGTGCGCGCTGTAGTGGGGATATCCTTCTCCTCATAATACATATGCAGGTCGAGCGCGATCGTCGCAGCCTGCACTAACTTCACCAACTCCATAGTCACATAAAGCGATATAGGAACGAAATACCCGTATAGCACGAGCGCCGTGAAAAACTGCGTGAGCCCCGCTAAAGCGGGCTGCTCCCAGTTATACATCGCCTTGCCCACGCCCGTCGCGCCGGTGTAATCGCCGGGTCGCAGGTACCATTGCTGCGGCATGTACTTGCCGAGATTCACGGCGTACATCACGGCAGAGAGCGTCGCGAGCCCCACCAGGACCACTAGCTCGAACATAATCACGAAATCCAGCCGCTTTTCCACGAAGCTTCGCTTGGACGGCGGGTCGGTGGAGTTCATCATGATCTTGGTCTCGCGGCCGGTGTAAACGACAATCCCCACCGCCCACTTGGTGTTGCGCAGCCGCGAGCCGCGCAGGAGAATATTCGCCGGAGTGATGAAAATCGGCGCCGCGTCACCAGACTGGCTGCCTTCGGAAGACTCGATGTCCGCGCTAGAATCACTCCTCCCACTAATAGCACCCTCGGTACTCGTTCTAAGCAGCATTTTCCCGGCGAACGTGTAGATGGACGCGTTCGGATGCTCGCACTCGACGCGCCCCCGCACGCGCGCGAGTTCCGCCGCGCTCATCGCGTGCGTCTCGAAGACCGCGCTGCGCATCTTAAGGTTCGTCTCGCCGTCCAGATTCATTGTTTCCACGTAGCACGCGCCGCCGTCGCCGCTCGTCGCGACGCAGATGATGTCGGCGGGGAGGAAGGCGTCGTGCGGCACGCGGATCAGCTCCCCCACGCGCAGATCGCGCCACCGCCGCGTCGCTTCCGTGCCGTCCGGCCGTATGACCGTTGCTTTCCGCTTATTCGTCTCGTAATCGGAGCGCCCGCGCTTAATATCCTCCCATAGCTCCTTAGCCATAGCGAGCCCGACAACGAACACGAGCGGCGGAACCGTCGCCATGGGGCTGATGGAGGAGAGCGGCGTGAGCGAGACGCACGCGTGGAAAAGGAAGTAGAGGTTGGCGACGCGACGGAATTGCTCGAAAAGGCCGCGAGGAAGGAAGCTGTACCACTTGTACTTGGTGGTGTAGATGCGGTTGCTGCTGAACCCGGACTCGTCGTTCCCCTCCGGGTCATTCACGAATAAAACACGACTGGGAATCGGGTCTTTTTTTCTGAAAAGAGAGCGCAACCAGTCTCTAAACTGCCCCATCTTACGATACGCTTGATGCTGAGGCTAATTCGCTGCAGGCGAAATTTTTGCTGGACGATGAAGGAAGGGGAATGTCTGCGAAAAGCAAGGCCACAGCAATTCTTGGAAGCAGGACCACACAGCAGTTACGAGGTTCTCGTCGATTGCGGCCTAGTACATAACAGCGAATAGAGAAGATCTGACGAGAAGATTGGCGTGTTTTGTAAGACACTCAGGTTCAAAGGTCTTGCATCAGCGAAGGGATCATGCCAGATTGTGTCCGATCCGAGGTATATGGAGGGAACAAGGGCAGAGGCAGGGGGAGTGGGGAGCATGGATGAATTCTGCTCGTGTGCATTATCGTTGGTGTGGGGTGGGACTCACCGTATGTAGTGTGTCGAGTGAGCCTGCAATAATTGTAGTGCAGATGTGGAATTCGGAATGGGGGCCAATAATGGCCCAATAATTTCAGGTTGGGAAGGCGTCGCGGTCCGTGACCTTGATGTGCGCTATTGAGTCCGACCTCTACCCGAAAGGTAGGGGGGGTAGCATGGAAGCAGAGCTGACACGGATTCCTTGGCGGGGTCAATCAGGTCAATGGGTCCACCCCACCACCCAAACTACACGTTGGGTCAGTCCGAGGCGGAGTGGGTGGAGCGAGGGAGTGGGAGCAGGAGTTTGGAGAGGGAGCACCATGGGTGGACGTGCCCTACTTGGTCGACATGCGGCTGTAGATGTCTTACGAAGCAATACTTTGTTTCGGGTTTTGGCGATGGTCTTTTGATGTTTGAGGTAGTAAGACACTTCTAGGAAGGGTTTATGCATGTCTGTATGCTTGTTAAAATATCTGTGCTACGAATGCACAGTAAATGGAAATTTCAAAAAAAAAAAAAGTACAACAACGAGTAACACAACTAGTATATTTCCATCAAGAATCTGACAAATGCACTGAAATGCATGGAAACATTTTTTGCATGAAGAGACGGAACTCCAGGAGTTAGGGCGGGGTCAGCGCGTTCGTTTTCCTGGCAAAACCCAAATCAGTTACCAGCTTCAGCGGTTTGTAACCCTGATTTAGGGTAACGTGTGGACACGACGGAGTATACAGTGGATGAACGGTGTTAGCTGAACGGTGTTAGTTTTCCGTCCGTCTACTGAAAACAACACGTACATTACACGCCCGCGAACACCCCGCGCAACATTCGAGAAATACTGTACGCAGATCGCGAAACCGCACTACGACTTCGTGAAGCGCGTGCGAGTCTCGCAAATTCAAGGGTACACAAACACAGATTGGAAATCTGCCCCGTCGCAAATCAGCACAAAACCACCGAGTCCCACTCGACATGTGTGAGCCTAGAAACTCTGCTGCGCGCAACAGGCGCTGATGCAACAGGGTTACCTCATTGGGTGCACGGGGTTACCTCATTGAGTTTTCGGTTAGCCAAAAGTGTGGCGGGACCTGTGCCTACTTTTGGACGCGCGTGTCCCACCCTGGACATAAACAAAGCAGGACCAGTAATGCTACAGTGTCTTCCTGATTCGAGGGGTGTCAATTTTTTGGAAAAGGGGCGAAAATGAACGCGCTGACCCCGCCCTTAGTAATAATTAGTAATAATTCTGAGACACTAACTTTCGATATAGTTGCCAATTTTATTCTCCTAAATTAATATATAGGCCAAGCATGCTGACACATCTTCAGCACCTGGAGAAAACGAATGCTTCTGCGGTTCGATCTAAACCTCACAGATCCTAGAATATGTTGAAGCACAAATTCACACATTTTAGCACATATAGAGTCCATCGTATGTGGCACCCTCATTCAGCGGACGAGACTCTTCCCGCGCCCAAAAGTGAATCCGCGGGTGCCGTCGGGAACACGAGGCCCAGCAGGTGCCACAGCACCTATCACAGGGCCATTAGTGGTTGGGTTATTGGCTGCGGTGGAATAAGGTAGGTAAAGCTCCAGAGTGTGAACCGCGCCCCCAGGAGCACCAATAGCAACTGTGGTGGCAGTTTTCCCACCAGCCCTCTTTGCATCCAAGCCACGGCCATGGCCCACGGAGGCCTGCGGCTGCTCCAGCTTCTGCCGCACCCAATCATCAGCCTCGGCCGAACCTCCTGCCTTGCTACGCTTGCCTCCGTTGCGGTCAGCAGAGCGAGCGGCAGGCTTGGCCTCACCGGCCTTAGCCTGCTTGCCGGCCTTGCTGCTGCGCCGCGCCTCTGTACCCTTGCTGCCGTCCTGCGACTCCAGGAAATGCGGATGGTGGTACACCGCCGCAGCAGCCGCGACAGCAGAAGCTGACGTGGCAGACAGCATCGGGAGGGAATCGCCCTGATCCAGGGCGTACGGGGCAGCGGAGAGCGTGGCGGGCGGGGAGGCATCGGGGGAGAAGAACTCGTCTAAGGGGGAACCGATGGTGAACGCCACTGGTTTTGACGGAGGGCGCGCGCAATCAGTGAAGGCGGAAAGGTATGGCGCGGCTTTCGGAGAGGCGATTGGGGACGGCATGAGGGGGAATACGTCGGGGAGGATGACGCCGTTGGGCAATGGGGGGAAGTCGGCGGCCTCGGCCGCTGCGAAAACGGGCTTTGCGGAGGGAGAAGGGGCGGGATTCGGTCTCGGAGAAGGGGGTGCGCGAAGGGCGGCCGTAACAGCGGCGACGGTCGCGGCGGGTGGCGCGGCGGCGGGTTCAACGGCGGAACGGGGCGCGGTAGCGGAAGCATTGGTAGCATTGGCAGCGCGCCATGATTCCCGGTGCGAGTCCTTGAAGCGGCCGCTGAGAATGTCGTCTACGATCGCCTGAACGCCCCTCGGTGCTGTCGCGGCCACGCTCCCCGCCTTAGTAGCAGCGGGAGAATCAACGGCGGAGACGGGGCGGCGGCGGGAGGGACCAGCAGAGGGGCTAGCAGCGGCTGCTGACAGCACGGGGAGCGGAAGGACGAGCGGGACGGAATCGGTAGCTTCTGCCAAGGGCTGTTCTCCCGGAGCAGCGGCTCCGTCGCTCGCGGGCAGCACGTTGGCCCACGAGACGACGGGAACAGCGTCATCGACGGGAGGCGCTACGCACGTGTCTAGAATTGAGCCGACGAAGGTGGGCTGGGGAGCGGGTTGGAGGTTCAGGAGCAGAGGAACGACGGCCGGCGAGATAGCGGATGATGCGGGCCTGCGACTGAACTGGCTGCGGTACGGGCGATCGAGGTCAGTTGCGGGGAGCGCGGGGGGATGTGGGGTCGGTGCTTGCGGGGAGGAAAAGCTGGAGGGATCAGCGGCGGACGCGAATTTCGAAGCGGCAGATGCGACGTTGGTGGCTGCGGGGGGTGGTGCGGCGGGCGGGTTTTTCAGCGGCCTGAGGAGATGCGCGATGAGGTTGTCGGAGAGCGGCGCGTGCTTCGCCCCCGCTGCCCGCGCTTGTGAGAGCATGACTCGCGATGCCATGGCGGTGCCACGAACATGTGCTGCGGAGAATTTGGGTTAGTCGGTTAAATTAGTAGCACAAAAAGCGAGCGACGATTAACGATCCGACTGCTGCGGTAACGAGCTTGTCGTGCTAGCGGCAGTAGCAGGAGAGGCAGCAGGGAGCCAAGAGCACGCGAGGAGCGCACTGGGTTCGGCTTCGCAGCAGACAGAAACGAGATGGAGGGGAGGAGGATGGAGAGGGCAGGCAACGCAAGCTGATGGACAGGCGATGATTGTGAGAAATGCTCCGAAAACGAGCTTATGTCCTGGAAGTCCAAGACCAGCTGCCGTTGGAGGGGAGGGAGTGAGAGAAGTTGGGTGGGTAGGTGCAGCTGGTGAGAGTTGAGCTGAAAACAGCAGGGCAAGGGGGAACACTGCTGGTGGATGATGACTCATGAAAATGCTGCTGCGATGCGATGAACAATGAGTGGCGGTGCGGGCAACTCGCATGAGCTAAGGCTGGCGAAGATGAGGAACCAGCGAACGGCGATGGCAACGGTTATGCTGTTCGCGAAGGAGGGTATCGACGGCTGTCATGAACACTAAGGAGTGTACGAAAACCGTGTGACACGACTGGTTCGCCATGCATCGCTGGAACGGTGCGGCGCGATGGCAAGACAGCAGTGCATGGATGCATCTCCCAGATCATCGCTGTCGAAATAATAGTCCACCCCAGATAGAATCGACGGCACAGACGTGTTCCATACCTAGGATCCAACGACGGTCAATCGAAAGGGAAGCTTGTGGGAGCAGCCACCACACCAGCTAACATCGTGGTCATTCCGTTACCGTACAGAAACTAGGAGCTGTGAAACTGCTGCACTAGACTCCGCATGGGAAATAAATAATTATCAAAACATGTTTCCAGAATCTAGTTACAGTACTTCATTCCAACCGACAATGATAGCATGACGTCGTGTTCAAAAGCGTGTGATATATCTTAATTTTCTTAAGGGTCCTCTAACTGAAAAGGATTATGCAATATAATTTCAGCACATGAATGCAACTCATGCTATACTGTTAGCCATTTCAGGTATAGCCTTCTTGTATGGATTTTCAAGTCCCGGAGATGAATCACCTTAACACTATCGAGGATTCTCCGCTGAGTGGGCTGGATGAGTGGCGACAAGACAGCATGTTGGAGCAGCAGAGCTGATGGCGGACGACGACAGCGGCCCACACTAGGCAATCTGGCATCATGCGCTTGGGAGCGAAGCGAGTGAACAGTAGATCGGCTCAGATTGGTGGTGCGTGGAGTTGACCTTCTGACTGTACAGTATCCTCCCTGCAAGGGAGACGACGACAAGAACGAGGAGGGATGATCCCATTTCACCATACGATACTCTAATTGTACCGCTTGAAATCTTACGAAAGCTTGCTTCACCTTTCTAAGATCAATATTCCGTCAGACCCTCTTCCTGGAACACCAAAAGCACCAGCAGCAACATCACGATTCACATCACTCATCCAGGCAGACATGACGAGAACTCGTCAGAAAGTCATAATCGGTGACTGCTGATTCCTCAAATCGCGTTCGGAGGAGGAGACGAACACCATCTTCACTTGACACCTAAGCCTAGTTGCCCTAAAAAGCCTCACCTATGTCGTACGAGCTTTCCTGCATTCACTCGCATCACAGTCTCATGCCACCGCGCGGAGTCGGCTCAACCGACAGTCAGACTTCCATTCATTAAGCTCGAGCATCAGACAACCTTTCGTAGTATCAACAAAGCCCCACCATTCTCCGTTTTCTACTAGTGCAGTACTCTTACCATTCTCCGTTGCTTCTCTTATCGTTGGTCATACTCTTATTCTCATCCTCCTGTTTAAACGGTTCGAGTCGCCTCGCCGATGCGCGCAACAAGCGTCTGAGTAAGAGTCGAGCTCTATAGGAGGTCTCGGCCGTCAAATGGCGTCTCCGTTGAATGGCCTGACCCGGTCACTGATCAGGAGTCTAGTAGTTTGGGCGGCATTGGTTGTCCTCATCGGCACGTTGAAATGCGCCGGCAGTCACGCGACGCGGTTGCTGCTAGCGGAGCAGCTGGACGACGGAGGTAGTCCGATTAATCTCACTGCGCCTGGCATTCAGAGCACTAGCGTTCCTGTGTTAGATCCGGCGGCAAACGCGGCGGTAGATCCGGCAGCGTCAGTTGCGGCGGAAGTTGCGCCAGAATCGCCGTTCGGTGGTTTCTGCCTGGGAAGTGAGGAGACGTGTTCGCCGACTCCTGCCGGTTCTCGTGAGCGCGATGCGAAGGAGTCGTCGCGGATTGATGCAGCCGTCAACGACGGAGGGCTAGTCGATGACGATAACAGCTCCACCAGCACCAGCGGAAGTAGCGACAGCAGCAGCGGCGGCGGCGGCGGCGGCGGAAGCAGCGAGGCGGAGGTGGCGCGGCGCGTGAGCGAGCGAATGATGGCTTTAATCGCCGAGGGACGCGACCAGCTGGAAGGCGAGCGGCTCGAAGAGGCCGTCGCCACATACGATGAGGTGAGCGACGAGATGTAACGAGGTGCGATGCACGATGAAACGAGATGCGCTAACAAAGTGCGAGCCCAGATGTAACGAGGTGAGAGGCAAGACGAGACGAGGTGCGAGCCCAGTTGTAACGAGGTGCGAGGCGAGTTTCACGAGGTGAGGTGCGAGATGTAACGAGGTGAGAGGCCAGATGTACCTAGGTGCAGCAAGGGAGGATGCCCAGCTCTCCCCAGCCCTAAAAAAGGGAATTCCTTTTCTTCCCGTTCCATAACGCCGATCCCTTAAAGCCTCCTCCCTTGAAACCTCCTCCCTCCGCTGCTCGCACCCGCCCCCTTGGCTGTCCCCACAGGCGGAGAGGCTGCTGCGGCGGCTGCACCAGCGGCTGTTGCACGGACGCGGCGTGGCCAAGTCGCTGCTACAGCTGCACGAGCCGGCTGTAGCGGACTTCGAGCAGGTGAGCGCGCCTGGTGTGAAACGTGTCGTGCGCAGCGTGTCGTGCGAAGCGTGTCGTGCGAAGCGTGTCGTGTGAAGCGGGTCGTGTGAAGCGTGTCGTGTGAAGCGTGTCGTGTGAAGCATGTCGTGTGAAGCATGTCGTGCTCTCGCCCCTCCTCCCCCGCAGGCAGTGAGCGCCAACCCCAGCAGCGCAGAGCTGCGGAAGGAGGTGATTGTCCAGGCGACCCAAAACATCGTATCACGTGCTGCCCTGGCCTCTCCTCCCCCACAGGCAGTGAGCGCAAATCCCAACAATGCAGAGCTGTGGATGGAGGTGGGGGCGGAGTTCGACGCACTAGGGCAGCACAAGAGGGCGTTTGAGCCGTTCAGCTTTTGAGGCGCTTCAAAAGCCGTGCTCTCGGGCCCCTGTACTGCACCCCTCCTCCCCCACAGGCAGTGAGCGCCAATCCCAACAATGCAGAGCTGTGGATGGAGGTGGGGGCGGAGTTCGACGCACTAGGGCAGCACAAGAGGGCGTTTGAGCCGTTCAGCTTTTGAGGCGCTTCAAAAGCCATGCTCTCGGGCCCCTGTACTGCACCCCTCCTCCCCCACAGGCAGTGAGCGCCAATCCCAACAATGCAGAGCTGTGGATGGAGGTGGGGGCGGAGTTCGACGCACTAGGGCAGCACAAGAGGGCGTTTGAGCCGTTCAGCTTTTGAGGCGCTTCAAAAGCCGTGCTCTCGGGCCCCTGTACTGCACCCCTCCTCCCCCACAGGCAGTGAGCGCCAATCCCAACAATGCAGAGCTGTGGATGGAGGTGGGGGCGGAGTTCGACGCACTAGGGCAGCACAAGAGGGCGTTTGAGCCGTTCAGCTTTTGAGGCGCTTCAAAAGCCGTGCTCTCGGGCCCCTGTACTGCACCCCTCCTCCCCCACAGGCAGTGAGCGCCAATCCCAACAATGCAGAGCTGTGGATGGAGGTGGGAGCAGAGCGGGAGGTTCTGGGGCAGCATGAGAGGGCGTTGGAGGCATTCAGCCGCGCCCTGGAGCTGCAGCCAGGGAATACAGAGGCGGTCAAACGGCGAGGTGCGTGGGGAGATGAGAGAAGGGAGGCACGGTGCTTGGGCGAGTGTAGGGTGGGTGGTGTGTGTATTTGTGTGTGTCTGCGCGTGTGTGTGTGTGTGGGGGGGGGGGGGGGGGGGGCGTGCGTGCACGCAAGCGCGTGTTGAGAAGGGCGTGTATAGGCACTGCTTCTGCCGACTTTACGGGAGAAGCACGCCCAACAGTTACCGCTTGTGAAGTCCGTCAAACACACCCTCTCCGTCCCCCCTTTTTTCTGTGCAAGGCGGAGCGTTTTCAACAGTTTCCGTTTCTGGAGATTCCGCAAAGCACCCTTTTCTCCCCCCCCTCCCCCCACCTCCGCTCCCCTCCTTCCCTCCTCTCTTCCTTGGAGCAGGCCTGAGCACGTACAACTGCTTTCGCTTCAGGGACGCCTTGAAGGACCTGCTGCCCGCGCTGCACATGCTGCCGAACGACGCCGACCTCAACCGCGCCGTGGTGAGACTCGAGACAAGCAGCCCCGCCCCGCCCAGCCCAGCCTGGGGGATGGATTTGAGTCACAGGTGGATTCCAGATGGATTCCCAGGTGAACTGCCTTGCATCCCCAGGTGAAATCGCAGGTGGAATCGCGGGTCAAACGAGCTTGGCTGTTGCTTCACTGCACCCTCGCCTCCCTCTCCTTCTCCCAACCATCTTCTCCACTGCTCCCCGCTGCACCCATGCCCCTTTCCCCTCCTCGCCTTTCCCCCTTTCCCGCCTTCCCCACCTCCCCCCCCTCCTCCCCCCTCTCTCCTCCCCGCAGGGATTCTCTTTGGTGCGCTCGAACCAGTTCCGACCGGCACAGCCATACCTGGCTCGGGCGGTGGAGCTGCTCCCGGGGGATGCGGATCTGCGCAAGGAGAAGGGGCGCCTGCACCGCCTGCTGGGGGAGACCGACCACGCTGAGACGGACCTCCTGCTCTCGCTTGAACTCGGACAGTATGTGCTCTGCCTGCTCTGCTTTTTTTTTAGCCGACTCAAAAATAGACTCACCGCCTGCTGGGGGAGACAGACCACGCTGAGAGGGACCTTCTGCTCTCCCTCCAGCTGGGGCAGTGAGTACTCTTCTCTCCTCTGCTCCTCCCTCCCTTCCTCCCTGCCTCCTGCCTGCCCCCGCCTCTTCGCCTCTCTGCCTTCCTTCCCGAACCACCCTTTCGTTCAGATTCCGTTTGTCTCCTGCCTTGTGCTTCTTGTGTCCCCTGCCTTTCATTCTTGTGCTTCCTGCGTTCCTTCCTGCCTTTTTTCTCTCTTTCACTCACTCTGGCTTACTCACTATCGCTCGCTACTCACTCTCAGTCACTCGCACGCACTCACTCCCTCGCACTCTCTCGCTGCCTACTACTCGTGTACGTCCCTGGCAGGATATTGGAGACGCATCACAATCTGGTGCTGCAGAAGCGACTACTGGGCGACCACTGGTAAGCACCCACCACCACCACTCACCACCACCACCCACCACTCCGCCCCTCCGCCTCTCACCCCTCCATCACTCCTCCCACGTCGTCGCATCTCAACTTCCACCCTCCAATTGCTCTCTCTGTTCTCCCTCCCTCTCCCTCTCCTCCCCCACACCTTGTCTCGTCTCCTCTTCCCCGGCCCTCCTATCTGTGATGTGTGCATGTGCGACTCTCCCTCTATGTGCATGTGTGACTCTCCCTCTATGTGCATGTGCGACTCTTCAGGGGAGTGATTCCTATGGCAGATGCGGGGCTGAAAGCATTCCCAGGCGACCTCAAATCATGCATGCATGCACAGGCCTCAATCTTGCATGTCTCGACTTCTACCCCCTAAATGGTTCTCCTTGTGAGAACTTGAGCTGAGAATATATTGATTAATAATGAGCTTGAAGCTCTTTAAGTACATCCAGGATGAGCAAGGAATGGATGGGGACGGGAACTGGGGGCAATCTCTAGGGATTGGGGGTAATCCCAAGGCAATCTCCAATTGGTGGGTTGGAGATTGCTTGGAGATCACATTTGGGTCTGGTTGGTATGTGGGTGTACACCCAACCAAACACAAAGTGCAAGCTACACTACACTAGGATATAAAAAGTGCAAGTACAAAATGTGAGATCGAGGGGTTAACACTAACACTCCTCTCTCCTGCACCTTGTCTCCTCTTCTCGTTCCCTCGCCAGGGGAGTGATTCCCATGGCAGACGCGGGGCTGAAGGCGTTCCCAGGCGAGCTGGAGATCATGCATGCCAAGGCGTCCAGCTTGCACGTGCTGGGCGAACATGCCGCTGCTGTGAGTCATCCGTGCCACCGCGCCGCTGACATGCCACACCATGCCACGCCCTGCCTGCCATTCCCTGCCTGCCATGTCCTGCCGTGCCGTGCTCTCACCTGCATGAACTAGCACGTCTCCCTGACCCAGCAATCTGGAGATCATGCACGCTAAGGCCTCCAGCCTGCACGTGCTGGGGAAACATGCTGCTGCCGTGAGCTCTCTCTCCGTCCCTCTCCCTCACATGCAGCAATGTTACGCCACGCCATGCCCTGTCACGCCATGCCCTGCCACGCCATGCCATGCGATACCATACCACGACATGCCATGCACCCACCGTCTGCCACTTGCTCCACTCCCCTCCCTCGCCCCACCCCATCAGATGCGCCTGTACGACAAGTTGTTGTCATCTCCCACTCAGCCCCACGAGCAGTCGACCTACCGCAAGAGAATCTTCTTCCAGCGCCACCTGCTCGCACCTCGAGTCTACCCAAAGCCACATGCACGTCTCCCCTCCCCTCCCTGGCCCCACCCCACCAGATGCGCCTGTACGACGAGCTGCTCTCATCGCCTGTTCAACCGGATGAGCAGACGTCATACCGCGAGAGGACCTTCTTCCAGCGCCACCTGCTCGCCTACATGGTGTCGCGCCTGGACCAGCCCTTCTCTGCTTTCCGCATTGACGATGACCTGGATGAGGAGTGGCGGGTGAGACAACGGGTGGGGGAGGAAGAGTGGGAGGGAGAGGCGGGTGAGACAAGGGGGTGGGGGAGGAGAGGGGGGCGGGGAAGGGGAGAGGGGGAGAGGGCGAGAGGCTTTGGGGATGGCGTCAGGGGCGATCCCTGACGGGGCAGCACGGGTGCCTTCCCTCCTTCGCCCATCGGACTCATTGCCTTCCCACCGAGCTCATTGCTACGCACTGCACTGCACAATCATGCAAGTGATAATGCTTCAGCTTGTAACATAATTGTCTCCTCCTCCCCTCTCCTCCCCTCCCCTCTCCTCCCCTCCCCTCTCCTCCCCTCCCCTCTCCTCCCCTCCCCTCCCCTCCCCTCCCCTCCCCTCCCCTCTCCTCCCACCTCCTCCCCTCTCCTCCCACTCCTCCCTCTCCTCCCTTTCCTGCCACCCATGCCACGTGTGCCACGTGGGTCAGGGCAAGTGGGCCACGGGGGGGAAGCCAGAGGACCTGCAGGGCTTCGTGCCGCTGGCGATTCCCGAGGACCAGTTGCATGCTGCCACGTGGCAGCGCCTGCCACGCCTGTCTGGGGCGGCAGTGCAGCTGGTGGAAGCGGCGGACGTGGTTGGTGCTCGCACGCACTACAACACCGATGGGATGCTGCTCAACACCCAGCAGGTGCGCATGGCGTGGCATGGCAAGGCATGCATGGCATGACAAGGCATGGCATGGCATGGCATGACAAGGCATGCATGTCACAGGAAGTATGATCTGACTGTGGGGCACGTGAGAGACCTTTCCCCCACCCGTCTGATCCTCAACGCATTCATCCCTCTCTCAACCTAACCATCCCATCCACCCCCCCCTCCCACCCTCAGCTGCGCATGGCAGGGCTGGCAGCGTTGGACGTGATGCAGCAGGTGTGGGCAACAACCCCCACCCCTTCCTCCTCAACGCTTTCATAACCCCCAACCCTTGCGTCCCCCCTGTTCCACCCCTCAGCTGCGCATGGCAGGGCTGGCATCTCTGGACGTGATGCAGCAGGTGAGGCGCACGCTGCTGCTGATAGCGGATCAGATGCGCATCGCCCCTCTGCTCTTTGGCACCCACGGGCCGGATGGGCCCGATGAGCAGTGGCAGGAGCAGCTGGAGCATGCGCTTCAGGAGAGGCAGGGCGGGCAGCGCACGGGTCGCAGCCGACAAAGCAGCAGCGGTGGCGGCAGCGGTGGCGGCAGCGGGGGTGGGCGGAGTGCTTTGGACCGGTCTGACCTGGTGACGAGCTGGCGGCATGTGTTCCGGGTGCTGGTGGCGTGGAGGCAAGTGTCAGAGGCCCAGGAGCCCATTGCATGGAAGGCGTTTGGGAAAGGGCAGCGCTGGCCGGCCGACATGCTGTATCGCACCGACACACCCATCTTCACCTGGGTCATGGGCACTGCGAGATACCTCGCCGTCTACCCCAAGTGAGTTGTGAATCGAGTGGAAATAACACACAGGGCTGGTGGTGTGGCGGCATGTGGTCCGAGTGCTGGTGGCGTGGAGGCAGGTATCAGATGCCTGGAAGGCGTTCAGCCAGGGGCAGCGGTGGAAGCTGTAAGATGCTTCCAAGACATGCTGTACTCGGGTCATGGGTCTTGCTTCCAAGACATGCTGTACTCGGGTCATGGGTCTTGCTTCCAAGACATGCTGTACTCGGGTCATGGGTCTTGCTTCCAAGACATGCTGTACTCGGGTCATGGGTCTTGCTTCCAAGACATGCTGTACTCGGGTCATGGGTCTTGCTTCCAAGACATGCTGTATCGCACCGACACGCCCATCTTCACATGGGTCATGGGCACCACTCACTACCTCGCTGTTTACCCCAAGTGAGTTGCCTTGCCTCCTAACTTAAGTACCACTCACTTGGGGTACTTTTACCATGTCACCGCAACTCACACCATCCCCTGGCTGGTTACTTCACAGCAGCCCCTATATTCTTGCCCTGCTCTTTACATGCCGTCTTCCTTCCCTCCCTTCCCTCCCTCCCCTCCCTCCCCTCCCATCACAGGGCGGTGAACGTCACGCGGCAAGGCTTGCTGCGATCAGAGAGGGCGTTTGACACCAACACCCACCAGTCTTTCGACGTGCCTCGCTCCACCTTCGGCGCCCAGGTGTGCCCTCAGCGCAAGCGCACCACCCTCTCACATTGCATCACCCACTCACCTGCCTGCCATGTTTTGAGTCAACCCAAAACACACAACACTCGCCAGCCGTTGAATGCGCCTCGCTCCACTTTCGCCCCCCAGGCGTGCTCCCAACGCAAGCGCAGCACCCTCTCACAGCGCACCACCATCACACATGCCACCCATACCCCTCCCATGCTCCATCGCCCCTCACGCCCCCATGCCCCCATGCCCCCATGGCCCTCACGCCCCCATGCCCCCCATACCCCCCATGCCCCCATGATCCCCATGCCCCCATGGCCCTCACGCCCCCATGCCCCCCATGCCCCCCATGCCCCCCATGCCCCCCATGCCCCCATGACCCCCATGCCCCCATGACCCCCATCCCCCCATGCCTCCCAACAGTTGGAGGCAGCGGAGGATCAAGAGGGGCTCGTCAACGTGATTTGTGTGACAGTGGGAGTGAAGTGTTACTACAGATTCTCCCTGTAAATTCTCTTAACATTCTTTAAACATCGTTGAACGTTCTCTGAACATTCCAACAGCTGGAGGCAGCGGAGGATCACGAGGGGATCTTCAACGTGATTGGTCGGGACTTCTACGTGCGCCTGCCGTGCTACAGCCGGGCATTCCCAGGGTTAGTGCGCCTGCCGTGCTATATCCTGCCTGCCGTGCTATGTCCTGCCTGCCATCCTAGACCCTTGTAATTTCCCACCTGGTTTGCACATGTCACTGCGTTGCAAGCACAGTAGGCCCTGCAAAAAGCATCCTCAAATCATCCTCATCCCAAGGTAGCCCTGCTTTGAGCGCCGCTGTGTGCCCAACCTTCCCCACGTCACCCAACCTTCCTTCCTATTCTCGTACCATGTCATAAGCACTCAAGCTGCTCTCACGCGCTGCCTTCCTTCCTCGTACCTCCTTCGCATTCCCCGTGCACCAGTGCTGCTCCCGAGTCGCATTATTTGCCCTTCCTCCCGCCCGCCCACCCACCCTCCTGTGCAGGAAGGATCTGGGCGGCACAGAGTTTCGATTGCGGAAACGGTGAGTCATGTGGGTTCGTCACACACATGCATATATGCATACGTGCACACATGACACATGCACATGTGCACATGTGCATGCATCTGTATATCCATGCCTGTGTTTGCCTTGCATACTCGGATCCTTTTCCTTTGCTTATAAGCTGCTCACTTCTCCTTACTCTTTCCCCTCTTTTAATCCTCCCGTCCATTCCCTTTCTCCTCTCCCGATCACATCACCAGCACCCCATCACGTCCCCCTCCACCCCAGCCCTAAGGCAGTGCACTTAGACACGGTCACCACAGTCCACTTGGGGCGGTGGACTGGGTGGCTTCCCCGCTCTCCTCTCCCATTTACATCACACAACCATCCCCCATCACCTACCCCTGCCACCCCCGCTTCCCATCCCAGTCCCTTGGCAGTGGACTTTGACACAGTGACCCCCATCGACGCGGGGCGGTGGGACGCGGTTCCTCTCTCTCCCCTCCCGATCCCTCGCATTCCCCATCACCACTTCCCCATTCTTCCCCTCTCCCACCAATTCCAGTCCCTTGGCAGTTGACTTTGACACGGTGACCCCCGTCGATGCAACACGGTGGAACGCGTTTGACTCGGAGCTCACAGCGGCCTGGCAGGGATTCATGGAAGCAGCACTGGACCACCGCACCAAGGCCACGTCACCGCACGCGTACCGCCAGCGCATACAGGATCAGATCATCGCCATTGCCTACTATTGGTGGGTCCACCTTTGCCCTGCCTGCATGTATATCACCACCGCACGCGCGAACCAAGGCGCGCGCGCGGACCAAGGCGCGCGGGTCCACCTGCCGCCCACGTGCACGCGTATCGCCGGCGCATCCCAGATTAGATCCTCGCTGTGGCTTAGCACACCTCGCCATCTAAACCATGGTTATCCACGCCCCTCTCTGTGCTCTGCAGGTTCCAGCTCATGCCGCTGTCCCGTGGGTTAGCCATGGTGGTGTTCATCAAGTTTTGAGTTGTCCCCAAATCCCCATGTTACCCATCGGCTTGCCCCTCTCTGAGCCCCGCAGGTTCCAGAATCCAGCTCATGCCGCTGTCTCATGGCTCAGCCATGGTGGGGCTAATCAAGTATTGAGAGGTATTAGAATTCCCTTGTACCTTGTCTGCTCCACCCGTCCATTCGCCCCTTGCTGTGCCTCGCAGGTTCCAGCTCATGCCGCTGTCTCGTGGCTCAGCCATGGTGGGTCTCATGTCTATCATCAGCCTCTCAATGGCTGCTGACATGGAAACAACAACGCACGTTCCCCGAGATATCCTGGTGAGTCCCGTCTGGTGCCACCTAGTTCCTTCATCTCACCTCCATCATCGAACTCCCCATGGCTGCTGACATGGAAACCACTGCGCATGTCTCTCGGGACCTCCTGGTGAGTCCCGCCTGGTGCTGCTTGTACGGCCTCCTTCGTTCTGATCCTAGCCTCCTGTTCCCGCTGTTTGATTGAGATGGCATTTCTGCACCTCCTCCCTTCTTCTCGCTTCCTAATGCCGCTGGTACAGCCTTCATTGCTCACCTCTCCCCTTCTGCATGTGAACACCTAGCTAATTCATCGTATCCCACAACACCCCACTCCACCCCTGACCGGACCACGGCAGGTGGATTGGGAAGGGCTACTAGCGACTAGCTTTGATGAGTTCAAGAGTGTTCTGTCCCCGTGGCTGTTTGAGAATACACAGAGAGCGCCATTCCACCTGCCCAGTGTGCGGGACACGCTCCCCACAACGCGGCACGTGATAGCTGCATTGAGCGATGCTAGTGGGATTCGGGTGAGGGATACTGATAGTGCATGACGCGCATGTATTGTGGATGAAGCCAAGGTTGTGTCGGGTCAGGAAGTGGTAATGAGAATGGAGGGGCAGAAAGCCCACTCACATGCATGATGCACCTGTGCATGCTCTCATGAAACTGACACACACACTGCAAACCACACATCCACAGGGGGACAAGCCACACACCAAACCTTCCCATCCCACACACCACACAAACCGCACAACCATGGCAGGCAACATATATACCGTACAAGGCTACATTTTTTTTCCCAGAGTGCAAACGGCGGCGGGCATTGGGACGGGACACCTTGACAAATCCAAGCAGTCCATTCAATTCAAGCTTTGCACACGCTTATTAGTCATCTGTCTTATTACACAACCACAACCGCCCCCCAAGCTAAAGCAACAACGAGCAGAAGCACACACAGATTTTAGAGGCAGAATGCTACCAGCACCTCCCAACTACACCCCAACTAACCCACCATCGATTACCATCGCATGCCAATGCGAAAACCAGCCACCACACCGCGAGTACGTTCTTTGCCGCAACGAGCACTCTCAGCTGCGATAAAGCTGGCCGCGAATGGCACCGTTGGGGTGCGAGGGGGACGTGACGAGCCCGTAGAAAGCGGACGGTTTCTTAAGAATAGCCCTCATCTCCTTCTCCAGAGTCTTCCCCGACGCCGTAGTGATGCTCGCCGCGTTCCTCCACTCCCCCGCGACCTCGTACTTGTAGATCTTCGTGCCGCGCACAGGCTGTGGGTCGGCCGTTACGTTTTTCCAGTTGGTAGGGAACTCGATGTGAACCGCGCCGTTGGTGCCAGCCCTTCCAGTATGCACGGAGGCCAGGGTGGGGAACGCGGCCTTGCCGCGCTGCGTGACGCGCACGTGGTAACGCACGTTGAACGTCACGTCTTCGTCCCTGCGCCGCGCGAAAGAGGAACATTTAATTGGTCGACTCTAATAAAATGCGACCGTTGTGCACACGCGGCGGGGTGACGAATGCTACGGCGACTGATGCGACGGTTAGAGCGAGAGAGCAAGGAGGCGAAATGTCCGACATTGGAGCGAATGTCGGGAAGGGCAAGATGATAGAGAACTCACCTAAAAAACGCGAGACTGAGAGCACCCGTCGACTTGGTGTCGCCCGTTTTGCGGGGCACGACCCGGACGCCATTCATCCTTGTCGCCACGCGTCCTGCGACAAGCAAGCCAAGATCCGGCGGACCAAAGCGAACGACTCACGACGACAGATATCAGCTGAAGGAAGGAGAACCAAAGAAGAATCGTGCGGCAAGATTTCATGCCAGCGGCATTTGAGGAAACGTTGAGGCGAGAAAGGACAGGTTACCGATTCTCTTGCCGATATCATCATCTTCTGCGCTGCAGCCGCACGCCGCAAGTGCGAGAAGCACGAGGGCGAGAAACGGCTTGAAGGCCATAGCTGGGATGCAGAACTGAAGTATGGAAACGAGAAATGGCCGAATATGAGATGGACTTGGGATGTGTGAGAAAATGCCTGAGCAAGGAGCGTCCCTGGAGGGATGCAGCGAGGCTGTGGCTGTTGAATGAGGAGACGGTCTGACGCGAATTTATATAGTACGAGCGGCCCCATCTCTACACCTTCAGGGTGAACTTTCAAGGTGAACCTTCAGGATGAGACGTGTGGTGGCGAGGTGGTATCAAGCAGTCACGCTTGGGGAGCTGGTTTGATTGGCGGATAATGCTTGTCGATAAGAAGGGATCCATCGTGGCACGCACGACGACGAACCGCAATGCTGAATGTGCTTGGCGCTCCAGCGCCGAAAAAAAATACCACAGGCCTAGGTGGAGAAGAGGTGGGGCCTCAACAAATAGTACCACCATGGACGGAAACGACCGTACGATGGTTTGAGCCTCTAGAATGCAAGGTTCGCGAAATCACGAATCCTAGTTACTCCCACCGTCGTCTCGTCAATGAGTCTTGGGTTTGCAGGAGAGGGAGGCGGGGACCACTGCGACAGTTGCGAGTGGCTAGGCAGTGTGGTATGGACTCTGAAATGCGCTTCAAAGAATTCCTCGCAGTTGATACAATTATGTGGCTAGGCAGTGTGGGTGCTGTATGGAGCTAAACCTTCCATCGAGTAAACAAAAAGAATCACTTGCATTCATACATCCACAAAAGCCAATGCATGTAATGTGCATGTGGGAACACAGCCAGACCAGAATTCCAAGTTTCAAAACAAACGCGCATTTCCACACACCCAATTGTTCCACACTCCAGCAAAAAGCTGCTACCGTAATAGCTTCTGTTGATAGAGGAAAGGACACATGCAATCCTGCTCACTCTTGTGAGTGCCATGCCAGGTACTGCCACAAACGTCACACTACATCAAACCACACCCATGGCACCCGAATGACGCCAAAGCACCGACAAAGGCACGGTTATTGCATTATTAGGAGACGTTACAAGAACGCTGAAGCAGTCGCCACGGGTGCCGCCATGCCACAGGCACAACGACAGCTCATCCTACTGCATCGCACACACAGTGCTAGAATCCCCTACTGGCCGACTCGTTACAACACCAACACACACTGCAAGCGCATCCTTTGCGGTCACGAAAACACCAACACATTCAGCCCAAATAGAGCTGCCCGCGAATGGCGCCGTTGGGGTACGAGGGGGACGTGACGAGCCCGTAGTAGGTGCGCGGCGCCTTGAGAATATCCATCATGAGAACACTCAGAGTCTTTCCCGAAGCCGTGGTGATGCTCTCCGCGTTTTTCAGCACGCCTTTCAGCACGTAATTGTAGGTCTTGATGGGGCGCGTGATGGGCTGCGGGGTGACGGTTAGGTTCTGCCAGTTGGTGGGGAACTGGTACTGCACCGCGCCGTTGGTGCCGTATTTGCCGGCGTTCACGGTGGCCATGGTGGGGAAGGCGGCATTGCCGACCTGCGTGACGCCCACGGAGTAGCGCACCCAGTACGTCTTTCCGTACCTGCGTAGCCGCGGCGCGGCGCGACAGAGGAGCGTTTATTATTGGTCAATGCGACGACGGCCAATGCGACGGCGGAATGCGACGACGGCCAATGCGACGGCGTTCAATGCGACGGTGACCAATGCGACGGTGGCCAATGCGACGGTAGCCAATGCGAACGGTGGCCAATGCGACGGTACGAGCGAGCGATGCGAGGAGGCGAGGGCGGCGAGGGCGAGATAGAAGCACTCACCTGAAAAGCCCCAAGGCCATGTTGCCCGTCGACTTCAAATCGCCCTTGGTGCCCACGACTTGCGCACCATTCAACGACGTCGCCACGCGACCTGCGACGAGCAATCACCATCCGGAGCAAAACGAACGACTCGTGACGAGAAATACCAGCTGGAAGAAGAAAGAAGAGAAATAAAGCGGCGCACGGCAACATGCCAGCGGCATTCGCGGAAATGCTGCGAGAAAGGACGGCGTACCTATCCATTTGCCGCTTACGCTAGAGGCGCACGCCAAAAGGACGAGAAGCACAAGGGCGGGAAACGGCTTGAAGGCCATGGCGGAGATTGACAGCAGTGTGGGAAAGGTAAACGGGGCGAATCAAAATCAAAATTGGGTTGTCGAAGAACTATGACCTGAGGATCTTTGTACAAGCCTTATGTACGTGGGGAATCTTGAAAGAGCCGCGCTCACTCCACACCTAGCCCCCAATATCTGTTTGCTTGCATGTCAACGAACCGCCATGGTGATTTTTGCGGCGCTCGAGACCAGTCACAAGAGCAGAAAAAAGGGGCACCATTCCACCACCTCGAGTCTCGACTCACAATGAATCACGGCTCGGAAGGTATGTGGGGAAACCGCGAATTCGATGGGCCTCGCAGAACCAGAAACCACGGCTACACCTTACGTTGGGCACCCGCACAAGCTTACGCAGCCAAATACACAACTGCAAATCAAAGCCATGCCTATGTATAATACCTTATTTCCAAAGTTGGGAGACAAAGCTGGTGCCATTTTGCCTCCCCAAGACACTACGTTTTGAACTCAATTGGTTTCCAATTTCTAGGTACAGATTGGCGTGCACAAGACACTACACTCACAGGTACTAAGAAAGAGCATTGTCATTACCATCCCTACATCATGCCTGCCCTGCCAGCCAGTTTTCTCACTGGCTCCGCTAGACTACGTCAGATACAGCAGTCACACCAACCTCACACCAGCAGTCAGCATCTGTAACATGCAAACAGCAGTCACACCAACCTCACTCCGGAAGGAGCAAGCTATTGCCCAATGAATTCCAAGATTTCCTTTTCAAGAACCGCACCACTTTTCAAGAACCTCTTTTTCAGAACCGCACCTCACTCTCTGAACCTGCTGCTGCACTCACACACACACAGCTCTTGAATCATGTCAATGCCTCAGAAGCCAATCAGCACGATGCTGATTCATTCACTCACTCTACAGTCCACAATCACTCTGCCCAGAACTTGCACACAACTGACCACCACCACTCCGCATCCCCCCTGCACAGAAACCAACCCTAGACGTTGCCACGAAAGAAATAGCAGAGCTTCTAGCGGGAACGATGAAACTGGCCGCGAATGGCACCGTCCGGGTGGGAGGGCGCCGTCACCAGCGCATAGTACTGCCGCGGCGCTGCGATAATCGCCTTCATTGTTACCTCGAGCGACTTCCCATTGGCAGCCTTGATTTTAGCAACGTCGTGCCACATGCCCGCAGTCACGTAGGTGTACATCTTGGGGCGGTTGGGGCGCTGGTAGTTGCTGGTCATGTTGACCCATTTGTCGGTGGGGAAGTCGATCTGCACAGGGCCGGTGGTGAAGCGCGTGCCATAATGCACGGTGGCTTTCTTGGGAATTTCGGGGCGGTCGAGCTGCCAGACGTGCACCGAGTAGCGGATGTTGTAGGTCTCACCGTACCTGCATGACGGCGTGACAAGTGAGCGACGGATTGGTAGGAGCAGTGAGGATGGCAGCACTGCTGATGGCAGCGGGCTGGTTTTTCAGAAGATGATATTCATGGATGGAACAAGTAACGGCGAAACGATCTATTAGGAATGGCAGGAAGCCAGGCGCACTGGCATTGCGCGCAGCGCGAAAGGCAGGGGAGCTGAACGGGCGGCGAGCGACGCGAGAAATGACGCGTTCGAGTCGCGGGGACTTACTTGAAAAGGGCCAGGGCGACGGTGCCCGAGGAGTTATAGTCGCCCCTGCTGCCCGTGACCTGCGCGGCTCGCATCGCTGACGCCACTTTACCTGAAACGCGCCACAATCAGAGCATCAGAAAATCAAGAAAAAAAAACAGAAAAAAAAAACAGGATGCGTCGGAAGATAAGGGCATTCGCTTTGGAAACGGGACAGGGAGGCGAGCAAGGATGCTTACCGACACGGCGGCCGAGGTACTGCGCGTCGCACGCACACGCCGCTAGCGCAAGCAGCACAACGGCCAGAAGCGACGGCCTGAACGCCATGGCTCGCTCGGGGAGGCTCGGAGCAAGCAGACGCGTCGGACGGGTATGAGGGGTTCACCGAGGGTTGCGAAGCTGTGGCTGTTGAATAAGGCGGTTTGATGCGAGAATAATAGTACGAGCGGCCTCATTTTTCAAGAACCGTTCACAGTGAACGTTCAGAGTGAACCTTCAGAACGAGACTTGTGGTGGAGATGGGGTCTCGATCGGTCACGTTTCGGGGCTTGTTTAATTGGCGGATGGTGCTTCTAGATAAGAAGGAATCCATCGTGGCACCACGATGGACCGCAACGCTGGACGTTCCTGGTTCTCGAGCGCTGAAGAAATAAGGACCACAGAGAGGAGGAGAAAGAATGGGGAAGGGGGACTTACATGAGTAATGACAAATAGTACCACCATGACTGAGGCTCTATAAAGCAAAGTTAGCGAAACCAGGAATTACAGTTACACAGTCGTCGCGCATCATCTCGCCAAAATTGTTGGGCTGCTGTGCACCAAGGGGGGGAGGCAGGAGGGACTTCTGCGACTGTTCTGATCTGAGTGGAAGTTCACCAATCCGACTGTTCTCGGACAGTTCACCACTGCGTTACAAACTTCCTCATACATTCTCCTTCGTATAAAGAACAATGAGAAGCAACAACACCTTGCTTACTGGTACCGTATATGAAGCAAGACCTTGCATAAAGAAAGCAGGAAATGGAACCCTTGCAAACATGCGGAGATGCATGCATGAACTGTAAGTTCGTTGCAAATGAATGTGCACGCGGGAGGACACAAACAAACATCCGCACTGCAAACAACAGCCACAACCACATGACCAGCAACAATTTACCCATTGCATCTTGCGATATTGTGATACGATCCACTGAGAAACATTGTGAAGCGAGGCAAGCAGCACCTGGTCACCTTTCATGCTTCACATGATAGCTCAATGCCGCGATCAGATGGTGTGTGGTGGGTAAGGCACTTTCGATGAGGGCTAGATCCCAGGGTGAGCTTTGAGTGGAGGCGAAGAGCCATGGGGCAATGGAGGCATTGAAGTCTTCAAAGCGAGACACGAGTAGAGCCTCCCAGTCCACCTGTTTGAAAGGGAAGTCACGAAGGCATGCATGAAACTGATACGTGTGAATCGTGTGGTGAATGATCATAGCAGAGCAGAAGACCCATAATGGACTCCTTCAGACGCCAGAGTCAAAACTCAGAAATGTGTTCGTCCTGTCTCTCTGAATCTACTGAACCACTGTGGGGCTAGTTGGTTTTCTTTTGCTGGCTGATTCAAGCCACTCCTTACTGCCAACAGTGCCACATCCCACCGCAGGTTGCAGGGAAAGAAAAGCACGTTCCCGCCTCAAGTGCAACAACGCTTCCAATAGCACATCCGAGCCTACCTGCACCCCATGGGGGATGAGCGTCGTGGTTTGCATGTCAGCAGCCATGGGGAGGCCAAGGATGGAAACAAGCCCCACCATGGCGGTCCATGTTGCTGGCGGGCCGGCGGCCCTCAAAGTACCGCTTCTTCTGGGCCCCTTCTTCCGTGTCCCGCCCCACTCGCACCGAGCACCCACGGTTCGCCACACCCTATAGACAACGGGACAGCGGGACGGGCCAGATGGGAGAGGGACGGGCTGTGGGACGGAGATGGGGAGAGAGTGAGGGCTGAGGAACGGAAGGAGCGAGATAATGGAAGACGCGAGAGAGAGGATTGAAGGAGCACAAAGTGCCAGGGAATGTATACCTGCCACACAGCAAAAGAGTGAGGTCCAAACCAAACAGAACCAGGAATGCGATACGTGTGCGAGCGAATCACATTCACACGTACTCATTGTGATTCTCATTCACAGCATGCACGCACCAGTGAGCTTCCGGCCGAGAGTGTGAAAGGCGAGCAGCACTGGCGCGGCTTGCTCTTTAGTGAGCAGCCGGACCAGCCGGATCAACCGGGTGTTTTGAGAGCATTTGCATTTGCACCGAGAATTCGCCACATCAACCGGGTGTTTGGATTTGCAGCGAGAATTCGCCACATCGACCCCTCAGCGGGTTGCACGAGGTGCATGACGACGCTGGCGCGGCGCGAGAGGTAGCGGCAGGGAGGTGAGAGAAGCGTTATGCGCATCCGTGATAAGAACAGGGGGGAAGACAAGCATAGGAATGGAGACGACGCATCCGAGAACAGGGGGGATGTGGGGGAAAGAGGGGGGACGGGGGATTGGGGGAGAGGGAAGTGGTGAGGAGATGAGCGTTTGTAGCTTTTGCGAGAAATTCTGTGATTGCAGGGAGGGAACCTTAAAACTATTGTTTCCTCTCTCTTTAGCAGTAAGTGAAATGAGAACAATCAACGGGCCCACACAATTGGACAGAAGGAAGGGGGGAAACGCACAGGGAATATTGCAAAAGCAGGGGGAGAAAGGGGGAAAGGAAAAAGGAAGGGGAGGGGAGGAGGAAGGGGGGGGGGGGGGGGGGGGGGGGGAGAGGGGAGGTACTGAAGGCGTCGTGTTACTAACGTGGAAAACAGATTCTGTGATCACATGGTACCCTAACACACGTGCTTCTGATGTTTAGCATTCTGTGTGCTAAACGTTTCTAACATAGTATGTTTGAACATGTACAGCAACATTGTAACCTAGCAGACTCACGACGGAGATCTCATACTACACGACCGCGTTTCTGAAAGCAGAAAGAATCGCGCGTCGCTATTACGCTTTAGCGACCAGGGTCGACCGTTGATGTTTCTGAATCTTACGCGATCGTTCCATGCTGGCGACCAGCAGCGTGAGCACTTTCTCGCTGCCATCGCCGCGCAAGCAGCTTCCGCGTCGCACTCTTGTAAGGACCGCACCGACGTCCGTTCCGTCGGCGTGTATCCCTGTAACGAGGATAGCCCGTGCCACTAATGGAGCGGTGACTACGGCGCGAATCTGTACACTCGCGATGAATCAATTTTATGCGCTGCGCGGAGAGGAGATGAGCACCTATAAGGCATGGCGAGGCGCAGCCTATAATCAACTTTCGAAATTGTGGCGATTTCGCTATCAGAATCAGAAGTAGTACCACAATAAAGTTCGCGCCGATATCAGTGACTGATTCGCTGAAATATCCGTTACTAGGATTGCCAGGACATGATCAGGCTGTTCGAATCTACTAAAGCCATCGCAGCGAAGTCTCGCAGCGACAATGGCGCGTCTGAAACAGGGGAGGAGGAAAACTAGAGAGTACAAAACAAATTGATCACTATCACTTTCAGAGTTGCTCCTTACCAACATTAGATCATACAGTTATGATCCAGTTGAGAGGTCTCAGTATCAAATATCCAACCAAAGGTTCCATATTTACTAGAAGTTCCAATTACTAATCTAATTAGCTGTCTATGTGGCTCTGTTTGTGTACCTTCTGTCTGCATGGTTCTGTCTCTGGTAGGTTCTGTCTGTCACACCAGCAGATGCATCATATAACTAAATAAATAACATGCTAGTTCATGGCACTAAATGTCTACATATGCCTGAACTATAGCAACACCTATTGTAGTAATAGTTTCATGGTAATTATCCATTCAAAGTTCCTAATGACGATCCAGATTAACTATTAATTAAATGTACTATTGTACTACCCATGCACTGTAGGTATGCATGGGGGGTTCCTCTTGGCCGCCAGGAGCAAGCTCCCAACGTTACACCCAAGCACCGCGGTGAGGTGGGAACCATCGCTTGGGACCCTGTTGGGGGGGGAGACAGAACACAAAAGGATACTGGATACTGCCCAGGGGCAGGTGAAAATTATTATGTGACCCTGTTGGGGGGGGAGACAGAATACAAAAGGATACTGGATACTGCCCAGGGGCAGGTGGAAATTATTATGTGACCCTGCTGGGGGGGAGACAGAACACAAAAGGATACTGGATACTGCCCAGGGGCAGGTGTAAATTAGCATGTGACCCTGTTGGGGGGGGAGACAGAACACAAAAGGATACTGGATACTGCCCAGGGGCAGGTGAAAATGATTATGTGACCCTGTTGGGGGGGGGAGACAGAACACAAAAGGATACTGGATACTGCCCAGGGGCAGGTGGAAATTATTATGTGACCCTGCTGGGGGGGAGACAGAACACAAAAGGATACTGGATACTGCCCAGGGGCAGGTGGAAATTATTATGTGACCCTGTTGGGGGGGGAGACAGAACACAGAGCAAACTGCCCAAGGGCAAAGGCTGTCCAGTCTTGCTTCAGGACCAGCTGTGCAATTTTGCTCACTGCAAGGCTTGCAGTGAGGAACATGCAAAAGAGTTTTGAGACGTGTCCCAAAACCCTGATTTTGCTCACTTCAGCTAAGCTGCAGTGAGGAGGAAGGGAGAGTTTTGAGAGTGAGTTTCGAGACGTCTCTCGAAACTCACAAGAGAAGAGAGTGTTCCTACTCTGCTTCGCTGCAACCTGTGTTCCCTGCAATCTGCTTCACCCCCTACTCTGCTTCGCTGCAACCTGTGTTCCCTGCAATCTGCTTCACCCCCTACTCTGCTTCGCTGCAACCTGTGTTCCCTGCAATCTGCTTCACCCCCTACTCTGCTTCGCTGCAACCTGTGTTCCCTGCAATCTGCTTCACCCCCTACTCTGCTTCGCTGCAACCTGTGTTCCCTGCAATCTGCTTCACCCCCTACTCTGCTTCGCTGCAACCTGTGTTCCCTGCAATCTGCTTCACCCCCTACTCTGCTTCGCTGCAACCTGTGTTCCCTGCAATCTGCTTCACCCCCTACTCTGCTTCGCTGCAACCTGTGTTCCCTGCAATCTGCTTCACCCCCTACTCTGCTCCGCTGCAGCCTGTGTTCCCTGCAATCTGCTTCTTCTGGAGTAGCACATGGGAAGGGTGGCCTTCTGGAGTGGCACACGGGAAGGGTGGCCAGTCGTCTTCACTGCTTCTCTTCTGCTTACACCGCTGGTGCCACTGCTTGTATTCCCTTCTGCTGCCACTGCGGGCCTCTCTTCTGCTCCCACTGCTGCTGCCACCGCTGCTGTCACTGCTGCTGCCACCGCTGCTGCCACTGCTGGCCTTCTCTTGTGCTCGCCGTCCCATCACTTCACAGCACCAGCAGCAGCATGCGGGAGGGAGGTAGGAGCGAGGGAGGTAGCAGCTTCTTCATCCCCTTCACAGCTGCTTCATCCCCTTCACAGCTGCTTCATCTCCTCCTCCTCTGATGCGTGTCCTTTGCCTCTGCTCCTTCCCCTCCATATCTGCTTCACCTTTTTCTCCATGGCTGATCCACCTCCTCTGCTGCTCATATCCCTTCATTTCCTCTCGCCTCTGCTCCTCCATCTCCTCTTGCTGCTCCGCCTCCTCTGCTGCCGTGTCTCGACCTTCTGTGAAATGGGAAAAGAATGGGAAGGCCGATGAGCGAATGACAACAATGGGATGAGGGCAAGCCAAAGAATGACCCAAAGGAGATGCAAAGCGACAAAGGCAACCACCATCCATCCCATCCCAACAAACAGAACAGCTAAAGCAAGAAAGATGATCACCATTGGTAGTGAATGTTTCACCTCCACCGTGCGCCCTTGCTCCTCGTCTCCTCAGCTGAGCCAACTCCTCTGCTCCCTCTCCTCCCCTGCTCCCTCTCCTCTGCTGCTCCCTCTCCTCTGCTGCTCCCTCTCCTCTGCGTCCTGCTGTGACATGGGAGGAAAATGACTCAGGGCCGATGAGTGTAAGGCACCGATTGCACCCAGTGCCTGAGAAGGAACTCAGAGCAAATGCAAAACCAAGGCAACGACATCCATTCGAACAAACAGAACAACTAAAGTAAGAAAAAGAATCACCATCGGCAGTGAATAGTTGTCTACCACCGTGCTCCTTTGCTCTTTGCTCTTCAATGCAGCACCACTCCCCTCCAGTGCAGCACCACTCCCCCTCCAGTGCAGCACCACTCCCCCTCCAGTGCAGCACCACTCCCCCTCCAGTGCAGCACCACTCCCCCTCGAGTGCAGCACCACTCCCCCTCCAGTGCAGCACCACTCCCCCTCCAGTGCAGCACCACTCCCCCTCCAGTGCAGCACCACTCCCCCTCCAGTGTAGCACCACTCCCCCTCCAGTGCAGCACCACTGCTGCTGCCACTGCTGGTGTCACTGCTGGCCTTCTCTTTCTGCTCGCACTGCTGCTGCCACCGGTAGTGTCACCGCATGCCTCTCCCCTACTCCCACCGCTGGTGTCACTGCGGGTGCCACCTCCAATGCAGCAGCAGCAGCACCGCCTCCCAACGCAGCAGCAGCACCACTCCACTTCACAGCACCACTCCACCACTTCACAGCACCACTCCACCACTTCACAGCACCAGCAGCAGCAGCACATGGGAGGGAGGCAGCATCATTTTCTCCCACTGCTGCTCCTCTGCTCCTCTGCAGTAGCACACGGGAAGGGTGGCCTTCTCTTCTGTGACAATGCTGCTGCCACTGCTGGTACCACTGCTTGCATTCCCTTCTGCTCCCACTGCTGCTGCCACCGCTGGTACCACTGCTTGCATTCCCTTCTGCTCCCACTGCTGCTGCCACCGCTGGTACCACTGCTTGCATTCCCTTCTGCTCCCACTGCTGCTGCCACCGCTGGTACCACTGCTTGCATTCCCTTCTGCTGCCTCGGCTGCTGAAACCAGTAATGTCACTGCGGGCCTCTCTTCTGCTCCCACTGCTGCTGCCACCGCTGGTGCCACTGCGGGCCTCTCTTCTGCTCGCTGTCCCATCACTTCACAGCAGCACGCGGGAGGGAGGTAGGAGCGAGGAAGGTACCAGCTGCCGTCCCATCACTTCACAGCACCAGCAGCAGCACGCGGGAGGCAGTAACAGCTCGCAGCTTGCTGGTGTCAATTTCACAGCCGTGCCTGTGTGCCTTCTCCCCTCCATGCCTTCTCCCCTCCATGCCTTCTCCCCTCCATGTCTTCTCCCCTCCATGCCTTCTCCCCTCCGTGCCTTCTCCCCTCCATGCCTTCAGAGTTGGGGGGAATCGCAGCTGTGCGGTTCACTGCTCCTCTGCTCCTTTGGCCTTTCCCCCTCCGTGCCTTCTCCTCCGTGCCCTCTGCTCCATGTCTCTCCAACACTCCATCTCCTTCCTCTTCTCCATCATCTCCTTTGTCTCTCCTTCCTCTCTTCTGCTGCTCCGTCTCCTGTGCTGCTGTGAAATGGGAAGAGGCAGGCACAGGGCTGATGAGTGCATAATCTCACAGAAAGGACATACTCTCACATGACAAGAAAGAAAGGACATTATCTCACATGACAAGAAAGAAAGGACATTATCTCACATGACAAGAAAGAAAGGACATTATCTCACATGACAAGAAAGAAAGGACATTATCTCACATGACAAGAAAGAAAGGACATTATCTCACATGACAAGAAAGAAAGGACATTATCTCACATGACAAGAAAGAAAGGACATTATCTCACATGACAAGAAAGAAAGGACATTATCTCACATGACAAGAAAGAAAGGACATTATCTCACATGACAAGAAAGAAAGGACTTGCGAAACGAATAAGGCAGCAACCATGCATCTGAACGAACAGAACAGATAAAGCAAGAAAGAGGATCACATATTTACTCCACCACTGTGCTTCTTCGCTCCATCGCTACTTTGCTCCTCGTCTCCTCTTCTGCTCCTCCTCAGCTGAGCCACCTCCTCTGCTCCACCTATGCTCCATCTCCTCCTCCTCTGATGCATCTCCTCTGCTCCTCCTCCTCTGATGCATCTCCTCTGCTCCTCCTCCTCTGATGCATCTCCTCTGCTCCTCCTCCTCTGATGCATCGCCTCTGCTCCTCCTCCTCTGATGCAGCTCATGGGCGGGAGGTAGGTAGAAGCGAGGGAGATAGCAGCTGGCCTTCTCTTCTGCTCCCAGCAGCTGCCAGTCGTCTCCTCTGCTCTTCTGCAGTAGCACCCGGGAGTGAGGCAGCATCATCTGCTCCCACTGCTGCTGCCACCGCTGCTGTCACCAATGGCTTTCAATTCTGCTGCTGCCTCTCCTTTTGTTGCTGGCCATCTCCTTTGCTGCTCCACTCCACTTCATCTCTCATCCTATCACATCACACCAGCAGCAGCAGCACACTGGAGGGAGGTAGGAGCGAGGGAGGTAGCACCTGTCGCTGCTGCAGTTTTCTGGTATTGCTGGTGGTCCCACTGCTACCGCTGCTGCTGCCAACACAGCAGCACCTCTCCACCTCCAACGCAGCAGTTTCGTAGCCCCAGCAGCAGCACAAGGGAAAGAGGTACGAGCGCGGGAGGTAGCAGTAGCGGTCGCCATCACTTGGTAGCAGCAGCTACAGCACAAGGCAGCAGCAGCAGGTAGCAACAGCTCCACCTTGCTCCTGTCAATACTGGCGCCTTCCCCCCTCCATAAGGCCAGCAGCGGTGGGGGCCAGTGCAGCTCTGCTCTCCTCTGCTCCTCCTCCTCTGATGCATCTCCCCTGCTCCTCCTCGTCTGCTGCTCCGTCCCCAAAGATGCATCTCCTGCGGAATAGGAAGGAAGGAAAAGCTTATGAGCACCCAGCGATTGCACCCAGAGCCAAGAACTGATTCAAAGCCAATGCCAAGCGAACAGAGCAACAACCATCCATCCAAAGGATCAAGAAAACGAAGGCAGGAAAGAAGATGCTCACCGGCAGTTCAATGGCAGGAAATTCTCCTTAGCGCCTCCTCTCCTCAAGCCTCCTCTCCTCCACGCCTCCTCTCCTCCACGCCTCCTCTCCTCCGCGCCTCCTCGGCTCCACAGCGATCGAGTGCTCCGATGCTCCACTTCTCCCTTCTGCTAAATAAGACAAACAAGAACCATTAGTGGTAGTAGAGAACAAGTAAACCAAATGGACGAGCACTTACCGAGGGGGCTGGAGGCGTCTTGAAGTCTCGCGGCTGTCTGAAACGGGAAGCAACAACGACATTAGTGCATGTGGAAAACAGAAAGCAGAAACTTGGAGAGCACTTACCGAGGGGGCTGGAGGCGTCTTGAAGTCTTCGTGACGGCTTAGACAAGAAGACACACACATAACAACATTAGGCATGAGACGACACAAGAAAGCAAGAAAGACTGCAGCTTACAACGGGTCCTAGCTGCTGCGTCCCCGTGTTGCTCCCGCCTTGGTGTTGCCCCTTGATGCTTGCTGTACCTAGACGAGGGGCGGCACAGAAATTTTATTTTGAAGGCGCCTCACTTGAAGGCGCCGCTCCACCTCCCGCTGCTCCTCGTGTGTTGATCCTTTGCCCCCCAGGGGGTCAAAGCGCCTCACTTGAAGGCGCCGCTCCACCTCCCGCTGCTCCTCGTGTGTTGATCCTTTGCCCCCCAGGGGGTCAAAGCGCCTCACTTGAAGGCGCCGCTCCACCTCCCGCTGCTCCTCTTGTGTTGATCCTTTGCCCCCCAGCGGGTCAAAGCGCCTCACTTGAAGTGCCGGTCCTCATCCCGCTGCTCAACAGGAGAAACCAACAACCACCACAGGCCACAACAAGTGTGAGTTTTGAGACGCTTTGCTCTCAAAACCCAAGTTTTGCTCACCGCAGCAAATCTGCAGTGAGGAAGGAGGGGGCGTGAGTTTTGAGACGTCTCTCAAAACTCACCATATGCAGACTTTTGAGCAGCATCTGCTCCCACTGCTAGCCTCCCTGCTAGCATCTGCTCCCACTGCTAGCCTTCCCAACTGCTGCCACCGCTGCTCCCACAGCTGCTGTCACTGCTGGTGTCACTGCTGGTCTTCTCTTCTGCTGCCAGCCACTGCTGCTGTATGCTGTAGTGTCATTGCGTGCCTCTCTCCTTCTCCAACCGCTGCTGCCACCGCTGGTGTCACTGCTGGTCTTCTCTTCTGCTGCCAGCCACTGCAGCTGTCAGCTGTAGTGTCATTGCGGACCTCTCTCCTTCTCCCACCGCTGCTGCCACCGCTGGTGTCACTGCTGGTCTTCTCTTCTGCTGCCAGCCACTGCTGCTGTCAGCTGTAGTGTCATTGCGGACCTCTCTCCTTCTCCCACCGCTGCTGCCACCGCTGGTGTCACTGCTGGTCTTCTCTTCTGCTGCCAGCCACTGCTGCTGTCAGCTGTAGTGTCATTGCGGGCCTCTCTCCTTCTCCCACCGCTGCTGCCACCGCTGGTGTCACTGCTGGTCTTCTCTTCTGCTGCCAGCCACTGCTGCTGTCAGCTGTAGTGTCATTGCGGGCCTCTCGCCTTCTCCCACCGCTGCTGCCACCGCTGGTGTCACTGCTGGTCTTCTCTTCTGCTGCCAGCCACTGCTGCTGCCAGCAAGTGTGTCATTGCGGACCTCTCTCCTTCTCCCACCGCTGCTGCCACCGCTGGTGTCACTGCTGGTCTTCTCTTCTGCTGCAAGCCACTGCTGCTGTCAGCTGTAGTGTCATTGTGGGCCTCTCTCCTTCTCCAACCGCTGCTGCCACCGCTGGTGTCACTGCTGGTCTTCTCTTCTGCTGCCAGCCACTGCTGCTGTCAGCTGTAGTGTCATTGCGGACCTCTCCCCTTCTCCCACCGCTGCTGCCACCGCTGGTGTCACTGCTGGTCTTCTCTTCTGCTGCCAGCCACTGCTGCTGCCAGCTGTAGTGTCATTGCGGACCTCTCTCCTTCTCCCACCGCTGCTGCCACCGCTGGTGTCACTGCTGGTCTTCTCTTCTGCTGCCAGCCACTGCTGCTGTCAGCTGTAGTGTCATTGCGGGCCTCTCTCCTTCTCCCACCGCTGCTGCCACCGCTGGTGTCACTGCTGGTCTTCTCTTCTGCTGCCAGCCACTGCTGCTGCCAGCAAGTGTGTCATTGCGGACCTCTCTCCTTCTCCCACCGCTGCTGCCACCGCTGGTGTCACTGCTGGTCTTCTCTTCTGCTGCAAGCCACTGCTGCTGTCAGCTGTAGTGTCATTGCGGGCCTCTCTCCTTCTCCAACCGCTGCTGCCACCGCTGGTGTCACTGCTGGTGTTCTCTTCTGCTGCCAGCCACTGCTGCTGTCAGCTGTAGTGTCATTGCGGGCCTCTCTCCTTCTCCAACCGCTGCTGCCACCGCTGGTGTCACTGCTGGTCTTCTCTTCTGCTGCCAGCCACTGCTGCTGTCAGCTGTAGTGTCATTGCGGGCCTCTCTCCTTCTCCCACCGCTGCTGCCACCGCTGGTGTCACTGCTAGTCTTCTCTTCTGCTGCCAGCCACTGCTGCTGTCAGCTGTAGTGTCATTGCGGACCTCTCTCCTTCTCCCACCGCTGCTGCCACCGCTGGTGTCACTGCTGGTCTTCTCTTCTGCTGCCAGCCACTGCTGCTGCCAGCTGTAGTGTCATTGCGGACCTCTCTCCTTCTCCCACCGCTGCTGCCACCGCTGGTGTCACTGCTGGTCTTCTCTTCTGCTGCCAGCCACTGCTGCTGTCAGCTGTAGTGTCATTGCGGGCCTCTCTCCTTCTCCCACCGCTGCTGCCACCGCTGGTGTCACTGCTGGTCTTCTCTTCTGCTGCCAGCCACTGCTGCTGCCAGCAAGTGTGTCATTGCGGACCTCTCTCCTTCTCCCACCGCTGCTGCCACCGCTGGTGTCACTGCTGGTCTTCTCTTCTGCTGCAAGCCACTGCTGCTGTCAGCTGTAGTGTCATTGCGGGCCTCTCTCCTTCTCCAACCGCTGCTGCCACCGCTGGTGTCACTGCTGGTCTTCTCTTCTGCTGCCAGCCACTGCTGCTGTCAGCTGTAGTGTCATTGCGGGCCTCTCTCCTTCTCCCACCGCTGCTGCCACCGCTGGTGTCACTGCTAGTCTTCTCTTCTGCTGCCAGCCACTGCTGCTGTCAGCTGTAGTGTCATTGCGGGCCTCTCTCCTTCTCCCACCGCTGCTGCCACCGCTGGTGTCACTGCTGGTCTTCTCTTCTGCTGCCAGCCACTGCTGCTGCCAGCTGTAGTGTCATTGCGGACCTCTCTCCTTCTCCCACCGCTGCTGCCACCGCTGGTGTCACTGCTGGTCTTCTCTTCTGCTGCAAGCCACTGCTGCTGTCAGCTGTAGTGTCATTGCGGGCCTCTCGCCTTCTCCCACCGCTGCTGCCACCGCTGGTGTCACTGCTGGTCTTCTCTTCTGCTGCCAGCCACTGCTGCTGCCAGCAAGTGTGTCATTGCGGACCTCTCTCCTTCTCCCACCGCTGCTGCCACCGCTGGTGTCACTGCTGGTCTTCTCTTCTGCTGCAAGCCACTGCTGCTGTCAGCTGTAGTGTCATTGTGGGCCTCTCTCCTTCTCCAACCGCTGCTGCCACCGCTGGTGTCACTGCTGGTCTTCTCTTCTGCTGCCAGCCACTGCTGCTGTCAGCTGTAGTGTCATTGCGGACCTCTCTCCTTCTCCCACCGCTGCTGCCACCGCTGGTGTCACTGCTGGTCTTCTCTTCTGCTGCCAGCCACTGCTGCTGCCAGCTGTAGTGTCATTGCGGACCTCTCTCCTTCTCCCACCGCTGCTGCCACCGCTGGTGTCACTGCTGGTCTTCTCTTCTGCTGCCAGCCACTGCTGCTGTCAGCTGTAGTGTCATTGCGGGCCTCTCTCCTTCTCCCACCGCTGCTGCCACCGCTGGTGTCACTGCTAGTCTTCTCTTCTGCTGCCAGCCACTGCTGCTGCCAGCAAGTGTGTCATTGCGGACCTCTCTCCTTCTCCCACCGCTGCTGCCACCGCTGGTGTCACTGCTGGTCTTCTCTTCTGCTGCAAGCCACTGCTGCTGTCAGCTGTAGTGTCATTGCGGGCCTCTCTCCTTCTCCAACCGCTGCTGCCACCGCTGGTGTCACTGCTGGTCTTCTCTTCTGCTGCCAGCCACTGCTGCTGTCAGCTGTAGTGTCATTGCGGGCCTCTCTCCTTCTCCAACCGCTGCTGCCACCGCTGGTGTCACTGCTGGTCTTCTCTTCTGCTGCCAGCCACTGCTGCTGTCAGCTGTAGTGTCATTGCGGGCCTCTCTCCTTCTCCCACCGCTGCTGCCACCGCTGGTGTCACTGCTAGTCTTCTCTTCTGCTGCCAGCCACTGCTGCTGTCAGCTGTAGTGTCATTGCGGACCTCTCTCCTTCTCCCACCGCTGCTGCCACCGCTGGTGTCACTGCTGGTCTTCTCTTCTGCTGCCAGCCACTGCTGCTGCCAGCTGTAGTGTCATTGCGGACCTCTCTCCTTCTCCCACCGCTGCTGCCACCGCTGGTGTCACTGCTGGTCTTCTCTTCTGCTGCCAGCCACTGCTGCTGTCAGCTGTAGTGTCATTGCGGGCCTCTCTCCTTCTCCCACCGCTGCTGCCACCGCTGGTGTCACTGCTGGTCTTCTCTTCTGCTGCCAGCCACTGCTGCTGCCAGCAAGTGTGTCATTGCGGACCTCTCTCCTTCTCCCACCGCTGCTGCCACCGCTGGTGTCACTGCTGGTCTTCTCTTCTGCTGCAAGCCACTGCTGCTGTCAGCTGTAGTGTCATTGCGGGCCTCTCTCCTTCTCCAACCGCTGCTGCCACCGCTGGTGTCACTGCTGGTCTTCTCTTCTGCTGCCAGCCACTGCTGCTGTCAGCTGTAGTGTCATTGCGGGCCTCTCTCCTTCTCCCACCGCTGCTGCCACCGCTGGTGTCACTGCTAGTCTTCTCTTCTGCTGCCAGCCACTGCTGCTGTCAGCTGTAGTGTCATTGCGGGCCTCTCTCCTTCTCCCACCGCTGCTGCCACCGCTGGTGTCACTGCTGGTCTTCTCTTCTGCTGCCAGCCACTGCTGCTGCCAGCTGTAGTGTCATTGCGGACCTCTCTCCTTCTCCCACCGCTGCTGCCACCGCTGGTGTCACTGCTGGTCTTCTCTTCTGCTGCAAGCCACTGCTGCTGTCAGCTGTAGTGTCATTGCGGGCCTCTCGCCTTCTCCCACCGCTGCTGCCACCGCTGGTGTCACTGCTGGTCTTCTCTTCTGCTGCCAGCCACTGCTGCTGCCAGCAAGTGTGTCATTGCGGACCTCTCTCCTTCTCCCACCGCTGCTGCCACCGCTGGTGTCACTGCTGGTCTTCTCTTCTGCTGCAAGCCACTGCTGCTGTCAGCTGTAGTGTCATTGTGGGCCTCTCTCCTTCTCCAACCGCTGCTGCCACCGCTGGTGTCACTGCTGGTCTTCTCTTCTGCTGCCAGCCACTGCTGCTGTCAGCTGTAGTGTCATTGCGGACCTCTCTCCTTCTCCCACCGCTGCTGCCACCGCTGGTGTCACTGCTGGTCTTCTCTTCTGCTGCCAGCCACTGCTGCTGCCAGCTGTAGTGTCATTGCGGACCTCTCTCCTTCTCCCACCGCTGCTGCCACCGCTGGTGTCACTGCTGGTCTTCTCTTCTGCTGCCAGCCACTGCTGCTGTCAGCTGTAGTGTCATTGCGGGCCTCTCTCCTTCTCCCACCGCTGCTGCCACCGCTGGTGTCACTGCTAGTCTTCTCTTCTGCTGCCAGCCACTGCTGCTGCCAGCAAGTGTGTCATTGCGGACCTCTCTCCTTCTCCCACCGCTGCTGCCACCGCTGGTGTCACTGCTGGTCTTCTCTTCTGCTGCAAGCCACTGCTGCTGTCAGCTGTAGTGTCATTGCGGGCCTCTCTCCTTCTCCAACCGCTGCTGCCACCGCTGGTGTCACTGCTGGTCTTCTCTTCTGCTGCCAGCCACTGCTGCTGTCAGCTGTAGTGTCATTGCGGGCCTCTCTCCTTCTCCAACCGCTGCTGCCACCGCTGGTGTCACTGCTGGTCTTCTCTTCTGCTGCCAGCCACTGCTGCTGTCAGCTGTAGTGTCATTGCGGGCCTCTCTCCTTCTCCCACCGCTGCTGCCACCGCTGGTGTCACTGCTAGTCTTCTCTTCTGCTGCCAGCCACTGCTGCTGTCAGCTGTAGTGTCATTGCGGACCTCTCTCCTTCTCCCACCGCTGCTGCCACTGCTGGTGTCACTGCTGGTCTTCTCTTCTGCTGCCAGCCACTGCTGCTGCCAGCTGTAGTGTCATTGCGGACCTCTCTCCTTCTCCCACCGCTGCTGCCACCGCTGGTGTCACTGCTGGTCTTCTCTTCTGCTGCCAGCCACTGCTGCTGTCAGCTGTAGTGTCATTGCGGGCCTCTCTCCTTCTCCCACCGCTGCTGCCACCGCTGGTGTCACTGCTGGTCTTCTCTTCTGCTGCCAGCCACTGCTGCTGTCAGCTGTAGTGTCATTGCGGGCCTCTCTCCTTCTCCCACCGCTGCTGCCACCGCTGGTGTCACTGCTAGTCTTCTCTTCTGCTGCCAGCCACTGCTGCTGTCAGCTGTAGTGTCATTGCGGACCTCTCTCCTTCTCCCACCGCTGCTGCCACCGCTGGTGTCACTGCTGGTCTTCTCTTCGGCTGCCAGCCACTGCTGCTGCCAGCTGTAGTGTCATTGCGGACCTCTCTCCTTCTCCCACCGCTGCTGCCACCGCTGGTGTCACTGCTGGTCTTCTCTTCTGCTGCCAGCCACTGCCGCTGTCAGCTGTAGTGTCATTGCGGGCCTCTCTCCTTCTCCCACCGCTGCTGCCACCGCTGGTGTCACTGCTAGTCTTCTCTTCTGCTGCCAGCCACTGCTGCTGTCAGCTGTAGTGTCATTGCGGACCTCTCTCCTTCTCCCACCGCTGCTGCCACTGCTGGTGTCACTGCTGGTCTTCTCTTCTGCTGCCAGCCACTGCTGCTGCCAGCTGTAGTGTCATTGCGGACCTCTCTCCTTCTCCCACCGCTGCTGCCACCGCTGGTGTCACTGCTGGTCTTCTCTTCTGCTGCCAGCCACTGCTGCTGTCAGCTGTAGTGTCATTGCGGGCCTCTCTCCTTCTCCCACCGCTGCTGCCACCGCTGGTGTCACTGCTGGTCTTCTCTTCTGCTGCCAGCCACTGCTGCTGCCAGCAAGTGTGTCATTGCGGACCTCTCTCCTTCTCCCACCGCTGCTGCCACCGCTGGTGTCACTGCTAGTCTTCTCTTCTGCTGCCAGCCACTGCTGCTGTCAGCTGTAGTGTCATTGCGGACCTCTCTCCTTCTCCCACCGCTGCTGCCACCGCTGGTGTCACTGCTGGTCTTCTCTTCTGCTGCCAGCCACTGCTGCTGCCAGCTGTAGTGTCATTGCGGACCTCTCTCCTTCTCCCACCGCTGCTGCCACCGCTGGTGTCACTGCTGGTCTTCTCTTCTGCTGCCAGCCACTGCTGCTGTCAGCTGTAGTGTCATTGCGGGCCTCTCTCCTTCTCCCACCGCTGCTGCCACCGCTGGTGTCACTGCTGGTCTTCTCTTCTGCTGCCAGCCACTGCTGCTGCCAGCAAGTGTGTCATTGCGGACCTCTCTCCTTCTCCCACCGCTGCTGCCACCGCTGGTGTCACTGCTGGTCTTCTCTTCTGCTGCAAGCCACTGCTGCTGTCAGCTGTAGTGTCATTGCGGGCCTCTCTCCTTCTCCAACCGCTGCTGCCACCGCTGGTGTCACTGCTGGTCTTCTCTTCTGCTGCCAGCCACTGCTGCTGCCAGCAAGTGTGTCATTGCGGACCTCTCTCCTTCTCCCACCGCTGCTGCCACCGCTGGTGTCACTGCTGGTCTTCTCTTCTGCCGCCAGCCACTGCTGCTGCCAGCTGTAGTGTCATTGCGGACCTCTCTCCTTCTCCCACCGCTGCTGCCACCGCTGGTGTCACTGCTGGTCTTCTCTTCTGCTGCCAGCCACTGCTGCTGTCAGCTGTAGTGTCATTGCGGGCCTCTCTCCTTCTCCCACCGCTGCTGCCACCGCTGGTGTCACTGCTGGTCTTCTCTTCTGCTGCCAGCCACTGCTGCTGTCAGCTGTAGTGTCATTGCGGGCCTCTCTCCTTCTCCCACCGCTGCTGCCACCGCTGGTGTCACTGCTAGTCTCTTCTGCTGCCAGCCACTGCTGCTGTCAGCTGTAGTGTCATTGCGGACCTCTCTCCTTCTCCCACCGCTGCTGCCACCGCTGGTGTCACTGCTGGTCTTCTCTTCTGCTGCCAGCCACTGCTGCTGCCAGCTGTAGTGTCATTGCGGACCTCTCTCCTTCTCCCACCGCTGCTGCCACCGCTGGTGTCACTGCTGGTCTTCTCTTCTGCTGCCAGCCACTGCTGCTGTCAGCTGTAGTGTCATTGCGGGCCTCTCTCCTTCTCCCACCGCTGCTGCCACCGCTGGTGTCACTGCTGGTCTTCTCTTCTGCTGCCAGCCACTGCTGCTGTCAGCTGTAGTGTCATTGCGGGCCTCTCTCCTTCTCCCACCGCTGGTGCCACCGCTGGTGTCACTGCTGGTCTTCTCTTCTGCTGCCAGCCACTGCTGCTGTCAGCTGTAGTGTCATTGCGGGCCTCTCTCCTTCTCCAACCGCTGGTGCCACCGCTGGTGTCACTGCTGGTCTTCTCTTCTGCTGCCAGCCACTGCTGCTGTCATCTGTAGTGTCATTGCGGGCCTCTCTCCTTCTCCCACCGCTGCTGCCACCGCTGGTGTCACTGCTAGTCTTCTCTTCTGCTGCCAGCCACTGCTGCTGTCAGCTGTAGTGTCATTGCGGGCCTCTCTCCTTCTCCCACCGCTGCTGCCACCGCTGGTGTCACTGCTGGTCTTCTCTTCTGCTGCCAGCCACTGCTGCTGCCAGCTGTAGTGTCATTGCGGACCTCTCTCCTTCTCCCACCGCTGCTGCCACCGCTGGTGTCACTGATGGTCTTCTCTTCTGCTGCCAACCACTGTTGCTGTCAGCTGTAGTGTCATTGCAGACCTCTCTCCTTCTCCTAGCCTCGCTGCTGCTTGCCTTCGCAGGGCGTCACGACACACGGCAGTCACAGCAGCAGGTGAGATGCCCATGCTTCCAGCAAGTGAGAAACCACCCTTTCCTTGCCACCTTGCCTCCTCCTCCCTCTCCTCCTTCCCGTGCGTCATCCCACCACTCGCCTCTTCACTCGCCACGCTGCTTGCACTGCTCCTCCATGCTCGCTGCTGCTGCCGGCCTGTGGGTGTGCTGGCAGAGGGATGGCAGGAAGAGGGATGCTGGCAGGGGGAGAGGAGAAGAGGGAAACAAGTGGACGGAGCAGACAAGGGAGGTGAGAGGGAAGGCGATTAGCACGGCGTACACAAGTGACAGAACGGAAAAACGGCATGCATGTAGGCAGTGAGTGTGTGAGTGTGTGAGTGCTTCTCAAGTCGCCGCTTATCCAGTTGCTGCTTTTCCACTCGCCGCTTCCCCAACACAGCAGCACCGCTCCAACACAGCAGCACCGCCTCCAACACAGCAGCACCGCTCCAACACAGCAGCACCGCCTCCAACACAGCAGCACCGCCTCCAACACAGCAGCACCGCCTCCAACACAGCAGCACCGTTCCGCCTCCAACACAGCAGCAACGCCAGTCAACGTCATGCTTCCATGGACGCAGCAGCACCGCGCCATCACCAACGCCTGTCAGCCATCTCCTCTCGCGCGCACCAACGCAGCAGTCAGCATCACCTCTTGCACGCTCTTCTCCCGCGGCTGCACGGACGCAGCAGCACCGCTCCAGCTCTTGGCGAGAGAGTAGCTCCAACGCAGACCAGGAAACTAGGTCCCGCTCCTGCACGACGGAGACAGTTCAAATCACAACGAGTGAGTGAGATACAGACGCCATGATATATACGCCAGATCGAACGCAAACGAAACGCGAACGCCAAAAATAGCCACGAAACGTTTACCCTACAGATAGCGCGTTGCCTGAGACCTCCTCCGTAGTAGCTGCGCGAAAACTCACCGGCGAGCTCCTCCGTAGTAGCTGGGCGAACGTCGACGAATTCGCGTCCATGAAAACGGTCCCTTCGATAACGTCGACGTATTCGCATCTGCCGAATTCACAAGATCCAGGGACGTCGCGAGCGTCGCACGGTCGTCGCACGGTCGTCTCGCAGTCGTTGCATCGCGACGAAGCTCCTTCGCGAGCTACCCCGCTGTCGTGAGTGTCGACGTGTGGACGAGCGGATCCGCCGTCGTACTACCATCCACGGCCTCGGGAGCTCTTCGGGATCGACGAATAATCAGACTAAAAAAAGCTTCTCCGTCAATCATTTCGCAAGCTTAGTCACGAACTCGCCGTCACGAAGAGCGTCTCAGTGTCGAGAGCTCTCTCGCCGTTGAGATCTCTTCCATGCATCCATGCATTCGTGATCTCTACCGCCACCTCCTCACGAAAATCCTCAAGTAGTAACGTCATTCGTCACCGTCAGGCGTCTTCGCGTGGTCATCTTCGTTAACGTCGCAAGTGTCTACGTCGGTCGTCAGTGTAGGCGTCGGACGTTAGCAGTTGTTGGAAGCGGTGTCGACCGTCAGCATCGGCGTCGGACGGACGGCATCGCGACGACGTCGTACGATGCATGCTGCGAGATCGACTGGTGCTTGCTGCCGGCTCTGCGAGATTCCCACTCCGAATAATGAAAGCCAAATGAAACTCCTCCTTCCTTCGAGAAATGCTGAATAGTATCGTCCTACGACGAACCCTAACCACGCGAACGGCGTCGTAGGACGAAGCATAACCACGAAAAACGTCATGGTGGAAGGAAGCTTCAGGCTGCTAGCGTGACACGAAAGAATATCTCACGAAACAGCTGATGCGCGGCGAGAGCCTGATGTCTAATAATAAGACTTGATCGAAAAAGGAGTTGACGGGTCTCATTCGATGACTCCTAAGCTTCTATGATGAAAGTAACGAGTTAATCGTCGGTGAACCATGATTCTAGCAGCCGGTCATCCAGAAAACGATCTGACGGTCGTTCAGTAAGACTGTGGAGCGTTCTGATTTGAAGCCTAGTCTCAAGCGATTTCTATTTTTGACGCACGCGTCATTACTGAAGAAGCGCCCATGAACGGACGGACCGAGTTAGCAAGCAAGCGCTTGAAAGAACTCGCGGAGCAGGACTAAGCGAGAGGGATTGTGGAATGGAAGGGAATGCGAGGCTAGCGGAAGTGAGGTGAGTCGCCGTGCAGCAGATTCACACACAGGGCGGAAGGAAAGCCCTAGCGGAGGTGTACTAGTCCATGGTGAGCCTGATCCAAGTTCGGTAATTCGGTTGAGTTCGTTTACTCACGTTCCTACGTGGTACCACGCGAAAGAGGTTCGGTCGATCAAGCCCAACTGAATGTGATGCCCTAGTCAGCGGAGGTGAGGGGAGGAGGAGGGTAAGGAAAGGACATCAGGGAAGGGAAGCGAGGAGCCGAGTCGCCATGCAAGCCGAGAAAGTCCCCTAGACGCCCCAAGGCGGGAGACGCCGCTGCTGCTCCAACCTCTGGTTGCGGAAATTTTGCGCTGACGAGGCGGGAAGCCTAGGGAGGGTCGCCGGAGGAGGTGCGCTGAACGGCGGGGAGTCGCGAAGACTGTCCGAAGAGCTGGCGAGCGGACTAACTTTTCGCCAGATTTCGAATGTTACCATATACCGCTGTGCAAGTTATGTTACCGTGGTTTCGCGGGGGGGCTGGTCCTGACATCTACGGCGTTGGATGGGGTGGTGATGATGAGGTGAGGTTTGCTGACAGACAGCAACACTAGTGGCTCGGATCTTGTGCAAGTGTCAGACCACAGTTTCGAATTTGAGTTGACCGTCATGTCAACCGTCTGCAGGGAAAAGCCGTTTTCCGGCACCATGCCCCCTCGAGCACAGAACGACATACCGTATTATGTGTGTCGATATAAAAACATGTTGCTGTTCATATGTTAATTCAAAGCAAGCATACGGCTAAATCGGGGACTAAACCTTTAACAAAGATGTTATGGCCCAAAGTGGCTGAAAGTAAGTTTGTGTGCTTCTCATTATAGCACTTCCCTAATGTCGCAGCATCAGTTATAGACAAGGTTGTGAAATAAGGCAACCAGCATATGGTCACCTTTTATGCTTTATATCGTAGCTCAACGCTGCAATGACATGGTGCGTTGTGGATAAGACATCCTCAATAGGGGCGAGACCCCAGGGTGAGATTTGAGAAGAGGCTAAGAGCCATGGGGCAATGGAGGCATTGAAGGCTTCAAAGCGAGACACGAGTAAAGCCTCCCAGTCCACCTGAATGGAAATAGAGTGATGGAGGTTGAAAGAAACTCATACCGTACGATCAATCTTGTGGTGACTGTTCATACCAGGGAAAAACGCCCATCATATACTAATTGGGTAGATTCGAGAACTTCTTGTTGCTCTAGACCTACTGAACCAGCAAAGAGGGCCTTGCATAAAGACCATGCCACCAATAGCATTTCTCAGCCTACCTGCACCCCATGGGGGATGAGCGTTGTGGTCTGCATGTCAGCAGCCATGGAGAGGCCGAGGATGGAGACCACCCCCACCATGGCGGACCCGCGAGTCAATGGCATGAGCTGCAACTGACCAGGCATGCACAGCACAGCACAGTGTGGCCCACTGACCAGGCATGCACAGCATAGCACAGTGTGGCCCACTGACCAGGCATGGACAGCACAGCACAGTGTGGCCCACTGACCAGGCATGCACAGCACAGCACAGTGTGGCCCACTGACCAGGCATGCACAGCACAGCACAGTGTGGCCCACTGACCAGGCATGCACAGCACAGCACAGCACAAAGTGGCCCACTGACCAGGCATGCACAGCACAGCACAGTGTGGCCCACTGACAAGGCATGCACAGCACAGCACAGTGTGGCCCACTGACCAAGCATGCACAGCACAGCACAGTGTGGCCCACTGACCAGGCATGCACAGCACAGCACAGTGTGGCCCACTGACCAGGCATGCACAACACAGCACAGTGTGGCCCACTGACCAGGCATGCACATCACAGCACAGTGTGGCCCACTGACCAGGCATGCACAGCACAGCACAGTGTGGCCCACTGACCAGGCATGCACAGCACAGCACAGTGTGGCCCACTGACCAGGCATGCACAGCACAGCACAGTGTGGCCCACTGACCAGGCATGCACAGCACAGCACAGTATGGCCCACTGACCAGACATGCACAGCACAGCACAGTGTGGCCCACTGACCAGGCATGCACAGCACAGCACAGTGTGGCCCACTGACCAGGCATCATCGGTCCTATTACCAAGCCAGCAAGGGCGTGAGAGGGTTGCGAGCATCATCGGTCATTGGCGAATGAAGAGCGCCCGCTGCACTTCCTGCACATGTGCGGATCCTTCCTCATTTTGGGGGTGGAAGCGCTCGTTTCGAGCGTTTTTCTTCCGCCGGGTCAGTGGTCCTATTACCAGGCCAGCAAGGGCGTGGGAGGGTTGCGAGGATCATCGGTCATCGGCGCTCGCGAATGAAGAGCGCCCGCTGCACTTCCTGCACATGTGCGGATCCTTCCGCGTTTTGAGGGTGGAAGCGCTCGTTTCGAGCGTTTTTCTTCCGCCGGGTCACGTGGCTGTGCTTGTCGAGGCCTATTACCAAGCCAGCAAGGGCGTGGGAGGGTTGCGAGCATCATAGGTCATCGGCGCTCGCGAATGAAGAGCGCCCGCTGCACTTCCTGCACATGTGCGGATCCTTCCGCGTTTTTGGGGTGGAAGCGCTCGTTCCGAGCATTTTTCTTCCGCCGGGTCACGTGGCTGCGCTTGTCTGGGCCTATTACCAAGCCAGCAAGGGCGTGGGAGGGTTGCGAGCATCATCGGTCATCGGCGCTCGCAAATGAAGAGCGCCCGCTGCACTTCCTGCACATGTGCGGATCCTTCGGCGTTTTGAGGGTGGAAGCGCTAGTTCCGAGCGTTTTTCTTCCGCCGGGTCACGTGGCTGCGCTTGTCTGGGACTATTACCAAGCCAGCAAGGGCGTGGGAGGGTTGGGAGCATCATCGGTCATCGGCGCTCGCGAATGAAGAGCGCCCGCTGCACTTCCTGCACATGTGCGGATCCTTCCGCATTTTGGGGCTGGAAGCGCTCGTTCCGAGCGTTTTTCTTCCGCCGGGTCACGTGGCTGCGCTTGTCGAGGCCTATTACCAAGACAGCAAGGGCGTGGGAGGGTTGCGAGCATCATCGGTCATCGGCGTTCGCGAATGAAGAGCGCCCGCTGCACTTCCTGCACATGTGCGGATCCTTCCGCGTTTTGAGGGTGGAAGCGCTCGTTCCGAGCGTTTTTCTTCCGCCGGGTCACGTGGCTGCGCTTGTCGAGGCCTTTTTCCAAGCCAGCAAGGGCGTGGGAGGGTTGCGAGCATCATCGGTCACCGGCGCTCGCGAATGAAGAGCGCCCGCTGCACTTCCTGCACATGTGCGGATCCTTCCGCGTTTTGGGGGTGGAAGCGCTCGTTCCGAGCGTTTTTCTTCCGCCGGGTCACGTGGCTGCGCTTGTCGAGGCCTATTACCAAGCCAGCAAGGGCGTGGGAGGGTTGCGAGCATCATCGCTCATCGGCGCTCGCGAATGAAGAGCGCCCGCTGCACTTCCTGCACATGTGCGGATCCTTCCGCGTTTTGAGGGTGGAAGCGCTCGTTACGAGCGTTTTTCTTCCGCCGGGTCACGTGGCTGCGCTTGTCGAGGCCTATTACCAAGCCAGCAAGGGCGTGGGAGGGTTGCGAGCATCATCGGTCATCGGCGCTCGCGAATGAAGAGCGCCCGCTGCAGTTCCTGCACATGTGCGGATCCTTCCGCGTTTTGAGGGTGGAAGCGCTCGTTCCGAGCGTTTTTCTTCCGCGTGGTCACGTGGCTGCGCTTGTCGAGGCCTATTACCAAGCCAGCAAGGGCGTGGGAGGGTTGCGAGCATCATCGGTCATCGGCGCTCGCGAATGAAGAGCGCCCGCTGCACTTCCTGCACATGTGCGGATCCTTCCGCGTTTTGAGGGTGGAAGCGCTCGTTCCGAGCGTTTT